TTCCCATCAAATATTGGATTTTGCTCTAGTATGCCTGACTTTCATCCAATTTGGAGAGATATTTCTGGAGTTCTTTTCAGTCTGCTTGGCTATTACCATCCAGAATAAACTTGGCTACCACATGGCATACCTCTGATCCCAGATAATAAATTAAAATGCCATGGGTCCAAATATAGATTCTTGCAGAACTCCACTACTTTCTTTTTTCCATTTGAAAACAGTTAAGTTTATTAACTCCATTTCCTTTCCTTTACCCAGTTACTGACACATAAAAGGACCTGCCCTTTTAAACAGAACTCCATAAAAGGACTCTTGTCCTCTCCTACGGGAGTGCAAAGTTTACTTAGGAACCTTCAGTGCTGGTTAAAAAGTAAGTTCATGACATCATCAAAAGCCTTTCCAAAGTGAAGGCAATGTTATCTCTTCTTTTTGACTTTATTATTTGGCTGTATGAGATCTCTCAGATTTGACTTGATGATGTCATCAAATCTGACTGACTGAAAAAAATGGCACCATATTGCTTTGGGGATTCATGAGAGGCAAGGGGCAATGACACTGCTCAAAAGTGAAAGAAGGGCAAGGAAGGGTTTTTCCTGAAACTTATTCAAATATACTAGCCAGAATGATTAATTTCCCACAAATACGAGGCTAAAGGTAAAGGTAAAGGACCCCTGACAGTTAAGTCCAGTCACAAAGGCCTCTGGGGTTGCGGCGCTCACCTCGCTTTACTAGCCGACGTTTGTCCGCAGACAGTTTTTCCGGGTCATGTGGCCAGCATAACTAAGCTGCTTCTGGCGAAACCAGAGCAGCGCACGGAAACGCCGTTTACCTTCCCGCCAGAGCGGTACCTATTAATCTACTTGCACTTTGACGTGCTTTCGAACTGCTAGGTTGGCAGGAGCTGGGACCGAGCAACGGGAGCTCACCCCGTCACGGGGATTCGAACCACCGACCTTCCGATCGGCAAGCCCTAGGCTCAGTGGTTTAGACCACAGAGCCACCCGCATCCCTAATACGAGGCTACTTGCTGCTTAATTATTAAGCTAGACAATGTAAGCACTTAACCCAACCTTCACTAACCAGGTGCCCTCCAGATTTTATAATTCCCATCATCTGTAGCTAGCACAGAGCTGCAGCTCCAAAACACCAGATTTTGGTGAAGGCTGCCTTAACCAAATAATTAAACAATCTGCCTTTAATCATGTGTCAGCCTGTGCATATAAGGATTATCCACATGTAACCACAACAGGAAAATGGATGGTTGATCCACTTCAGCTTCCATCTATGCCAACTGTGGGAACACCACTAAATTTCATAAAACTTTGGTTAGTCTCCCCCTCCCGAAAAGAAGTGCTACTGTGCCACCATTCTCTGTACAAAAAAATGCCATTGTGGATGAAGATTCCAACCTGCCTGTTACTCATCTTAACAGGTGTTTCTTCACATTTCTGCTCGCCAGTTTTAATGAACATTAAGATACCTTGTGCTTCTCTACTTAAAACTATTATTACTACAAGCTTTACACAAAACGAGCAATGAAAAGTTGTGTTATCTAATAAACTACCTTCCTGCCTGAGATGTTATGCCAGTGAAATAATTCATGGCCATGCAACCAACAACAGATGCAGGCAGAACTGCCACACACCAACAATCCCTAAAGATAGCTCACGGCTGTTTCTCAGCTCTTATTCTTTGGCTCAGCGAAGGCAAGGGCAAGTTGCTTTCAACAATGCAACCCCTGTATCAAGTAGCTGCTGTCAGTGCCTCTTCTGTGTTTAAGTACAATGTAGAAAAGGATTCTTCTCAGCCAACCTGAAGTCCTTTATTTAAGCTTTGCAAGAGCCATAAACAATAGCATGTGCTATGAAGTTGACTCAGAGGCTGCAGCTAACATTACGTTTAAGTACAGGATTCCATGGCAACTAAAAGCACATACTGTAGTGAGGAGAGGCTTCTGCTGTAGATGGGAAAGTTTCGCTACCCAACAGCTCCAAGCTTAAATAGGTATTTACTCGGGAGCAATCTGATTCAATGCCAACAGGATTTACTATCAGGCAAATGCAGAAATGAGGGGGTGGGCAGATGGAAGGCTTTGTTGAACCCCAACACAAAACAATCTCAGGCAACTTTAATCAATCATGTTTCAAGCCAAAAGAGTAGCTACATACACTTGCGCCCTTCTTACTGACTTCAAAAAGTGCTTATGTTGAATAATCCTAATGCAAATCTCTCAAATTTTCCTCTGACTAGCACCACTGTGACGTAGCAGCTGCAAGATTGACACAGGTTTAGTTGTATATCGCTTTAACCATTTGAAGCAGCACAGTGGATTTTTTTCCCCAAACAGAAGTTGCAAAATGGAGCCCACAGTCCTGTAGGTAAGCAAGTGCAGTTGCCACGAATAAAAAGTGTAATGGTGGCATTCAGTCATTCGCGGCTCCATGCTGTGCGTGGGATTGATTACAACAAACATTGTGAACTAGAAAGTCCATAATAAAAGCAGCATGCACAAATCTACATTGCAATGCTATACAATATTACTTAAGATTCTTTTTAAAAACACCTTCAGGTGATGCTGCAATTCAACTTCTAATTCAGAATCCTCTTCCATAAACCTGAACTCCTCTTAGGTTCCCCCACATTTTTTACTTCATCTTTTACTAGCAGGACCTAGTGTTTATCAATTTTCCACCCAAAACTGACTCCTGGCATCCTGGTGACACACTCATGGCACACTAGTGGATCTCATCCCATGATTCAGGATATTTTTCCTTAGATGGTTTTAAGGAAACTGCTGGGCGCGCATATTAGATCAGAGGCTTTAAGTTTGGACTGAGCAGGCTTGGACTAGATAACCTCCCAGTAAGAGTGGCCAAGGGTAGCTCCGACCTACACGCTTTCAATAGCGATGTAGAAGAGGGAATTTCAGTCCCAGCTTTTACATCTGACTATCCTGCCTACCAGGTCCCATGACATTCTCTAGTTCTGTGAATCACTGCACTTGTTAGATTCACATCTGAGTCCTCTTTAACTAGACACAACTGAGAATGATTGTACACAACTGAAAGACAAAGGAGGTTGGCACAATACTGGTCACAGTGATTGCATCAGAGTCATGATGGGAATAACAGGGAACTACATTGACCTTAATAGGTTTCCACACACCTGGGCAATAGCTGTGTTAAGAATCATACCCAAGCACACGAATTCCTTGCAGGGAGTTACCAATTGTTCCCAGAAAAGTTTACAATTACTAGGACTGCCCGGTGTCATCTGAGACATTTCCTTACCTCAAGACATCCAAGCATCACAGATCCTATATTTGTTGAATTTTTCAGCTCTGCGGGGCATTTGGCTTCAGGACACAAAACTCACCTGCAGAGAAGCGTTTTTTCTTTTCTATGCAAAATGCTTCTCTGGACACCCTTAACATCATCATTTTGCTGCAAATTTAACATTGGAGAACTATTTTCGAATGAGTTGGTTTATCACCCCTTCTAATAGCGAACTCAGTTGCTGAGTGCAGGCCAGATTGTACTGGGGCAACTGGAACACAAGCAGTCAGTATCAGCATGCTTGGGCAAAACCTAAAGTCTACAGAAGTACAAAAATACTTAAGGGAAGTAAAAAGCAAATGCAAAACAATTTTAAAAAAACCAACCACATACCCAGATGCTGAGTGACCAGAAAGTGCTCAGTGTCTGCTGAGGAGGGGAAAACCCAGAAAACCAAAGGAGGTGGAATGGAGTCTGCTGGAGGAAGTGAGGGTGGCTGCTCACTGGCACCCTAAACCCTGCTACAAATGGAGCACTGCAAGTCCTATTTGAATATTACAAATGAGAAAAATCAGGTACAAGGTCTGGAAGTCCCACTTCATGAGTCACAGCAGGAGCTGGCCAAAAAGTACTTCCTTCACTTCCGTATAGCATATGAACTGCTTCTGCACAACATTCACGGGGTGCATCCTCTGGTCCACACAACTGCCCATGCCCACGCCTGAAACAGGGCAAGGGAACCACGCACATCCCACAACCCAGGATGCTCTTCTCAAGCAGTGGTATGCACAGGTGGGCAGGGCTCCAGGTCCACTCCATATATGGGCTGCTGGGCATATTTGGATGTGCTGGAGGTGCGTCCATGAGAGCAACACATGCCACACTCCAGCAGACAAGAAACAAAAACGACACTTTGCACGTCAGTGGGAACCTTGCCCATTGATTTGCCTGAGATTTTGTTTCGCGCCCTGAGCAAAAAGAACAGCCAACATCCAAAATGAGGTGAAGCAGTCAGGTCAGATGGCTCCGAAACAAGACCTTTCGCTAACTGCCTTACCAACAGCCCCCTCACGATAAGAAAGGCACATATTTGAAGATAAACATCTGCCTAGGGAAAGGTACCACTTGAGGCCGAATTACTGGAAAGCCGCCGCCCCCCCAAAAAACCCCCCCAAAGATTCCTCACTGTGAGGAACTGGGAGAGATTTTGGGGAAACTGCGCACTCTAACGGCCAGATCCCGCAAAAACGCCCATGAGAGCCGAGCAGCTCCGTCTCGTGCATGTAATAAATGGTAAAAGGGCGCCGGGTCTCTCTGTCACACAGACACAGCTTTCGTACGACCCACAGAGCCGCTCGCAAGGCTTGGGACACACTGTCCTTTGAAATAAAAAGACACCACTAGCCGGCAAGACACCGGAGAGCCGAAGGAAAAGCCCCCTCTGCAATGTACCCTCTCCGGTGTTTCCTCCCTGTCAGGAACGTGTGACAACCTCCCCATTTTATTTGCCTTAGGGAACCGCACGGAGCAGGTGGTGGCCCTCCTTCCCTTCCCTGGGTCTCAACCAAACGAGGCTCCCATATGTCGCTGCCCCGAAGCGCGCCAATTCCGAACGCGAAGCCTCGCCGGCGCCGCGAGGGAGGGAGCGAGAGGCGCAGCTGATGCCCGGGATTCCTCTCAGCCTGGGCGCCCCTTCGCGGCTGCGGAGAGAGGAGCGCCGCATCCATGGCTTACCTTCCTCAGCATGCTGGGCAAGCAGCGGCTGGGGCTCCTGGCTCCGGCCGGCTCTTCCTCGCCTTCTTCCTCCCGCTCCCCCCTCGGCCATTCAGCGGCGCCTTTCTTGCTGGGCGATTTCGCCAGCCCGAGGAGCGCACATTTCATGCCCGCCGAGGCAGCGGCTCCGATCCCGGAGCCTTCGCCCGCACATGCGTGTGGCAGCATGCACAGGGTCGCTCCCCCGAGAGCCAGGGCTGCCTCGGCTGCTGCGAGCCCAGCGCCGGCTCCTTTGGCTGGAGCGGGGCGGCGGGGCGCTCGCAAGGCAGCCTCCGGCTCGAGCACGCGGCGCAGCAGCAAGCCAACCAGGCGGCAGGGGCAGCAGCTGCTGCTGCTTCTTGCCGGCCTCAGCAAAGCCGAGGAGGGAAGCGGGCGGGCGGGGGGGGGGACTACCTCGCGCTCCCGCTCTCTCCGCCTGCCCTTAGCCTCAGCGCGCGAGCTCTTCCGCGCGCTCGGAAAGGCGCACTCGGAGGTGCCCAAAGGACGCTCGCGCGCGCGCGCTCCGACGCCGCCGGCTGAGGAGGCTGGAGTGGCCAGGCGCTGCAGGAGCGAGCCGCTTTACAGAACGCGAGGCAGGGGAGGTCCTTAGCTGTGGGGACCACTCAGGGCGCACACGCTCATACACCCCTCGCCCCCCCTCCCAAAAGAAACCAGTTATCCAGTCATTTCTAACAGGGTCAGACTGAGCCGCGTGTGAAGCTGCCTCGTAGCAAGGCAGATAAGCCTGGCAAGCTCAGAGTGGTCTTCCTGGCCCCGTCTTTCCCACTCCTGCTCTGCTGTTTGACGTCCTTTGGCTGGAGCATTAAATGCACGGCTTGGGGCCCTCCTACCGAGCTTTGCCCCCTCCCCTCATTGGCACCCCCCCTCCAAGGAAGTCTCCTGCAAGCGTGCAATGACACGTCTGACAAATTCTGGTCAAGCTCTGTGAGCTTTTCCCCCCCAAACTGGAGCGTGGCTTTGGTCGTTAGCAGGGCAAAATGAATGTTGGCCTCGGTGCAGCGGAGGCTAGGCCTTATTTACGTTACTGTATTTATATCCCACCTTTTCCTCCAAAAAAACTCAAGGGGAAGTACATGGCTCTCCTCCTCGTTTAATCCCAACAACCCTGTGGGGTAGGTCAAGATGAGCAGCAGTAATTGGCCTCAGGTCACCCAATGAGCTCCATGAGGGGGGCAGGACTTGAACCCTGGTCTCCCAGGTCCTGATCTGAAACTCTAACCACTACACCAAGTACGTTGAAGGACTGGCTAGAGGGCAATAGATGTAGAAAGTGGCAGTAGTTCTTGGGCTGGCATGGAAATGAGGCTGGTCATCACTGCATCCTTCCTCATCTCCTCCCCACTTTTTCCCCCCTTAAAAAAACTCATTGGAGCAGCTGTACATGTGAGTAGTTACATAACCGTTTTGTTAAGTTTTCCTTAAAACTTGTATTAGCCATTTCTACAACAAAATTGTGCCTTTTCCCAAGTAAATGTGTTTGGTTAGCATCAGGGCAGCAGAAGCAAACCAGTTTTTATTCCTGTAGTGGCACTCCTGACGGTACTACGATTTAAGTGAATTTAAACTGTGAAAAGGGAACATGCTCAGAGTGTTCCACCACCACTCCTCATTCATGCCTGGCAAACCTGTGCGTACTCCTACTTCAGGAGTGTAGGAACAGTTGTAAGGGCATAGAATGCCAGTGATAGAGAATGGTGTGCAAACGTATGTGGAAAGAAACTACAGTACTGTACAAAGGCAATATTTGCATGTGTTGCTCCACCCACTTTTTTGCCTCCAACTCCAACCACCACTGATACATGGCCCTTAGAAGGTTCCCCACCCAGTTACCCAGTTTCAGTTGCCTCTTGTTACTGGATCTCTATGCTGTTGCAGTAATCACTTAGCTTTTACTTTCAGTTTTTATGTGTTGGTAACCAACCTGGATGGTGCTGGAGGAGACTCTTGAGAGTCCCATGGACTGCAAGAAGATCAAACCTATCCATTCTTAAGGAAATCAGCCCTGAGTGCTCACTGGAAGGACAGATCACGAAGCTGAAGCTCCAATACTTTGGCCACCTCATGAGAAGAGAAGACTCCCTGGAAAAGACCCTGATGTTGGGAAAGATGGAGGGCACAAGGAGAAGGGGACGACAGAGGACGAGATGGTTGGATAGTGTTCTCAAAGCTACCAGCATGAGTCTGACCAAACTGTGGGAGGCAGTGGAAGACAGAAGTGCCTGGCGTGCTCTGGTCCATGGGGTCACGAAGAGTCGGACACGACTAAACGACTAAACAACAACAACCAGCCTGGGATCACCTCAGATGTGACGAAGGGTGTTCTATAAATGTAGCACGTAACTAACTAAATACATCTGGTTTGTGGTCGATGGTTTATTTTTATATGATCATTTATTTCCTGTTCCTAAGAGAAATCAAAAACGTTGTAATTACAGCTAAAAGGTAAAGGTAAAGGTACCCCTGCCCGTATGGGCCAGTCTTGCCAGACTCTAGGGTTGTGCGCTCATCTCACTCTATAGGCTGTCCGCAGACACTTCTGGGTCACGTGGCCAGCGTGACAAGCTGCATCTGGCGAGCCAGCGCAGCACACGGAACGCTGTTTACCTTCCCGCTGGTAAGCGGTCCCTATTTATCTACTTGCACCCGAAGGTGCTTTCGAACTGCTAGGTTGGCAGGCGCTGGGACCGAACGACGGGAGCGCACCCCGCCGCAGGGATTTGAACCGCCGACCTGACGATCGGCAAGTCCTAGGCGCTGAGGTTTTACTCACAACGCCACCTGCGTCCCTTAATTACAGCTATATGCGCTTAAAGGTACATTATGCTATAATGTCTAATCTACATTTATACTGACAATGTCATTTTATTTTTCTAGTAGAACCACTGTCACCCCGTCCTCTCCCCTAACACCCAATATTGTGTGATGTCAATACATATTGTGATGTCATCACCTTGCTTTATTTTCTGAATTGATCTGATTGGAGCCAAGGGGCCTTGTTGCCATGACAATGTTGTTGTATTGACGCTCGCAGGAAGGAGAGTGGTTTGAAGTGTGCGGATTGCCCTTATATTTCTGTACTTTTAAAAGCCACATGAAGCTTGGCTGGAGACAACATCATAAGAAAAATCTCCGTGCTCAAGGCACTTACGGAGAAAATATATTGAGTTTTATTCACATTTATTTATGGAAAGTCAATATGCCAAAAATAGATGCACTCTTACAGTATGATAATAGAGTGTTCAAGTGTTGTAATGTTCGATGGGGATTATTATCAGGTAAGTGTGACATGTTTGCAGCCTTATTATACTAAAATACCTTGGTGGTTAAAGGTATAAATATATAAAATTAACATAAAGTTTAATGTTCTAAGGTGAAATGAATCATGAAATTCTAGAAGTTAAGAAGGTATGACACTAACCGGGATTTTGGTTTTTCCACATTTCATTAGGTATAGCATATTTTGTAAACAAAAAATTTAAAGCACCAACTCAGTTTTATTCATGGTTTGCACCTGGGAGGTAGGGAGACACCCAATGTCAGTAAGTGGAGAGTTATCCACATACTTTGGGCCCCAGCTCCAATTTGTGGGACACTCTTCCCGCAGAGATTCAGTAGGCATCCTCACTTTTGACTTTTAGGTATCTCTTGAAGACATTTTTATGCCAACAAGTCTATGCAGTTAAATGATGAACATCTTTTAACTATCCTAGTCACTATATATATATATATATATATATATATATATATATATATATATATCTGGCATCTGGAAAAGAGAGGGAGAGAAAACTGAACTCCCCAGGGGATTGGAAGAGAAGACTGAGCAGACTGGGTCCACCCGGCAAGTGACATAAGCCAATAGATATCTTCAGGAATGTGAAAAGCCTGCAAGGGAAACATATGGGAATGTGTTTTGCTGTGCATGCAAATGAAGGGTACATTTGCACTAAGCACTCTTAATGAATGACAAGACAGAATCAGGAAGGAGATAGCGGCTACTAGACACCACCCCACAGATTAGTCTTAATCACAATCAAGAAAACCCTCAAAGCATTTGCAGGACACTTAGAGCAGATGGATAACTGATAAAGCAGAATGGCAGACACAGGCATTCTAAAAGGTGGTAGAAGGGGTACACTGAGGCATTTGTGATGAAGGCAGTGAATGTATTCAATCCACTTCTTCTACCCTAGTTAACAGTGCTTGCCTGTCTTCATCCAGATAGGAATGAACAGCATGAAAAAGGAGTGGGTGGGTTCTAGATGATTCTTGTCAATGCTACAGACCAGAAAAACATACCATATTTTTTGCACCATAACACTCACTTTTTTCCTCCTAGAAAGTAAGGGGAAATGTCTGTGCGTGTTATGGAGGGAATGCCTACGGGTGGCATGCCTACGGATTTTCCTCCTCTAAAAACTATGTGCGTGCTATGGTCGGGTGCATGTTATAGAGCGAAAAATACGGTATATGCCTAAAGCTGACTACAAAATGGGGTTTGGGGCACACCATTACAATGGATAGCAGAATTCAAAGCTGGAAAATTTAAAACATTATGACCAATAGAGTCTCACGTTCCAGAAGAGTAGTCCTTTTGGTCTGTTGCAGAAATGAAAGAAGTCTGGTGGAACCTTCAGTCAAAACTAGCAAACCAGCATGCACATTTGTGGGCCAGAGCTCCCTTTGTCAGGTGACAGGAGGATTGGCAAATAAGTGTTTTACAAAACTGGAAAACACAAAAGAAAGAGGGTGCTGTTTTAAATAAAAGTGAGGCCAGTGCAAGAGACACTGCTACAGAGAGCATGAATGAAAAAATGAGATAAAGGGTGGATCTACACACAGGGGAAAAACACGCTATAAATATGTCAGAAATTAAATCATTATAATAAAAGGAAAAATCCTATGGAAAATTGCTTAGAATTTTTTTTTGCTCTCTGGTGCCACCTGGCATTGCATGTTTATAATACATTCAAAGCACTATTTCTTGACTAATGTAGCTAAGTCCACAGTCACATCATTAGAAGATCCAGTCAGGCTCAGTGGGTGCAACCCACCTCTAACAGCTAGCTAGTAAAAGGTAAAGGGACCCCTGACCATTAGGTCCAGTCGTGACCGACTCTGGGGTTGCGGTGCTCATCTCACTTTATTGGCAGAGGGAGCTGGCGTACAGCTTCCGGGTCATGTGGTCAGCATGACCAAGCCACTTCTGGTGAACCAGAGCAGCGCACAGAAACGCCATTTACCTTCCCGCTGAAGTGGTACCTATTTATCTACTTGCACTTGACGTGCTTTTGAACTGCTAGGTTGGCAGGAGCAGGGACCGAGCAACAGGAGCTCACACCGTTGCGGGGATTCAAACCGCCGACCTTCTGATCGGCAAGTCCTAGGCTCTGTGGTTTAACCCACAGCGCCACCAGTGTCCCAAGAGCTAGCTAGTACCTGTTTGCAAAGCAAGATGAATGGAGAATCACTTTCTGTTGTGAGCTACCCCCTTCCCAACTCTACTGAGCCCAAGTGCAATATTGTCAAGATTGCAAATGAATTCCAGTTTGGTGCCTTTGTGGGGAAATCTCCATTTTAAACCTTATTGTGGAAGCATAGCAATTTTTACATCTGTTACTGTTACAGAATATCTAGGCCAGTGGTGACTAACCTGTAGTCTTGCAGGCATGGCAGGACTCCAATCCCATCAGCCCCAGCCAACATCACCAAAGGTCAGGAATGATGGGAGTTTTAGTTCAATAACATCTGGAGGGCCACGGAGACACCGCAACCCTGATCTACGTAAATTGAAATGCTCCCCAACTGGTTAATCACAGCTTTCTCAGCAGATTTTATGTTCGCGCTTCTTCTCCTTCTCCTTCTTCTTTGTTGTCAATAGATAAGGTGAAGAGTACTTATCAGTATAAAAGGTTAGCCATAAAGCTGCTAATGAAATTGAAGAAAAAGGTGGGAAGTGATTTGGTGTTTTATACATTTTTCTCGCTCAAGTTCATTGTCTGAAAGGGAACAAGGAAATTGCTGTAGCATAGCAACTGTGATGTTAGCAAGCAGTGCAGTGGCATCGTTAGCTGCGATGCTGTTCTTTGTATCTCCAGGCTTTCGTACGGATGACAACACAACATTTGCCTGCAGTTTCCAATCACAGAAGCTTAAACAGAAAATTAAATAGGGCTTATTCACATCAGAGGCTATGTACGCAAGCATAGCTCCTTCCTTCACTATCTCGAATCATTACAATAACACACATATCAAATTAGTATTTAATGAATTAGTTTCATATTTGTCTGAAGATGGATCTGTGACGATTTTAAGCCAACTACGTAACAGAAAATTGCTCCATAGGAAGTGTCGGATGTTGTTTTACTCTGCTGCCTTAGTGATTGAAGCCACAGCCTGCAAAGCCTTTAGCTAGAACTTGCCCTAAGCCAGTTTGGTAGAGCTGAGTAACTGTGAGTTATCTTTGACAGTGTGTGTATCTATTTTTAGGCACCGGGGCAAAACCTCCCCTTTTACCTGGGTTTTTGGCCCTTAATTTGAACAGTGTTTAAGTATTTGCGACCTCTTTTAGAGGGGCAAAGTCCTGGTTTTTATTTGCATAGATATCTGTGTTTGTTTTTAGTTTTTATTTATTTATGGTGTTTAATGTAATTTGTTTAAGTATTTTTATTGCACCTGTAAGTTACATTGAGTCATTTCGATGAGAAAAGTGACTAATAAATATTTATTAATAATAATATGTATGTGTGTATGTAAGTAAGCAAGCTTAAGTATACACTTTTAAAATACTGTTTATATTTATATGGTCTGTATAAATTCATGATACTGAACTTGTAATCAAAGGTGAGAGATGTAAGGGCAGCTTAGAGCATCTTTCTCCAACCTCGTGCCTCCTAGATCTTAGGGACTGCAGCTCTCCTCAGCCCCAGGCAGCATGCCCAGCCATTAGGGATGAAGGAAGCTGTAATCTAATACATCAGAAAGTTATCAGGTTTAGGAAAGCAGGCTTCTACAGAAATTGGGTTACCAACTGAAGGAGAAATTCAAGTGGTTTATTCTCCCTCTCTGTCCCCGGTTGCAAAAAAAAAGCCCAGGTCAGGTTAATTTATTCTGCGCAACAAGCTGTTAAATGCAGAACTAGAAACTTTCATGTCATAGAGCAGTGGTTCTCAAAGAGTGTGGCAGGAGAGGATGGCAAGTGTGGCGAGAAGATTCAAGGACAGTCAAATAAATGTTTAAACATTTCATTGTAGTATAGTATAGATGCTCTTATGCATTGTTTTATACTTTTTGGATGCCCCATGGTAATATCATAAAGTAGTTATGTTCTACGTTATAAATAAAGCACTGCCAGGAGCTTTTTTCTTTTTGTTCTCCAATGTATTATCAATTTTAGAGTCTATGATGGTGGTAGCCAGCATGGCACCCTGTAGATGCAGCTGGCCTCCAGTTCCCATCAGCCCCAGCTATCATGGCTAATGGTCATCAAGGGCACCAGATTGACTAACATGGTCTATGAAATGCCCAAGATGATATCTGAAACACTGTGTATTAACTCATTCAGAAGAAGACCCTCTCATCCCTGTGGTACATCTGAGGACTATATGTTTCCTCCTTCTCCCAAACATTAAAAGAGCCTGCTGGATCAGGTAAAACTGATGTCTGTGGGAAACCCTGAAGACAGGGCCTGAGAGCAACAGTTCTCTCTCCACACCTGCGATTCGCAGCAACTTGTGGACATGCTGCCTCCATTAACAGATTGGTTAATAGGTCTACTTTTACCTCGAAAACTTTGCAAAGTGTGTTAATAGCTTCCATTTGATTTCCATGCACAAAACTATCTAAGTTCAAATCAGCTGGGAAGTTACAACCAGATAGAAAATATGACAGCAATACAAACCTATCATATTGCACATTCCAGGGACATTTAGAAATTTCACCAATGGGGGGAAAAGAAGATACACAAAGATGAGGGATGGAACACAGGGATTCACTACAAAGCTTGGAATCAAAGAAACGGTAAAAGGTCTTTTGGCAGTAAAATTGTATAGCAACTGTTGCCATACAATGTGCAAGTCACACCAGTAACTAATTAGACCATACTGCTATATTTATGGAAGCTATAGAAGAAGCCATTGTAATGCAGTGAAGCACTTGTTAGATTGATCCAACAGTACTAAATAAAATTGAATTCTCTACTAAACTTTGGCTAAAAACGCACACACCTCAATGGAAATATATGTAGCATATATATGCAAACAATAGCATGCAGAAATTGAAGATAATCCCCTTTCTCTATTTCAGGTGGTGAAATGTGAAGATACAAGGTGTGGACACCAACTCCCTTCAGCCAATGGTCAGGAATGATGGGGACATTGACCAGCAACTTTTGGAGGACCACAGGTTAGCCACCCCTGTTTCAGCAGGACAAGTGGCAGACAAGGATAGGAGTTAAATTCTGGAACTCATCCTTACTCAAATAAGGATGGCTTGCAAGCAGTGGCGGAGGAAGAGGAGTGCGGGGGAGCGCACTGCCCCCAGCAGCATGATCCTGGTGGGGTGCCATCGCGGCTGACCCACCCGCGCTGGGTGTCATGCCCCCGCAGGCAATGTGCCATGCCCCCAGGACGCGTGCCATGCCCCTGGGACGTGCACTAGCCCCGCCCCCACCTGCTCTCCGCCCCCCCGGTGCCAGAGCATGAAGCTCCGCCACTGCTTGCAAGTCACAGTCACTAACAGCACTGAAGCTGACTTCAGCACTGGAGGAAGTGACTATACTGGGCTGTTGCTTAACCATATTGCTGGAATCAGACACAACCAGGACCAGGACAACTGCAACTGTTAACAGGTTGATCTCATACAAAGCTAGGGCGCCTCAATGAATTCGTAGGTTTCGTGCATAGGATTGGGCCTCACTGAAATTTGTGGAAAGTTTAATGGATTCCAGGCAGTTTAACAGATGTTGATTCTAGGCTCCACAGCTAGACCTATGGAGTCCAGTATGCTATACCAATCACACCTTTGGCTAAGAAGATTCAGCGTTTGCCAAACTCAACACGTTTGGGGAGAACACAGCAACAGGAGGAAGGCAATTTGCAAGTTTCCTTTCCATATATTATTTCCCCTAGTTCTTGACACATTCCTTAAATGATAACCAGGAAGGGAAAGTGTGCAGTAATCTTTAAGAATAGCAGCCATTGTGCCTCTTTGTTTTTAGAACACACTCTAGCTATGAGCATGTGATTAACTAATGCAGTACTGATATTAAGGCATGTGCAACCACTTCCCCACATTTACATTTCAGTCTACCTTCCCCCTTCTATCAGATGCTCTCTGTCATTTACTGCTAGCACTGTACATGAGGTCAGGAGGACAGCTGGCTGGCAGAGTAGTGAATCTCAGTGACAACAAAATGCCACTGATACAGCCCTACTGTTCTGTTATGCAAAATGGAGAACTTGCCTCCATCTAGGCTTGACTGTGCATAGGAGGACACCCAAATGAGTGGTATTAAAACTATATTTAATCTGAGCTGATGTACTCATGTTCAGATAAATCATGTGGTTAGGTTTTGTTGTCTCTGCCTTTCAGTTTACTCACCTTTGCACTGAGCTCGTACTGCTTGGATTATCATTTTTATTTTATAGAACAAGTTTTCAACCTTTTCAGACCTGGGACCCACTTTTAGCCCCAAAATGCATTTGGGGCGACACCCCATTCATTTTTTTATGTATTTGCAGAATGGTAATGCTGCTGTTGATATACTTTAGGTCAGCTTTCAACTCAGCAATGGGTCCCAACCAACCATTTGTAGACCAATGTTCTAGGAACCAAACTATCCCCGAATCCATTCATTGCCTTTGTCTGGAAACTCAATTGAACAAACAGTGATCTACAGAATATGACAGCTGAATATGACAGCATATGACAGCTAAAATTCCATGTGGTAGAGCCTTCATTTGTCTGAAGGTAATCATCCTTAAAATTCAACAAGTCAAAAAGAAATTAAGCATCATTAACTCAAAATAGATGGTGCTTTCCTTGTGCCCTACTTAGCTGCAGCTAGCTAGATGATGATTCAGTATTGCTTTAACCAAGGTCTAATTCATTTGCTCTATGTATTTATGACATGATTGCTCACCAGGCTGAGCATACTATAGTGAACACCTTTGCATTTTGAGAGTCAGTAGGAGCCACTGGTGCTGTGATGACTATGAATTTGAAAGATCAAAACACAGCTTACAGTGCAATCCTATAGCTACTCAGGATTCAGGTAGGTAGCCATGTTGGTCTGACGCAGTCGAATTAAAAAATAGTCCAGTAGCACCTTAGAGACAAACTAAGTTTGTTCTGGGTATAAGATTTTGTGTGCATGCACACTTCTTCAGATGCCATATCTGAAGAAGTGTGCATGCACACGAAAGCGTATACCCAGAACAAACTTAGTTGGTCTCTAAGGTGCTACTGGACTATTTTTTAACTATAGCTACTCAAGAGTCCTATTGAATTCAATAGGGCTTACTCCTAGGGAAATGGACCAAGGCCTCAAGCTTTGGGCTTACCTGGGAGTAAGTCCCATTGAATTCAATCAGACTTACTTCTAGACATGGTTAGGATTGCCAGTCAGGAACTCAATGGATGAACCCTCCAATAGGCCAGTATCGTGGCAATTAATTCTGCTTCTGATTGGCTTCCGCCTGTCAGTTTGTCACAAATTCCCAGCTGTCTGAAGCTGCTTAATATTGACTCTTTTACAAAAAGCAAATATAAGTTGAAATTTGAGGGCATTGATTCCCGCCCCCCCAATATATCTTTTCCCTGTCCTGTATCACAGTGAGAAAAAGCTGCATTTGGAGGCGGTGGTGGGGAAACTAAATAAACTGATTTAGCCTGCAGCTGCTAAACCAGCATCATTGCAATCCTTTTGTTCTCCAGTCATCTTCTATATAACCTTTAGAAGACATCTGAAGGCAGCCCTGTATAGGGATGCTTTTTAATGTGTAATGCCATATTATGTTTTTATATGGGTTGCAAACCACCCAGTGGCTGGGGCAATCCAGTCGGCTGGGTGGGGTACGAATAACAATAACAATAATAATATCATCATCATTATTCTTCTCACTCCCGTCTACAGAAATAATTACTGGATATGCAAGTCAGGTAACTTCTGTGTGACAGATTGAAAAAGTAAAAAATAAAATATTATTTGCAATAAAAAGCAAGCTCAAGCAGAACCAAGTACGACTGCCTGTGGAAGGAGCCAAAGACACTTGTATTGCTTTTGCTGGCTAAAGCTAAGCAGATTTGCGTGCAGTTAGTACTTAGATAGGTAGCTGGCCAGGAACTCTTTTTCACTTTGAGTCTCATTATGGAACGAAAAACTGGATATAATAAATTACATGTATGTCTCTTTGACAAAGCAAATATTTTCAGAAGGTTAAAGTGTGACTACAAGGATCAAATGAAGTTTACTTGTGTTAGCAAGATTCTGCCATGTTTTAGGACCCGTGTGAAAAGCAAGCAGTGGCCCCAGAATTAAAGTTTGTAATTTATTACAGGAATCAATCAAAAATGACTTCAGTATGCTTTGAACTACAGACTATGGATTAACATTCAAGACTAGAAGATTGAAAAACCAAATAGGTAATAAACTAGGAGTTATTTGGATGGACCCAGGACTAAGTCTCTATTTAATAATGGTCACTTACCTCAAAGTTGATGATACGGGAATCTCCTTACAGAATCCTATGGGCACATTTCTCCCATTTTCTGTAGAACTGTTTTCTGAAACCATAATCAGCAACTGAGAATTGTTTTTCGGAAGACACAAGAACTCCCCACGCTGGAGGAATGGCAGATGAAATTAATGGACTATATGGAACTGGCGGAAATGACTGGTAGAATCCGTGACCAGGGAGAAGAGTCGGTGGAGGAAGATTGGAAGAAATTCAAAGACTATCTTCAGAAACATTGCAAAATTAAAGAATGTTAGAGTGATGTTGGACTGAATATAAGCGGTTTCCAGCTGTACAGATTAAAGATTAGGTTCAAAGATGTTTAAGGAAATGGAAATTTGACAATTAAGAGGTAAAATTTCAATGTTATACCACATTAAGATCAAAGATTAGTTTTAAAGAAGTTGAAGTTATATATTATATTTAAAATTAAAGATTGGGATTAAAAAAGTGGAAAAGAAATTGCTGGACAAACAATTTGGATTGGAATACAAAAGAGGGAGGTATGAGGAAGTCCAGAAAATAAGTAAATTCAAAAACGGAAATGGAAAAGAGATATTGTTTTTAATTGTTATGTTTCTTTTTATTGTTGATTCTTGCTCTTTGTGTTTTTTTTTATTTTCTTTCTGGGATTTGTATTGTGTATTTGTGTATCTTTTTATGTTTTTTTTGTTTTTGTTTGGTGTTTAATTTTTGATTGAAACTTTAATTAAAAAAAATTTTTTTTAAAAAAAATTATTTTTCAATACAAGAAGTGACTTATGAGCACTTAACTCCATTGCATGCACATACCTCCTGAATGTCAGACTGGGTGTGACAGAGAAGGAGGTGCAGAAGGCCAAGGTATGAAGACTTTGGAAGCAAGTGTCATACTGCTGGTACTTTGGGTTCCCGTTCAAGAGAGAAGTATATAGATGTTGAAAGTGAGGGATGAGCTAAAAGCAGAAATAGGGCTCTGCCTTCAAGTGAGCAAGGACTTCATCCTGGAAAAGGTTTTTGCTGCATCTACCTATTATGAGCGCATTACTCAATAAAGTAATAAGACATTAAAGGGCAGTTAACACACACATACCCTGTTTCTGTTCTGCTCTATTGCCTAGGTATTCTGCTGTTCTGGGCAAACAGATGCAGAATCATTCATACCTGGTTTATGGTGCTTAATTATACAGTGTGATTAAATGCAAATTGAGCACAATAATTAAAGGAACATTTGGACAGAGAAAAATAAACCGTTGTTCAGTACCGCAGTGTCAGTACAGATGCACAGAAAAATGGTAAAAGCTTAAACTGTAGAACAGCCGATAAAAAGGATGGATTACTGGAACTCTTAAGCCTAGTGTGAAAAAACACTTGGGCTCCAAAGAATGCAAGTTATAGGGCAACACAAAAAAATAATAGAATGTATTTAAGTGAACATTTGGGCATGCATACACTTCCATCCAATTAATTGTCCAACTAGAAAACTGGTTGTACGCAGAAGGCAAGTCAAAGTATGGAGAAAAAGTTGCAAACGGATCAGGACCATTTCAGTCATTACAGATCACTGTGGATTGGACACATGAGAATTAGATGTGAAAACAGTTTTGAGTTCCCATTAGATGACTCATCAGGCTTAGTGGGAAAAGATACACGGCTTTTAAATTACTTTAAATGTTGTCTCCCCCACCCCTGACTTCATGCCTTTTTACTGTTCCCTACATGCCTCCTACCTCTCTTTCATCTGTTGCTATTCCTGACACTATTTGCAGAAAAAGATATCATTTCTTAGATGTGTGGAAAGAAATAGCATACTTAGTATTTTAAATATTAATTATGCCATCCAGAGACCTTCTTTTGGTAGCTTCTGTTGGGGGGAAAACATGAGCGCTGCTTAACTTTTATAAGGTTTGAGCCTGTAAGGCAACTTTACATCATCATCTCATTAGAAATGTACCATAGCAGCGAGGTGTGAAAAATGGAAAGCAGGAAAACCCACTTATGAATTCAGTCGAGGGCCTCAGGCAAGTCAGTTCTCTCCGCTAAAGTAACAGGATAGTAATGTCCTGGTTGACATGGAAGTGCCAAGGATTACTGAGATAATGTATAATAATATCCCAAGAGTGCTAGAAAATCATTATTGGTTGGATCCAGATCTGTAATGAGCAGAGTTCTGCTGAGAGTGGAGAAAGGGAGGTCTTTTTCACCTGTTTCTCCCTCCCCTGCAAAGCTTCTGTAGAATGTTTTGGTCATATCATGGGCAAAATCCTCCCCGTCTTACTGCAGGGATCCTCTGCTAGATTCCAAATCCTCCTATTCACAAATGGAGCACATTTGGATCCAGCCCTATATGAAAAAGGAATATATTTTTTCATTTACTTTTTATGCTGGTTCAGTTACAAAGATGTCCAGGCATTTTTTCTTCAGTTTGGAGGAAAGCTGCATATCTGCTCTCACTTTATGAGATATTCTCTCTTATGTGGTGTTCTCTCTTCCCTGCAGTGGAGAAATGTGATTATAGCCAAGAATTGCCTGTGCACTGGAACCACAAGATACGTTTCATCAGTTGCTGATGCCCAAATAAGCTTGCCTTTGAAATCCCAAGGTATTGCAGCTGTTTGGCAAGGCCAGTATAGGTACCACCATTCCATATTTTTCTGCATTTTGAAATGTGTTCCTTGCCTTCTAGCACCACTTTCAGTCTATTCTTTCACCTGGAAGACATGAGTTTGTGTTGAAATGTTCCTATCATTTAGCAGTAGAATCCTTGTGTTTTCCAATGAAACCTTCATACTAGCTGTGTGTGATCATCAGCACCTTAAATTACAGTAGGAGCAGTTCAAAATACTCCAGAGAGTAATTTGTAGCAGGAAAGATTTAAATAGACCTGAACTAAGAGCAGGGATAATTGTTAGCATGCACACACCTAAATAGAGAGAAGCTGTGGAGCATGGCACTGAAAACTGAACACGATGGATGTAGGACTGAGTATACTTTTTTTGAGTGCAAAAGTTTATTACTGAATTTTAAAGGGAGCTCATGTAAGGTAAGATTCAAGGCACACCTGATTTTTAGCTTAGTTTATTAGCCACTATGGTACACCCTGGCAAAGGCCAATCATTACACTGGTCAATTTTGATGCAAAAACTACCCCAGGTGGTAAGTGTACAGTATCACATGCCTAAAACTTACCAGCTTCACTAACACATGCATAAGAAAAGCTGATTGCTCATAAATTTGGCAGTTTCTTCTTTTTTGACTCTCAAAGGACATGAATAATTTGCAGTTCTCAATACTCTGCACTGCATTTTTATCACAGTATGAAACATTCATATGTTCCTAAGATCATCCTATCAATGATATATGGTAAGAAGCCAAAGTAACAGCTTTTTTTCACTCTCTTTATTCAGAAACAAAACTTGTATGTTCCAAATAATGAGAGGATAATCATGGATCATTACTATCCATACTAAAGTAAGTTAGATAAAATAATGTGGTGGGGACTGTGGGTGCTTTAATAAACTTCTGCAGAACATAATCAGAGTGCTAGCTGTGTTAATATGTAGAAGTTAAAGGTCATCAAATTATGGCATAAGTTGTTGCATCTGCTGAAGTGGACTTTTATCAACAAAAGCTTATGCCACAGTCTTAAAGATGCAGACTCTTGCTTCTACAAAAATATATTTCATACACAACTGCTGTCTGACAGATTATTGCATATTCTGCCATCTGCTACTCACTAGTTCTCTTCTCATCAATATTTCTGATTTCAGAAGGTTTCTGATCAAAGACTTTTATTTTAAAAACTGAAGAAAGCTACAGTTCACATTGTAGGTCTAATGCTTCGCAGATCACCATATTCCTTTCTTTTCACTTGCTAGGTGTAGAAGGTGGGACCCACTCTTGTATCTTCTTACGGGTGGTAGAAAATGGTACATACTGTCTAGGAGTACCACTTAAATTCATTTTATGATTCTCCCAAATGAATTTACGAGGCACTGGAGGGTGTGTAGTTGGAGGGTCTTCTGTCATACAGTGAAGCCAACGATGCCTTAAAGGGGAAAACACACACACACAAACACACACACAACTAATAAATATGTTGTCCTAATAGCCCCTGAAGCATATATGCACAGAGTTTCAAAAGCAAGCCATGTTTGATGAACAAAAGTTACACCGCATGAACCATTTTGAACAGCTACATTTCAAGTAGTTTGATCATGAAGATTCTGTTAGATTTATTGTCTGCAGAAGCATGTTTCCTAACTGTTTTTAAGATGTTTATTTTATTTTTAATTGTATTATTTAATCACTGATGTGTTTGCTGCCCTTGACTCCTTTGGGAAGAAGAGTGGGACATAAGTCTAATAAATAAATATGCCAGAAAATGATATATTTAGTATTCTACTACAGACAAGTAGGTGTCGCAAAAAAGACTGTTGCCCCAACGGAACAAAGGCAGGTGCAATCCATTTGTGTCATGGGCACACAAAAGGGCAATCCAGGAGGTGCTCCTATGACTATGTGGGTGGTCCTTATACAAGTAGTACCAAAAAGATAGCTGCTATCATCAACTACAATTGGGTAATCACTGCTGCTGCTGCTGGTGGTGGTACCTGAAGCCAAGCTCTGACTACCTCCTTGTCCAAACAGTGTATGGGTACTATCAAAAGCTGGCAGCATTATGCATCCTACTGAATGCAATAAAGTTACAATAGGACTCTCTGTGAGTACTTCCTTACACAGCATTACTTGCAATAATGCTCTCTTGGAGGCAATCAGTTTCCGAGATTCATTTCAACTGCGGTTTAGATCTGGTTTTGGCACAGAAACTGCTTTGATGACCCTGTATGATGCCCTTTGTTTGGGGGGGGGGAAGAGACACACAGGGTAATGTGTCCCTGTTAATTCTCCTTGACCTCTCAGTGGCTTTTGATACCATTGACATGGTAGCTTTCTGGAATGGCTGTCCGAGTTGTGGGTGGCACTGCTTTCTGGTAGTTCTGGTCCTACCTGAATGGTCATTTTCAAAGGTGATGCTGGGGGAGTTTCGTTTGACCCCATGGAGCCTTCACTGAAGGGTTCCTGAGGGTTCAGTGTTATCCCCCATACTGTTTAACATCTACATGAAACCACTGAGTGAAATATCTGAAGTTTTGGAGTACAGTGTAAGCAATATGCTGATGGCACCCAGCTCTACTTCCCCTTTACATCTGCAGGTGTGGCAGTGGATATGCTGGACTGATGTCTTGCCTCAGTAATGGATAAAATGAGAGCCAATAAACTGAAGCTCAATACAGAGATGACTGATGCACTGTACGTGGGTGGTTCCCTAGACCAGATGGATAGTGGCTGGTCTGCTCTTGATGTGATTACACTACCACTGAAGGAACAGGTCTGCAGCTTGGGGGCTACTTCTGAATCCACTGCTGTTGCTTGAGGCTCAGGTGGCCTCAGTGGCACAGAGTACCTTCCATCAGGTTTGGCTGGTAGCCCAGCTGTACCCCTATCTGGACAGCCTAACTTCTGTTGTCTATGCTCTGGTAACCTCCAGGTTAGATTACTACCTTGCCTTATATGCGGGGCTGCATCTGAAGGCAGTTCAGTAAAAAACTGCAGTGACTGCAGAATTCAGCAGCCAGGTTGCTCACCAGGGCAAACGGCTCAGGACCGCAATACCTCAAGGAATGCCTCTACCCACACGAACCATCCCAGATCCTGTGATCATCATTTGAGACGCTTCTTCATGTGCCTTCCCACACAAGGGATCCGGAGGGCAGCATCACAAGAATGGGCCTTTTCTGTGGTAGCTCCCTGCTTGTGGAATGTTCTCCCCAGGGAGGCTTTTTGCTGCCTTCGTTACATATCTTTAGACACCAAGCAAAACATTCCTCTTCTCCACAGCCTTTGGGCTGATTAAACAATCATTAAAATGTGCTGGGGAACTGTTTTATTGCTTTGTTTCTATTATGTATGTATGTATGTTGTGGCTTTATACTGTAACCCATCTTGTGTACTTCAGGTGAAGTTCACCTGTAATTATTATTATTATTATTATTATTATTATTATTATTTCACGTAAATCCTATATGAAGAAATAAATCATTAAAAATGATCCAACAGGTTTCAAGAGCTATAAAAGGCTGCATATAATCTCTTATGCACATTTTACATTATTATTATTTGGCTACCTGCAACTCAGGAGTAGACTATCACTATGCACACAACCTCCTTACCATTCACTGACACCTCTAGAAGTAAGCATCATATTTTCCCAAACATCCTCATAGCGTACACAGAGTGAAATAATTGTAAGACTGGACCCATCTGTTCGATAAATGACTTTTCCCCATAGTAAGTGACCCAACAGTAACAAGTATAACAAGATTAGTGCATACTGTTGTTGGCACTGGGCAACTAATTCAAGTAGTCACTAAAATAATATTTAGGTCAATTGTTTTGAGTGCTGCAAATATCTGACGAGTTAAAAAATGCAATTTCCTGAAAACACATTTTCAGTAAGCTTACAATTGTGTTAATTTGGGTGGAAATGACAGAGGAACTCAGCTGTCACTAAAACCAGGACAGTTACAGTATGTTTGTTTCTCACTGTTTAACCATCTTGACAAGGTTACTTGTGACCATACTAGATCTCTACATGTGGACTGACCCCTCTTCCCCACCGTCAATGCAAATAAAAGATAATTCATTTGGAATGTGAACGTCCAACTTCACAACTATACACAGAATATACCGTATTGGCTCGAATATAAGCTGCACCTTTAAAATTCAAGGGGAAGAAAGAAAAATAAGACAATACCTGACTATAAGCCGCTCCCTTAAAATTGGGTTACGGGCTGAAAATCGCTGCGGTTGGTAGAATTGTAACGCCGAGCCAATTTAAGCCTTTGAACTTGCAAGCCCGCAAAAGTTACCGTACAATTGCTAAAATCGCAAATTGGTATTCAATTGCTACAATTCCGCAGGCACTCACACCCGTAAATAGCAAATCAACAGTCTCAAGTTCGCAAATCAACAATAATACATTTTTGGTTCTGTTTTACTGTATGTCTGTTTCAGCAGCAATAGCATAAAAGCCAATTTTTCTAAGGTCACGAATTTAAGGCGTACTTTAACTTTTCACGGTCAGAATTTGGAAAAAAAGTGTGGCTTATATTCAGGCCAATATGGTACTTTCAGTAAGATTGTTTTTTCTAAAAACCAAATGTCTTTTAAATGTCACTTCACAACTCTCCTACTTATTCCAGCAAGACTGTTGCAGAGAAAGTGGTATGGAGACTGATACTAACAGGTACAATTCAAAAACTGCCATGACCAGCAGTCTATGCCTAGTAGGGCTTTGGTCGTACAATTCTTGAGCAGCACCATAGGGAAACATAATGTGTATCATTAAATTAGGTAGTACTGTAAGAGGGGTGACCTAGAGACTAGCGATGAGCAACCTGTGGTCTGCCAAATGGTGCTGAACTACAACCACCAATTTTCCCTGGCTACAGACAGGCTGGCTGAGGCTGATGGGAGTTTAGACTCCAAAAGCAACTACACATCAGCCACCCCTCATCTAAGCACATCTTCCGTTTTCAGGCAGAAAGCATGCATTTACCATAATGTCCCTTTCAAACAGAAGAGTGGTGCCTGATCTATGCTCTATCCCGGAACTGGTGAAGTACTTTTGCTGGCAGAAGATTAGGGGATGATGTACAGTTAAGAGGATTAAATTTTCATTTCCTTGCTTTTGCGTGTCAGCCTCAGATAAGTTGGTTCGTTTTGAGGTTAACTGTTTCACAAGGTTAATACAACATATAATCACAGAAATGCATGCAGTAAACTAGCTGGTTTACCATTCAGGGGGCACCATGCTTCCATCCATTTCCCAGAATGTGTTCTTGCCATTCATTTCATTAGTATATATAACCCACCTATGGCGACCTTAAATAGGAAGATAAGTAAACATTTACAAACTATATTCAACTGAACCAAGAGGCGAAGCATAGATTTATGACATTTTATTAGTTATAAAAAAGGCTGTCCTCATCACCACCACAACCCCACACACAATTCAAATTTTGTGAAGTTAAAATTCTGTGCTCACATTTAATTATTGTGACTGCAAGATTCTCACATTTAACAAATACACTTTTGGGAAAGGACTGGTTTGGCAGAAGGCATGGAAGGAGTAAACCGAGGCAGTGTAAGGCTTTGTTGATAAGAATCCACGTTGGGACCACCTCACATACATGTTTTTTCCCTACACAATGTAGGATGAAGTGTCTATGTGGTCACTTGCGAAGAACTTAGTTTACTAAAAACATGTAGACCAGAAAGGTGACGAGTATATGGTCTGAAGGAAACCAAAATTATCTAATACATTTGCATCTAACAAGTTACTGTGTTATTTCCCACATCAAAATTATTTTTGTGAAGGAAAAAGGTCACACATGAAGGGACCTCAGAGAGACAAGCAGCATATGTGGGAGAGTGCACATTAATTTCCATTAAAGTAATGTTTAATAAAAACCCTCAAAATAACCCAATTACTAAACCCTCAGAGTAACCCAATGACATTGCAGCCTATCTTCCTTGCAATTCAGATTAATTTTAGCAATCCAAGTGTTGAGACTAGAAAAGGGGTCTAAATATTCAAAATAATGAGTCTGCAAAGATAGTGATATCAAAAAGATGACCCTCATTACTACTCCCTGAACACCATCTGCTTTCTCTGTTTCTTCACATCTGTGTACCAGTGCAAAAAGATGCTATATTTACAAGCAGGAGCATAAATCCAAGTTCCTGTTGTGACAACACCTCACTAGGACTTCTTACTGTTATATCCTCCTACTTGACACCAACAATTACTTAGAGCTGACTAAATTGTAATCACATTGAAGAAGTGTAAATTAGCCTAGCTTTTTCAGAAGATTAAATTCAAATTACTGAAGTATATCTACTTACCAAAAAAATATCTTTTGTCTTCATAGTATTTGTTTCCATATTTATCAACACCTACTAGTGCGCCAGTCTTCAGTTCATTGACCCTGCAGGTTTCCAAAAACAGAAGTAGTAAAATTACCCAATACTGAACAAATTTAAATATGAGGAGCTGTTGTTGCTCCATGGTGGAGCACTTTGAATGCAGAAGATCACACATTCAATCGTTGCCATTGCCAGATGGCCCAATAGTCTCACTTTGTGGACGGCAACTTTAGAAATTCTGTTCAGTTGTCAGTGGTCCTAGAAGTCAAGGAACCAGAAGCAATCTCAGCTTCAACTCTAATTACTAAAACTGAAAAGACAGTCATTTGGCACCTAATGAGCACGAATTATTGCATAATGTGCTTCTTGAACAATTGTATATGGTCAGTGTTAGAAATTCCCCAGGAGTACAGAATAAGTAAAATGGGATGGGGACATGACGATGCATGCAAACCCAAACCCAATGTCCTTGGGCTGGTCTTCAGATCAGTGTAAAGGAATAAAGAGGGTTTTTAGGTGTGTGTACTTTAATGTTCTTAGAAATGCTCCCCACAAGTGAAAACCCTGATAATCTAAGGTTCCCACTCACTGGAAGAGTTTCTATGTGTGATCAACCAAAGGTGATTAAAACCCCTTTTCAAGCTTTATTGCTAACTTTGCAGAGCTCTGAATGTAAGACTTATGTGCATGTTTCCCTGCCTGCCCCGATTACTAATCACCTTTACTGGCAAATGCCTGAAAATGGTTTAGGACTATGTTACAATTTCCAGAAAGGCAGCAGTGTTAATCTGTTGCAGCAAAAACATCGAAGATTTTTTAAAACCAAACCTTGAAAACCAACAAATTTATTATGGTATAAGCATTCATGAACTACAGCATGGGCTTAGCCAGGATTTTTGTTAGGGGGAGCAGAACCTCCGTTAGCTATGTAATCTTACTTATGTTTATTGATTTAGGCGGGCAGCTCCCCCTCCCTGCCCCACCTTGGCTACACCCATGGACTACAGTCCACTTCATAAAATGCACCTGACTGACTGTAATCTGAGAAAGCGAATGCCATAAGACTCTTGTAGGAATATATACAAAATTAAGAAAACTAATTATAAAAAGTTATGTATGGAATCATGCAAGCTTTTTCTGACTATGTATGTATAAATAACTTGTATAATTGAACTTTTCCTTGACTGTTTTACTCTTGTTGTCTCCACAAGCACGATAGACTAAGAATTATAACCAGCCACTTTCTTTATTCCTTTAGTGCATTGTTATGCATGCAGTTTTTAAAAAAATTGTCTGGAATTTAAACTTTATTTAAAAAATAAAGCCTATGATAGAGAGCGCCAAGATGTTCTGCCTCACAGGGTTGTAGTGGTAGGGAAGGAGAAAATGGAGCAAGATAAACAAAAATCCCCAACTTTTTGGCTTAAAAACTGCCCAGCAAGAAATCTACAGAATTTCTACAAGTTCACTGACTGGATGCAGGGCATTTTCCCCACCAAGGACCACTTCATTGGTTTAGTGAAAAAAAGAGAAAAAACACAGCTCTGCCGAGTTCAGCAGGACTTACTGCTAGAAGTATCAAAACAGCCCAGAAAATGAAAGTCCGCTTTGTTATCTAGCCAATAACAAGCTTTCCAATCCGGACATCCCTCCTTTCCCTTTCCCGAAATGACCGGGAGGCGCAAGCCTTGAAATGACCCCGCTTCAAAAACATAGCTGTCAGCTTTCAGATTTGAAAATATGGGATCAGCGGCCTCGAAAATAAGGGATCAGCAGCCTCACCTGTCCCGGGGACAGTCTACGGGATATCTAACAATCCGGGATAGCAGCGGGAAACGGCGCTGGAATAAGGGAATTTCCCGCAAAAAAAGGGAAGGTTGACAGCTATGTTCAGCAAATGTCCCCCAACTGGTCCACCTTGATCCCCTCGACGGAGTTTGGGCTGCCTGTTCGTCTCTGGGGATCCGGGAAGGTCTAGAGAAGCGGAGGAGACCCATTTCCACGCCAACCAGAGACAGCGACCTCCTCCTCTTCCTCCTGCCCATTACCAAGGTGACCCTCGAGCGCAAGCAGCCGCTCCGCTCCCAGCCTGCCCTCACAAGCCGACGCGCACGGCGGAGGGGCCGAGCCATTCTTTACCTCAGCAGCTGAAACACGGCCCCGCGAATGCCGCCGTGACCCCCGAGCTGCTGCAGCGCCCTCTTCATCACCTGCACGTACTCCGCCATCTTCCCCGAGGCCCAGCGAGGCCCGGCGCCTCCTTCCCTCCGCCAAAGGACGGCGTCTGCGCAGCCGCGGCAGGAGGCTCCTCCCCCTCCTCTGGCTCCAGGTCCAGGGAAGCAGATGCAGCTAGCGAAGGAGGAGGCGGGAGAGCCTGGAGCCCCGCAGGTGGGAAGGAGGCGGCCGTTTCTTCGCCGGTATGTTGTGCTTACTGAGAAGTGCATCCTACTGGGCTCAATGGGAATGGCTCCCAGGCATTTACGTATAAGCTAAACAAACTATATAGCTTAGGACCCCACTCTCCTGGGGGCTCCCCCCAAAAAATTATGAGTCTTTGTAAATTGAGTTTCTCAAGGAACTTTTGTTATTGCCAAATGCCAATGTGTTTGCATTATTTTGTTATGAATTAAAAAAATCATTTTAAGTTAGAGCCTAATAATTATTTCACTATTAATATACTTCTTAATTGTATTTCAGTTCAACAATAACTTTGATAAAATACGTATTTTGTTATGTGCAAATAGCTTTAGATACATATTAGGTCCATAAATTACCATATAGCATATGTTCAACACAAAAAACAGCAACAATTTGATGTTGACAAAGGACAGCTGGCCATATAAAGGGCCCCATTACCTTCAGTAGCTTAGGGCCTCATCAAACCTAAATCCCCTGCTCCCAGGTAAATGTGTGTGTGTATGACTGCTTTTTGTCTGGGGGGACAAAGAGGGGCACATACCGCTAAACATTTTGTGAATCAAAGTTTGGCCTCATTGTGGGGCAGTATTTCAGTTTGAGTAGGAAAATGAGAGTACCCCTAAACATTTTTTTAAAGAAAAAAGCACTGTGTATATCTATCTATCTATCTATCTATCTATATATCTATCTATCATCTATCTATCTATTTACACACACACAAATAACTCAGGGGAACTCACTTCTAAGTAAACATGCATTTGTCTGTGTTGCAGACTGTGTATTCAAAACCACAAAACCCCACACATAATTAACTAGAATAGAAGCACTGCCACGCGACCCCACCCCCACTTGCCATGCCCTCCACCTCTTTCCCACCTTTCTTCCTAATGTAACACTAATGTCTCAACAAATGAAACTGAACTGTAGAAAATGTAACTTGAAAAAAGAGACATTGCACACACTTTTGTAAACCAAGAAATCTTTAATAAAAAGGAAAAAAAAGGGGGGGGCCAAATGAAACAGTTCAGCGATATAGACTGCGTTCACACTTTCCAAGATACTAATCTGGCACAAATGAGTCCAAACCTTGACTTTCTCTTCAAATATAACTATTTAGAGCATTGGTTCCCAACCTTTTTTTGGCCATGCCCCACCTACACATCTCTAAAATCCTGATGCCTCTCCCCGCCCCATGACATATAATTCTTATTATTCAAAAAGTGAACTCCTATTCATGTGGAAGACAACTAAAAGGCCATTAACTGTTAATAAGTCATTCTCGAATTGCTCCCCTTAAAAATAAAATTGCCCCCCTGTGGGGTGTGTGCCCCACGTTGGGAACCACGGATTTAGAAGATTTGGGGGAGGAACCCCGCTGTATTTTGATGTCAGTGTCAACAGATATCCTGACCTAAGAGAAAAGGTTGAGATGGTTGCAAGCGATGGTGGGGAGATGGTACACAGACATGCTGAAGAGGTGCAAGGAAGCCTAAGACAGATCCATGGGACTCTTGTGTCACTGGAGGGTGGAAGTCCTGCTCTATAAGTGACATGAGAGGCATGTAAAGTTTTTCTCCTCTCGTGAACATTCAACCGAGCTGAACGCCGAAACAGTCAGGACTGATAAAAGAAAGGATATAGGTAAAGGACAGAATGCATTCCCCACAGGAAGCATTGATGGTGACCAACCTGGATGGCTTGCTATATTTTTTTAAGTTATATCCCGCTTTTCACCATTTAGGTTTCAAATCTGTTTACAGCAATAAAATAGAAGAGGAGGAGGAGGAGTTTGGATTTGATATCCCGCTTTATCACTACCCGAAGGAGTCTCAAAGCGGCTAACATTCTCCTTTCCCTTCCTCCCCCACAACAAACACTCTGAGGTGAGTGGGGCTGAGAGACTTCAAAGAAGTGTGACTGGCCCAAGGTCACCCAGCAGCTGCATGTGGAGGAGTGGAGGCGCGAACCCGGTTCCCCAGATTATGAGTCTACCGCTCTTAACCACTAAACTTGAATTAAACTTTCAGAATTTGAAACTCCAAGAATTTAAATTCTCTAATTTACAAACAAAAGTAAAACATATGAGAAGCATTCAGGGTGCAAAGGCCCCCTGAAATAAGAGTTTTGACAAGCCATCTGAAACTCAGTAGGGATGGTGTCTAACTTCTTGTGGGAGGATTAAAAGAGAATTAGACAAATTCATGGTGCTAAAGGCTATTCTCTGCTTTCATGGTTGGAGGGAAGAGCACCCTGTTTCTCACAGGGGCCCATCAGATGCTTCTGAGAAGCCCATGCGGCTTGAACATGACACGTCTTTACAAGGCAAGAGACTATTGCTCACCAGAAGGCAAGTTGCAACACCTCTGCAATATACAGTACTCATCCTCATCTAGTAGTCCTTTAATCACCTGAATGTGCAACCTCTTCAAAGCTGGATATATCTCCTGACAAAAAAGGTTTATCTTTTGTAAATTTTTTGGAATTACCAAGGTATGTTGGTACAGTAAACAAAGTTACTCGATTCTGCTGTACTGAACATGCAGTAGTACTTTTCAAATTTTAAAAACAAATTCCTGAATTTTTTTACATACTTGGACCAGGAGAAAAACTAATGAAAGCACAGATATTAAAGTATCAGTGATACACAATGGCTGGAAAACTTAACTAAAAATAGCAAAGTGAATGCATCTGAGCCAAAATAATACTTAATTCACTCTACCACAATGCTGCAAAATGATAAAAAATAAGGATAGTAGATAACAGTGCATAAAGCTCACATGAAGTAGGTTTTTTTTTAATTGAAAAGGAGATTAAAGAGATAACAGCATTCTATGATAAAAGTTACAATTTATTTTTAAAAATACAGCCAAAATAGAATTTACACTTCTTCAGGTTTCAAGACATTTACAGTAGTTATTATATAGCAACAATATAGTAATTGGGGCATTCTGATGCATACACAAAAACTGAACCACAAAAAAGTATGTATACAAAAGTGGAATGAAATGCAGAAACAATTTCCAGTGACAGTGGAGAAGAACTAGCTGTAACAAATTTATTGAAAGCATTCAGAAAATGTGTACTATAGTTTATCTGTACAGACTTAAAACAATAAATTGTTTAACTACAAGATGTACCCAGGAATACATCATTTATTACAATTGTATGATACAAGCCTGCATGTGCCCAAGTGCATAAGCATGCTTATCTTTTTGGGGAGAAATTAAACTGTTCACTACATTATTGTTGGTTGACTCATTCTGAAGTATATAAAAAGGTACCTCTTTTTATTAAATCGTTTTTTAAAACCTTGATAAAAATAACACTGTCCAGATTGCAGAAGGCCCATTTCATTTGTTGGTAAATACCACAGTTTGACAGGAAGAGGCAGCTGTCTCTAATTATTCAGTATGATCAATACTTAACACATGAAATAAAGATGAAAACAAGATTTACCAAAAAAAAGTTATACAGACAATCCTTGACACAGTAAAGGAAAATTTTGTGTTTATGCTAGATTATTCTATACCGTAATTAAAAAAGAAGTAGCCTTCAATGAATCACAAAGTGCATCTGGAAAAGTTTTCAAAGGCTGAAGATACTCAGTAGCAAACACAATATGAAAACACAAAATCTGCAATTATGAGGATTCTGTGATCACTACAGTGTAGGAAAAACAGAGTACTATTCAGTAACACATACTTTCCATCAAGGTTTATTTATCTCCTTATGAACATTTAAGGAACTCTTTCTAGTCTTATTATGAGAACTTGAAACTTGTTTCAACCTTCTGGAAAAGACAGAATTGCTAAAGGAAATCCACTTCCAATATGACTGGTAAATTTGTGTGAGATGGCTCATATGCTCATGTGCACCTTAATGCTTATAGTCAATAAATTTCCTAGCTAGATGTACGGGCACAAATATTACTAAAAAGACCTAGTTGGCACTGATGAACTGATTTGCATATGTAAATAAAATAACAGGACTCAGGAAATAACACACAATACTTATCTGATACATTTAAGGTATCTAGAATTTTTTTACTTCTAAATCATATTAGCAGCGGATATAACTCTGAACATAACAACTATTTGTGACTCAAGTTAATCTAAATATAATCATTGCTTTGGGGCACTAATAGGCTTTCAAGCCAGTTTTCCAGATTTTCTGTAATTAATCTTCAATTTAAATAAATGCTAGTTGGCTAATAAAAATGTTTAAGTTCCATCCAAAGCTACTGGAAATATATCCAAAGCTTTGTAGTCCAGGGTTTACAGTCCACCTAGGCTACTCAGAATAGACCCTCTGAAATTAATAAACTGAAGTTAGTCATGTCCATTCATTTCAGCGGATCTACTCTGAGTATGACTAACATGGGATGCAACCCTCAGTCACATCAGAAATAAGTTGCCTTGTTCAGGATTTCAGACTTACGTCAAACGGACAAGAATGAATTTGTAGAAACAAGATACTGAAAATACAGCATTGGGAAGAATGTTTATTTTTTGTTTCTAAAGTATCACATGGAAATGCCTTGATGAAGTTTCTCCATTATCAAAGGCTTGTTTTTCTACATTTTTTAGAATTTGTTATAGTCATGTTCCAGGTATAGCTAAACTACAAAAATAGGATGAACTACTCTTCTTGATTTTCATTAGATTCTAAAGCAATATACAAAGTTCTTGAAAACCAGCTAAAGGTAAATCATCCTGCACCAGTCAAGATAGTCTACTGCGTTTCCAGAATGTGTTGGTAATGAGGAAGCTGCACCTTCTTGTATTTTTCTTGTTAAAATTGCACAGAAAAACTTGTTATCTCTTGGAGATAGTGTACATTTACAATTACCATGATTGCCATGGTATAGAATCCGTGGTTTTAACTTTTATACAGCATGACCAATTATTTGAGAATTGTAGTCTGCAGTCTCCATTCTTAGAATATATGGTATGATGCTGTCAATCTGAACATTTCCAATTAGTCCTGCGAAAAACAGTTCTTCTGTTATAGCAGCACTCATCAGTCTCAGAGCAGGCAATCTGAGAAGCAGCCTAGACAGCCTGGAAGACATGTTTGACAAAAGGGTAACACAACTTTACATTCAAAAAACAATAGTCAGCTGTATTAGTAAGCAAAATATATGGTGTGTTAAGAAATATCTGCATATGGGGCTGATCCATGCACTCATGCAAGGGTATCATTTGTTCCCTCCTGCCAAAATGAGCTGAGTGCTCTGTCCTTTAAACATTTGCCAGTGGCTTATAAAACCAGACAACAGGCTAGGAAACCCTACTGATTTTAATCAGACTACGTATAACCAGAAGAACGAACAAACCCTTTTTGTTAAGTTTGCAACTTCAGGACCTGCCACTTTGAAGCAAACACAATAATGGAGCTTTAACTAGAAATGAAAGCTTACAGCTACTATTTATTTCATATATGCAAAGTATGAAGGAATAGCATTATCTAGAGAAATTACAACCTACCATTAAAGAAAATACATTCTCACACTTTAAACACAAAACTAGTTCCCAGAAGTTTCCTGAATTAATACAACTCTGAAAGGAAACATTTTTAAAAATCAGATATGCGTGTATATATATATACCTGTAAGTATCATCTGGATATACTTTTGTTACATAATCCTGAAATTCCATATATGCTTTTTCTTGAAATTTTTCGATCTGTACAATGTTTTCTAAGCCAGGGTGATCTAAAATAAAGTATGTTGTTAAATCGACTGCAAATCAGATGTACATAAAAGGCAGCAAAGGACACATAACGGCAGATATTCTTTTACAACCCAACATGAAAACAAATTTTGCTCCTTAAATTGTCCAGTATCTGCTGAATGCTGAAACTACGAACTGCAAAGCAGCTTTATTAGAATCATACAATGGACACTTGGTCTATTTTGTTTCTTCTCTTTTCCTGAATTGTCTTTATGATTGTATTAGTGTATAAAATGGTAAAAATAAATAAAAGCTGTAAATAAACAAGCAATTTTATTGCAATAATAAAATATTATATAGCACCTGTTTTTCTTGTGCCCATCCCCCCAAAAAGCTAGAACATTAGATATAAGCAGGATTAAACCCACCCATCGCAAGTTAAGCAAAAAAATGCTTCTGTTCAAACAGGAAGAGACAAAGTTCTCTTTCAATGAGAATGCTCTCATGCACTACTGCTGAAGGGGGTATCGCAAGCTTTTCAGATGGTATAGGTGGATGCTTGCAGTGGACACCTGCTGAGATGGGCTGATTGCCACCCCAACCATCACAGACCACAGATGGGCTGATTGCCACGCCATCTAGACCACTACAATTACCTAACAGCATTAATTACCTAACAGCATCAAACCTATCTATCTTTTTTGGGATTCATTTAAGTTTGTTTAACCATATCCATATACTCCAGAAATTGATGTAAAATAGACATAGTTGTTCATGAGTGCTTAAGTTAATAAGATGTAGAACTACGTAGGTATCATCTGCATACTGGTGACATGACACCATCCAAACTATGATCCACACAGTGGATTCATGTAGAAATGTTAACTGGCAACACTAAATGAAATGTCCCCAAAGGGGGCAAGCTATGGCAATAAAAAATCACACCCAACATGAAATCAGACAAAAAATCCCAGAAGCACTTAGTTTTAGCACAAATAACCCAGCCTGGTCTACTTAGATGGTACAATTCAAAGTAAAATAGCTAAGCACATCTGCTCCAAGGGCAAGCTGGTAAACATAGCAAGAGACTGAATGAACAAGGCCAAAGGTTTTAGTTTCTTGTTTTTACATACCAGGGCTGAAGAGGACGATTGCTTTCAAATAAGCGTATTCATAACCATCAAGGCAAAGCTTCACCATACTGTTACAGAACTCCTGCAGTTTGAAGATATGCTCCATCACTAGTTTTCCTCTATCTGCTGACAGTTTATCTAAGTGAATACAAAACATTGCAAATAGGGGCTCTTACTGTCTTAGTTATGTGAATCTGTTAATGTATATCTGTTAACCCTCTGTGAGAGGGTTGATTTGTGTGTAAAGATTAGAGCTGTTTCCACAAGTAAAGGGAAAGGCACAAAATGAATATAAGAAAATGCATTTATTTCAGTAGCGATCAATCAATGACAAAGCAAGTCAATGTTCCCATCCATACCAATTCTGAGACTTGTAACAATGTATCTTACCTTGTTGTAAACTATTATGAAGGTGATTAACAAATGCCGTTAATATAGTTGCTACGTTCATTACTTGTGAACACTGTGCAAGACCAAGTGTAAAAAGTTCATTCCAGCAGGCTTTCACTAATGATATGCTGTTATCCTGCCTATTAAAAAGAAGTAGAACTATATTAATGGAACTGTTTGGTTCAGTTCAATACAAGCCTGGTTCACATGTCACGCAGCTAAACTGGCTTAGCTTAGCTCAGCACAGCAAAGCAGCAAGCTCCTCACCAAAAGCACACATTCATGCAAACCCATGGTCTGGCTTAGTGTAACGTGTGAACCAGGCCATAGTGCATGTAGTCACAAGTATTCAACACAATTAATAATAATAATAATAATAATAATAATAATAATAATAATAAATTTTATTTATATCCCGCCCTCCCCAGCCGAAGCTGGGCTCAGGGCGGCTAACAACACTAAAATAGTGCAACATTATAAAAACATTATAAAAATTCATTAAAATCAAAATTGATGGCAACCATAAACTAAAGTTCTGTAAAGATTGCCAAAGGAGAGAGTCAGGCTGTGCCCTGACCAAAGGTCTGGTAGAACAGCTCTGTCTTGCAGGCCCTGCAGAAAGATGTCAAGTCCTGCAGGGCCCTTGTCTCTTGTGACAGAGCGTTCCACCAGGTTGGAGCCGCAGCCGAAAAAGCCTTGGCTCTAGTTGAGGCCAGCCTAACCTCTCTGTGGCCTGGGACCTTCAAGATGTTTTTATTTGAAGACCGTAAGTTCCTCTGTGGGGCATACCAGGAGAGGCGGTCCCGTAGGTACGAGGGTCCTAGGCCGTATTGGGCTTTGAAGGTTAAAACCAGCACCTTAAACCTGATCCTGTACTCCACCGGGAGCCAGTGCAGCTGGTATAGCACCGGATGAATGTGATCTCGCAGCGAAGACCCCGTAAGGAGTCTCGCCGCGGCATTCTGCACCCGCTGGAGTTTCTGGGTCAGTCTCAAGGGCAGCCCCACGTAGAGCGAGTTACAATAATCCAGTCTGGAGGTGACCGTCGAGTAGATCACAGTGGCTAGGTCAGGGCGAGAGAGGTAAGGAGCCAACTGCTTAGCTTGGCGGAGATGAAAAAATGCCGCCTTTGTTATAGCTGCAATCTGCGCCTCCATGGAGAGGGAGGTATCGAAGATTACACCCAAACTCTTAACGGACGGTGCTGGCACTAATTGCACCCCCGCAAGAGATGGGAGGTGCCTCCTCAATCCCATATCGTCCCGTCCCAGCCAGAGGACCTCTGTCTTCGAAGGATTTAGCTTCAACCGGCTCCCAACAACAGACAGACAAGACCTCTCTCACTATGAAACCTAATTTCCTGCCATACCTAACATGAAAACTCTGATCACACTCAGATTTCCTAACTGCAGAAAAGAATGGAATGTATAGGAAGGGCTTTTAAAGCGAGATGAGCGCCGCAACCCCAGAGTCGGTCACGACTGTTTCCTGCTTGGCAGGGGGTTGGACTCAATGGCCCTTGTGGTCTCTTCCAACTCTATGATTCTATGACTAGACCTAATGGTCAGGGGTCCCTTTACCTTTACTATAGGCAGGGCTTTGAATCATGTAAATATTTATTTAGTTGGGTTGCCACTCTTGGCCCTGGTGATATTTGTATTGAAGTCTTTGAGCACTGAATATTTGACCAACACAGGAATCAAGCACATAAAGTTTATAAATAAAAGCATGACTAAGTTGCAAGTTGCCACACCACCTTCCATTCTGTTCCTCAAGGTCTCCCAACCCTCTGGAGCTGATTTTCAGGGGGCACTGAGAGTCAGCAAAAACTCCCCACCTCTTGAGGTAGAAGAGGTGTCTGTGAATCCACAGTCATTCCATGAGAGTAAGAATGCCAACTGGCCTCCATCTAATATTTTTAAAGATAAAATGGCAAACTTTTTGCAAAATGAAGTTTACATCCATTCCCAAGAGTTTTGAAACCTTGGTTACATTAAGTGATTTTTTTCAATACTCACCCCAGAGCTTGGAAGGAAGGAATAGAACGTGCCCAGTGCATAGATAAGAAGAGCAATCTGGAAGCCGATTCACAAATATAATGAACATTCAGGTACTCAGGCATAGGGGAAGGCATGGTAAGCTGTCACAAAAGTATAGTTTAAAACAATTAATGACTTGCCATGTCTCAAAGAATACAGATATTAATAATATAGCAGAAAACCTCAAAGAAAATGAAAAATGCTTATTATAATATTAAAAATGCAGGACTGGAAAACTTCATGATACATTAATGTGCTCTACAATTTGCCCTAGATAAATGAATGATTTTCAAACGTAAAAGCAGCAAAAGTTTCAGTGCAGCCCTTTTGAAAATAAACTACAAGCAGGCTTATCTACTTTGATAGAATTGACAAAACCATCTAGTTAAAAAAAAGGAGGGTTTTTTCTCTCAATGACCCCGTTCACCCCAAGTATGCCCAAGAGCTTCTCTTCAGACACATTCCTATTCCTCTAAGTATTTGCTTCCCCCAGAAACCTTTCCTTGAACTCTCTGCTCTCTTGCTGACCTTCCTCACCCTAAACACACGAAAAAGCTCTTTCTCCAAGTAAACAGGAGTTTCTGTACACAGATGCTTCCCCCAGGAACCTTCTATCCCTTGTATGTAACAATACTGCACAACCAGAGTAGTTGACAATCACGTATTATCTGAAACAAGTGTCAGCTGACCACCAAAGTATATTCCTCAAATGTTAATTCTTTAAAAAGATCACATAACAGGTTTGAATTTGTCTCTACAAAAGTTAAATAGCCTGGGGTTATAAATAATAATTAAGTACCCTGAAAGCTACATGAGCGTCACTCAGAAGTGGGCCTTCTATTTCAACAATATTCATGCTGGCTTCTTCACCAACCAAACGTGCGCTGGCTTCCATACTTTCTGCAGAACTCTGACACGATGCGCTCTCTCCTGGATTTAGTGCTTTTGCAAGAGTATCAAATGCCCTAGAAATAATATATGGAAAACGTAAGATCAGTCAAGTTGGATAGGATAGTGAAACAAAACAAAACCATTTCAGGCCCAGAAAACACACATTAAACCAAATTAAAGCAGGAATGAGTATCAACATGCCTGTGGTTCCCAGGAATCTCCAGTCCTGAAGCAAGAGTAATGCTGCCCACTTGTATGGTTCTCAAGGCATGGCCACTAAATGAATGGTTTTTGATTTGGTTTCTTTTGGCTTTTTTAAGGGGGGATATCACAAAGTGTTGGGGCCTGGGTAAACAGGCACCACCAAGATGCTGATAATTCACATTATTAAAATCATTCTTTCCTATTGCACAAGTCCCTTCTGGGGCATCATTGGCAGAAATAAGAACAGTGACATATAACCAGCACTCTTTCTCCACAGCCAGCTTTATAAAAAGCGATTTGTATAATTACAAATTAATACTGTATTTTAAGAAGTTGGAATTATTTCTTTCAAGCCATAATAATAATAATAAATTTTATTTATATCTCGCCCTCCCCAGCCGAAGCCGGGCTCAGGGCAGCTAACAACAATAAAATAGTACAATAAGACCCGGAAACTATGGTTACCATATCAGAACAAGTCAGAATCTTAAACCAATTTCAAAGAGTGATTTACAGTCTTGGCTTGTTCTGGTAACCACATTTTCTCAATTCAGGTGTAACTGAAACATATGGTTAATTAATCCAGTAAGTGCAGAATCACAGTGTACCAAGAAAAGAGGGAAGGGATCCTGAGAGGACATGAATGCATATCTCTGCCTAACAATATGTGGGTCTGAACCAGATTCTTGTGTTAGACTCTATATATTTAGGCTGATTAAAGCATCTGAACATGCCTGTAAATAGCTGATGTTCATTATGCTATTATCACACTTACTACTGGAGGCTAAAGTGCCTACTATTGTTCCTATGTTTTTGTCAGACCATTTACTACTTTCATATGCAACCATTCTTTTACCTTGTAACATCGGTACTTGCATGTTCATCTTGCTGAAGTTCAGACAGTGATGCGTCTCCATTGCTTAAGCTTTCTATCATGGACAGCTCGGGACTACTTTGGGGCATGTCTTTGGACTTGCTTAGACTTGCCAATGATGTGACCACATTTGCTAAAGTACTTAAATCTCCTTGACATGTTTCAACCTAAGAAGGAAGCGAAGAGTTAATGTTTTTTAACACAACAATTAATCTTACAGTGGAACCCATACTAAATTATTAGAGAAGAGATCTCATTTGCAAGCATATCTATTGCAGAATTGGTAATCACTAAAAAGACAAGCTCTTATTTATAAATACTTTCAGATAACATATTGGTTAAAGGTAAAGGTAAAGGTACCCCTGCCCGTACGGGCCAGTCGTGACCGACTCTGGAGTTGCGCGCCCATCTCGCTTAAGAGGCCGGGGGCCAGCGCTGTCTGGAGACACTTCCGGGTCACGTGGCCAGCGTGACGAAGCTGCTCTGGCGAGCCTGCACAAGCGCATCACACGGAAACGCCGTTTACCTTCCCGCTATAAAGCGGTACCTATTTATCTACTTGCACTTAAGGGTGCTTTCGAACTACTAGGTGGGCAGGAGCTGGGACCGAACGACAGGAGCTCACCCCGCCGCGGAGATTCGAACCGCCGACCATACGATCAGCAAGTCCTAGGCACTGAGGTTTTACCCACAGCACCACCCGCGTCCCCCAACATATTGGTTAATACATGTTAAAACAACTTCCCCCAACTTCAGGGTAGCGTATCATCAATGACTGTAGTAGAACAGTAATAAAGCAGTAACTTCCAGCAGATTAAAATGCCTGGGGAAACAACAACAGTTTTGCCTTGTGCCAAAAAGATTGCAACACTAGACTGAGGATATTCCACTTTTAAATCCCTCTTTCTTGTTATTGAATACTATCTTATTTTAATGAATTGACTTTTGCACAGCTTCGAAAAGCTTTTACAGAGCTACGACTAAATACAATAAGCTCTGCTTATAGAGATGGGAGACATAGAGGCATACCAAAAAACGAACGTGTTTGCATTAGGGGATGTTCTGAAGTAGAGGACCTTATGCATTATATCTTGCACTGTCCGTTATATAATGATGCAAGAAAAAGATTTTTGTTACCTATAATGACAGGGTCCCCTGGCCAGAACCACCTTGAAAAGATGTTATATCTCCTTGCAGACACAGATAAGTATGTGACCTGGCGGGTAGCACTTTTTGCAACTGCTGCTAGGAAAATTAGAGCAAATTATATAGCCAAGGTAGCCATTAACTGTAAAGGAGATGAATTTATTTGATCCTATCTATCTACCTCAGGCTATGTTCTATCTTTGTCACCAAACTCTGAGTATAAATTGCACACTGTATTATTGTTTTTAACATTAGTGACCATGTGATGATTTTAGCTTATGAATTTTATTGTTTAATGTTTTTATTTGTACATTGGGGTACTTTTATAGCTTTGTTTAGAGTACGTAATGTTTTAATAATATAAATGTTTTAAGTCTTTTTTTACCAATTCAGTATATTTTCTTTTAATTGTCAAATAATTCTGTGTACATTGCAGCAGCCTTTGGCTATGTGCAATAAAACTGACTGAGACTGTTACTGAATACCAGTGATAAGAAAGACAGCTGAAGCAGGGATTTGACAGAAGATTTCAGTATGTCTTTAAGAAGATGTAGAAAGAAGATTCAAACTGGCAATGACCATGGTAGTACAAGACAGCAAAAACCCCTGTGCTTGCCAGATCTTAAGTTCAATGGAAGAGTGTCAAGTTTGTCTCCCAAGTTCAAAACGACCCCCCTTATTTGGCTTTGGGGGCTAATATAGACAATCTCACTGAGCCAAACTTTGTCTTTTAGCAACTCTCCACCCCCCACCCCCACCCCCCATCGTGAACTCTGGTGAGTGGAGGTGGAAGATTGGCAGGCTTCTTACAGAAGCAGATGAAACATGGTTGATGTCATTTCAGGGTGTACACTTCAAGGGTGGATAGTAGCATTTGCTGGAGTTGAGGGTGTTAGTTAGGAAGATGTTTAACTGAAGCATCCATGGCACAGTGACCCCAAAAGATTGTATTGGGCTCAGAAGAACACAGTTTGAAGCATTTTGATTTGCTAGCTCTATCTTTAAATGAATAAAGGCAGGTAGGAAGGAAGGAAGGAAGGAAGGAAGGAAGGAAGGAAGGAAGGAAGAAAGAAAGAAGGAAGGAAGACACAAGGAAAGAGAGAGGTTGCTTCCTGCCTCTGCCCTGCTCCCTGCTGTAAGGACCTGCAGACATTTTCCTGTGCATACCCCAATGTTGTTGTTTTATAAAAAAGGACCACACAGCGGGGGGGTGGGGTGGACAGAAGAAACATTGATTCCTTAAGCATGCCAAACAAATGTTACTACTACAAAATATTTAGACAAGTGAATCCACTAAAGTTTATTTCATTAATGTGTTACTACATCATATACCTTATCCTGAGTCATCAACACTGCAGGCTCATTTTTTATACCAGACTGATGAATGTTCACAAACATTCCGGACTCCAACATTCCTGTTGATCTGAAATAAAAAGGCAAAAATGTTTGCTTATGACCAAAAAAACTGCCACAAAACTATTTAATCTAGATCCATATTTGCATACCTTGCCGTTTCACTGTCTGTTACAAAAGTTGGAGTGGCTGTAAGTGGGCTCCGCAAATCTTTTCTGATATAGATCTTTTCTGTAGAAGCTGCACAATTTGAAGACTTTTCCCGTGATACTTCAACAGGTTTCCTCTCACACTGAACAGCTACAAAAGGGTGTGGAGCTATCAGTAACAATCCAAAATTCACACACAATTGGCTGTTAAAAACAAGTTTCTTTTCAATTTCTACTATCAACTTTGTAGTTTAAATAAACTAATCCTAACAAATTTGTTTTCTGTTCACTGAAAACACTTCTTGCAATCGCCTAACCATGATCAGAGATTTAAGACAAAAGACAGAACCTCCCAACCCTTCAGTTCTTTCTCTCCTGTGTATTAACTCCCCTAGCCTTTAAACATAACCAAACTCTAGTACGTTTACTTTAGGCTTGATACAACTATGGTTAAGTTCACTGGAAGGAATTCATGCATGAGAAGAAAAGGGCTTCAGGCAGAAATCCATAATCCCACAGCTCATCTCTAAATACTTTCCAGTCTCTTTAATACTGGCAATGTTGTCTGTTAACCCACAGATACTCAAAAACATTCAAGGGCTATGCCTATTTATACATTCACCATCATTTGAAGAAAGCAGTAAGTTTGACAGGAATACTGAAGTTTGTTTAAGAGTCCCTCCAGCAGGTGCTTTTAAATTTTCCACCTTCAAGGAAATCCTATTCACAGTTGCCAATCAACAGTTTAAATTTGCAGGAGTTTGAGATTAAGTATTTAGTCCCTATGGGGTATAGCCTGGCCCTTTGGGCCTCACTGTCTTCTTAGATAAACTGAGTGCACCCTCTAAAACACAAGGATGGGGGACATCTGGTCTGCCAGGAGATCCAATTTAACCGCAATGTCATTTTCCCCAAACCATGCTCAGCAACTGACATAACTCTTTTACAGGCTTTCTTTGGCTGTTCATGTGAGTCAACACAGCAAGATTCAATCCCTACTCAATAGCTAATGAGAGGAGGTTAAATTCTGCTGAGTTTGGCTGCACATGCCTTTTGCCAGCATGGAACAGCAGCTGGCTGTCATACACTTTGGAACCCTGCACAAGGGATTTTGATAGGTGTGTGGACAACCCCCATGTCAATCATGTGAGGTAATAATGACTTCATGTGAGTGGGCAGTCCCACACAACAGTCAAATTTGGCTGTGAGGGCAAGCTTGATATGGATCTGGTCCGTAGAACTAAAGGGATTCCCCATCTGTATTTTAATACAACCAAAGCATCCCTCTGGTTGGGTGACACAGAGGGATGATAGTGGTGAGTAAACTGTCTTTTGCTTGTTCAAAATTACTGATCATTCAGGAACATGGAAGGCAGTTTGAACACCACCACTTTGAGAAATTTTTACTTTTGATTTTGTCTGCTTATTGCAGTACTGTAAATCAAAAGAAGTCTTTCTCAACTGTACAGCCACTACACCGCATATGACCAACCACAATATACAGGAAACAACTGTTTTGTATGTGACCAAAGCACATGCGATCACTGACGCACGCAACACTTTTGGCCCTAGAAGTGGGTGGGAGCGGAAGGGGACAGGGGCAAAATGAGCTTACATGAGCATTTTATGAGATGGTGGGGAAGATCTTGTCAAATCCCAAGTATGAGTGTCTTCCAGAAATAGTGAAGGGCTTTTTATCTTCAACTGTAAGCAAAAATGTTAGGGAAAGGCCAATATGCTCTTGCCACTTGAAGACTCATGTACAGGACTTCAGAGCAAAAAGTGACAATTCTAAATTTAAGACTTTGTAGCATCAGTAGCATCTTGCCACTAAAAATTCAATTAATTCTCAACTACTAATTTGAATGTAATGAGTGGAGACTGGGTAAGAACACATATCAGCAATTAAATCCTCCAATAATTATCACCCTCCCCACAGTAAACCTATAAACACTCATACTTACAATCTTGTTTCATTCCAAATGCAATACACCTCTGAAGTCTACAGTACTGACATCTGTTTCTGTGATGCTTGTTAATCACACAGTCTCTTGTCCCACGGCATGAATACACTAAATTCTTTCGTATGCTTCTTTTAAAGAATCCTTTGCATCCTTCACATGTCACTGCTCCATAATGGCGTCCTGAATACATGATATAATGCATTAATTATGAAGTACTAGTCTTATGTTTTATTTAATTGCTTACATTTGTATTTATTTAATAGAATTTTATATACTGCTTAACCATTGAAACCTCTCAGTTTACATATGCTATCTACATTAAAATTTATAATGAAATCAGATATTAAAAACAAGAATTACTATACTAGGAAAGACTTAATTAGTTGTGTTGAACAAATGATGGCTGATTATATTCAAAAGAACTTGTAAGACATCAGAACTATGCTTGCTGTCCTAGTACAAAAGGTTTGTTTAAAACACATGACAAAAACAGTTAAATTACAGAGTGAAATGCCAATTATTTTGCAAAGTAGAACTACATAGAGACTTACCTGATGCCTTGTCTCCACAAACAACACAGAGATCAAATACTTTATTTAGGGTCTGTTCTATGGAAGAATTGTCTGTTAAAATCTGAAAGCAATCAAACAAATAAATGACTTCTCAGCTCCTCCAACTTCTTGGATTAAATTATTAGCTATAAATTAAATGCCTGATCCTGTGAAATGCAGGAACATGAAAAAGCACTTTTACACTAAACTACGGCCAAGATCCAGAAATACTTTTGGCAATAAATATATTGGAAAACATTAAACCAGAGATGGGGAACCTGTGGACCTCCAAAATTCATTGGACTTCATGTAGCCTTTGTAGGTCTACAGGCAGGCCATACTAACTAGGTCTGATTTGAACATGTGGAAAGGCACCAATTTCTCTCCCTTGCATTAAATGAATCTAATACTAAGTAGGAAAAAAGTGAACCACAGCACTAATGAGACATAGGACCAATCATGTCACTCAATAGGAGAAAGTGTGCCAAATTGCTGGCCACTCAGATGACAATCCGAGCTGCTTGGAGAGCGAGTGAAATAATGATAAATAAATAAAACTGGCTGCCTTTCAAAGCAATAAACCAGCATTTTGTGAACCTTAAAAAAATTAAAGCATTTTTCTCTGAATATTGCTTCCTTTTCCAGTAAGAAAGCACACATGCCCTGCAATATTATTTTTTACAAGACAGCAAAACAATCCACAAAACATACAGGATATTGCACTGCAGCTTATAAAGCAGGACTAGGATGAACATGAAGTAGAAAGTCTAGGTCTCAAAAGTAATTTGATAAGTCCTAACAGTATGAGACACCATACCTGAAAATGTTGTGCAGATATATCTGGGGATGCAAAAAACAGTTGGTTGACTCCTGCAGCATCTGGAGTTGTTAGGAAAACCTTTCCTGGAGTGGCATCTTGTCTTGCAAGGATCACTTTGCTTGGGGTAGAACCATCATGATTTGTTAATATGAACTGCTTGCCTGTCGCAGTCTGATCAAGTGCTGTAACAATCTGAATCTTCTGCCCCGTCTGCTGATCTGTGACAATCTGGTGACACATTTATTTCAAGTTATGGTAGCTTATGATTAAAAGGTGTGTCTAGCGGAATTATGGTGTAGTCAAGTGTGATTAAAGAAAATGGAACTATATTAACTGTTTTCAATAGCTGCAGCATATATTACATGAATCAGCATCCTAGCTCATTCACCTAGTGTTATGATCACTCAATTAGGAGTGCTCCATACTGTAAGACACGTCCACATTTAATTTGCAAAAAACAAAAGCTTCACAACCATCCAGCTTGGAAATTAGATGCTGAATTCTTCAGAATTCATTCTAACATAACATTTGTGAAGAACGATTCTGTTTTCAAGGAGAGTTACTCCTAGGTAAGTATGCACAGGATTGGAGACTGTGATATGAGGTCCACTATGGCAGGAGAAATCTGACACTTTAGCTTTTTACACTATACATTTTCATTTGTAAAGCACTGAGTTGTAGAAGATCACAATATAATCTCTCCTAAATTCATACATTTTGAGTGATATTCAGCATTAGTCACACGTGGAGTAGACATTAATAAAAGAACCTCAAGTCCTTTTATTTCAATAGGTCTGCTTTGAGCTTGACTTGATTACATATAACCCTTTGTTTCCAGGAACTATGGGAACATGGATACCACAATGGTGAAAAACCAATCTGCAGTGCACAAATTAAGATTAATTTAGTAAAGCTTGTTAAAGCATGTATTGTGTGCATTCACAATATAACCCCAAACTTGAGAGTTGCCAGGTTTCACAGATTTGACCTGAAGTTTCAGGGCTTCAGCTTCCTTCCCAAGGTTCTCTAGGAAAACAATCTAATGTTCTAAAAAGGGACGGGAGGACAATATCTTTTGGCCCAGGGGCCATATTTATAGCCTGCCACCTCTCCAAGAATCACATGTTGGTGGTGGGTGTGACATTGGTCACACTCACACAGAGGAACATCACATTTGGGTTAAATCCAGTGCTTATAACACCATGCTTTGGTTGTGGAAGAACTGCACAATGGGGTAAGTTTCACAGAGTCTCCATTTATTGTTCAATTGTTTCAGAAATCTATTGTTATATGGTGCTCAGGACACATTTTTCAACTAGTTAAGTATTTTAGACCGACTGTACCTGTATGCGCTGGGGTAAGGAGAGACCTGTATCAGCAGGAACAATCTGAATTCTTTGTGCTGTCCCATCCATTAGTGTTTGTGTGACAGATCCTTGGGAATGTGCTATCTAGAACAAAAAACAAGGCAGACTAACTACATGAGCAAAGTTTGGCAGGCATAGCAAATGGGTCAAATTGCTCTTTCACTGCAGCAGCACACAAGAAGCTAATTCAGGAATCAATGTTGATAGCTATCAAATAATATCCCCCACAGAAGTGGATTTTTCCAATAAGTGTTAGTTAAAGACTGTGTTAGAGCAATCCTTCTACACATTTGTATTCCCTGCAACCACAGAACAGAATCACTGACAGCTGTGCTTAAGAATTGGCTACTTGTTTAAGATCCACTTTAAGCACATTTCCTAGTTACTCAGCCCCTGGCCCCAAGAGATTCCTGTATCTGAATAGCCATTACATACACACAACTGGCTTACTTACAAGCCACTTGGAATGTATCTGCTGTAGATAATCAAGCTAGGTGGGTATCCAGACACAGGAGTAACTAGTGGAAGCAGCTCTTTGTAATAAGTAAACATGACTTTCTCCAAACTGTAACTCTTTGCTGAATTATCAAACAAAATCACCATCTGCTAGAATTTTCTGGAACGCAACTTAGCATCTTTAACATAAATAACAAAGCAATATATTCCAGAGCAATGGACAATGAATTATTAAGGACATTTTTATATAGCAACTTGAGTCGGTATAGTGTAAAAATGTACACGTACCTCCCCTATTTGCTGTTCAATAATTTGATGGGCCAATTCCTCAATAGTTGCCATGATCCTGAGTCACTAGTGTTTCCTGTAAAACAGATGTTTTTAAGAGAAAACCAGAACAAAAGCAAGCAATGGTTGTCAAGATTTTATTGATGGCACATCAGCAGCAGTGCTCTGAAAAGCAGCAATGTTTGTCAACTCTTAAAATACACAGCAATCGTATTCACAAATCACACCACACTACTGCTAAGCTAGTGATGTGTCTATAGCTAAGCCTTACGTTTAACAACTTCCCTAGACCAGGAATTCTATGTTGGTGAGGCGGGTGTGCTAGTGGACGGCAAACTACTTCTTCTATTCCTCCCTTGCAAGTTTGGTTTCTGTGCTAGCTGTGGAGAAAAGCAAGTCTCCTTCATGGTAGAAGGGAACTTTTTAAATTAGCAGGTCAAAAGAATCCAAGCCTGCATTTCCATGCTAGATGCTGAAGAGGGGACCTCCTACATGGCCAGCAGGGAAACAGCAGATAAGTATAAAAATAAACTGCAAGTCAGTAGCATACATGGGTTTATTTACAATACTGCTATAGTTACTTGTGAGTGGTACCTCAGTTCTGAGTAGACAGAAATATTTTTATTCTAAAAAATACTTTTACAGTACTGCCTTTCTTTAACAACCACATCAATGGCAAAACAAGTAACTGTCTTGGATACCACGGTCAGAAAGATGAGATATAAATAAATACTATGTCCTGCCACTTTGGTTCTCCTGACATCATACATTTTAGACCATTCATAACATGCCAGATCTTAAGTGCTTTTTGTTTGCTTTCCTTTGGCAGGGTAAATAGTTCCTCTGACAAAACATCCCTCTTGCTCTTCATCCAAAATATTTCATATTGACTAATTGCACAGATGAGACACTGTGATTGCTACATGGAGTGAACAAACAAACCAATCATCAAAATATCAGTAAGCAAACACTCTCTCATGCCGCTCCATAAATACCCCTAATTGATTTCAACATAATCAAATGGGGCACTAGATTTGACTTAATCAGCAAGTGAGAGAACTACACAGACGTAGCAGCAGTTGTAACCACATGCCTTCATTCTCTCCTACCTCCCCAAATACCTCCACACACACACACACACACACACACACACACACACACAGAGCTAGTTGCTTACTAGAGACCTTATCCATGCAGGATCATGTGCAAACATTTTCCAGCTGAACAGAAAACCATCTGCCAATTGTTTGTCAATTACAAGTGAAACATTTTCACTTATAATTTATTTTCATAAATCTCCCTCTGGATAACCTTTCTGCACATCTTCTACAGACTTCTCTTAAATAATCAGCATAATTGAGACAAAGGTTATGACTCATTATTTTTGCAGGAATGCCACAAGATCACAATAATAGTGTAATTAATATTTAATTGTTGCTTCACTGCTATAATCTTCAAGTGCTCTGTGAAAAGGGTAATCAATTCATGTTTTAGAAAGCCGCAGCACTTGCAAACATATGTGTTGTAGTTGTCATTAACATTTTTTACATTATTTTACCTATTAACTACATTTATATCCCATCCTTCATCGAAGCTCACATTTCATGCACTTGTAAATACACAATCAAAATGTGTTTTCTGAGTTTTGCTTAGAACTGAAAATTAGCCATGAATTACAATAGGGATTTTTTTACTGAATTATTTTATCTGTTTTTATATAAAATCTTTGTTCTTGTGGAGCAGACAGACAGTCAGATAACTTGTTATATATATATATATATATATATATATATATATGCACAAAGCGGTGGTGTACAGGTCTATTGCATAACAATATCGGACAATATATTCGGCTCTGTCAAAACTCAAGAGAGAAGTAGTACTGACCCTCAGCCTTCTACACTGATAAACCTCTTGTTCTCTACAGAGAACTCACAACAGGGGAATTTTTCTGCGTAAGCAAGAAAGGGAAGGGGCAACTAGGTTTGTGGACCCTTGACCAACTGCCTTATTAACCAAAATACAGTACAGTCATACCTCCGGTTACATATCCCTCCGGTTACATAAACTTCAGGATACGTAAGTGGCAAACCTGAAAGTATATTTCTAGGTTTTTGCCGCACGCGCATGCGCAGAAGCGCTCTACCGCCACACGTGCATGCACAGAAGCGGTCTCTCCAGTTGCAAAAACCTCGGGATCCAGCCAGACCTCTGGAACGGATCCCATCCGCAACCAGAGGTACCACTGTACATAAAATGTACAGTGGACCAAATCCTATACTTTATGACTCATAGTTTTGCATTTTTAATTTTTTTAATGGAATCTATAAATTAGCATTCTTCTTACCTATATACCAATGTTATACTCCACTTCTGGTGTACATAATCAATTTCTAGAGACTCCTATAATTAAATAAAAAGAGATCATTGTAGTTTCAAATATCGTATTGGAATTGTTTACAGAATAAAAATAATTTATAATGTTATGCCCCACAAATAATTATTAAAGTACCATCTATACAGATTTATAGAACATTTAATTATATGATTTAAGATTTTATCAGCAATTACTTAAAACTATTCAATAGCATTATTAATTCATATATGAATCAACTTATAAGGCAGTTATCTGCAGAAAATAAAGAACTTAAGAAAACATAACAGATTTGTGAGAAGATGTGCACTGTTTCATCAAGTTCATAATGGTGCAGTCTAGACATTATCTAGCTGGCAAAAGCTAGATTCTTCAGTCTGTAAATCTGTACTGAGCTTCTGCCTTTCAGCCTTGGGAGGTAAAGGGAAAGTGGAGTCTTGGAAGCTGTATTGTGTTACCAAAGCTGGTTAATGTTCATTAACATACTGAATTTTCTTTCCTTTTCTTTGATTTGTTGAACTCTTGGCTTTTACCATACCCAACAACAGTGGATCTCAATTCATCAGTTATCTTAGGCTTCTAGGAAGACTCTAGTACAGTGGTACCTCGGGTTAAGTACTTAATTCGTTCCGGAGGTCCGTTCTTAACCTGAAACTGTTCTTAACCTGAAGCACCACTTTAGCTAATGGGGCCTCCTGCTGCTGCCGCAGCACAATTTTGTTCTCATCCTGAAACAAAGTTCTTAACCCAAGGTACTATTTCTGGGTTAGTGGAGTCTGTAACCTGAAGCGTATGTAATCTGAGGTACCACTGTACATGTGAAACATCTGTTTGGTGTACAGGAAGTGGGGACTGTCTTCAAATGTTTTATATAGTAAAAGATAGACATACTTCAGTTGAAATAGATATGAGGAAATATTTTGTTTCTTAGTGCTGTGTTAAAAATCCACCAAGCTCAGATTTTGTTTCAGTGTGTGCATCTTGTCAAAAATGCTCACTATATTGAACCTTTATTCTCAATAATAATGGAACTCACAGGTGGAAAATACTTTTATTTTTATAAACCTTTATTGTGTGTAAAGGGGATCGTTGCGTGGGTTCATATTATATTATCCCTTTGGAGCTGTGCTGTATCTTTATAGTTTTTTTCCATCCAGGCTGCGATGTTAGAGAGATATACAAACACATACACACCCACACACCTTTATGTTTGCACTTTGTTGTTGTGATTGTTGTTGTTAATACATCAGTTTGATACACTGAATGATAAAATGGTAAGAGTTGGACTGGGACCCCATGGATCATCTAGTCCAAATCCCTGCAATGCAGGAATTGTCTCTCAAACTTAAGAGACAACACGAATGCAAATAACTTCTGATGCAGTATGTAAATGTTGATCTATCAGGCTGGTGATGTGCTCTTATTTGAGGTCTAATGATTTATAAAAGCGGATGTTCTGAAAAATTGGCAAGAACTAAAAATTCAAACTGGGAAAACTGAGAATATAATTAGACTTCCAGTCCAGCTAGTTTCTAGTTATGAGTTACTGTACTTTGAAGAATATGACATAAAGTAACTTGAATTAATACTTCAGCTAACGATAACAGTTGGCTGAATAGCTCAACAGTGAAAGGGAAGATGTACCATCAATTAATATAGGGAAACTAACCTTGGAGAGCTGCTCTTGCTTAAAATTGGTTCATCATGTTTGAGAATGAATGATAACAAGTGTATTGAGAGAGGTGATCCAACTGACATTGTGTACTTAAGACTTACAAAAGGTACTTCACCAAGTACTTCAAGTACTTCACCTAACATTCTTGAGAAACCTTAAAGATTATTTAAATAAGCAAGCCTGAAACGTGGCTTTGAAGAAATCTGGATCATGGAGAACTTGCCCATTAGGTCCAGTTGTGGCCGACTCTGGGGTTGTGGCGCTCATCTCACTTTATTGGCCGAGGGAGCCGGCGTACAGCTTCTGGGTCATGTGGCCAGCATGACTAAGCCGCTTCTGGCGAACCAGAGCAGCGCACGGAAACGCTGTTTACCTTCCCGCCGGAGCGTTACCTATTTACGGTATCTACTTGCACTTTGACGTGCTTTCGAACTGCTAGGTTGGCAGCAGCATGAGGAACCTTAGGAGTAATGAAAAAGAGGGAGGTCCCATTTTACACCAGAGAGCAGGAATAACACTAGAACTTGCAGATAATCAATGAGCTCAAGGTGGCATACAAAAATATTTAAAATGCATATGTAAGTGCTTAATTAGGGTTCCTATATTTCAATAAGTGAGAATCCGGACCCAAAAGTTGTTGCCATGTGTTACCATATCTCCGGATTTTCCCGGACATTTTCTTGATTTCCGCTCAGACACTGCTCCCGACAGCAGTATTCTGTGTGTGTCCAGGAAATTGCAATGTATGGCAACCCTAGCTTAATATATTTTTCCCACATTGAGTTAAAAATAGTAGAAGTTTTAAACTCAGTTGAGTTGCTGTAGTGAAGTGCTTACCTAGAACAGTCATTCGATTACTGTACTGCTACAATTTTATACAATATATTTTATAACTGAACTATTAAATACAAAGCCTTAACAAGTAGAGAAAAATTTAGATCATTTTTGTTTCCAGACATTTTTAATTTTATGCTTCAAGCAACGAGTGGTTTACACTACAGCATGCAGTAGTAGATCACTGGTTGAAAGACTTGGTGGGTGTAAAGGATTCACATAACAAGAAAGTTTTACTGCTGAGTCTTTTTGCCATTAAGCCATTTCCATTATGAATGTTGATATGCTGTATTTGTATCTGGTATGAATAGTTTTGTTCATGTCCACTGGAATCTGCTTTGCTTGACAGCCTAAAAATATTTTAAATAAAGCATGTGCAACTCATGGATACAGAAGCAATCTATAAGGTACAACTCTTGTAAATTATTTCAATTCTGATTACATTCCACTTTAGCTCTTATACACATATGTACACATCAGAACAGCCAGCTGAGCATTTCAACAGGCATTCAGGGGCATACTGTCTCCAAGTGGAGAAGAAAACAAATCAGCTATCATCTTCTAATCTAGATCATGATTCCGATCCAAGGAATATGTTCAATATTAAGTATCTTTAATTACAAGTTACAAATTTTTAATTGCAAGTTACAAATAAAATTCAGTTTTCCAGCCACTTAGTCACACCATCTGACAAGACCCGTTAAGAAGGGTAAATTGAAAGACAGGGAAAGCTGTTAGTGTCACTTTCTCTCATGGCAAAAGGTATGCCCTTCCTTTTCACTGTACCAAAAATACCGCACCCAGGGCCACGAGCCTCTCCAGTATGTCAAAGAGGAAAGTAATAACTGAAGGGCACAGACCGGAATGAACCAAGGCCAAATAAAGCTTTCACTCCCTATTCAAAGGAGCCACCATTGTGCACACAAACAGATGTATATGAAAGGGTCCAGGAGAAATATAATGATCTATCTTTCCATTATTGGTTAATCATCCAAAATTATGGAACAAAGGATGACTAGTGGCTACCACATGGGCTGTATTTTCATAAGCAGCATTTTTGTAAGTGGTAAACCCGACTCTAGACTACAGGAGCTATAAATATTTGAGCACTCCCCTGCGAAAAGTACACTGAAAGCGAGGGCAGAGCCTCTCCCCCCCCCCCCGCGAACACTGAACACCCACGTGCGGGAGCTTCTGTTGTCGCTTTTGTATGGAGGATCCTTCAACCAGGTGAGTTTCCTCCACCTGTAACTTTAGTACAGCATACTGTAAAAGACGAGGAAGTGACGCAGCATCTGCCTCGCGTGCACAAGGTCCATTGGTGCAACCCCCCTACCCCCCCCGGCATCTCAAAAGGAGGAAATGCCCCCTGTGCTGAAGACCCTGGAGGGCCGCTGCCGGTCAGTGTAGACAATACTGAGCTAGTAAGGGCCTTCGGTGTGACTACTCGGGGTAAGGCAGCTGCTTCCTACGTCACACGCCCAAGCTCCTCGCGCCGCCTTCACCTGCCGTTTGAGGCCGCAAGGCCTCAGGCTCCAGCCAAGGACCAGAGGAAGGGAGGCAGGCGGGCGCTGTTGCCGGAGCGACCGGGGCAGCGCGGTGAGGGCCCAGCCCGCTGTCACTCGCTCGCACAAAATGGCTGCTGCGGAGCCAGACTGAGCACCTCCGCCGCCGCCGCCACCCGCTCCCACCTCGCGCGTGCCCCGCAGGCTCCATCAGCCTCGGCGCAGGAGAGCCCTGGGCCTGCGGAGAGGAGAGGAGCGGGTCCCGGGGCGCGGCTAGGATCCGGGGAGGGGAGACGCAAGCCTTTCCTGTGGGTGAAAGGTCAGAGGGGCGGCGGCGGCGGCAGCAGGAGGAGCTGGTGCTGCTGCTACCGCCGCCACATGGGGAACGGCGCCCTCCCGCCGCCGCCGCCGCCTCAGGGCACGGAGCAGGCGCCGACGAGGAGGCTCCCTGAGGCGGCAGCCGAGGCCCAGAGGCACCGGGAAGGCCTCGGGCAGCGCCGCCGGAGCCCCTCCTTTTCCTCCCCGCTGCCCTCTCCGCGTCATACCTGACAGCCGCGGCGCAGCAGCAGCTCCTTGGGGTTTAATTTGTCGGTGGCGGGTCCGGATCTGGGAGGTCAGAGTTCGTGACCCCGCTCCCCGCGTTCCGTCCAGCCCCGTCTCTCGCGTGGCGTAACGCCGTTCTGCCTTCCCCTCCCCCAACCGCCGCCGCAGCTGCCGCCGCCGCCACCAGCATCAGCACGGCTGCGCTTGCGCAAAGCGAGCCCATGGCGGAGGCGGGGCGAGTGTCACCGGGCCGGCGGGGAGAGAGTGGGAGGAGGAGAGGAGGGAGAGAAGAACCCCCCCCACACACACACCCTGAAGTTGTCACAGCGATGCTGGGACGGGCGGGTACGGCAGCTAGAACAGCCCTTCCGAATCTGTAACCGGAGAGGTTTTTTTGCGCTCAGGGCTTTTGTTGCTTTTGGACTCCAGCTCCCGTCAGCCCCAGCCAGCAAGGCCAACGGACAGGAATGATGGGAGTTGTAGTCCAGCAGCATCTGAAGGGCCAAAAGCCTTGTAAAAGGGTGCACGTAGCCTGCCTTGTTGGGGTTTCAGTGTTTAGCCGTTTATTGTGCTAACCAAACAACAAACAATAAAAATATTTAGAATATTAACATATGTTCTGTAGTAGTATGCAATTATTAGAACAGGTTATGGGTTGCATCCCGTTTTAGTGCTGATCAGAGTAGACGCACTGAAATGTAGTCTTACAATAAAGGGATTTAAGGACAGAAGTCATTGAGTAAGCAGGGGCATTCAGTACCATTACATGTACTTAGGCCTAATTTCAAGAGATATGATGATGATGATGATGATATTCTTCAGTTATGTTATCTTCCTCAAAGCAACTTGCAACTAAACATGACAGCATTTTAACATGTAATATAATGAAAAAATACACACTTGTGACATTGGTACTGTTAGAAGAAAAAACTGCTCCTTTCCCCTTATGGGGTATTCCAGAGCCTGTAGAGTCCTCCTAAGGTTCCTTATCAGCAGGAGAAAGTAACAGAGACCAACCAGAGGATATTGAGAAGCAAAGCTGCAAGCAAGCCTGATCTATTAAAGAAATTGTTGCAACAGGGACTGCCCACTCACCACAGGCAGGAGGAAGGAGAACCCTGAACAATGGTGCACAAGTCCTTATATAGACTTTTGAAATTGCCCACCCTGTAGCCCAAGACCATTCCCCTGAAACATCATACATCACAGAAGGAGGCAGTCTACAGCAGAAATCCTGTTTGCCAAGATACCTATTGATGGTCACTGACTGCATTATCTGGGCAGTCTAGCCATTCTTTTGTGAGGGTTAATACTTTAGTTCCTGAATCCAGGTCACAGGCTCACCCTATTCATACACAATGCGGCCTTAAGACAGGATTTGCAAGCAAAAAGACAATGGGAAGGCTTTCCCCATTTGCCTCCCTTAAAGCAGAGGAATATTTGAGGTAACTGGGAGAGTCAAAATGGCTTCAGGATTGCTCTCCTGTATTACCGGTATTTCAGACACATGGTTTATGTACTTATGTATGTGTTTGCCTTGTACATTTATGAACATTTAATTTATATTTGAGACCTTAGAATTCTTATAACATTATCTTGCCCCTTAATGAGTCTCTGTAAAAACTGAATCTGCTTGGGACCCTCTGGAGATCTAGATGTGAGTAAACAATCAAGTAGTACTGTTGCCTGGGAAGCAGGTGAGCCAAGGATGGCTGTGCAGTTTACCTTTGATGTAGCTGTATTCCCTCACCTCCTCAGCTTCAGTGTGCTGCTGCTTTGGGAAGCTTAGGTGATGGTGAGCAAGACTGCAATCTTGTACACAGTTATCTAGGAGTAAAAAATGCCCCTTTTCCTTCAGAAGATAGACTTGGCCATTGTCATTCATGATTTAATTGAAAAATACATCTGGGAGCTCTGCTGACCTGCTTATGAACTTGAGCAGGTCACTTGTCTCAGTCAGTAGTCTGCCTTCAGAAAAACAGATGTTGCAGCAATAAACGGATAGTGTAGTGTTTTGGATTTAGGTGTGCACAGTGCTATACTAGAAAAGAGGTGCCAGAACTCATCATGAACACCTCCCTTGTTCTCTTATAATGTCAATGGCACCCACCTGAGAGGTGCTGGAACTGAGTTCCAGCTGGAAAAAAAGCCCTGGGTGTGAACCAAGTGAGTGCAAGTCACTTGACTCCATCTAGTTCAGCACTCTGCTTCTAAGCAGTGGCTTATCGGCTCCACATGGGAAACTTAAATGTAAGACATGAGGGCAACTGTATTCCTGTTTGTCCCCAGCTCCTGCTATGAGCAGTGGCAGCTAGGAAGAGATTTGTGCTTGCCCAATGCAATGTATTTATATGTTTCGATCTGTATTATACATACATCTTCTGTCTTGCTCATGCTCCAGCATGGCCAATATATTAAGAGCTATAGTCAATAATTTTTCCTCTCTTCCCCTTGACACCTCAGGCAGTTCTTTCAGAGCTCTTGTTTTTTGCTGAGGAGTGGAAATTAGGGAAGCACCCCAAAGATGGCTTGAGGGTACTGACCTCATCAGCCTCCTGCTAACAAGAGTTATATCTTCAGTGTATTGAATGGATGTGAGTGATAAGCCCATCTTCCTAGGCAGCAGATACTGTTAGGAGAGAAAGGGACAATCTGGGGAGTCCCAGGATTTAAACTACTGTAGAACATACATAGTCCTATGTAGCCACTGCATGTAGTGATATAAAAAGGTAAAAGGACCCCTGGACGGTTAAGTCCAGTCAAAGGTGACTATGGGGTACTGTGCTCATCTCATTTCAGGCCGAGGGAACCAGCGTTTGTCCACAGACAGCTTTCTGGGTCATGTGGCCAGCATGACTAAACCGCTTCTGGTGCAACGAGACCCCGTGACAAGTGCCAGAGTGCACAGAAACGCCATTTACCTTCCCGACGCAGCGATACCTATTTATCTACTTGTGCTGGTATCCTTTTGAACTGCTAGGTTGGCAAAAGCTGGGACAGCAACGTGAGCTGACCCTGTCTTGCAGATTCAAACAGCTGACCTTCCAATCGGCAAACCCAAGAGACTTGGTGGTTTGGATCACAGTACCACCCATGTCCCTATGTAGTGGTATATGCTGTAGCGTAGCCTTGTATTTAAGTGATAGACAAGGAATTGTATTGAGGGGTGTGAGTGTCAGGCTGATTGAGGAGGGATGGATTGCTTTGTTCCTCTGTGTCCAACTTAGCAACCAAGTGGGTTGCCAAAAGAGGGACCACCCCTCCACGGCCAACACAGAAATGCAAAACTCTGTCCCTCTTTTGCCTGGCCCTGGAAGACTAATAAAACATTTTGTAAACTAGTATGGTCTTATTTTATTTATTTATTAAATTTATATAGCCACCCATCAATAAATACTTCCTTGGTGGCTTACAAAACAAATAATGAAGACAAGTGTACAGTAATTAAAATCAATATGCAACAAAAATTACAACATTTTATTTATAAATTACTTATTTTACAAGGCTCCTCTAAGTGAATGGCTGCTAAAAAGAGCAGCAAGGATCCTGGGGGCTGACAGTGCAGTAGAAACTGCCAGAAATACACCCAGGTATAGCATATCTCTGTTTTATTTTAAAATACACACAAACTCCATAACTGTGACTGATTTGCAGGCATCTCATTACAGGACCCAAGCTAGGTTTCTTTGGAAAGAAGTGCACAGGGGGTAGAGAAACATTGTCAGCCATATGGCTGTCAAATCCAAATTTAGTGGCCGGAATATTTTGGGCAAGCAGGTAAGTGTAATATTTTATCAATACACACACAGTGTTTATTATATTCAGGAGACTCTGCTTTTACTCATTTGCCACTGGGCGAGGGAGACACTTCAAATTTATTTTGATAAAAACGTAACTACGTATTTCTGATTACTTTCAGTTGTTTTAATTTGCAACATTAAAAGTTCTGTTCATTCTGTTCATTCTGTTATTGTCAGTACAATCTATAAGAGCACTTGAAAAATTATAGAACAGTAGATGAAACAAAACTGTCAGTGCCTCTTACATTCTGTGACACTTCTACACTTGAGATCACTGAAACCTGTTAAGCATATTTCTTAAATTGTTAAGGGATTACATAAACATACCACATTCCTTTTTTGCAGACACTTAATTGGAAACAATATTGCTTGCTCTATTCTATAGCATCTACTTGACAAGGAGAAAATCACTATAACTATATCAACTCCCTCTAAACCAGACCACAGCAGTAGTAATTAAATAAATCAGAACCCAGAAGGTCATCTTGCAACAACATTGCGCACAGAACATCTTTTGATTCATTTCTCCCTTCCCGCTAACGGCAACTCTACTGACCAAGCCATTTCTGAACTATACTTCAAAATGCTTCCAGATTCAACACCAAGATGCTTCTATTAAGAGCAGGGGGAAGAGTGAAAAGGCCCAGCACCCACACACAAGGCTAAAGGGGCTGCCTAGATTGCAACCGCATATTGTTAGTTACCTGGTTCATAATGGTAGTGGTATTTGCAGTCTTGCATTTCTTTTCAAATACTCAGGAGCAGCCTCTGCCAACCTAGTGCTGTCCAGCTGTTTTGGGGCCAAAACTCCTATCAGCCTCAAGTCTCCAAGTGTACTCCCACTTCTTCCTTTGTAGTCACACTTGACTTCAGTGCTTTTTGAACACAGTGCCTTTTCCAGAAAAAAGGCTCAAAATCAGGGCATGGCTGTGAAGGAGGAACTGGGAGTACACTCAAGCTTTAGAGCAGTATTATTCAATCTTGGGTGCTGTTGTACTACAACTCCCATCTTCACCAGCAAACTTAGCCAATGGTCAACAACATCGGGGGACCCAAGGTTGACAAATACTACTTTAAAGTGTGCTCTCAATATTTCGTATCAACTGATGTGATATGCCAAGTAATTGGCACGTGGCTGTCAATATGGCCTGCAGAAAGTTGGCCATTTTGGGATTCCATCCCTTGAGCTAAAAGTGGCTTCCCACTTCTGCTTTAGGCGAAATTCCTATACTAGCAAGCTCCTTGGTATTTGGCTATCATTCATCCTGCTTATTAAGAACTCTTATGCAATCACCTTGGGGTTCACTGTTGGGCAAAAAATGTAGTGTATAGCACACTCTGTACATGGTCCAAGACAAAATGGGACTGTGGGGCGGGAGCAGAGTGTACCAGCCTTCAACCCGTGCACTTCAGATGTTGCTAGACTCCCAATTTCCATTAGTCCCAGCCAGCATGGTCAAGGATCATGGAAGCTGTAGTCCAACAACAGATGAAAGGCACCAGCTGGGGAAAGCTGGACTATACAGAATAGCTCCTCAGTTAAGAAACCATTTTAATACAGAAGCAGTTCCTCTGTTTTGAATTTTCCCATTGAAAACAGACACCAACTAACATGAAATCAGTTATTTTTTATCCTACATAGGCCAGCCAATATATTTAAAAATAAAAAATACACATTACCAAAGATAAAGCAAAATCTTTGGGACCATATGCTCATCTTTGGCAGCAAGGCAATTTTTCTGTTAGTGATGCAACAACCCTTGTACTAGAAGCAAACAAAAAACTCAACAGATATTTTATTCTTCTTCCATGTTGTAAAAATAATTAAGAACAATGATGTGAACAAGCAACTTGGTGAACACCAAAGTATCCTATTCTGAAATGTCCACCAGGATATTTTCAGCTTAGATACAAGAATTGCATAATTACCCAACTTCCTAATGTTCTAAATACTAGTATTTCCCTGACTTGTCCTACATTATAGTAGTACTAGTTTCAATTATTATATACACACATTTTCCAAATATTAAATAAATATACAATTACTAATTGAGTGCTTTCATTTTAAGTAACAGTTTGCGAATATAAAAATACAATAGAAAAAATTTTTGACGTGTCCAGCAGATCAAATTGTGAATGAAAACTAGAATGAATGACATTCCTTATCAATGTTATTCCTCAAAAATATTGTGCATTCTTGATACTAGAATTCCAGTTTCAGCTTGTGTTAAAATAGTACAGAAAATTTAAAAATCCCCTGTTAAGCCCCTAGCTATCATATTCTACAGTATGTATGTGACCTTCTTTTGTTTCTGTGGGGAAGCATGTGTCAAGGAAAAGTTCTCATGCTGAAAACAAGCTTTTTCCTGCTTGAATGATCTAATTCACACTTCATGAAAATACAATGAATATTAATTTTAAAATCACTTTGGTATTTATGATTTGATACCATCTGTGGTGTAATGTTGCACGGGCAGGTAGAATAATAATCCTTTCAGCTTTCCTTTAAAAACAAGGGCGGGGGGAATTAACAGGCGACTTTTGCAAGTGGATATTAACAGGCCCTCTTTGAAGTGAAATTGAATACAGAGACTCATCGTTTCATTGTGCTGTTCTGGAGTCAGCCGAGAACAGCATATGATCGATGGAAGTAATTTAGTTTAAGTGCACATATGGAAGTGTTACATGTTCATGAATCTTTCTATATGTATACTTAAAAAGGGCTCAGAAACTATTAATCTACCTTGCACTGAGAAAGACTGGACAGCATTTCAGTCAAATTACCACAGATTAAAAATAAGCATAAGGAGAGGCCTAAGAGAGCCCGCTGAAAGGCCTTGCTCCTTAAACTTTCCAAAAGCAAAATGAACAGAAATCCTGAAATTGTGCCCATGACAAACCAAGGAGCAACGGCCTGCTACAACTTTTCAACAAACAAAATTCCCTAAGGTCAAGGACACTTTGGAATTCAATGTGAATCTCAGAAATGATTCTGACCATTAAGTAAAACAGTGACAAAGTTTTTAATAAATAACACTTTTTGTATGACAAAAAGACAAGTATACACATTTCTTTAAAAATTATTACTCCTGAACAAAGACGTTAACGCCAGTGAACAATCCAGCTTTGTTTAGGTTGATGTTTGTAAAATCTGATGACTCTTCAATAAACAGAACCATAGTATTGACTTTGTCATCGGACTTTCTTTCCTCTAAGTAACAAAGCAAGCATGCTACAATATTGTGGCTTCTTGAAAAGCTTCTATCCACCTGTTTGAAAAGGAAAAGCATTTAATATATTTTGAGCAAACAGAAGGGTTTCCAGAGCTTGTATAATTGAAAACTTTCAACTCCATTTGTCACAATATTTATAAAGTACCGTATTTTTCCGTCTATAAGACGCCCCCATGTATAAGATGCCCCCTATTTTGGGGGACTCTGATTTAAGAAAATGGGGGGAGATACTATCCATGTATAAGACGAGCCCCAATTTTGAACCTTATTTTAGAGTAAAAAAACATAGCCTTATACACGGAAAAGTATGGTATACACAGACACTATTGAATAGCTTTCAAAATCATGAATAAAAACTGCAAAGAACCATGAGATTGGAATGGAAGTATAGTTTGAGCAGTATGCAGTCTTGAACCAGCATACAGCTTGCTGATATCCAATGTATGGGTCTAGGGAGAAATATGTAGTTTTCTCTCTCATTCTTCTGCACTTTGCAGAGGCAGCAAGTTTCTGCTTGTTCTTTCTACAAAAGCCTAGTGCAAGGATGGGGCATTTTAATCCTTTCCCTAATTTTCTGCAGTTTGTGAGGAGGGCAGAGTCTTTGTAAGGGAACTTGAGGAACCTCTTCTGACTGAAATGGACAGGCCAATCATACATGTATATACTTCTACAAAACTGTATACAGTAGATATAAATTCCCTAATCAAACTTTGAAAATAATCATGAGACTTTTTAATTAGCATAATTTTTTTAAAAAATGCTCACTTACTTTTGTGCTGAATGGGGGTCATCCGCTTTGAATATATAAAATAAAGTATTCTTGTGCAGCAAATGGAAAAGTTTAGATTCCGAGTGTTCATCTTTGACTTCAGCAACTGTAAATCCCAACAAAGGCTGGCTCTCCAATGCAGCCACATCCTAATTTTACAAAGAAAATGACTGTAACCATTTGCAAAATAATCTGAAGTGTCAATAGCATACAAAAAAGTGTTTTGTGCAATATCAAGGCAGCACCAGATCCGTGGGATGGATCTTAAGGTTTCTTTATGTGATTTCAACACCATTTCTATCTCATTTTGTCTATTTAATCAGAGAGCAGGAGCAGGCAGTGGATACAGCAGCAGAACCAATCCAGTGCTCTGACCAGTGTGTCTACAGAGTCCCGACTCTGCCTCCACGCAAACAACCTACAGCGCCACCAGTGTTTGGAGGGCAGCTCTGCCCCATCACACCAGCCACTATTTTCAGTGATTTCCTGAAAGCCCCCGTGTCTCAGCAGACCTTTAGACTCCACTCCCAGCATCCCACTCATTCAACCATGCAATCTTCTACGTTAACTTGTGAGATGTGATTTCTCACCTCACTAGCAGCATATGTGTAGAGCACTTTATTTTTTATCACAAACCACAGGTGTTTCCATGGTTTTTTGCTGCCCTTTGATCTGTATAAATAGCCACTCATTGAAGAATCTTCTGTATTTGCAGATACCTGAAATTAGAACAAACATGGTACTTGTAAGAGTGCATGAGATTGAACAAATAATGTTTTGATTATACCAACATTCTTCATCTAACCGGAAATGTTGGTATCAATATCTTTATTATAATCCTGCTAAAAAGGCCTGAAATAACATAACATCATACGTGGCGCTAAGGATATGCCACAATTTCCAGCTGAGAAAACCTGAGCTCTCACAGTAAGTTGCTAGGCACTGGTAACTCGTGCTGTGTTTTCCAGGACTGGTTATAATCCTTTCAGCACTCATTTCAAAGCAGAATTGAAGTTCTACGCAAAATAGATCTATTGAAATTAATGAACCTAATTTAGTCATGTAAATTAACTTCATTGGGCCTACTCTGAGCAGGGCTACCATTGAATACAACCTTGAACTCATTTCTCCTTGAAATATAGCAATAAATATGATCAAGAATCTCAGTACAAACTAGGAGTTAGCTAATGAAAGAGTTGGAGGAAGAGGAGACATTTCCTTGAAATGGAAGGTGGTATACAATGTTCTCTGAGCATGCTGTATGTTCCATATGTGTGCTGAGCATGTGCTAAGGTGAAGCAATGTAAAACATATTGCAGATATTCTACTACTCGCACAATGCAGACCACAGATATTCTCTCCAAAATGTGAGAGTGGCTTTCCTACAATAGGTGTCTGTTACATCCCAAGAGGGATTCCAAACCATGAAATTGTCTCAATTTTTCATTTTCACTGTTCTTCAGAAAGATGAGTAATAAATTTTTAGTAACCTAAGGCTACCACAAGATGATTCCAGTGACTATTAAAAGGCAAGGATGACTGGGTTAGATTAGAATGAGTAGTTGGGACATAAAGGATTGTTAGTCTCAAATCAGAACAATGCGAGTGACTGCAAGGCATGCCAGGTGTATCCCCTGACAGAAAGTGCTATAAAAGAAAGTTGTTGTTCTAATTAATATTTTCCATTAGATGCATCTTCCTAGATTTTACCCTATGATGATAATTTTAATGCAAACTGTAGAGATAGGATTTATACACACCTTTTAAAATTCCTAACTGCAGCTTTAAGTACTGTACAGTTCAATGTGAACAGTATGGATGAAAGCACCCAACACTATTTTCAACAGGACATAGCTATAAAGGGTAATAAAGCTAAAAGGTATTCTAAATAAATTCACCACTTTTCCAGAAAGAGATGCCTTTAGCATGAAAAATCAATTGGCAGTAAGACAGTATCCCTAGAGAGAGAGACGGGCCAAACTGCACACGGAACTTTTCTGCGTCAACAATCTATCAAGGCAGCATATTGAAGGTACTGCACGTAACATCTTTTCCAGGGAACGTTCATGTGCAATACACACAGAGAATACATCAAGAATTAAAGTAACTCCAAACAACAGGGGGTGCTAAAAGGTTTCCTACAAGCAGCAGCTGGTCTATGAACACAATTAAGCTACATAAATAATTTGTTTCATGAAATTCCTCAGGCTGTATGAGGTTTCTTTGGGAAGCAGACAAGGGGGGAAAGGTTGCCTAATTGAGATTCTGCGAATGCTCTGTATCAGTATATGCAAAGAAATAGCATACCACCATGCTAAATATGAGCACCGTAAATATTCAACTGAAATGGGACAGAACAGTCCCCAAGACAGCAATTCATATGCATAAATATATTTTCCTTTTTGCAGCTTAACAAATAATTATCCAGTCATTTTTAAATTTAGATATCGCATGAACATATGTTCACAAAAATCATACCCAGCGTTGTGGAAGCCTCCCCCATCTCTGTCATCTCTTTCTATAACTCTCCTATGAGTCTCCTGAACAGTCTTCTCCTTCTAACAGACTCTATTTCTCTCTTTCACTTTGGGAATGCTGCGTTGTGACAATTCATTTCCCACATGGTGCAGTAGAATATTAGTACAACTGTATAAATGGAAGTCTGCAACAACATATGTGGCCTACTGGAGCACAAGTACTTTGCCCAAGAATGTTGAAGCAAGTAGTGAGGAAGGTACGAAGGACAGCCCTTCCCACTCTTTCAACCTGGTGACCAAAATAGAAATGTGTGTGCAAATCACTGGTATTTCACCAATTGCAAGAAGCACAAGAAATATAATGGTCAGGTTTCTACATACTAAACCAAAGGACCTCACATTGTCATCTCTTCCATCTATGTGCCCAGAAGGATTTTTGCAAAGTTTAGTTTAACTCTGAAAGTTAAATGTTAGCGTTGGGATCCCTGGTTTGTACCTGGCTTAAATCTAACAAGTCATGTACTTGGTCTCATAGTAAGAGGTAAGAGGGAGGAAAGTTTCATTCCACCATGCTTCCCACAATTCAAATTCCCTAGCCATGGAAGGAATTGGAGACAGGTAACACAGGGCAATAAAGTATCTGGGGCAGAGAAGGAGATTTGATAGTAGCAATGGGTTGCACCAAGAGAGCAGCACAGTGCTAATTAAGCTTCAACCACACCTGACTAAATATATTTCAACTATCTGTTCTATTATAAGTCTGTACTAAAAAAAAGCAAGATGCCCCACTCAAATAGATATCCCTTCTAAAAGCAGTTTACTAAAGATTAGCAATGATGCCGTTAATAAAAACAGATAATTTCATACTTAGACTATGTCATACATACTTCCTTAAGAGCAGCTGGGATCTTTTTCTGCTTTCTTCCAGATGGGATACTGTGCAACACTGTGGATAAGGTGCTAGACGGAGTTCTGTGATTTACTGGGGAACCATTTTTAGGAGGTGTGTTCAGCTTATCTGAAATGGAAACAGATACTTTTGTACTTCATACAAATGGAAACCTCAATTTAAAGTGAATTTCTTCTTCACAAATTTTAAGTTTAAAGTGCACACCATCTGCCCACCCTGAGATTATTGTCATTCTAGTTTCTCACATACTATCTGTACATATGAGAGCAATTATATTGCAGTTTTGAATATACCTATGGTTCCATTTTCAGTGAACAAGCCTGCCTTCTGAACACAGCATGATGGTGGACAAGTACAGTATTTGGGGGTGATGATTAAAACAATATTCTCTTGCAAAACTGCTGCAAAATGGATGTAAGCTTTTCCTAATACTGCCATCCATATTAAATCAACTGTAAAATGCAATGCGAGTTAATCCATGCACTTATGTAAAACACGAGCAAAGCAGGAAAGGATATTTAATCTAAGCAGTATATTTTCATCTGGAGAACCACATTGTTTAAAACTAAAACAATGTTGCATTATTATTCTCTTTTGGGAATTTGATTCTGTTCTATTTAATCCTCAAAAAATTGTGCCACTACAAGCCATGCTGAAAGGAAGACAGCTCCAACTTTGCGGGTTTACATGCCCTTAAAATATGTTTGCAGCAAAAACAGAAGCATCAAAAATTGAAAAGCTGGTTTAGACAAAGTTTTTACCTTACCCTGTTTTTGTAACTCATTAAAGCAATAATCACATACTCTTGCAGAGTGATGTTTCATATAGTCTAGCCCATGCTTATTTGATGAACAAGCTTGGCAGATTATCTGGAAAAGAAAAAGAAACATGAAGTACACACACCGCACATCTCACATTTTAAGATGATTAAGATATGTGGTTCAAAACAATCAGAGAGCTTTCCTATTAAGAGTCCTGCTGGATCAGGCCAATGACCCATCTAGCCCAGCATCCTTTCTCCACAGTGGTCAAGCAGATGCCTACACAATATCCTCACTCAGGCTCCCCAGCAGCTGGTATTCAAAGGCATGCCACCTTCAATATGGGAAGCAATGTATAGCCATCCTGACAAGCAGACAGTCATAGCACTTATCCTCTTTGATTTCTTTCTAATCCTGTTTTAAAGCCGTCAAAGTTTCTGGACACCATTACATCTTGGGGAAGCAAATTCCATGCATTGTATGAAAAACATTTTTTATATCTTCTGTCCTGAATCTTCTAACATTCCGCTTCATTCAGGTTCTGGTATTATGAAAGAGGGAGAAAAACGTTTCTGTATCCACTTTCCCCACATAATACGTACATCATTTTGCACATCTCTATTATGTCCCTCCACCCCCCGTTACTTGCTTTCCCCCCTAGACTTAAAAGCCAAAATTGTGGCTTGGCTCATAGGGAAGTTGCCCTGGCTCACTGAATGCACCGCAGTGTGATCTTATCAAAACTGCATCATTTCTTTAACAGGCTGCAGAGCAATCAAGTCCAACCACTGAATATTTTGAGTAATAGCTACAATAAGGCTGTGAAATGTTTCCAACCTTCCCACATGCTCTGCAATGGTGTCTTCTCCATGTGAGTGTGAACTCACTAGTACAGATCATACACATGGTAGCTCTAGTATCAGGAATCCAGATTGGCGCCTTTGACCCTATAGGACTATCTTCGGTCTCTTTTTCTGGGTCTGCCTAAGGGAAAGAGGAAAGAAAATCTCACATGATTACAGATTTAAAGAAACAACCACCATGATGTTCTAGTTTTCTAACTAGTGCTGTACATATTACAACTCTTCACCAGTTGATGAAATTAAACTGAATTATTTTTAGCAGACTTCAGTGTGAATTTGGTGGGCAGGGAGGGAAGGGGACAGAAAGCTTTCATCAAGGAGGCATAGGGGGAGGAGATCATTTGGGCCTATTGCATATATTTGAGATTCAACTGCAGAAAACTCCCCAAAGACGAGAATGTTTTAACAAATGTTTTAATTTGTTACTTTACTATCAAGCATCTGGTGGGGAACTAAAACCTATCAGCAGGGCAGGACACTGTAGAGAGAGAAAAATGTCCATTTGCAGGTGCAGGCTGAATCCAAATCGCACCAGCAAATGGGCAAAGTGGGTTTTGCTGACAGCAAGCCCTTTCTGCTGCACAAGGGAGTTCCTGACAGAGAACTCCTTCATGCAGTTGGTCCCAATGGGACTCACAGTGCCATTGAGATGACTGGAGCCATCAGTGAGCCACATCAGGAGCTTGCTGGGCCTTACTAGGCTTGCAGGTCAGAGGTTCCCCACCCCTATTATTTTTCTTAAAACTTATTACAGTAAGAGTAGTTCAACAATGGGACCAAGTACCTGGTAGAATAATGGTCTCTCCTTCACTGGAGGTCTTCATGCTGGAGGTTATCTGTTGGCTATGCCCTAACTCTGGATTTCCTGGGTCAAGTATCAAGTTGGACTCTGATGGCCCACAAGCCCTTCAATAGAAGATCACTCTACTAGGTAATTGATTCCACAGTTGAAGTGTTCTTACTGTTAAGATGTTTCTCCTAATGTACTACTGAAAAATCATTCTCCAGTAACACACTAGCTATGTAACAGTTATCAACACAGGACAAACAACCGGCCTTTTCTCCTGACATTAAACACTTGTGCCTTTGGCATGCATAACAGGTCTATGGACCCAAATCACCATCACTGCCATACAGTGTGTACAAGCAACAATTTGGACCAGAACAATTTGGACATACCTCTTCAATACTTTTACTGGGGTTAAAAGTGATTCTTTTCTTTGTATATTCTTCGATTGACCTGGAGATGGCTTCTAACCACTCATCTCTTTCCGTGGCAGAACTGTTGGGGGTAAAACACATATGACAATTTGTTTATTTAAAAGCATTTATATACCACTTAATGTTACAGTCTAACAACCAAGTAATGTATCATTAAAACAAAAACATAATGTAAAACCAATAAAACAGCAATATAAACAGAGAAACATATAAAAGTGAATCAAACAAAATACAGGAGATTCAAATACATAAAGCAGGGTCCAATCTCTTGGGATAGGGAAAGCCTGGGCAAAAAGTTTTGATGGTTGCTACTTCATGTATGGCAGAGAGAACGGCATTCCACAGTACAGGGAAACAGCAGAAAATGCCCGTTTTTAGGTCACCACCCTATGACATTCTGTAGGGTGCTGTAAAGTAAAAATTTCCCAGTTGATCTATGTGACCTTACACATCTCTTTAAGGGCAGGTGGTCTTTCAGGTAACCAGGTCCCAAGTTGTTTAGGACTTTATATGTTAACAACAAGACATTGAACATGGTCTAGTAGCTGATTGTAAAGCAACTTTCTCACACCCAACATAACTTATGCTTTTATCACAACATTTAACTACCCAATAAATATTGAGGAGAAAGCACTAAGCAATACTGTACTGTGTTATCAAAATACACATAATGTTGTGCCTAAAGGCATACCTTGCTGACAGAATGAAAGACCGCTCTACACTTTCTATGTTCAGTTCATTCTGGTAAGCTTCATGGGTTGGTTTTCTAACCTAGGAAGAAAAAAGAATGAATAATCCAGTTGTAAAACAAGAAAAACAATGTTCTGCCAACAACCTGCCATCTCAAAAGGCTTGGCAAAGGAAAAAGGCGTAACAAACCAGTACAGTAGGTTCAGAAATTAGAAGCAGAAGACAATTTCAACACACACACAAAAGGAGTAACATTTGCAGGAGAAAAAAATAGCTTTTAATCTGGGAAACCCAGATATTGGAATGATGAAAATATTTGGCCTGGTTCGCACAACACAGTAAGCTGAAACATGCCTAAGAGTGAAGGTACCAACTCTCAGGGAAGAGATCGTGGCAGATTCACTCCTCCTCAGTCCTTCACTTTGGTTTAGCACGCCATCCATATCTGGGCTCGTAGTTCTGGTCTCTCCAGAGCAACCATGAGCCATAAACCAACAATAATCCTTGGCTACTGATCATGGTTAGTCTGGAGGGATTTAAACCACAAGCCTGCGTTCAAACAACATGCCAAGCCACGGCTAAATTCAGCATGGTACAGCAGCAAAATTACTGCAGAGAGGCAAAGTGGCCATGATCTCCTCCCTGGGAGTCCCTAGGAGTCTGTGCTATGCTAAGACATGACTTGGCTTAATGTAACATGTAAACCTGGTGATTTTTTTCTCAGACCAGTAGCATGAGAGGGGGCCTATTCTGCAGTGCTCCCCTTCCCAGGTTGTGGAGTGCTCTTTCCTCAAAGACAGATCTTGAACAGTATGTCTTTTGTTGGCATAGTCTTTGGGGAAGGGCGGGGAACTGTGGTGGACTGTATTGTACAAAGATAAGGTATCTTCCTTCAACTGAATACTGTTTTAAATTGTTTTGATCACAAACTCATACAGTTTTATGAGCTTGTATATTTTCGACTTGATGTTACATTGTTTTATCTATGAATGTACCCTGGGACTATTAGTGAAGCAGGGAAAGATACACATAACAGGCACGTTAGAAGCACAAAAGGCTATCAGTAAATGAAAGACTGTATTCTTTATCAGCATTATAGTATGTCTTAGCACACATTAAATGTCTGGGCAGGCGTTTAAGCTGTGAGTGACAAAAACATGTTACAGAAGAAATTTTATCTACTCACTTTCATTCCAGCCAGTGACAGCATGTTGTTGAGTTTATACATTCCAGACTGTACGGGAGTTGTATACAGCAAAGCATCATTAAACTGCAATATAAATATTTTTTAAAAGTAACTGAAATTATATGTAACATATAGGGACTTTTGTACGTTTCACATATCAACTTCCACCGACACAGGGAAAGGTGCAAAAGACCATCTCTGCCCTCTTTCTGCCTTCTTTGTTCCCCCATTGTTCTTGTTTTTCCTGCTCCTGAGGCAGAAAAGACAAGTAGCAAGGCCTTGCAGAATGTCCCCCTTTCAGTGGGGGTGTGCACATTTTGATGATGACAGAAGTGGTGGGATTGGGAAGGGGCCCATTCCCCTTCCACCTTAGGTGGTGAAGCAGGACAGGCTGTCCCTGTCCCCAGGCTATGCTGGGCCCATAACAATATTCTGCAGCCAGGCAAGGGGTGCCCAAGTTTGTCCTCTCTGTTAGGAACATCCTGGGACCTTTTTCTCCTCAGGTCCCCATGTGCAGGCTACTCAGCACAAGGATTTCATTAAGTTCCATGCAGAGGAAGCCACGCTGTGGCCAAAATTCACTGGGACCATTTATCATCACCCTGCTGCTTCCATTTATCATCATTAACATTAACAACAACAACCACCATTATTATTTTTTCTTGCAAAGTTCACCCAAGTGATGTTGAATGCATGAAGCTTAATCAAATGCAGATCTGGCAATTTAAATATTAGAAACTTGCTTTTGCAGTGTGTCCTTGTTGCCTTGATAAGCAAAGAATCATTTTTAATAACATTATTATAGGATTAAAAAAACACACATTACAAGTATAGCTAAATGCTAAATAGTTGCCTTGATTGCATTTGATTAAAGACCCTGATGCATCTGAAAGAGAACCTCAGACTTTGAGCAGAACATTTTTCAAAAATAAATGCTACATAAAAACCACCAAGCAGGAGAGAAAAGATGCTTTATTCATAAAACCACTGTGAAAAGGAGACAATGATAGTATAAACTGAAATATAAATTATTCAAAACCATTAACTGGAGTTGCTAGTTTTTGTTTTTGAAATTGCAGTGGGGACAGACTGCACCATTATGAAATCACTCTAGCATTAGGTATGTAAAAACATCCATGGCATCTTACCAAAAAAAACATTCGCGGCTGCATAACCTTCCTGGACAGTTTCATCAACGTTCCTTCTTTCAAAAAGACCTGGGCATTCAAGCAAGCAAATAAATGTAGTCAGTTGCTAGGAGTATAAAACTATCCCAAGGAGAGTGCGAGAGCACTTCCATTTTCAAACATAGTATTAAGTACATACTAGTCAAGAGCCCAATAAGACAACAGAGCAATACTGCAGAGACAGGAAAGGGCACTGCTAAAAGAGAGATGGTGGGATTGCTAGGAGAGAAACAGCTACTCCTAGTACTAGAAGTAGTCTGTACGGCCAGGATGCTGCTTTTGGAAGTCAAGTGGGAATGGGACCTACTCATTCTGCCCAGAGACAGTATGGCAATGTGGCCTGGGCAACATTGGTTGGCAGGGGTGCCAACTTGAATAAAATATTGGGGGCGGGGGCGGGGAGAAGGTAAGCCCTGCCCCACCTAATCGATTACATGACTTGATGCACACACACCATTTGTATGGCAATACCCATCAATGGGGGGTTTTTTTGGGGGGGGTCCCCTCAAATATTTTATTGGGGAAGCCCAAGGGACCTCAGCCCCTCGGAGTTTGCTCTTATGGACAAATATTTGGTTGGTTGGCCTAAGCTAGACTTTTCCAGCCTAGTGTCCTCCCGACATACGGAAATATAATTCCCATCAGTCAGCCAACATGATAGGAGTTGGTAGTTCAAAATATCCGCACAGCACCAGGTTGAGCAAGGTTGGTCTAAGCCAATGATGGTCAAACTTGGCCGTCCAGCTGTTTTGGGACTACAACTCCCATCATCCCTAGCTAACAGGATCAGTGGTCAGGGATGCTGGGAATTGTAGTCCCAAAACAGCTGGAGGGCCAAGTTTGGCCATCACTGGTCTAAGCAGACCCCCACAGTGCACTACAAACTAGACTAATGGGCTATAGAAGTGGCACAAACCTTTGTTTGTCTTATTCCCATCACAGGAATTAGCACCTTTGCCTTTGCAGAGGCAAGAGTTACTGTCACAGATGGAGGTGACTGATGAAACAAAGAAAAAGAAACCCCAGATCTTCCTTTTCCCTTTTAGAACTAAAACCTATAAATGGGCCATAAAAGTAGTTTTCACACACTAAGGTTTGTTTGCTTTTCGCAACCTGCTGTTTGCTTGTTGGTCAACTTACCCTCCCTGGCTGTACAATCTCATGATGACCGTTTAAGCTGTACTGTATTTGCATAAGTTTCTGAAAGTTGTCCTAGAGGGTGGAAGCATAAATAAAGTTCTTGTAAACAAACTGATGAAAAGTTCCATGGTGGAAGAATCCTCTGGGAACACCAGGGAACCACACTGGTTGTTCACTCTAATTGGCTGCAGAAGTGTTGAAGTCAAACACACTTCCATATTCTATGATGTGTACCAGTATGAAAAAAATTACACAAATCCGAAAAGTAATATTTGCTGAATTAAAGGAGCTGAACACAGGAGATTTAAGTCTTAGGGCCTAAAACTGCAGGGTTAGCTTTACACACAGGCCTCCACAATTTAACACACACTGCCCATAACAGTAAAAAGCTCCATGTTCCCTCCCTTGTTTCTCATTTGTAAAGAGACTGAAGTTGCTTCAAGTGACCCATTAAAGTCATGAATAATCATGTCTTCTATCTAGAGATCTATGAGCTTTCCAGGCAACACAAATGTGTCATGGTTCAAACTGATATCCACAAAGTTGGGCTTACTAGTATACAGCTAAAGTAAAATGGCAAAATACAGACAGACAGAGAAATAAAACCTCACAAAGCTGCTGAAAACCATGTTAAAATGTCCTTTCAAAAAGCCTTCAAAATGGAAGTCTTTATCCCAGTTTTTGTCTGTATAGGATTTGAACTGATTTTTCATATGGGATGTTCTTTTAAATGGATGCTTTAAAATTTATATGTTATTCCTTTGACTTTTCTTATATATGTGGCTTTTATATATGTTCATATTATATCATAAATCACTTCAGGATACCTCATGGGAAGAGATTAATAGATAAATAATATTTATAATCATAATTATTATCACCATTATCACCACATTATTCCACAACTGAGATACTTACTCCCTGTTTCATGATGTCATTAGCATGGTTAGCCACTTCTATCACAACAGCAAGAGCATCTTGAAAACAAAACAAAATGTATTTCAGCATTGACTACAGTATGTGTCAGTATTAAAGACACCTAAGTTTAATGGAAAGGACCTTTTTATTTCACAACTTAATGTAAAAGTTGACCAACAAAGTTCAAGATCAAGGGGAAAATACAAGAACAGAACTTTTTTATGCAATATGGTTTAGATTTATTTCATATACATTAACAAAGAAACATGATTATCGACCACTCACTACTCATGGAGACATGACAAGACACCTTCATTTAATTTGGAAACATCTGTATAATAATAAATGACACTACTGTGCTCAACAGGGAGGGTTGGGGAAGGTAATTTTTTGGGTATGTTTTCTAAAGTTCTTATATCTGAAAACGATTCCTGAAAAGGTAAGGACACTTTGGAATAAGTCTTAAAACAGTAACTGGGGGGGGGGGGGGTTTACATTTCCACAGCATCAACAAATATCAGGGAAATAGGAAAGAATGTGTGAGATTTTAAACCTTCCAACTGTGAGAGTAAGAAGATTATCTTCTCAACAGAGGCAACTAAAAGCTATCAGGCTATATTAGGCCTGAGGAAGGTCTGCAGTCAAACATAATATGGCCTTTGCCCCCTGACACAGAAGAGTTCACACCCCTTGATCCCTCAGCGTTTTTATATCAGGAACCTCTGTAGCCTTAAAATAGCCAGCAACTATAACACAGAACCTTAGCTCTGGCCTTGTAGAAATTATTTCTGACCTTCAGGGATTCCTGAACCGGTGGTGCTTACACCAAGAGGTTTCTAACCCCCCCCCCTAAAAAGTGTTTTTATACATGTTGGAAGCTGCCCAGAGTGGCTGGGGCAACCCAGCCAGATGGGCAGGGTATAATTAAACAAACAAACAAACATGACTGGAAGTGAAGCAAGGTGATCTCTGGCAACTTCCTCACCCTGGGAGCTTCCTATGCCACCTTTCCTGCTGTTTAGAGGATGCGCCCCAATCCTAAGAGCAAACATGCAGGCCACTGCAAGAGAAGTGTAACCCAAGAAACCTGAAAGTGAAACTTTCTCTCTTGCAGAAACTCTGGATCCAGCCTTGTGGCTGTGCCACCAGTGAAACGACACACATAAATTCAAGAAGATGTGTGTTTTTCATTAAACTATGGACTAACTACTATAAAAGCAATTACCCTGAGTATCTCTGAAGTCAGCCGAATCTTCTAAGAGGTTCTTTAAATAATCTGTGGAAAGAGAAATGTTATTAAGGAAGAGAACTGGATGAAATTATTACAATGAACCTCTAGGTGGCCCAGTTGAGCTATAAGATTATTATGTCTCCGAAAAGGTTTGCACATTTACAAAAAGTACTCACACTCACTGATTTCAAAGGGACTTAAACATGTTTAATGTAGCTGAAATGTACTCTGAATGCACGTGGTTTAAGCACTGGTCCACGGTATTTCTAGAAGTGCCTTATGCATATATTAAGGAGAGGATCTTCTCCCTGGTGCTTCTTGAAACATTGAAATGCCCTCCCAACGAAGGCATACTGAGCACCAACACTGTATTATTTCTGGTGCCATGTTAGAATCTTTCTATATGCCAGGCATTTTAAATTACGACGCTTTGAGATGATTGAATAATTTTATTCCCCTTAGTTCCATCGCATTGTTGCTTAGGTTTCATGTTATATTTGTAGGTTTAAAATGCATATGTATAGTGCCCCCTAATCTATTTTTTGTTATATGGTTTATGATTTTTTTAAACATAAAGGCAGCATAAATATGGTGCTTGCTCTCTTCTCCCCCGCAGAAGGCAGCAAGCATCTTGGTAAGAAAGAATAGGTTGGGGGAGGGGTCAGACTGAAACACAGCCAGGCAAGTGCAGTGCTGTTCAGCTTCTAAAATGGGTGGCAGGAGACACAAGTAGATTGTGACTGAATGGGCAGACTGGACAGCCTTTTACCTCTGAGGGATTGCTAACACACACAAAAGGTGATTTATTTACAGTGGTACCTCGGGTTAAGAACTTAATTTGCTCTGGAGGTCCATTCTTAACCTGAGGTACCACTTTAGCTAATGAGGCCTTCCGCTGCCACTGTGCTGGCACCGCCGCACAATTTCTGTTCTCATCCTGAGAACCTGAGTACTATTTCTGGGTTAGCGGAGTCTGTAACCTGAAGAGTCTGTAACCCAAGGTACCACTGTACTGCACTTATGATGCACCATTATTTCCATTGTGGATCTCATGATAGAAGCTTGGAGGGGACCTAGACCTGCTTAGCTTTTTTTGCAAGGTGGCTGCATCATGTGACCTCAGCCCATCCTCTGAGAGTGAGCATGCTGTACTCCAGCCACCAGCCCTTCAATAACTTCTCTGCCAGTCGGGGATGATTAACAGCAGCAGTCTGGCTGATCTTTCTGACTGCGTGTTCATGCAGATCTCTCACACAGAAGTGGTGATTATTCCCCAGTGGTTTTCTGAGTTTACAGTACAGTAATTAGCACTGCTCTTCTTCAACCTCAAGCACTAACTGTAAGTTTACGTTACAGACTTGGATTTTTTCACAATGACAACATGGGGGACAAAATTCCACACGGTAATTTCTAGGCAAACACAGCATTTTTGCAGAGTCATAAGCAGCAGTGAAAGAACTCTTACTATTTATACAGCAGCTGAGAAAAGCAAAGCAGTGGATATTTTTCTGGCAAGCAGACAAGCCCTAGAGAAGGATGCGACAAATAATAATAGTTTATAGGATAAAGGTGAGGAAGGCCAAATGGATATGAATAAACAGGAGGAAGGGAAAGAAATGACTACACTCTTGAGTCAGAGGAAGGCCTTCTCATTTTGCTGTGTTTTGCTCCTGGAATTCAGTCTGTCAGGAATTAAGTTAAGCTAGGGCATCCCAGAGCTCAACTCGAGATCCTGCATGTGCAAGGTTTTTGATCTATGTTACCTGCTGCAGGAAGTGGGGATGAAAAGGTGATGTTTGTTTATTTCTCCTTCTCACTTGTAGTCTCCTGTGCTCCAGAAAAGCTGTTCCAGAGGGTTAGTGGACCCTCCAGAAGACTATGGGAAATAGTGCTATGAGCTGCAGGGGAACTGGGGAATCATCAAAAATTGCTTCTTCTGGAGAGTGCTTCTCCTGTATCTCATAAATGAAGGGGTCTTTTCCTTTGTGGAAGGGCAATGGCTCTAACCCAATATGTATAGAAGTGTTTTAGAGAAAGTATATTTTATGCAACAAGCTATATTATGTATAGCAAATTGGTGTGCACATCCCTTTTCTACATCAGAGTAATTAGCACCCTTGACTATTCATTGAGTCCTATATTTGAGGATTCAGCTGAGGAGCTTCTTAACAGAAATGATGCTCAGAAGACCCGCAGAAGACAGGTTGTGAAATTAGTTTCTTCTTCATTTTGTTATACGGTCTTTCTCAAAGCCCAAGAGCAATAATGTCAAACCCAACATTTACAGCTCCTGACTTGCCAAAGCACTTACACTACACAAGAAAAAGAAAATAGAGTGAGGAAGTCTGAATAATGTGGAATTCACTAACTCAGCGTAAATCATGTTCTCTGCATCTTTAGCAATAAACCTGATATTTCTGCTACACTCTGTTTTTGAACATGTTTGCTGTTTTCACACTCTTTTAGGGCCATTTTTGACCCTTTTCATGGCACTTTCGGGTTCGTGGCAACGCTAATGTGTACAGTCGCATGTAGTGACCATCAATTCAGGAAATTTCAAAGCAACTTTTTGTGTAGATTCATAGTAAAGGGATTATATGTTCAGGGCATGACCAGTGAGACATATGAGAGGTCCATAGACAGCTGAAGTTCCCACACACTGGTAAGGAAACAGCAGAAAGGAGCCAAGGTGGGAAGGTGGGACTATGCAGAATCCATAGACTACTCTCAACATCAAAGAGCAAGGATTCTGTTACAGTGCCATCATATGCGTGTTTACACAGAAGTCCTGCCATGCTCTATAGGGAATATATCCTAATAAATGTTTTTATATGGCCTTATGGCAATAGGGAAAAAAAGGAAAGTCAATTTTACAAAGGAGTAGTAGAGTATGGATTTGTTTTTTTAACTATAGCTAAATCTATAACAACATGACCAAAATAAGAGAATATGCATGGATCAACACTTGGTATAAGAAAAATATTTATATTATATCAGTTTTCAGAGCTTCCCTTTCCCTTTTGAAATCAATACTGTTCTACCCTGAACAGCAGAACCAGAATGAACAGCTGTGGAAACATAGCATAACATCATAGCCCTGATGCTTATCACCATCAACATTTATTCAGCAGAAGACGAAAAAGAATCAGCTGTGCTCTTCCTTTGCATTTTTATCCACTGCAGAAGAATTTCTCTGTACAATAATTTTTCCGCGCATTTGAATTCAGGTAAAAATATTCTTAGTGAATTGAGGTTTGCTACCTGTAGAGCATTGACTTTTAGCTCTCACCTGTCAAAAGCAGCCTGTACTGGGGAATCCTCTGAACTGGCTTAAGCAAATAGTGCTTCAGTGCCAAGTTCGCGCAGCGGGAGCTCATCTGAAAAAGAAAACACCCAGGATTTTGAAACTTAACATTCTTTTAAAACAACTTGCCTGAACCAGACCAAATAGTTTACTCTTGCTACTGTCTGCAAGCTGTATTGGTTTTTTCTTTCTTTTTTTTTAAAATGGGCTGTTATTCAATTGTGGTTTTGCCTTTGCAGAAAGAAGTTTTGATGAAGCCAGTGGCTCATCTAGTCCAGCAACTGGTATTCAGAAGCATATAGTGGAGGTAGAGTATAGTTATCTGGTAGCCACTGATAGCCCTATCCTCCAGGAATTTGTCTAATCCTCTTTTAAAGCCGTCTAATTGGTGGACATCACTGCCTCTTATGGGAGTTAATTCCATGGTTTAATGATGTGTTTGTGAATCGCAGAATCATAGAATTGTAGAGTTGGAAGGGGCAACGTAAGTATTTCCTTTTGACTGTACTGAATCTTCCAGCATTTAAGTTTCATTAGATGTCCCCGAGTTCTAGTATTAAGAGCAGGGCTGAATTAGCCATTAAATGAAACAATATTTTGAATTAGATCTATATGGGGGCACCAAAATCTTTTAAGTGCTTAGGGTCTCCAAAGGTCTTACTCTGGGGCCCTGATTATGAGGGATAAAAATGTTTCTCTACGCAGTTTCTCAATACCATGCATACTTTTACACACTTCAATCATGTCCCCTTTTATTTGCCTTTTCTCTTAACTAAAAAGCCCCAAATGCTCACCCTACAAGCAACCAATAGAAGACTTTAGGCTGGCTCACATTTATATAGATGTAGAATTTAGCCAACATGTCAGCATGCTATGACACCAACAGCTTCACCATTCTGATCATTTCCTCCACACCCCCATATGAGCAAAGTATAATTGTGGCTACTTTAGCGCCACATACAAAGCAGACAGGCAGCAGCAAAGTGTGATAGAAAATAAGGATTTTCTGACTTTACAAATCTGAGGACTAATTTAGATGAACGCATGGTGCCTCAGATCAACATATGGTATAGACTCAACAAGCAATAACTAAGGAAACATGGCAGCACGATGCTTTGGATTTGCATTTTGGCAGAAGACTGAATCTCAAATGGAAAGAGACTCAGCCAAGAGGCTTGACCGGCTTCTAACATTCCATTCAGTTCAAATGGCCTGAAAAAGTCATTTATTGCAGACAGAAGACTTGTACAGGGCTGATGAGAGCCTCACTAATAGAGAAAATATTACTTCCTTTCTTGTTTACATTTATTTTCTTAACCTCAGTTATACATTTCACTGGATGAAAGAACAGACAAGGAATGCTGCTGCCAAATTGCATCGGATGCAAACCTCCTTGCTAGCTGTAAGTCCACGTTCATCAAACTTCATAAAATAAAATATATATCAGTTTCGATTGTTGCTTTCCATATCAGGTTCTGCCAATTCATTAAATGTATAGGTTTTATAAATCTGTCAACAGAACTAGATACATTTTGTAAACTACAATATGGCAAACAAAATCTTTTGATCACAAAGAGATTCCAAGACACTCTTCATGATATTGTATCTTTGAAGAATCAGTGCTTTTAAGAATGAATGTTTCAGTTAGAATTCTGACTTGGGTGTTTTAAATTTCCAGTCGTTTGCTCTGCTGTACTTCCCTTGCAGAACTTTGGTTATACAGTAATCGTAAAGAGAATGTTTACTTATTTCCAGTTACATATTATGCCCAAATACGATGTACATGTGTTGCTTACCAGATGTTATTCTTATCGCTTGCTTCTTGATCCTTTAAAAAAGATCCAAGCTACTATGGGGGATGTGTAGAATCTCTGCTCACATGCATTTTAAAAAGGGACCAAAAGTGAAAAAAAATATGTACACTATATCCGACAAGAGACATGTGCGTGCATTTTGTATTCTGGCATTGTACAAACCAGGCCTTAGAGAAAACTAAAGTCAAAAGATGGAATGTATCATCTGACACCATTGATAAAAGGTTCCATTACCTCAAAGTCTCGAACAACAGCAGCAAACCCAGGGTTCTTCTTGCATTGCTCATCCAGGAGAGCTACATTCCTATCAAATTCTTTGATGTACGTTGAATACATCTTTAGGTATGGTCCTTTTTTCAAAAATATATCAGCAATTCGCTGGTGGTCAATCCTAGAATTTAACACCATGGACAATTAGAACTTAAACCTGAAGAATGCATGACGGAGGGGGCATATTTCTCCCTCTTTCTATTCCTTCTACACAAGGACCTCAACCTCCATCCTGGGAAAACAGTGCCTACCCCCAGGCCTCCTCTGCGACCCCCTGCTCAGTCCCTTTCATGTGTTAAGAATGAAAGTGTTTGCAATTTAACAACATGTTCCAGAGGACTGCTATTGAAACGGGCATCTAAATCAGAAGGGGGCAGCTAGTAGCCTTTGAGCTAAACCTGGCCATTGGACAAGCCTCACTTCTTCATATATACCCTTCAAGGTAAAAAGAGGGGCCCTTGTAAGCCTAGTCAAGATTTATCTGACTTGGCTTCATAAGAACAAAAGGTATGACAAAAATTCAGATTTTCTTCCATCTCCTTTTCCATCCTTGCTACACTGCCTAGCAGAACTCAGGCCCTAACAAAACACGATGCTATTAATGTTGCTTGGCCTTGAGAGAAAGAGAGTTTTCACATATAGACATTTGGGGTAGGTGGAGCTTTAACCCTTTCTGCCACAGCCCTGATCCAGATGTGGGGGGATGCCTGCTATTCAAAGTGGGAGGAAAGCACCCATTGGTACCAATGGCTGCTATTTTCCCACTGCAATTAGCAGCCAAATGGCAGCAGGAGGCTTGACTAGGAGTATGGTGGAACAAATAGTTAAAGCCTTCCTCCTCCCATGTCATAGTCCTGACCTGGCTCAGCCCCAATCACCCAAATAGCCTATGGCAAAAATAGCAAACACAGCCAAGCAGGGTCAAATGACATTTTAAAAAGGCTCATTTAGTCAGGAGTGATTTGGTCATAGAAAGTAAAGATGAAGAGGGAAAGGAACTTAGTACCTTTGACCCCAATAGCCAATCTAGCTGCAAACTACTAATATATGTGAGTACATAAACACACACATGCATCCAGGGAAAATCTCAGTTCAAAAATAGCTGCATTGCAACATCAGATATTCGTAATTCAACTTTGTGGTCTAAAAACAGCACACAATACTAGAAGCCTGAATATCCCAATATTCTAACCAATAAGTAAGCAGGAATCTATGCTCTGAATATGTAGTTACCAGTGGGACAGCCGCTCTTCAAGTTCTCTCAAGAGGTCCCGATTAAGCTCATACAGCTGAGGTAGGTAGTACAGGATCTGGTTCAGGATCCTGTCTTCAATGACTGGCTTTCCAAGTTGCCTGGAAGCATGTGCTACTGAATCCCGGAAATCCTGTTAGAGTACAAACACAGGCACACAAAGAGCCTCTGAAAATCTGGTCTCCAAGCAACTAATATAGGTCACACTATTTCCCTTGTATACATGCAGGAGGCCCATTTGGCCACATTCTCCAGGACCAGATATGCAGTCCAAGGTCAGACACTCTCACTTCTGTGCTTTGGAAAAGAAGGGAAGTTCAGGCACAGCTGATCCTATGCTTAAGCTTACTGAAGAAAATAGGTACAACTTCTGGAGAAAATGTGCCTGGAAAATACCATACCTAGCCACAATCCATTTCTCTTTCTGATCTACTAGAATGGAAAGCTGTTTGACTGTATTTTGTCAAAGGTGCTGAAAGTTCTTAGGAGACCCTTATTCTCCTCAAATAGCTACAATTCCCAGAGTTCCCCAGGAAGTGGAATTGATTGTTAAGTCACTGGCAATTGTGTCTGTCTGAGGGGAATGGGTGTCTCCTAACAACTCTGAACTCCTTAAATTATAGCTCCCAGGACACGTTATGGGAAGCAAAAGACATTGCAGTTTGAAGTGGCTGCATATGGAGCCAAATACTCAAAAAAGTGCTCTTTTCTGAATTTCTCTGTCTTTTATTTTGTGAGGTAAGGGGAAGATCAAACACCCCATCTCCTTACATACTTAACCCACCCACTGAGTGGGTTCAGTTCATCTTTGCCAGCCAAGCAATACTTTATGTAAACAGTGCAATAAGGAGAAATGTACAAATCTAAACAAGGCAAAGCAATTATGTAAATGCACGCACAGCTGTTTTGCAACGTGTGTGGGGGTGGGTGAACACTGGTCAGCACTTTCCTTTCCTTACAACCCCTATTAAGATTAGAGGACTTGAAGCAGAAAGGAACAGAGGTACGGTTTGGTATTGGAGACTCAGCCGCACAAGGTTTCAGTGGAAACAGATGGCCTCATTCATATGGAAATGCTGTGTTTTTGTATGTTGTAAGCCAACTGGCGACACAAAACTTAACTAGCCTTTTTACATCCCAGGGGTGACCTTCAAACACTGCCTTCACACAGAGAAATAAGTTGAGGAATTACTATAGCTAATCGAACCCAGATGGAACACAGGAGCTCCAGAGAACTTTAAGCAAAGAATAAGATGCATAACTTTTAACAGGGAACACTTTTAAAAACATAAGAGGAAAAATATGCTGGGAATGTGTGTACTCTTAACTTGCACAAGCCAGACCTATGTTGCGACCCAATCCTGAATGCATTTATTCATGAATCTAGGACAGTCAAAAGCTAATAATTGTGAGGTCTAGCTCTTTTTGGCTTAAGACTTGCAACTAATCATTCCTTCTCCCTATTGATCTGATACATTCCGCCCGCAAAAGAAAACAAGAACAGATGTATGCTTCATGCTATGTGGAAAAGCAAAACGTTCTGCCTGAGCAACTGCAGGTCCAGTGATCCAAAACTCTTGAGCCTAGTGCAGCACATAATGCGATCTTTCTTCCACAAAAGGATGGAGTAAAACTATCTTGTAATAGGAGCAGGCAAGGCAGAAAATTCAATTGTTTGTGCTGTACCAGAGACGAGGAAATTATTCACCACATTTCTGAAGCGCATACTGCAGCTTACTGCCTTTCTTTCTTAACAGAGAGGTCTGGTGCCTTTTAGAGCTGCAAGACAGGCAGCAAATCAACAGATACAGATTACCCCACCATTGCATTGCCTTGCTGAGGAAAGCCACACATTGAATTTTTCTCAGCTTTTACAAGCAGCTGCTTACAAAGTAACCAAGCAAAATTCGTTACAGGCTTCCAGCAGTGCAACACTTTGCACTGCAGACGTTTCCCTCTTCATTCTTTAATATAAAAAGTACATCTGCCCATCTTCAGAAGCCACTGCCTAGTCAGTTCAGGTTCTAACATGAATATGCAGATTCTAACATGCCCATGTGGCTCCTAGGTGAGTCCCAGGAAAGGCTCAATTACTCTATTAAATTTTAATGGGTTACAGGTGCTGCAGTCTTGAATTACAGACTAGTAAGGTACAGCTTCATATACTGCCAATTTAAAGCAAAAAACCCCAACAACTTCTGCATCATCTTGCAAGAAATGTTGGAGCAGTGGTGTAATCGAATACTGCCTTTCATCTTTTTTTAAATTAAAAAAACTTACTACTATATATAAATTGCATTTCATTATGCCTGATGTCATGTAATCCACACATATACACATCCTGTAACCTTAAACTACTGCTACTGGCCAACTAGAAGAGCTAGCAGAAAGTGATTTGCAGAGGAATCTTTTGTTAACTGGGACTGTGAGGTTATAAGCCCAGTACATTTACCAAAGAGAAATCCTGGTGAAGTCAATGTCTCAACTGACATGAAAGATCCATACGCATCTATGCTCCTTCCTCCCATTTTGAACACTGCTTTAATCAGTTGCTTTCATTTACATCTGAATCATCAAACTATACTTTGCTCCTACTGACAATTAAAAAAGCTGCACCAGACTCCACAATCCCCAATTACTCCTAAAATTAAGAAGAAAAAACTGACTGTGGGGATCTTTGCTTTCCATCTGGAGAGATTCAAACAGCTCTTTTTTACTTAATGGAAGACTCACTGCGAAATTTAAAAAGCCCTGACCTAGCAAGCAGTCCTCAGCCTCTGAACTTTGATTGCCCAAGAATCAGCAAAACCTGAATCGTCAGGTTCAAACCTGGCTGCCTAGTAAGTCAGGCTCACATATTTCTTGTAATACTTGAAAACAATCTGTAGAAAAAACTCTATTCCTTTAATGCCTAGCTAAGCATGAACACACCCTACAAGTATTACTTTTCAGTATTTCCTTCAGTTTGGATGTTCTTCAATGTATACACAACCAAGCCTACACATTCTAAGAGAAGGCAATGGAGGTAAAATGACAGCAAGATAGGGCTGTGACAACCTGTTTCATTGGCGTATGGCAACAGGAAGCAATAAATCTGAACTCGGCATTAAAAGGGTGAGTCTGCCCTTGTCCCTCTCAGTTACATAAACTGTGTCATGAAGCCTCATGGCAGGGTTCACAGAGCTGGTAAGAGTATGCTATTTTCTTTCCCAGCACAAAAACTACTTGGCAACTCAAAAGCTAGCATAAACAAATTAAACCTGTGTTAATATATTCTTTAGTGTGCAAAAGTTCACCTGTGCGCACACAAACAAGAGCATTCGGAGGTCAGAAGCAAAAACAAATCACAAAAGAGCACCTCCCTCCTGCTCTACTGCATTTCTGACCAAACTGGGAATGTATGCACCAGGATTTCTGACGGCTAGACCTTCCACCTTTCCATCTGCAGGCCTAGAAATATTCTAGTACACGTTCTAAGCACGTTTGTAACATTCAAACTTCCTGCAGCACTTCAACAGAAAAATTAATGCACCTCAAACATTCTATTCCTTCTATTCATTAGGAAGCATTCCAGGAGTTTGGAGTTGATATTTAATTGCTGTTTCATTAGGGTATTTTTTTTTTAAGAATGCACATTTAAGAAACTCAATTGAATACATTTTCTGAAAAGAACTTCATAAATAATTAACTTTGAAACAAACATGCTTATGAAGTGAAATAAATACTTACAATGTGCAAAAGCTTCAGAACATCTACAAACCTAATACAAAACAAGAACAGTAAATATTATCTCAACCGCAAAGGAAAAACATACATACTTCCATGCATAAATCATTAAATTTTACACCAATACTTACACTTTCTCTGAGCTCATTATTTCTTTAGCAATATGATAAACTTTTGTTTTCTTCCCAGCTGCTTTAATCTGCAAATAAAATTAAACTTTGTAGAATGCAGACATGCTATTTTAAAAACAATGCAACAGCTCTAAATCTTAGTTTCTTTCTGCTACAACTTTATTGGCCTATTGCTCTGTACTCTGTATTCAAGTAAAAAAAAAGGTAAAGGACCCCTGGACAGTTAAGTCCAGTCAAATTTGACTATGGGGTGTGGCACACATCTCCACTTTCAAGTATTCAGGATACAAGTGAATTCATGTTTAGGTGCCATAAAAAATGTTAATGTTCAGTTAATGGCTAGTTTCCTCCACTACTTAGGAGTCTGTCTTAAAAATGGCACCTCTTATCTGTTGAAAGAAATTGGAGTCAGGATGATGTTACTGAGCCATAACTGGAAACTGAAAGTTCTCCAATTATGGTCTAATAATGAGAACACGCAGCCTCTGGTTTTAAAAAAGTTGATTGTCTTCACTTTCAAACAGTTATTTTTTAATCAGAGCTTGTCAAGGCCAAGAAATATGTATTTGTTTGGCTAACAATTTATACATGCTTTAAATTTTCTCTGCAGCTGCACAATGTTTTGTAACCGTCAAGGAAGGAAGGAAGGAAATTTGATCCTCAACTGCAAGATTCAATGTTTGGTAGGCAAGTTTGAGAAAGAAGATGATATTTGCCAATTAAGTCTTAAGTTCCATGTATACTAATACATGTCCTGTGAAACACAAGAAGCTTTCCAATGAAGATGGAATTGTCCAGTATGACTTTCCAGGGATGTTCCATGCACATCATTAGATTTTTAACTATATCTGTGCCTCACAAAGTTCTGGCAACAGGCATTCCTAATAGCAACAGGCAAGTGCAGTAATTTGAGTAAACTTTGGAGGCTGAGTTGGACTGGGCCCAGGGATGGATGGAGACAAAAAACAAAGCATCCTTCTAATGGAAAAGTGTTATTTTGCCTAGTCAATACTGTGATGATTTTACTCCTACCAATTCCATTCAATGTTTTAACTTTAATTATTATAATATTATTATTATTGTTTGCTTCCTACTGTACTTTTCTTACTGTTCTAAGCTGAAAAGTACAGTAGGAAGCAAACAGGGGAACCACCACTTATGCGAGAGTTCTGTTCCTGGCCGCTGCTCACATCCCCAGAATGTGTGCAAGTAGGGATTCCTCTTTTTGTCTTGAAAATGGTGCATTTTCTGTGCTGTTACATGAGTGACAAATTGCCTGTATTTATACTAAGAGGTCGTACAGAAATGGAGGAAGTAAATTAACATTAGAATGCCAGAGGAACACATTTGCTTTGATCCTAATTAATGTGCCACTGGTAGAAGTTCTAACAGGCCACTCCCACCAGTGTTTTCACCCTGCCTCAAAAATCTACTCTGGAGGGTTGGAGCACTGGTTGAGAGGCAGTGACTGAGAAAGGGGAGAATGGTGAAAAATGTTGCTCTGCTCCTATACGCCAGTAGTAGTTCACAGAGGATCCAAATTCTCTCCATTTAGAAAGTTAGCTAAGCTCCAAGTCACAATATCTACCTGCTTATTTTCCTGTGTATCAGGCTCTCCTTTGCTAGAGTCTGAATTTGTGTCATCGTCATCATCATCAGAGCTATCAACATTTCTCTGTAGCATCTCATCATCTGAATGTTCATCTTCCAACACCAAATCAGAGCCATCAAGTACTTCTACTGAGGACCTATGAAACAATTGTTTTACAATATAAAACATTGTATTATAATGCTTTGGCTGAGGCATAGTCACTGTTCATTAAATACGGCTACTTCATTGCTAATACAATCCTAAATTCTTTAACATATCCCAAAGAAATGAGACAGCAATCCACTTAAGATCTGCTACTAAGACTGTTTCACGGTTACAATAATGGCCTTCCAAGAGCATTACAAACTCCAACATCCTGGTGGATGCCTTTTAAATTTTCCAGACAGATGCAAAAATATATCTTTGTCAATGTTTGGGACCAAGCTCAGGATCTCTCTATATGCATGGTTTCGTTTATTTTCTGTGACACAACCATGAAAGTTGTCCTCCTTCATTTAGTTTCTTATGGATTCAAGGACATATTTTTACAACACAGTGCACAGTGGTGCTAGAAGACTGTGGCCCAATACACACTACACATGAGATACCACTTTATACAGTCATGCCTTCCTCCAAGGAATTATGGGAGCCATAGTTTAAGAGTGTTGAGAGTTATTAGGACACCCCTATTCCCCGCAACCGAGCTACAATTTAGAAATTGTGGCTTAGCAACCAATCCCTCTTCCTAGGGCACTCTAAGCAGGCATGTATAGGATTGCAGTGATAATGTATATAATATATTTATACACACACTAGTTATTATAGAAGTCAGCTCAAGTCTGCAAACAAAAATGCTTTCTGACAGCTGCCACAATAATTTTTTTTAAGTGACACCTGGGGACTCCACACTGCTAGGACCCAAGATGCTTTCACTTTTCATTAGATACACCCACCTTCTTATAGCAACTCAGAGAGGAAGGCCACCCTGACATCATGAAGGTGCTTGTTCCTCTAATGCTAGCATATAATCAAATGATTTTTTAAAAGTATATTGCTTAGTAAGACATTTATTGAATATTTTGGAGGAGCAGGGAGCATAGTTCTTTCAAACTACTTTTGCCTTCCAAATCAATTGGCCTAGAAATAATTGGCAAAGAATGAAGTGCTATAAAGTAGCTCAATCGTGCCAATAGTTTCAGGACACACTGTTTTGCTAGTCTTATGCATTGTACAGCAAGTCTGCTATAAGTGAACTATGAAAGAAAAGACAAAGTTCAGGGGTAGGTATTATTATTAGTTCAAGGACACATTTCAGCCAGGCAGAAACTTGAATCAGAGTTGGAAGGGACCCCCCCCCCCGCCGACGCTCATCTAGTGCTAAGCCCCATTCTGACCTCTAGGAAAGGTTATTCCCAATTCTAGGAGCAACCAAGTTCTGAAACCTGGATCTCATGACAAACTACTTGAGGATCCTTATAAAGACAGGATGACGTGTGAAGCAGCACAGTCCTGGCCACTGTGAGAAGGCACTCAGGGCCTTGTCCAGGGAGAGGACCCAACACCTTAGTCTTACCCGAGAACAAAGACCTAGCAGAAAAACTCATGGCTTACATCTGTCCACAACATTACTGTGCAAGTGACAGAGGTGCAGCAATCCTAAAAGCAACTGAATACACCTGAAACCATGTTTATCTTCTCCCCTTAGATTTCTTATTAATTTGATAGAATCTCTTTTAAACATCTGTCCAATACTCCTTTTTTTATTTGAACTCCTGACCTCATATCAGTTTTTCAAATTTACACAATATCCTTGAATAAGTTTACAAAATGAACGAAATGTACAATGTGCCCACTTCCTTTGAAATATTAATCTCCCACGTTTTCAGTGTCAAGGATTACCGCATATAAGCTATTTTGGGAAGAGAAACTTCTGCATTAGCAGTCATGTGAAACAAGTCACCATTAAATCACTGCACTAGTCTTTGAGTAAGAATGCCCTGTTGTATCATGTGAGCCAGCTACCTCTCAAACACCCACACACCCACACACCACAGCAAGAGTCTCTTTCGCTGAACTTAAAAGAATTTGCACTTCTTGAAAAAGTATCAGCTCAATCACAATGCAAGAATATTGCACTGGGTGCTGCCTTATTAACTTTAAGTTCAGAGCAGGTAACAAAAAAGCAAACCAGGGAAAATACATTTATGTAGAATAAAATATTTCTAACCACAACTCTCAGCATAATTTCATCAGAAAATGAGACTGCTACCAGACATTTTGCAAAGGCCACTCTCAGTGGCATATTTATCTCACTAAACCCAAAATCTTCAGATTTCTTTTTACAATGGTTAAAGATGCAGGATTACTGGGAATAACAGGGGGTATTTTTGTAGTCCAGAGGAGAACCTCAGGCCTGGGACCAAAGGTGACTTCTCTTTCTGGCCCCCAAGGCATACACTACAACACTCCCCCAGCACAACACTTCTTCCCAGGCCACTGGTTCTGCTTTGCAACCCCCTTGAGTGTTTCTACCTGCCTGGAAGGTGTCCCTGAACTGTGATAAATGTTGCTTGCTTGGATGGAAGGATGGTTGGGAGTGTGTGTACAAACTATTTTATGGTACAACTAATGTTGTTGTTGTTATTTATATATCAGCTTTCATTTCAAGAAGAAATAGCAACATCTGCACACCGTAATATCAAATCTGATGCTTCAATTCTGGGGAGTTGATACTTATTTTCAACTTAACAGCATAACCAGCAGCTAGTTTATCAGTATACAGTAAATACTCATTGGAAGTCTCATTTAATTGGATACTCTCTCAAGTGTGTCAAAAGCCTATCAATTACACACAGTTTTACCTTGTGCCACCTTCAGATGCATGCAAGTCCACATAAATGATTGCAAGAATTGTCAAGTTCACATAATACAAATGAAGACTTCCTAAACATATTAAGACAGTTTAGCAAGAGTAAAAAAAAACTTGTACACTTAACAGTATTAAAGAAAGGCACACCTGATTCCTATAAATAAATCTTCATGGCTGCACAGTCAACCCTAGTGGTCACTTAACTGAAAAAGGTGCCCCATTAATGAAACAAAATGCAGTCTTGATCAACAGCAGTATAGCAGAGGATGTGTGCAGTTGACAAGTTGCACCCAGCATGCTCCAACATCGCAACATCAACTGTTACAGAGTGTGTACCTTTCAAATCTCACCTGGCTTCTCAAAATAGCTTGGGCTGTGCTACTCAATCTTCTATAAAAGTTTATTGTAACAACAAAGGATCTCCTGGTGGCTTTTGATCTTTAACTGAACCCCAACCCAACCCATTGTAAGTGAAGCCTCCTAATTTTACCCCACCCTTCCTTTAAGGAGAGAATAAACAAAATACAAATGTGGTCTGTTAATTGGGTGTCATGCTGTAAGTTGTGAATAAAAATGTGTCCACTTATAAATATTATGGATAGTTGCTACAGGAAAGCTGCAAAACATTCAGGTACATATTGGGCCAGTTCAGATTTACCTTCACCAACAAGCTAACCATAATTTAGCAGCTGAGAATAAGCACAGGGACCACTATCGCTTTCCTTCCTTTAGAATTTATTTATTTATTTACTATTTATTTATTTACTAACTAGGATCTTAAACTATGAAGTGTGTTTGATGTGTCGGGCATATACCGTATTTTTCGCCCTATAGGACGCACTTTTTCCCCTCCAAAAATGAAGGGGAAATGTGTGTGCGTCCTATGGGGCGAATGCAGGCTTTCGCTGAAGCCTGGAGAGCGAGAGGCGTCGGTGCGCACCAACCCCTCTTGCTCTCCAGGCTTCAGGAAGCTATCCGCAAGCCTTGCGCGCCCGGCGGGAGGTTCCACTGGGCATGTAAGGCTTGGGGCAGCAGCCAGCAGCCCGAAGCACGGGGCGCACTGCGGAGCACGCCCTGTGCTTCAGGCTGATGTCCGCAAGCCTCGTGCGCCCGGAGGGAGATCCTGCCGGGCGCGCAAGGCTTGGGCGGCAGCCTGCAGCCCAAAGCACGGGGCGCGCTGCGGAGCACGCCCCGTGCTTCTGGCAGATGTCTGCAAGCCTCGCGCGCAAGGCTTGGGGCGGCAGCCTGTTCTGGGGGCTGGGGTCGGGGGAAGCTCGGGCTTCTCCCGCGCCAGGGGGGAAAATATTTTTTTTTCTTTATTCCCCCCCCCCCCAAAAAAAATCCTATGGGGCGGTGCGTCCTATGGGGCGAAAAATACGGTAATCTAATCCCAGTTCATCTTAACACCAGCTTCTTAACAACATTTGTCTATGCAATAGTTATATGACAACATTCACAGAAGAATGATGATGGACCTTATTTCCTACTAGCATATTTTCTGATCCCCATGTAGCTATCTAAATAGCCAGAAAAACAATATGGAAGTGCTATACAGAATCTATTGGCTGTGCATAGCATAAAAAATGTCAGAGCAACCCCCTGCCCTAATATTTTATTAGCTTCTTATCAAACAAAGCATAAGTATCAGCACTCCACATTTCTGTGCGCACAGAGAATAAAGGAAGAACTCATGTGCAGACATGTCTAAATAATTCCTAAGTTACCATATTGTTCACATTAGTGGAAGCTGTAAAAGCAATAAGGGAAACAGGTCTGAACACCACAGGGCTTTTGTCAGCTTTCAGTATCTTGGCATTGCTTTGGGTCTTTTTATGTGCTTCTAATGTCATGCTATTCCTGCCTTGATGTGCACCTTACTTGGCACCCATCCCTACTAGTTAAGTATACAGCTGTAACTCATTCTGATCTCCCTGGGAACTTAATCTTCAAAATTACTGAGCCGCAATGATGAAGGGTTCAGTTTAGTTAAACACCTGGACCATGGCTCCAACATAGTTAACAATGGCCCTCAATTCCATAGAGAGGGTATTTAGACAAATGGCACTAATAATAAGAATAACCCTACCTCCTATTATACAAACATAAAACTAGCATGTTAAGGAGAAGAGCAGGCTAACTCTTGTCAGAGCTCTTGTTTTCCATCTGCATGGAATTTTGTGTTTTGGCTTTTCATAAAGTGATACAGTCATTGCTGCAGTTCACCACTTGCAGCTTGAAACAGTTTTGCCATATGATTATCTGCTCATCTAGAAAGCTCCTGGCTTGCACCAGTTTTTGACAGCTTGGTAATACTACCTTAGTACAATACCAAACACACAAAAACATTTGAACCCATTTACTCTTGCGGTTAAATTTCCACGACCTCCCATGGACTTTCAGTATTGAAGGGAGTGGAATCCTTTCCTTATCCAAGATGCATAGGAAATCCTTTTCTACAATCTGATTTACTATAAACAATAACTAGAATCAGGGGTTCTAAAACAGGGATTAGAATGTCACCAGAAAGGGGGAGGGGCAGGCGGAATCCAATACTAATTTGTATTTCCTGAGCTAGCTGTTGCTGAAAATAACATACAGGAAAAGGCTGTTGTCCAGTCGTACAAAGAGGCCTTTCATCCATTCTGATTTTGTTAGACTTTCCGCTTCTCTTTTAAGTTACAAGTGTCTTCTGTGATCGTGTTGTAGGACATTGCTCTTACAGGAAGATCATGTTTTGGGGGGGGGGGCAGGTTGGCAGTCCTCCTCTCACTAAGCTGCTACTCAATCCAGGAGGGAAGCTGCCGTTGGAACAGAATCATATGAAAGGATGTTCTGCTTAAAAAGCAAACTAACTTATGGTTTAAGAAGAATGTTACTACTAATTATTAAAATAAAAGGGGTAGTGGTAATAATTTTTGTGTTATTTGCACAGCAAATTACTGGTGAAAGCTGTTGACTGATATTAAAATTTTGTGGTCCTATATCAAATGTGACAGGGTTCAAATGAATATCCTAGGACATGGGTCAGCAAACTAAGGCCTGGGGGCCGGATTCGGCCCAATTGCCTTCTGGATCCAGCCCACGGACAGTCCGGGAATCGCCGCATGGATCGGCGTGGGGATTCTGATCATTCAGGCTGTGCCATTCCCCCCGCCACACACACACACTGTGGCAGCGCCTCCTCCCTCCCTCCTCTTGGCTTCTCCCCGGCCTGCCTAGAGGAGGAAGGGGGCTGCACTTTGTTTAGCCACGGTTGGTTAAGCACCATTTTAAGCAGCCCCTCTCCAGAGCCAGCCCTTTTGTGCTGCTCATCGTCCCTCCACCTCTGCTGCTGCCGCCGCCACCAGCCCCTGCTGCTCGCAAGGCACAGGTAAGCAGCCACCGGGGCTCGTCTGGTGCTGTGGAGAAGGGAGGGGAGAGTTGGGGGGGATCCCCCTCAAATATAGTCCGGCCCCCCACAAGGTCTGAGGGACAGTGGACCGGCCCCCCGCGGAAAAAGCTTGCTGACCCCTGTCCTAGAACTTACGGAAGGTTTATTCACACTGTACATTTTAAGAATACTTCAGCTACTCTTTACTTCTAATAAAAAGTTTTACTCTGTTTGCTAAAGTTTATGGTGCTATTTTAAAACAAAATAAAACAGAGTGCTTATTCCTTACATGCACATTATGGTGGGGTGATCTGGGCACTGGGGTGCAGATCTTCCTTCCTCTTTGAGAAATGCATGAATTGGTAAAAGTATCCTGTGGAAATTACTCAAAACTTCATGTATATGCCTAACAGTCCCTGGGCTGTATATGGTACAAACAATTTAAGACATATATTGTATAGCTTCAAAAAGGTTCCCTGCAGTCAAGTTATGTCCAACTCTTCCTTGGACATGCCTGTGCACACATACACCAGGTGTACATATCCAGCTGCAACAGGAGAAAAAGCACCTGGAGGCCTCCTCTGCACAGCAGGTAAGAGGGCAGGGATGAACATTACTATGTGGGGAATTACTGTAAGGAACCATGTCTGCCTTTCCACCTGATTCAGCTAAAGATTTAAAGAACACTGATTAAAATGTTGCAGTAAGAGATGGCAATTTCATTGGAGAACCATTTCTCCAGTTTATGCATAAAAGACAGGCTTTGTCTTCCCAGTCACGCCTAATAATCGCATGGGGGAAATAATGAGAATTATTAGGGAGAATTAAAAGATAGCAAAACTGGCCTATGACGAAGAATTAGGGTACAGACGTTATTTGGTCACAGTCTCAAGAAGTCAGCATTAAATCAACATTAAGTGTCTAACCAGGGATGTGTCAAGGTTTAAGAAATAACACTTTCCAAAATGACAAGTTATTCAACATCTCTGCTGATCATGCAGGGATGCAAAAATACGGAGTGATATGGCCAACGTAATTCATTAAATATGACTTCCCGGTCCTTGAGGATACAATCGGGAGTGTGTCAGATGGAATATACTAGGGCACACACAGGATTGCATTGTGAAAGTCTGCAGAAAGAGTTTAACCAACCGTTTGTGTAGATGGACACCAAAATGTATATGATTTGCTCCCAACTCCAGTATCCTACCTGCTAAGCTCAGAACAGCTCCTTGTTGCATCATACAGTTCTTGTACCTCATACACATCAGCATCGTGGTCTTCAGCACTGCTAGAATTGTGCCACTCAAAAGGTGGATTTTTATCAGTTGGCACAAAAGGTAAATTTTCATACTCTGGGATTTCTTCATAATGGCTCACATTTTCATATTCTGGTACATAGTCATGAGTAAGAGAATTCACATGTCCTTGCGATAGGAAACTCTGTTCATCCAAGGACTGTGATCTCTGGCTATTTGTTGATTCATCCTGACCCCTGGACCTCTGCTTTCCCTTTTGTGAGGATATGCTGCCCATTTCTGCAGAATGTGCCTTTGAGGGTTTAGTTTTCCTTCCATTTGTTGCACTAGCTGCATTCCGAGTTTTGCCACGCGCTTCATCACTGGAAAAAGTAACAGTGCTGTTATCCGCCGATTGGCTACCCTTGGTCAAAAATTTCTGGAAGTCACTTTTCATTAAGCAAACAGACAGCTTCATATTTAGGAATTTCTTTAGTGAATATTTCTTTTGAGGCTCTTTGGGGGGCTCTTTTGGGTGTATTCTGTCCATATCTACAGAAGACAAGGATTTGGCTCGAGGTTTTGTCACAGCACTTGCAAGTTGAGTGTTTTTTGCATTCTTGGTGTTTTTTAAGGCTTCCGGATTGCCAGAAAATGGAAGAATGGGATGAGGTAATTTCCAAACAGGTCTCTCCAAAGACAACTTTGGAGTATCACAGGATTGCAAAGTACTTTGTTCTTTGGCTGACAAATGCCTTATACGAGGTCGCTCCAAGGGAGGATCTAAATCTCTCTGTTCACTAGTAATGTAGGCACTTTTCTCTATCAGTTCCTCTGATGCAGCTTTTTTCAATAGTCCGGCTGCAGGGATGCTGTGCCTTTGAGGCTTCTTAGGAACAACTCTTGGTGAACTTTCATCTTTATCTTCAGCACCCTTATGTTTCTTCTCTTGTGCAAAATCATCAAGGCTTTCAAAGGCAGGCAAATGCTGGTTGCACGATAATTTCACTTGCTTAGGCAAACTCATGGAAAGATTACTACACCTTATAAATCCAGGTTTTTTGTCATTAGCAGCCAACATGCAGTTATGTTCCATTATATTGTCAGCAGGATTTACTGAGTTAAGGTCTAAAGATTGCTCAGTATTTCCTACTAGGTGAGGGCTTTCATGCAGAACCTCAGGCAAGACATTTTGCTGGATCATTTCTTCAGATTCAGCAGATTCTGCCTCCTGAATCATTTCCCCAGCAACACATGAAGGACTCTCTGATTTATCAAGTGCATGTATAAGTTCTCGGTTGTTATAGGAAACACTTTGAAAAAGAACATTAATTTTTGTGGTTTTTCTAACAGCACGCTCAGAAAGCCCAGCAGAACTGCAGTCTGAAGGAAGTAGTTCTTTTGTTCCTTCTCCTGAGATATCTATGCCATCTTGCCGGATTAGACATGGAGCAGCACGTAGTTTTCTTGGTTTTGGAACTGGGGCAGATTTAGGGGATGGTGCAGAGCCTACTTTTAATGAAGATAAAGATTCATCAGTCCCTTTTGTGGAGATGCCTGTGTGCAAATCACTAGTATCAACTTTTTCCAAAGGTGCTGTGTTAAGCGAGCAACAGGAACTGTTGATATTTTCAGTCAAAAGAGGATTTTCTGACATTGCAGACTTGATACCAGGTATCTCTGCATGGTTGCTTGAATTGCCCATCATTTCCTCCAAGCTGGATGATGGCGAAACCAGGTCTGTAAACTCAATTTTAATGTCCTTTTTATAACTACTCATGTTATCTTTTTCAAATTTGTTCAAAGGTGTTTGCTTCAAACAGCTGTTATTGGGGCATACACTTTGTGTTAATACATCTTTGAGCTTTTCATCTAAAAAATTAGCCTTTAAAATTACCCTATTTTTATGTATACTTTTACCATTATGGCTATCAAGTATTGTTCTAGATTTCAGAGATGATGATGGTTGTTCAGCTCTATCAATGTTCTCTAAGTTTTCCAGCTGTTCAAAAATGGTTGGATTTTTGCAAGTATTCTCCCCATTCCCAAATTTATGCATGCATTCAAAACTGCATGAACACACAGATATAATATAAGCAGTATTTTCTCTTGGGGCTCCATTTTTGTAATTCAAATGAACCAAGTACTCAGAAGAGTCTATTTTGCATTCTTCTAAACTCTTGGCATTTTTCCTTAAAGGTGATGGCACATTTTTAATCTCAGGAACAGGCGAACAATTGAGAACCTTTGGTTTTGGTGCTATTGCTGGTTTCGTTTTCTTTGTGGGTTGTAAAACATCTGCAAGGACAACATCTGGTTTAGGTGCCACAGGAGGTGGCACTACTTTATGTCCCACCACAAATTTTGGTTTTGGGGCCACTGGTGGCTTCTTAATTTCTAGAAGGGGAGAAGAAAGAAGAGAAATATTAGGTTGGTCTAATTGATTCTGATTAACAATACTGATCAAATAAATATAGGATGAAACTTTAAAAAGCCAACTGTACTACTGCTATTTGGGGTCATGAAGAGTCGGTCACGACTAAACGACTAAACAACAACAACAAATAAGCGTTGATCACAATTTGTAATATACATTCTGATTCAAGAGATAAGCATGAGACAGCTTGAAGAATTTGATTTATCTGATTGTTCATAATCAACAAATTATATAGCAGTGGGAAGGAAGACTGTGGTTACCATGTCCTTTAAATGCTTTCCATACTAGCCATGAAAGAATGGCAACCAATGCTAACAATGATAATTTATACCAAGTATTAGATATAAAATATAAGTTGCAGAAAACATTTAATAAATAAATAAATATCACATTACAATCACACTTTGTAGTTTGACTGCACCTCTTTCTACTCACTTCTCCCCAAAATGCTTAAGTAAACTTTGCAAAAATTCCACAAAACTATAGCTACTAGCCAATAAATATTTTCATGTATCTGCTATCCTACACGTAAGTATATTAGTCATCTGTATCCTAAAAGAAAGAAAAACTATCAGAACATCCAGACGCAATCATTAGTCAACACATCTGGTTCCTCCTTTTCTGCCTCTGGACAGTATGCCATCATATGTAGAAGGAAGTGAGGAGCCTGCAGCCAGACAAGGTCAAGATAATCTAATGAAAATCAATAAATCAAATTAAAATTTCCTACCTGGCATCTTAACAGATTTTTTTGCTAGCTCTGGGCGACCAAGCCAATTACAAGGCTGTCATAAATTACCATGTGCAACTTGAATAGTGTGTAGCTCACCAGACGAGAACATCCAGTTGGGACTGTGGATAAGCAGGTTCAAATCTCATTCAGTGACAGTTTCACAAGTGATCTCAGGCCAGCCATACTCCATGGGTCAAGGAGACCTTACTCCCTGGCACAACTACATCCAGTGGTTATGTACCCACCCCATCACCCATGTGTTCAGCATGTGTGTGATGGGATTTCACATGCAATGTGATGGATGTAAAGTTCTGGATGCAAGGTATTATATTTTTGGAAGTTTTGTGGTATTTCTTTTTTTAATATTGGAATCTGCCCTGAATACTCTGACAGTAGGGAGGGGTGTCTTAAAGCAGGTGGTCTCCAAAGCAAAAGCAAAAAGCTTCAACCACTTATTTTCTCAGCAGCAACTGCAAGCACTGCTGTTTCATTAATGAAATATTCATTTATAGCAGATGATGACAAAATACAAATAGACTAAAATCTTTTATCTCATTTCTAATTAACATTCTGAGTAATTTCTCTTAAGGAGTCAAATAAAAAGGTCAAGCACAGACAATGAAAGGCAATGCCATGAAGTGTCCCAAGCATGGATTTACTAAAAGTTTAATTTATGTCATCCAAACAATGATATTGCTTCAAAACATAGTCTGGTACATATTTTCCTCTAAGTCTGAGCTTCGAAGACAATTTTGTTGGATGTGATCCACCTTCAAGGATCTAAGCAACTAACCCTGCCATATATTTTATCTTTAATTAATGGATTTGCGGTCTCATATTCACTGTGATAAACTTATCTGTAGGCGCTGCATAAACTAAAAGTCCCATACCATTTAATCCAGCTATTTATTACAAACTATTCTTACATGCCTTTTGGGGGGAAACAATCTACAGTTTTACCCACTGTAAGAGGAAGACTTTGTGTGTACCCTTCCACTTGCAACACTTAGGCCAACTTAGAATCACTTTAATAAATTTTCAATCATTTCTAAGAGGTTGTGAGTCCTCCAACCCCCACAGTTTCATCCCACAAATTTTAACAGTTACCTTCTCTCTATTAATTGTAGAAGTTACTAAGTTTCCTCCTTTGGCATGCGAGAAATTCATTATGACCTGTACAATGAAGTACTTTTTATGACGAATGTCTCCTTTCCAGTTCATGGAATTACATCCCTAAAATATTTCTATTCACCTGCTCCATGTCAAAGTCATCCACAACTCATCTGTTAATTTTAAGCTTATCACCAATCACCAACCACCACCCTGAACTTAGAATGTATTTTTAACATCAGCAGGCTCTTTCAGCTAACTTGCCAACTTCATGCTCGGTGATTTTCGTAATGTACAGGGCAAACAAGTGCAGACACGGTGATCCCTCATCCATCTCTTGAAAGAACATTCATCTTCCAGTCCTACTATTTTTCAGTCATAAAACAGCTACATAAATTGCACAGCCTACGGCAGTCTGGAAAACAATTCACATAGAAGACACTATAAACCTATGTCCTTCAGACAACTTTCCAATTATCCTACAGATTTTCAGACCCCACTCCTGAACAGCGGAGGAGCATATGCCTGCACTGCACAGGGCAGGGGCACTCCCGAGGGGTGTGGGGTGCAGAGGTTACCCTCCCAAGCACAGGGTAGCCGCTCGGGTGCACGGAGCAGCGCACACACCCTGCAACCGGGGTTGGAGTGAGCTGCCAACGGCAGACATTTGGCGCGCTGCCCGCCCGTGACTCCCAAGCTTCCCCTGAGCTGTCAAAACGAAGGGGGAAGGGGAAATGCCACCGGCAAAACAGCACAGCTCCCCCCTTCCCCCAACACTTCGGGATAGGCTTGGGAGTTGCAGGGAGGTGGCGTGCCAAATGTCACCCCTCCTCAGCGAAGACACCCAGGGTGGTCCACCTCCACCACACCCCCCTTTCTCTGTCCATGCTCTGAACAGCTTTGAGGTGGTGGGTGGGAACAGAAGCAGACAAGGAACAATATGAAGATGTATGTAGCTTGCAAGAACATGTTTCTCAATACTCAGGGCAGAAGAGGAAGCTCAGCTCAGAAACTTCTACACCCAGGAACTTCCTGGACTTGTTCCCCTTCAACCCAAACCAAGTGATGGCACATGAGCTCAGTAGTTCAAGAAAGACTACGGATTCAAATCCTAACTGTGTCTTTCCCTTTATGGCTGTACATAAAAGTGAAGCCCTCTCACTAAGATAATTACACATTGTGCTCATACAGATAACATCCTCTCAATTCAGTATAAAAATCCACTTGTGTGTATAGTGTTGGACTTCAGTGGCCACCTTATATCAATGTACCATTGGTTCATCTTAAGGTATCTATTAATTTATGGTCTTTAAAACTTAATGCCTACAATCTCTTCTACATATCCTAAAATAACTATGCTTTTTACCAATCCAAAGACTAAAAAAAACAACCCTACACCAAAAGCTTTCATCCTCAAGTTGTCTCAAGTAGCACTCTGAACAGACATTAATTTCTTAAGCATTATCCTCAAACAAAAGTTCACTTTGTGGCTATCAGCAGCCAAGCATCTCCCCATCTTGGTTTTCTAGCAATTAAATGGAATACTCATCTATGATATCACAGAACATCACCTTTTCATAGAAACCCCCTTCATAATTTTTCAGAAGCCTCAGACGTTAATCAACAACCCGTCTCAGACAATTCAATTTAACTCAGGTTGAAACTTGCCTTTTCCTTTATTTATATCATGAGGTGCACGTCCCACACATGTCAAGCATGAATCATACTCAGCTGGGTTTAATAGGCACAGCCCATCTGCTCACCAAGGCGCTCCAGACTCCTTTAAACAGGATACTCAAATTCTCTTCCAGTCGCTCCTCACAAATGCAGAATCGTCCATAAGTTTTCTGAATAAGAGCTGCTCTTTGTGGACACAAAGAGGAACTTCATGAATGCCTGTCTCAATGGCCTTCTGCCATGCCCTGAACCTCTGCACTTCTCAGACCAACTATATGTCTTGCCTTTTGTTATGCAATGCCAAACAGATATTCTGTCTCCTTTCCCTCTCATCATTGACTTTTTTCTTACTTAAACTCATATTTTTTAAAAATTCCCTCATTATAAAGGGTATCATTTTGAATCTAAAGAGCAGCAGGCAACGTGTAAAAGTGAATACAGCATTTCCACCTTCTCAGTCTTACACTGCAAACCTTCCCCCCCCCCATTCTGTTTGCTCAGTGCCTGTGATTTTTCCCTCCTTCAGGTGCATGAGCGTTCAACATAAACACAAAAGGAAATGACTCACAACATCCCGGAAGATAGCAAGCAATCTTTCAAAACATGGGATTGGGGAAGATATATTTTCTAAAACTGTGATGGTAACTGACATAAATGCACCCCAAGTCCAAAAGGAAAACATTAATTTAAACCCTTTACTTGCTTAACACCATGATGAAGGAAAACAGGAAAATTCTGAATAGCTTTAAAACGAATACAGAAGAGATGAACAAACAACTTCCTTAATCCGGATGGTGCAGCTGTACCTGAATAAATAGTGGAATTTTTAAAGGATCAAAAGGACACCTTACCCCGCTAATCTAATTTTTTAGCCTTTCAAACAAAAACACTGAAAGAGAATAATGCTCATCTAGTTGACGTCCTATTTGTTGCGTATTGCCCTCATCTGTGGTACTATCAGTGGCGTAGCGTGGGGGGTGCAGGGGGGGCCGGCCACACCAGGCGCAACATCTGGGGGTTAGGGGGCGCAAATCCACGGGTTAGGGGGCGCAAATTACTTGCCTTGCCCCGGGTGCTGACAACCCACGCTACGCCACTGGGTACTATGAAGAGTTCCTGGTTTTCGAAAACAGAATAAAAACTGCAGTTTAGTGCATTCAGATTAAGAGCTCAAAATTTGGACTTTGTTTTGCAACTGCATCACCACAACTATATTTCTTCCAAGGCACAGTCTCCAACTTCCAGCCTGATCATAAAGATGTTTACTTGGTGGTCTCTTCAATTTAGTACAATAGATGTACAGTCAAATCCTATGCATGTTTACATAGAAGACAGGACATTAAGTTCAGTAGACGTCACTTGCAAATGTGCCTAAGGCTGCAATCCTATGTGCACATACTTGAGAGCAAGTCCCTTGAGTTTAGTGGGAGTTAATTTCAAGAAAACACACACAAGATCAGAGATTATTGTAGCCTTTAAAATGACATCACCACTTTTTATGGACCTGCACCTGAACATTTACGCTCGCAGAACATAAAGCCACATGAGCATATATTTCACAGCAAAAAATGCATATTAATCTGATATTTGCTGAATATGCTTTGGGGGGGGGGATGTGCATCCTCATCCTGATACATTTTTGTCAACCAAAGAAACAAACAAGCCTTCCAACATTTTTTTCATCATAGTGCTCATCCCAAATCCCTAAATCACTAAATCTGGCAAATTAATTGAGCAAGCACAAAGCCCAATTTCTAGACTTGCTATGTCAGCAATCAGATATGCTGGGACAGTAGCTACACTGCCACACTGTTACAAAATGAGGTATTAAGATGTTCAACCGGTTCTGCTGCAAAGCTGACATAGTGGGAGGAAGCCCTGCCAACATTCAATATTCTACCTTCTCCAGCCCTAAACCATCCTAACTCAAGTTTATAAATGGGGTTATATTAATTCACACCTTGATTTTAACCTTCACTAAAGGCTATACAGTGGTACCTCGGATTACATATGCTTCGGGTTACATACGCTTCAGGTTACAGACTCCGCTAACCCAGAAATAGTACCTCGGGTTAAGAACTTTGCTTCAGGATGAGAACAGAAATTGTGCTCTGGCAGCGCGGCAGCAGCAGGAGGCCCCATTAGCTAAAGTGGTCTTCAGGTTAAGAACAGTTTCAGGTTAAGTACGGACTTCCGGAACAAATTATGTACTTAACCCGAGGTACCACTGTATACCTAAACAAATATTCAGTCATGTAGCCAAATTTAGCTTCTATGTAACCACGTCCACTACACACTCTGGGACTCTTAACATATCAAGTGGGGAAAATGCAGGAGATGAAAGCCTACTGAGTGTTTGCCAATAATGTGCATGTTACTTATGAGATCTATTTTATGACCTTCTTCAAGATTGAAATTCTCTCATTCAAGAGCAGACATACTTACCAGAGTGGTCTAGCTGCTAGGAAAACTCCACTGGCTCGTTCAGACTACTCCACTGTTAAAGCTACTCTTTGCCACCCCCAAAATGCAAACAAATCCAGTTGCATCTCCCCAAACCAACCATCTCCCCAAACCAACCATCACAAATCCTGGAAAATGCATTGTTAAACTAAACCCAAAGCTAACAATAGTCCACATCATCCTAACACTGCTCTGAAAAGAAACTGGCAACTCAGAATTATCAAAGTCTTAGGTACCTACAGAGTTAACACGTACATGCAAGGATTAGCTGTCTTTTTTACACTGTGGAACCCTTTTAACCTTCTCTCAAGCATCACCAAAGCTTCTGTCTCTGATTCAATAGACAGGCCTTAGAAGGTTTCAAAAACATTTCCAACAGATCAATGGAAACATAACACTGCAGATCAATTCGTTTTAATTTTAAGGAGCAGGCCCTGGCTTCACATGTTCCTTCTCTTCCTATGCCAGTTGCTCATGGTGCAATGTTACATCTAGTTAGCTGTAACCCAGTTTAGCCCTGCAAACCCTGGTTAACATACGTCTGTGCAGATGCAACAGCCACACCATGGTTACGAGTGTAGGGGGGATGAAAGGGGTGGGGTGGGGAGTTAATGTAGGTGAGGGATGGAGAGCCCTTTCCCATCTCTTTGTGGTTAAGATATCACCAGCATTTCTGTGCTAGGTTATTGAGATGTTTTTACCAGCTTTGTAACAGTACCACAAAATGTGGATTGGAATACATTTTGCTGCTTATTTCACAATGCACTTCACTAAGTGCAATTTTGTAATCTGGTAACACTGTTGTTCTTCATTCCCAAATTGTTTCTGGTAATAGGAAACTCCCTTCAATTCAATTTGGAACCTGTTGGCATTTACAGTATTTATTGGAGAACTATTGGGAAAACCTCAGTTTCCACAGAAATTCCCTCCCAACTGGTAACAACGGCACATGTTCACGAATGCCTCTTGTTGTATTGCTTGATTTTAAAGGGCCTCTAAAAATGTTCTCATTTTTGCCTAGTTGCTTGCCACCAAGCACAGGTTAGAAAGAACTTTCAAAACACATGTGCCAAATCTCATTTTACATGTGCACATGTGCCAAATCTCATTTTACATTCTAAAATGTAAAACACCAGATCCATTATAAATCCAAGCTTTGCAAGCAGAACAAATTTTTGTTCTGAACCAGATAGGTACAAACTTTGGCTGCATCACAATTACAAAAACAAACACCTGTGGATGTGTCCCATCAATGCAGGCATTTCCATTTGAGCAGCAGGACTTTTGCCCCCCTCTGCCTCCTGTGCATACATACCCTGTGTCCTCCCCAAATCTGGCTCCAGAGAGTTGGAGGGATCTGCCGAACAGATTTCTGGGGCATGCACTGAGAGGTGGGTGACATTCCATTGCACAAGCAGAAATCCTTGTGCTGCAGAACATTCACAGAGTGCTATGTTGGATATAACCCTAAGGGTTCAAATACTGAAACATTTATTGATTCAACTCTGTCTAATTATTTAATACTTAAAAGTAAATACTATTTGCCTCCAGGAACCTTTTTATCTTGATTAGTCACCTTCCCCCTACCATTTTCTAATTATTAACTTAATTTTAGCACTAGGAATACACCTCCAAGATTATGAGCCATTTTGATCTTGGAATGAGATCTAATTGAGAAGACAGTGCAATTAGCAAAGTATGAACAAAAAAATATGGTGGGTGTCCTAAAGTAACTGCTAAACAACAGAAAATTATCCAAGTCAGTTACATGTGCACTATTACAGCTTTGGTAACATAAACAATATATTGCCAAATAATTAAAATGCAAACATTAAAATAATTCTGCTCTCAATGATGTGCCAATTAATAAAATTGCAAAGACAGCTAGGTAGTGGAGAGACTTAATGGGTTTAAGGCATTACTCCAAAATGCTTCCACAGACATCTGAGGAGCAACCATGGGACAAGCTGAAATATGTCTACATTTGACCATAGACCGCAATCAGTAATGGAATGCTTCCCATTAAGGAAACATCGTAAGTATCCATTATGCCTTATATCTGTTTTTTGATACTTCCATGAAAGGAGCTGATAAGGATGATTTATCTGCCGCTTTCCATTCAATGAAGAGTGTTCTTATTTATGCTGCTCATGAAGGCATAAAGCAGCTATTAACCTAGAGAATGGGCAAACAAAAACATGGATAATATACCTCTGTTTCACAAACGCTCACCCTTCCCTGAAAAATACCCAGAAATACAATAACTTCTCATTTAAAGGTGAAAAAAGGTTAGGGAATGCCAAGCACTGATGTTGATCAGTTCAAATAAAAGCCTAATTAATGCCTTCCATGATGTTGATCAGTTCAAATAAAAACCTAATTAATGCCTTCCATGATTAACATATGTGACTAAACTTGTATGATCTTGATTAAGATGGGAGTATACTCTTGAAAAGGAAATAAGTATCGGTGGAATTAGCATTAATAATTCTGGTAATGCCACATAAACAAAATAATGCTCTTATAAATATTGACTGCTATAGTAAAACATGTGTATTTAAGATTGATTTTTACACAAGAGGACAATTCTCCAAACAAAGACTTAAGCTTAGAATTCTACTTTCCTACAGCTCACTCTACCCCGAAACACAAGAATTTTGCTGTGTGTTAGAAAACCCCAATGACAGTCTACAAAGTCCAGACCTCACCCAGATAATAAAACTGTGTGTCACGAAAAGGGCAACAGATAAGAATACCTAGTCATGTGTTCATGTGTGCTCCACTGCTGTAGAGACCTAGTAGCAAGCCATTATAGGTCAATGAAAATTCAGCACTGGATCTGAAGAAAGATTCACAAACCAAACACCCGCACACTTTGGTCACTTTCCATGTCATCCAGAGTATCATGGCTGCTGCAAGCTCTGCAGTTGTTTCCATGTCATTCCTGGAGTTTATCCGTTGCTTTTGTAGGTTGGATGAACTTAATACACACCACAAACACTCTAGCACCTGGGCAGAAGATATAAATGCTACCAGGTTGGTGTAGGACACTCTTCCCCAAGCCTTTCAGAAATTATGGACTGTAGTTTCCATTATCCCCAATAATGACCATGGTCACCATTGGCCATGCTCGTTGGTGCTGATGGGAGTTGGGAGTTCAACAAAATCTGGAGGCACCAGTCTGGGGGAAGCTGGTGTAGGAGAAGCCATGAAGGCTACAGTAACCATGCTATTGTGGAGAGGTAGCTGTCTGCTATAGCAGAAACAGAGCCTTTTGGCATATTAAAGATGAACAAATATATTATGGATTAATTTTACACATTTACAATGATTCCTATAAAGTGAGAACAAAGAGTGCCTAGATCTCAACAGCTGACCTCAGGCTCCATTGCTTGGCTATGTCACAAAGAAACCATACACACCCTATTTAGCTACAGCTTACTTCCAGGCAAACATATTTATGATAAGGATACAAATTACTGGTAATTTTGCCAAGTGCCACACAAAACTTGACTAAACAAGGTTATCAATGAAGTTATCAGGATGAGAATGTTTCCTGCACACACATGGCTTCTCAGACACAAGCTCTATTGAGGTCAATTAGATTTATTTCCAAGTAAGCCTATATATGATTACACTTGAAGGCTGCAATTCTATACACAATTAACTGAGAGTAATCCTGCACTCCAAAACCCAGGTGCAATCCTACCCCCACTCCTACTGGGAGTGGTTAGGATGTGGTGAATCTTAAGTAAATTATTTATCTAGGAGTTATCTACTCCAACTGAGGAAAGGCCTGCTTACTGCTGGTGCAAGTTAAGACAGCCCAAGTTACACTAAGAAAAAGGGGTGTGTCAAGAGTAGGGAATAGGTGGAGTAAGGGAGAAACAGATACACTGCATATTTACCAGCTCCATCCACAGGTAGCTTACACCACCAAAACTGCAGACGTTAGTATAGTTACAGGTAGGTAGTCGTGTTGGTCTGCCATAGTCAAAACAAAGTAGTGTGCATGCACACGAATGCTCATACCAGTAACAAACTTAGTTGGTCTCTAAGGTGCTACTGGAAGGATGTTAGTATACTCTCACCCCAAAAGGAATAAATACAAGGGCAGAAAGTGAAGGTTTACACTGCTTCCTGACCCCACCCAGACCAGAGAGTTAGGATGCAGCCATGGGTGTAGCCAGGATTTTGGGGGAGGGGCAGACCTTTCTGTTAGGGGGGCAGAACCTCAGATAGTTATGCATTTTTTATTGATTTATTGATTTAGCTGCCCCTCTCTGCCCCCCTCCTGGCTACGCCCATGGATGCAGCTTAACTTTCACAGGAAATACACTGGTATATCTGCCTAGTAAGAATTGTTCTACAAGCCCCATTAAATACAATGGAATTTAATTCTGAGCAGCTTAATTTGCACAGGAAATATACTGGTATATCTGCCTAGTAAGAATTGCTCTGCAAGTCCCATGAAATACAATGGAATTTAATTCTGAGCAGATATTCATAGGATTCCGTTATGGTTAAGAAGCATCCTCATGCACCAACACAAAAATTCCAATTGCCTGTTTCCACAGATGCATGCACGAAAACGAATTAAACCATTTTAAAACACAGTACCAATGCCTGCAAACCATTCAAACATGAGCTCCCCACAGTTTTATAATTTTAAACAAAGCTGACTTTGTTTTCCTTAATTGGGGTCATGGCATAAAATAAAATATGCCTTTGTTTTCTGAATCATGATGGGGTAGCTAGGGTCAACTTTTTTGTTCACCACAGCAAAAACTGAAAGAAAGTTTACTAAAAGACTATCTTCCTAGGACTATTTGTTTATAAAGTGGGAGCTCTAGGCCTGAAGCCATACAGATCGCTTCTCCACAATGTTAGTAACTGAATCAATTTAAAACCACAAGACGACACAGAGTATCAGAAATGCACTCAACAAGTTATCATGGGTTATTATGAGTTCTATTTAACTTGAAAGCTTGCCACATGTTCGTTCAACACAATAAAAGTCACCTGACCTGTCTGTGTACCTCACGCAATGGCCAACTACACCTAGCAGAGTTTCTAGGTGTAGAGAAGTACAAGCATTAAAAAGAAGATGACACCTCCTTTCCCCATTAAACCAGTAAGTGTCCTTTGGGGGGGAATTAAGTTTTCTACTGAATATCTTTCTCTTTTGGGTACCACCTCGTGGTTCTAACAAAGACACCCACCCACCCAAAGAGTGGGGGGGGGGGAAATGAAGATGAATCATTTCCTTGAGTATCTGCAGGCACAAAATAAGGAGGATAGAGTCCAACCATACCAAGCAGGAAACTGGTGCTTTTTAATTTCCTCCCAGTAGTTAGAATCACGAGAAAACAAAGACGGACTTCACAGGACACTACCGGAAAAGCAGTTATAAACCCCAAAAATAAGAGCACCAGATCATGCACTTCTCTCTGGGTACAGACCTCAAGACGAGTATTTCGGAATGGAAAGCTCTCCGAAGGGACTCCGTTGTTGCGTGAAGGGGGGGGGGCGCCAAAAACTGATGAGGGGCTTGGGAGAAACCGGGGGGGGGGCTCAAGTAGAGCTATAGCACCTTCCCAGTAAGTGCTTTTCTCCCACTCCAACTAAGGGGGGAAGGGACATGACACAAAAGACAAGCGGGACAGCGGGGTGGGGTGGGCGCTGTGAACAAGGGCAGCTCGACTTCCAGCCTAGAGGAAGTTTCCCAGAAGACGACCCCCAACCAAGCAGAGAATGAGTGGAGGCGGAAGGGGGCAAAGGGAGTTTCCTTGCATTGTCTGCATCCAGCCGCGTCTGGCTGGGTAGCCCCGATGTCTCTGCTGTGTGTGTGTGTGTTTCCCCCCTTGTCTTTCCTGCACCGGTCGCAGCTGGCTTCGCCGGATGAAGAGAAACTTCTCCGCAACTTTCCTCCGCTCATCCCGTCGAGAAACTCACCGGCTGAACTCATGGTGCCTCCTTCCCACGCGCCTCTCTGCCGCTGCTGCCTGCCCCTTAACCCGGCGTCCTTTTCTTAAGACATAGCAGCTCCTCTGGAGTCTGCGGAGAGGAAAACAGGCCTCTGCTCTGTCTCGGCGGCTGCCGAAAAATGCGGCTCGTTCCCCCGGCTCCCGCGGAACATCCCCGTCGAGGAGACCGAGAGCGACTCGCACCGAAACGAGCCCCGACACGGACCAACTCTCCGTATACGGTTCTCCCACAGCTACAACACGAAAGCCCCCTAGAGGCCGAGAGCCGCCAGTGCAGGCTTAAAAAGCAGAACCAAAAAAAATCTCTGTTCCAAGATAAGCTTCCAATCAGCGGAGCGCTACCTGACCTGCCTTTCTCAACCCCGCCCCCTCCGTCCTTCGCGGTGGCTGCTGGGAGTCGTAGTTTTCTTACGCCGGCAGTTGGGCCGTACGGGGAGATTATATACCGCCCGGGCTCGGCGGACTCGGTTTCCCGTCGTGCCTGGAGGGCAGAAGCACGGATGGCGGAGAAGGATGACACCGGAGTTTGACGACGAAGTGGTGTTTGAGGTAGCGAAAGCGCGGCCTATCTGGGGGTTTCTGAGGAGGCCGCAGGCGGAGGAGCCGGCGCCGCGGGTCCTTCACAGCCTCAGGCGGTGGGACGGGGTGGGGCGGCCCCGTGCGTGGATGTTGGGGGTGGGTGGGGGTACCTCGCGGGGCCTTCTGCTGGGAGCGGGGGCTGCCACAGAGGGGCCAGGAGGCTCTGAGGTGGTGCTGGTCTTTGAAACCGCCCCCCTGAGAGGGAGGGAGGGTCGCCTTTAAGCACTTGGAGGGCAGCAGCTTAGACAAAAGGGGCTGGCCATCTCGCCACAATCCCATCCGTGCCTGCCAGCCTGGAGCCAGTTCCAGTAGAGTTCAATAATAATAATAATAATAATTTATTATTTATACCCCGCCCATCTGGCTGGGTTTCACCAGCCACTCAATGGCACTTGCTCCCAAGTGAGGCTGCATAAGATCGGAGCCTGCTTTTGTGGGAGGATGAAGGCACCGTCTGCCCCCCAAACCGTGGTTCTCTTTGCCATTTAAGCTCAATAGCCTTTTTTTTGTCCAAGGAGCACCCACCAGTCAGAGTTGTCGAGGCAGATGGAGGGGGCACCACAACAGGGTGCTGGTTGCCCCTATAGATTCCCCCAATTCAAATAGCCTGGTTAGTTTTGGTAACAGCCCCCCCCGCCCGGTTGAAAATGCTGCTGCTCAATGACAAGCTGGGGAATGGTTCAAATGACAGCTATCCTAGATGCACATGCTGACCTGGATTTTATTGCAGAGACCTGGCTGGATGAAGCTGGGAGTGGGGTTAATCTGTCTCAGCTTTGCCCCACTGGGTTTCTCTGTACAGCTAATGTTAGAAACTCAGATATATAATGTAATGACCAACTGGCACCTTAAACCTGTGTACAGCAGCAGGCAAGATCTAGGGGAGGGATCTGTCCTGACTGCATTTCCCTGACCAGATGTCCTCTCCAGCAGCCCACTGGGTTCAAGTGTGCATATCTGAAGATAGGTGGCTGGGGCAGAATAGGGATTCTGCAGATGTACCGCCCACCCTGATGCTCAACAGTCTCCCTTCCTGAACTAGCAGGGAAGGTCTTAGGGTTGGCATTCATGCTGAGGCTTCGCTGTCAGGAGTGGATCAGGATTTCATGTCTGCCATGCCAAACTTGAGTCTGTCCCAAGTAACTTCTGACTCCTATCCATGCTGCAGGACACACTCTGGACTTGGCTTTTTGCATTGAATTGGATGGTGGTAGTCTTAGGGCATAGCAGAGTGAATTCTGACCACTGACCCTCCATTTGTTAACACAAACTCCTAGTGGAGATGTACTCTTTCTGCTTAAAGACAGTGTGTTAGTATTAAAGTATAAGGGCTTTTTTTGGAAGAAAAAACACCCCACCCAAAGGTCATAGATCTCACTTTCTGTAAAGCATCTTTGTTTCCCCCACCACTGCCAACTTATTTATAGATTTACAGTACTTCTATTAAGATATAATTCCTCTTTTTGTGGCAGACCTGGCACAATGCAAATGCTGTTATCTATTTCAGTAATATTGGTTAGATTAGTAAACTGTAATAATAATAAAAAAATGAATTCAGCCTCTTGAAATGTATAAAAGAAAGCACTTTCGTACACTTTCATTAGCATCATAGGCATATGGTGTAGCATGTGTTTTTCGTTTATGAGGTTTCTTCCATTAGAAATCCTTGTGGTTTAATTGTAATGGATAAATAGTATTTACCTCTTGAAGTTTCACTGAACAAAAAGTTTCTGGAGTATGCTTTGAAATGGACATCTCCCTTATAAGGAGAGACCACTAAAAGTGTGTGTGTGTGTGTGTGTAATTTTGTGCTATTTGGTTTTTTTTTTTTTTGCTATATTTTAGTTGGCCCAATAAAGGTATTGCCTAATATGAACTTTGGAAACTGTTTACAGTGGTGCCTCGCAAGACGAAATTAATCCGTTCCGCGAGAGTCTTCGTCTAGCGGTTTTTTCGTCTTGCGAAGCAACCCTATTAGCGGCTTAACGGATTAGTGCTATTAGCGGTTTAGCGGCTATTAAAGGCTTAAAGGCTTAGCGGATTAGCTGCTAAAAGGCTATTAAAGGCTATTAAAGGCTTAGCAGATTAGATAAAGGGGGGGGAAGCGAAAAAAAAATCTCTAGACTCGCAAGACATTTTCGTCTTGCAAAGCAAGCCCATAGGGAAATTCGTCCTGCGAAGCAACTCAAAAACGGAAAACCCTTTCGTCTAGCGGGTTTTCCGTCTTGCGAGGCATTCGTCTTGCGGGGCACCACTGTACTTAGAAACATACATGGTGAGCTTGGGGATCAGCCAAACGCCCAGTCACCCAATGGTCTTGAGGTTTTCGTCTTCCTTGCTAGCTAGCTACAGAAACTCTTCACTATTTTGTCTTTAACTGTGTTACAACCTATCAAACTGCTTCCTTGACCCCCTTCCCAAACAAATAGTAGATGTCTAGGAGCTAGTTGTCCCTGCAAAATCCTGAACTAGAAGTTCTTTTACATGTTCAAAGAGACTGCTAACAGGCCTATTAAGCTCATTATAATAAGCCATGTTAATTTCTTCTCTTTCAGTTGGTTCATTTTTTGCAAGCATAATTAAATTAAAGTGTTTACTAAGTGTAATCATTATCAGAAGCGATATTAGACGAGGTTAATGGAAGGGGGGAAACTTAACAGTTGGAAAACCAGTTAGTTAAGTATTTCTATTGTTTTACTTGATGGGGGGGCAGCTGCCTCCCCTGACCCTCTTGGCTACGCCTATGTATCCATGCAAACTAATTGTTATTCTATGCTGTCGTTTCTCAGTACATGATCCTTTTGTATTGGTAGTGTGTTTGATATCTTTATACAATATATTTAAGTGCAAAAGAATAGTTCATACTCTATCTTTGCTAGAGTATTATTTTATTTATTTATTTGCCCCTCATGTATTATACCTATTCCCTCTATTATTGTGGGATTCATGCATACATTGCACAGTTAAGTTGCACGATCTGATGCAGAGAGTTGACTTTCATGCTGTACTAGTGCAGTACAAGCAGTACTAGACTGCTATGTTGCTTTCTAAGTTCAGACATTGGTTGATAGTGGTTTGTGGGAAAGACCTAATGTACTGTACATAACACTGAAGTAAAAAAAAAAAGCCTTTAGTGTACTTCAATGAGGTGCATGCTTGTTTTCAAAAGTTTTAAGAACACTCTTTAAATTGAGAGTAACACCCAAAAGTAATATACATATATAGCTGATCCATTAATTTGCAAGTCTCGCTGACTTCCATAAGGCTTCCTTCCAGATAAATTGGTGTAGCTTCAGATTTTCTGGAAAGTTACATGTGTATCTATTTAATTTAGAAACAAACTTTGATTAGGTTTAACTGTGGCAGTTTCAAGATGTGTGGTTTGTTGCACTAATAAATCATTGCTACTGGTGGAATTGCTGTTGATGTTCTACCCTATCTGGACTTTTTTCTGGATGCGCATTCCTCTCTGTTTCATCTACACCAGTGGGCATAACATAGAAAGTCCAATGAGTGTCAAGTTGGAAAACTGAAACCAAACAATCCTTTTAAAAAAAATACATAAAAATCAATTAATTACCATGAAGCACCTATTCATTTAAGCACAGTTGCCCAATGCTAGTTATGCAATGCAAAAAAAACCAAAAGATTTTTTTTTTTAAGATTGGAAGTATTAATTGGGGATGATGGCAGATGCTAAAACAGCAGAGACCAGAAAGGATTTTTCCTAGATTTTAAAATTAGTTTTATTTTGTAATTTCACCATAAAAATCTTTCATTTCAGCACTATTTTCTAATATTTTAAAAGATATAGCTGGAGAAGCATTTTAGTTCTAATTAAAAGATCAATTAAAAATTAAATGTTTAGGAAATGGTATCAACTGCAAAGGTTAGTAAATGTGTGTGATGTATTCAGCTCTGATATGTCACTGCCAAAACCATGACTCTTAAATGTACAGAAGTGTAATGCTACACCTGTGGAGATTATTACATTCCACACATACCCCACACTTTATCTTCGCCAAAAAGCCAAGAAGCAATATACTTTTCCAGCTATCTCAAAAAAGTCAGACTTTCTGTGTATGAAAAATGGAGAATTGTAAAAAAACCACACCATATAAGTGGATGACAATATGTGGACCTCTTCACTTTCCTCCCAGTAAAATGTGAATGAACAAGAGGGTGATTCCGCACTAAATTCCTAGTATAGAAGCAACCCAGAGATACCACGAAGTGGAGAATGAAAATGGCATGTATGAGGAAAGAAGATGCATATGCTTGCAGCATGTTCCTAGTTTCTAGCCCACGGAGATGAGCTGTAATGTCTGAATTGAGCCCTTGGTATAAGATCCTAAATTCTGGCCCCCAAACTATTGATGAGATGCAAGTGCAAACTGCTCTTGCGGTTATTGGAAAAAATTACAAACTGTGAAGTGAATTCAATAGCTAATAATTTTCTATTTTAAATGTGACTTATTCCCATATATTCAGTTGACTTCATGTTGTTTCATATTTTTCAAGTTTGAAATACATATCCATTGCAATAGCAAACTGGCAAGTGGAATTAAAAAAATGGCAGTCTTAATGACCTGGTGCAATTCTTTTATGAAAGGTTCTCATTAGCTTTAAAGGGTTTCCTTACTGTAACCACATCTTTTTTGTAATTTATTCATGAAGCCTGTGCTGTTACTAGAAGCACTGTTTATGAACACTCAGTTGTACTGTATTTTCCTTCATGTTATTCATTGTATACTTGTTGGAGATATGAAGCATTCAGTATGGAACTGAGACGCTTGAGGCACCAGAATGAAACATGGTTGTCAAAACACTTTATATTATCCTTATACTTCTTTTGTGTGAACTTTGATACCTAATAATTTTCCTGTGTGTGTGTTTTGTTGTTGTTGTTGTTGTTCATATTAATGACATAATTTTAAATGCCTTCTCATTTACTTAGTAACTGTTAGCTTCCATTAAGAAATGGCTAATATTCAAGTAACTCTGAAATACTAAAGCTTGATATAAAAGTTAGAGGACAAGGCCTTTCAAATAACTTAGCTGTAACTTTTCCTTATGCTGCTATGACAACTATTTTAGTAAGTTTTAATGAAAGCCTCTTGCTTTCTCCTTAGTTTGATTTTGAAGGAATTGGATAAGTCCCCCCCCCCCCTTCATATATTTTCTACTGCCTGTAAGAATTTTTATTCTGGTCTAATGGCATTTAATTGAAGTTTTAGATATTTGATATTTTACTGTGCTTGATGCTTTAATTTGTTGGAAGCTGCCCAGAGTGGCTGGGACAACTCAGTCAGATGGGCAGCATATAAATTAGTAGTAGTAGTGGTAGTCATCAAAATTGGAATGAACTGGTTAGTCCAGAATTTCTGAGAAGAAGAAAAGAAGAGTTTGGATTTGATATCCTGCTTTATCACTACCCGAAGGATTCTCAAAGCGGGTAACATTCTCCTTTCCCTTCCTCCCCCACAACAAACACTCTGTGAAGTGAGTGGGGCTGAGAGACTTCAGAGAAGTGTGACTAGCCCAAGGTCACCCAGCAGCTGCATGTGGAGGAGCGGAGATGCGAACCCGGTTCACCAGATTAGGAGTCTATCGCTCTTAACCACTACACCACACTGGCTCTCAAAGAAGCTGAGTAGCTTGACAGTTGTTGTTTTTTAATACAGGGGAATTTTTGACAGACTTAATTTTTATAATCCTTAATTATTTGACATATTAAGGTGGCTAGCAAATTTCTGAATGACATACAGTAAGATGAACACTTTTCTATCTTAACTGAATCAATGAAACATTTTTATGATAAACTAATTGTTGTAAAGTTAAAAGTAGCCATTTTTATAGATCCACAGGATGAAAATTGTGTTATACACTCTTCTGCTGCATCAAACCATATGCAACTGAAATAGTATAGGACAAGGGAAAGATTAATGCTATTAAGGTGTGAAACATAATCCTATCAGTGCTCAGAAATCTTTTTAGTAGGCTAAATAGGCTTAACCAAAAGGAAGCATACTGTATACATTTTTTCTATTTATTTTACAAGTTGCCCTTTTCTTTGCAAATACTTGTTCCAGTTTGATGTCAGCCTTCTGAATGTCAGTAACCAAAACTTAAACCAGTGTGTACAATTAGACATGAAAATGCAAATATAAAGGTTAAAGTATAAATATTAGAATGACTATTCTATTGGAATACTAAAGGAATCATGTCCTGTACTGTTCATCATCAAATGTGGAGTAAAATCAAGAAAGAAATTGGAATCCATCAAATTAAATGCTCTTAAAGTCTTGTCTTTAATTTGATAGCATTGAGTCTGTCTGTGAGGCAGTTTTGGAAGACAGAAGGTTTTCATTTGAAAAATGAGAGAATCTGAAGGGAGCAGGAGCACAACCTTTACATAGGGGGAAATAGCTTTTATATTTATAAATAATGTACCTTTCTAGAATCCCTGTCTTGTACTCATTCAAGATGCAATTTATGAGTAATTGGCTAGATGATAAGCAGGCCAAGATGATTATGAGCCAAGGGACTATGACTAAGACATTTAAATTCAGTAGCTTGGCAAGTCTTTGCAAAGGATTCTATATAATATTGATGTGCATTATTTCTTTTAAGCAGTAGCTTCCTAAAAGCCTTTTAAAATCCATCACCTGATTGTCGGTTCCTCCTATCATACAGTAACAGAAGAAATTGCAGAGTCTTAGTGAGTTGCTGCTGGCTGCTTCTGATGATGCTAGGAAAATGCGCCTGTGTGAGAGCACAGGTGCAGTTTTTCTGACCGATGCTCCTCATTTTCTGCTCCAGTAATCCTGGAGAGGCAAGTAGAAAGAAATGAGGAGGTGGAGGAAATTCTCTCAGATGCACTGCAAGTGTATTTGAGAAAGAGGTGGAATCATATTTTCCAGGAGACAAGGAATGCACTGCCTGTAAGTCTTTTATTCCTCTAATCACTGCACCTCGGAATAAACTTGGCTGACTTTTGTTTTAGGCATTAGTAGAGTTTGCACTTTAGTAGTTGAAAGGGATAAAATTTGAGAGAGAAAGACGTTCCAAGATGTTGTTGGGAGTGTCATCTGTTGTTTATATTCTGGTTCATTATATACTAGATTTGCTGTGGTTTAAAGCAAGAATATTATTGTCTACTAATCTAAAGGAGGTTTTTAAGTTTCACTGTTAATGTGGTTAAGAGTTAATAAAAGGTTAGATCCAGAGGAGATATCATAGGGTGGGAGAGGGAGGAAACCTGAGAGATACTAATGGAGAAAGTCTTAGTCATTTCCTTTATAATGCATCAGCAGAAATTACAGAGGTGTGGCTTTGATTTTAGAAATACTGTAATGAATTGGATGATTATTCAAATTTGTGTCGTAGTTTCAATTTCACTCATTAAAACAGGTAAACAATGGTAGCTATGCATAGTATGACAAGGGAATTGATGAAATATAAGTTAAATCTTTCTAAATTTTGGTGTTTCTTTCAGAAACTTCTCTGCTAATTGTTGTCTTGAATTTTTTTAAATCTTTGTGGTATCTAGTTCAGTTCAGTAAAAATACATTAGATCTTTTCAGTAAAATTAGACAAGTAGTTGCTAAGGGTCTGGGACATGCATTATTATTAATTAGATTCTTTACAGCATTCACCCTGATACACTGTGTTTATTAATACTTCACTTACCACTACACTATCCATGTACAGGCAGGTTCAGTGGAAAGATAGGGGCTAGTTTCAGGGTTCTTTATACATATATGCTAGGTATGTACCTGAAAGCTGTAGAGATAAAAGCTTCAAGTTGCACTTCATATTGAGCAGTTGGCGCTTTCTGAGGGAAACCCCCCTCCTTCCAATCAGGACACAGCCTTGAAAGGAGAAGTCTATTTCATTTTGAGGAGACTGTAGTAGTGCTTCATGTTACCAGATTGACATTGCTTGAGTTCAAAAGCACTTAGCATCACTGGGTGTGTGGAGGAACTGTGGCTGAGAAGAAACTTCTTAGCCTAGAAGTGGGGAACGTATGTTCCTCCAGATGATGTTGACTCCAGCTCCCTTCAGCCTGAATCAGCACAGCCAATGGAAGTGATAATGGGCTTGTAGATCAACCACATTTAAGGCCGCCAGTTTCCCACTGCTGTATATGACTTTTTCCATTCTTGTAGGGTATGGCTAGAAGAGTTGACCTTTCAGCTGTTGGAGCTTTGAACTATAGCTTCAGCAGGGAGGAGACTGGGTTCAGTTGATTCCTCCTAGCTGTGTCTCCTACTGTTGTACTTATATGTAAAGGAGTCGGGCTCTTTGTTGTTCCCTTAGGCTTAGGAGCTTAAGCTACCTGCTTACTACAGTAACCAATAGCAAAGTGAAAGCTTACTAATACTAAGCAGCATTTGTCTGATTCATTTTGGTAGTTGGAAACACAACTATTTGATAGTAATAGAAACATTGTTTTAATTTCTAACTAGAACATTGTAGCCAAATAATTGGCTATTTAGTTCAAATTCTTATGTTAAATGCAGCTCTCGTCTTGTTCTCTAAACCTAACAATCCTTTGTCTCCTAGATCTGATTACCAGTGGTGCTCACATCTCCTTTGCTTATCTGTTTCTTACTTCACATAACCTATGAAATCTTCTGTCCTGAAGCCATATGTGTAGTTTTGCTCCCTCCCATTCCTGTTCCCCTAAGTTGCCTCCTAAAGCGCTCTATGCCTTCACTACCTACTGTATTTTTCCCTTGGGTTTTTCAGCCTATTGTTTGCTCTCACTTCCTTCACCTCTCATGATTCTTGGCTAGGTTCCCAGCCTGCTCATCTCTCCTGTTTCTTCTTCCTGCCTAAAAAGCATCCAGCCACTTTAAAGTTTTAATGCTCTATCTTATCGTCTTGTATTTTCCTTGGGCATCTGTTTTTACCAGCTACTGTTGCTAAAGTTTCTGTCCCTCAGGTTATTTCCCCCTTTTTTTCAACAACCTCCTTCTCTGGTGTCAGACTTACCTGATTCTGAGCTGTCCAGTTTTCCAGGATTTCTTCCTATTCGCCTTTTTTGTTATGAGACTGCCTCCCATAACTCCTCTTTAGTAGCCCTTGTGTGACACTTTTCTCTTTCCTTGCAGAAACCCGACTACCAGTATTCTGTTGACAACTTCATTCCTTGAGTAGTTTAAACATTTGTGAACATTCCATGATACCACATTTGTTCAGCTAGAAGCTTAGCAGTAAATCCCCTAACACACTATAATGTAGAACAGACTGTTTATAATTGGTCCAGAACAGGTTAATTAAGTTTTTTCATGTTATGAGGAAGTTTGGTTGGACTTTGGCTGGAGGAAAACAAGAATACTAAAGTGGGAGCAACTGGGCAAAAGTTCATACCCTTTCAAACATCTTTGGGACATCTTTGTTAATTTTGTTATTGATTAGTTTTGTGGTTTTATTGTCTTATTTCAGTATAATTTGTAGTTACCTTGATTGTTTAAATTGTGGTATTTTTAACATCTGCCCTGAGACTATTCAGTGAAGGGTGGGCTATAATTAAAAATAATGAATGCATGTTGAACTCAGAATACTTCAGATAAACAAATCAATTAATTATACCTTTAATTTTTTATTTTAGAATTCGCCACTTTATCAGTACTTACAGGACGTAGGACATACTGATTTTGAAGTATGCTCACCATTGGTACAAAAGCCGGAAGAATGTACATTCGAAGAGGGGCAAAAAGACATGGATACAGTTGCAATTCAGAACGTAAGTACTCAATTTGGTAATTCAACTGCTACATAATCTATCAAATGAAAATCCCAGCCTCTATTTAAAAATGACTCCCTTCATAATGTGTATCCTTTGTCTGCATTTCAGTGGTATTGAATACCGTGCATTATTGTGCACTGTTTATTATTAACAGTTTATTATTGTGCAGAGGTAGTCCTGCCTTTGCATCCCTTGTGCAAGTTGTCCAGATGTTGTTTTTAAGAGGCAGCTGGAGTCAGGTGATGGTCAGGGTTTTCTCCCCACCACCCCTTACATACATCAGTAAGATCCTACACTCGCTCTCCCCACTTTGTAGTTATGGTATCACTTTATTTTAGTCCTAATTACTGTACTTATTTAATGTTGTCATACAAATAGTTTGAGTTCCCTAAAAGCAGTCCAGATTCATCCACTGTGTTCTTTGTCAGCCCCCCCCCCAACCCACTGCTCTTTTTCATCATGCAGCCTAGAGGAGAGGGGGATGATATGGATTATAGTTAATAGCTTAATGTCTGTTGCATATTGAAGATTTAAAAAAAGCAAGATGAACTTACTTTAACCCAGCATGGTAAATCATTATTTTAACCTTTTCCTTTAGTTTGCATTAGATTTCATGTAATAAGTGTACCACTCAAATTTCACAGGTTTTTAACTGAATAAATCTCCTAAATACCGTTGAATTTGTTCAGTATTACTTTCCCCCTCCAGAAACATGTCTCATTCTGATCTGGCTCAGAATCCAGTTATAGTAATGAAAGCTGAACACTGACCAGTTTCACTATAGCAGAGGAAGAAGCATCTTTTTTCCTGATTAACTGGGGGATTAAGGAACATGCTAGGACTCATTTGCCAGTGATCAGTCACTTGTACAGTAGTATGTAGAGTATGCATATGGTCATGCATGCTTTTGTTTAGAAGAAAACACAGCAATCTTAACATGGTATATCAAAGCCTGGAATCCACCCTAGACTGCTCAGAAGTGAGTGTTTTAATGAAGATTGAGTGTCTAAAAAAAAAAAAAATAGGTTTCAGAGAATCTCAAGTTTCCTGACTCCCATACAAGGCAACCCTATGTATATCTGCTCAGAAGTAAGTTTGAGTCCAATGGGACTTAATTCTAAGTATGTGTGTGTGGAATTGCACCCTTAGTTAAGAATGCTAAAGTTAAATAAAATATCGGCAGAACTTCTAAAACTAGTAATCTGTAGCTTGCGTGACATTGTAAGGAAAAGGAAAACTGTGTGGGTGGTGGTGGTGGGGGAATCAATGGAAAATGGAACCTGAAGTTCAGGTCCTTTTCCCATGTCAGCTGGGGCCTCATTTGTAGGGGCTTGGGGTGCAGGAAGAGAGGAACTGCACTTTGCAGTTCATCCATATCATCTGCTGAGCTCTCACTGTGTCTCATTGCCCCTCCATATTGACACATTGGACAAAGATGGAGCTAGCAGCTGCTGCCCCATCCAGAGCATTCAGGTACCTTCTTAGTGCAAGGTTCTTCCTGTGCAATCTGTGTTCATTTTTCAGGCAGTTTATCCTGTACTTTTGACAATAAACCCCGCTAGGGAAAAGAACACCTGCATGCTGCTGCTCATTTTGTTTCAAAAATGCAGTGTAATGAATTGTTTGCTAGCAATGTATGCTAAGCACTATGAACTTGTATAAGGATAGCACTGGTCACATGCTGGAAACTCATCCATTTTTATGTCATCTCTTCATCTTTAGCACCTAGCTGGAACATGCTTGGCCCAGTTATTTCTGCCTGTCTCTGTTCTTCATAATGGCGAGTTCTTTCAATGGCCATTATCCATCTATATGCTAAATGAAATCATGGAGGAGTGGACTTTTCTGCAGACTTCCTTGGCTATGACTCTGCAGGCCAGAGGCCTTTCTACTGTCCCAAAGGGGAAGGAAATGAAAAACCAGTTGGCAAAATTTGATGATCATATTCTGAAAAACATGGTGTTTTTACTCAGCTATGGTCATGGCATGATGTAATGGAATTGTTAATAGCCAGTGGCCTCGTTCACATCACAGTAAACCATAATTAAAATTGTTTAAAATAGTTCAATGGGATTGAGCAGCATGAAATTGCAGGTGCTTTGCTCCTCCCATGCTGCTGCCATGCTATATAGGAAACAAGCCATAGTTTGCCTTGCCATTATGTCCAAAGCCAGGCTGGTGGTTTGTTTCCCCCAAACAGTAAATCATAGCAAACCTCCTAGGTGTAGCTGCAGCAGGACTAAGGGTGAAGCACTTGCATTTTCAACAGCATGCATCGACATGCAGCTCATTCACACTAAGCCAGGGATAGGGAACCTGTGGCCCTCCAGGTGTTGCTGGACTCCCATCAGCCCCAGCCAGCAAACTTAGTGGTCAGAGATGGTGGAAGTGGTCCAGCAAGATCTGGAGGGCTGCATTAATCCATCATTTATTTAAAACTATGGTTTAACATGTCTTGCAAACCAGGTCAATGAGTCCAACATAATGAGTCCACAATGAGACCAAAAATAAAAGTTCTTAGTGTCTATTTTAGTTCTTTTACTTCTGCTTCTGAGATTTTTCTACCACTCTGCAGTAAATCTGCTGAAGAACACTGATTCATTGTCAGCATTGTACTAACGGCAGAACTATACATTATGTTCCCTATCCCATGTTTCCTACAGTATGCTAATGCAGAAGTCCTTGGTGGGCTGTTCAACTCTTCATCCAGATCTAATTTTACCCTACAAATGCATAATGTCCAGTTTTTCAACTGTTTCCCCACCCCTCCCCAGCTGGGCTCAGAGACTAGAAGTCTTGTTTGTCTCTGCGAAGGTGAGGCGGAGATGACCTGGGGGAGGCATGTGGAGGGAGAATTGGCAGTCAGAAGGTTGTATACTGTTTCTTCTGTCCTCACCTGCAGATGCCTGAACCTTGCAGGCATGTATTTCAGAAACTTGTGTCTTGCTTATATAAAAACCTAGTGCTTGCATAAAGAGAACACCTTTGTAATTGGGGACCTCTGCTGGAATTGAGGAACTTGGATTCTTTATTTTCTGCCCTCATTTGCATTGGATTGTGGAAAATGGCTTGGTTTAAACTTTACTGTTCAATATAACCACTTCTATTATTATTATTATTATTGTTATTATTACCCTTCATATGTAGATCTCAGGGCAATTCACAGCATAAAAATTCAAGATAAAAACACAAAATACATAATAAAAACAAGGGGGAAAACCCATCACACCCACCCACAATTATCTTCAGATGATAATTGCAGTTCTGGCACCATTTTTTGGCAGAATTGTAGCTTGTGGTTTTAAATCCGAGAGAAACCTTTCAAATAGAGGAGGGCAACCAAGATGACCAAGGGTCTGGAAACTAAGCCTTACAAAGAGCGCTTGAAGGAGCTGAGTATGTTTAGCCTGAGAGGAGATATGATAGCCATAGTCAAATATCTTAAGGGCTGTCACATGGAAGAGGGAGCATGCTTGTTTTCTCCTGCTCTGGAGGGTAGGACTTGAGGCAATGGGTTCAAGTTACAAGAAAGGAGAGTCCAACTAAACATTTGGAAAAACTTTCTGACAGTAAGAGCTGTTTGGCAGTGGAACAAACTCCCACAAGAGGTAGTGGACTCTCCTTCCTTGGAGGTTTTTAAGTAGAGGTTGGATGACTACTCTGTCATGGATGCTTTAGCTGAGATTCCTGCATTGCAGGGGTTGGACTAGATGACCCCTGGGTCCCTTCCAACTCTTAAGATTCTATGATTCTATATTTCCTACATTTTTGCAATTCAGAATCATCATTTTAGGCCTTCCTTTTGTAATGGGGTAGAAATGAAATATATATTTAGCTGTGAATTAGAAGCCTAGAAACACTAAAATTAGAAGTGAACAGTAGTTCCTATATTTACCAGGAAACTCAGCAGGCTACTTCCTTTTCATCCTCTAGTATTGCTGATGACTACTCTACATATACTAAAAATAGCTTATTACAAAAAAATCATATTTTGTAATAATCATTTTCATCTCAAGTGTTGCTGATTAAAATGCTTCCATGTTGAGTAATGAACAGTGTGATAATGAAAGCAAAAATCCTCTTTAATGAAAATACACTTGGCCAAAAAACAAAGTGAATATTCCAATTTTTTCTTCCCAAAGTAACTAACCATACATACAAATACTTATATAATAGAACCTTAATAGGCCATTTCATTAGGCAACTGTTGAAAACTTTTGTATCAAATCAAATCAAGCTTTGTATGAAAACTTTTGTATCAAATTTTTTGTTTTTTGTTGAAATGAATTGTATAGGATTTTTGTTGTAATGAATATTGTGATGATGTTTGCAGGAAAGCTGGAGATTCTCAATACGCATCTAACAAAGCATGCATTTATAGCTTGCCTCTTGCTAAGGAGCAATTGTGTTCAAATAATTTATGCATTTTTTCTTTTAAAAAAAGTTCTTGCTGCCCTCAGTACATTTGTGTACACAGTTATTTCAACATGAAACAGTTCCCCATCATATTCTCTATTCCTTGTCCTTTTTCGGTGCCTAAAGTGTCCTTTGCACTCTTAATTGTGATTTTGGTCAGAACATTATAAACATTGGTGTGCTGGTATATTTGACTCTTGGTACAATGACCTGTGTTATTTGTAGGCTTAAGCTACTTAACAGACATCATCTTCACATATGACTAGACCAGTGGAATAAATGAAGGCAGTTTTTATGATAATTATTATATTTATTACTACTGTATTGATTTTTTTTTTAATAGAAAGACGTCCTATCAAACTTAGCTGAGAAATTTAAAAGCTGGCTTTCTTTTTTACCATATAAGAAAAAAGATGAACTACTTCACCAGTTGGTAAGCTGCAACTCTGCAATTTCCCCTCAACAAGCCTTATTTAATTCCCATATAAATAAATAAATAAATTTCTTCTACCTTTTTTTTTTCTAGCTAAGCCAGTAGGTCACAGCTTGTTCTCTACATGACATAGCCAAGTATGGCAAAGTGTTTAATGTTCAAATCTGCTTAAAAGAGGAGGGGACCAAAGCTCAAGCTTTGCATATGTTCTGATGTTTTATGAATTATTGCTTAATCATTTCTTTAGCCTGGTAGAAGCACACACCTCTTTCTTCCAAAACCTGGTTAAAATTACCTACTCCGTCAATATCTTGTTTTGTGATTTTGTTCACAAACTTTGTAATTTAAAAATGCTGTTTTCAGCCTTAGAGTGCTTTAACCAAGAGTTCTAGATCTCCTTTAATTTGAGAATTGCTTTTGAAAGGTTCTGTCTCTGTTAGTGGCATCTGACTTGTATTGTTGTTCACCTGCATGGCCAAGTTTAATTTACAAATCCATCTAACTTCAGGGCTTATTGTTGACTGAAGTTATGTATATTGTTACTATGTGCTTTGTATTTTACAGCATCTCAATTAATGGTTGTGTGTGTTCATTTCAGCAAACTATTCATATAGCAGAAGTGATCTTAGCAGTAATAAGCAGTCACATGACCATTATTGAGACTTTCCATAGAACTAAGAAGTCTTTGGCATGCTCCTCCTAGTTCCCATACCCTAATGGGCAGGGTACAAATGCTGTTGTTGTTGATCTGACACAACCTGAAACTAAGCCAAAGCATGTGCAACTGAAACAACCATATATTGCTTTCCCATTAGCCTTGCCTCCACTTCTCTCTTCTGTCGTTTTCCATGTTGAATGTTAAGATCTTTGCGGCATCTGTCTTCTGTTCAGTAAAGAACCATGCAGACTTATGGTGCTATATTAGCAATAACAACAGCAACCACAGAATGCTTTACATCAGCGCTGGTGGCCCCCTTTTTGTTTTAGGGCCACATTCCTCTTGGCACATCTTCCAGGGGCTGCCAGCCAGTGATGGATATGGCCATCTCATAGACACGTTCTATCACAGGCGCAAATTTCCTTCACCTCAATGGATGCATGCACATAAGCTGAGGAGGGAAAGTTATCATCCTGTCCAACCAAATGATCAATTGGATGACTGCAGAGGGGTAGCTTGCTTCCTTATCGGGCACTGGGCTCTACCCACCTCAGCTCTGTGTCTAGTTGAATCCTGTCCCCTGCCTGCCTTTTGCCTCACTCTGCAACCAAAATCAGTGGGGTCTTAGGGGAGGCATTTGCCGGGTGGTGGTGGTTCAGACTCCTAAAGTAGGAATTGGCCATCCTTGTTTTATATATTGCATAGTGATAGGGGGAAAAATATTTTATTTGACAAATGCTTGTGTATGTGAAAGTGCTGTTTTTTCTCAAATTAAGGATGTTGGTTTTCGCTCGGAGGCTCTCTGCACCATCCTGCAACAGGAAGTTCTGCTGCAGGAGGATGTTGAACTGATTGAGCTACTTGACCCCAGTATCCTGTCTGCAGGGCAGCCCAAGCAACAGGAACATGGACATCTTCCAACGCTACGCTCCCTAGCAACTCCTAATATTTGGTATTGCCTTGGGCTATCTGCATAGATTACAAGCTCTGTTGGAGGAAGTATCTTGCTCTTCACATATATAACCTCTTAGAGAACAGGAATTGTTTTTCTTTCTTTCTTTCTTTCTTTCTGGTTCTTATTATTCAAGCTTCTATCCCATGGATTTAGAATTGACTTCACCTTTGTGTATTCTTTGCTTTTCATTAATTTGTGCAGTGTACAGCAGGAGCATATTTTCTTAGGTTTGAAATTTTAAAGATGGTTAGCCACAAGTGTGCATGTGATATTCCCCTCTTAACAGTTTATTACCCTATCTCTTGCATTGATTTTTACTGCTCTGGCAATTGATAAGCCCATTTTTCTTAGTGAGCTTTCTATTTTGTGGGCCTGTGTTCTGGGCTACTTTAACATACTCTCCCCCACCCACCTCCCCGATATGTTTATTTGAGGCTAATGGAAAGAATGTGCTGTTTCCACACAAATTCAGGTTCTTTGGATTTTGCATCATTTTATTAAAATCTTTTTTTCTCGTCTTGGGAGATGCTCACTATACAAGCCTGGATGTAGAATATATACTGCATAAATATTATGTCTCTGGTTCATTTTAGGCAATTCTGTTGGTTCTTCTGGATTACATGGGTTCCGTTCTTTAGATTACATGGGTTGCACACATAATAATGTTATAATGACCAATGTTTCAAGAAGTAGCATTTGATAAGAGAATGCAAATTTGTCACAGTTTATAACATGCAAGAAGGGAACTAGACTTATTCATGGTGAATGTTTTAGTGTCCCTGCAGAGACTTGTATTTTGCAACAATTCTGCAAATGTGACAAAAACAAGTGAGAGAAGCTTTGCTGTTGAGCATACATGGTTTTAAGAAAAATAATGACCAAGCCATTTGAAATGATGCCACAAAAAGGTCTTCCATATTCTGCTTTAAAGGAAACCAAGCGTGCACTTTTGGACTGTAATGGTCAGATTAAATGAATCAGAAACTTGAAAAACAAAACTGTCAATAGATCAGCATTTGGTTCCCTGAAGAAATATGTCCCCCTTCTGCTGTCCTACTATATTGGTATTAGCAGGGTAATTTTTGAAAAAAGAAATTTAAAATAAATCAAGGACATACATTTCACACAAAATAATACCTAAATTAGAAATAGCATGAATTCCTGTTTTTACTGCTACCATTTGTTTTTAAGGCAGAGAAAGCTATACTAAGATACTGGGTTTCTTGATTAACTTATATTGACAGCTTTTACTTATGTTTCAGGGGAGCAAAAATACTTTCTTAAAGACACTTTAAAACATAAAGATCCATCTCCAGAAAATTGAGTTAGGACTCTGTATAGTTCCATACCTATTGATATTATGGTTTCCTTCATATGACAATCATACTTTTCATTGCTGTTCTTTGTTTTTAATGAAAGCTGGGCAACACCTGGCATGCCCAGAATCTGGGCAAGCTGCAAAAAAGCAAGATGTGGCTTATACTGGCTATTTTGTTTTGCAGGGATATCTCATTACTATTTGCCTTCATCAGCACGCTGATTATTCTTCCTTCTTCATGGAATGGATCTCTCGGATTGGTGGGGGGAGTAGGCTTGTTGGTTTACATGTGCATACGAGGTTTGGACACACTGAACACAGCCAAGCTGCAAATATCTCTAAGAAAATGCCAACTCCAGCTAGAAGATATGGTGACTAATTGTCGAGCCTTCACTAACCTTGTGAGAAAATCTCTACGGCTCATTCAAGAAACTGAAGTCATTTCCAGAGGATTTACTCTGTGAGTCTGATTTTTAGGCTATTTTATTATTTGGTTCAGTCATCCCTGTTTAACCAGGAGTGAATAAACTTTTCCTTTAAAATGTCTAAATCTAAGATGTTTCACTTATTCACATAACATATTTGTCATGAAGCTCGAGTCGCTGGTACCCAAATCAAGCTGATTCATGGAAAAGAGATAACAAGGTTATGCATGGGAATGAAGTGGGTTTTGATATGTTTGGCACAATTTTTCAGCAACCTCCGCGTTAAGCGTTTCAGTAAAAAGTACCTGCAAAAGACACACACATTGAAGAGCTTCACAGCTGGTTGGTTGTGTTCTTCCTGTACTCTGATAAGAAGAAAAAGGTCAATTAACTCATAAGAAACAACTTTTTGTACTTGGGAGCTGAAGGAAGCCAAATCTACATGCAAAACAAACATTAGATGTGTGTCTTGCCTAAAAAAACCCCCAATCCTGATGAAGCAGCTTTTAACTTTTTCCAAGTGCCTGCTACAAACTTTCCTCAAGAGATTCATTCCTAAATTTTCATATGCTTTGGTTGCAAATATACCAAATTCAAAAAGTGCACACTTCTTTTTGGGACCAATTTTCACTTCACAAATATTAAAATGTTTAACATTTAAGATTCATTTGTATTAAGATTTCATTTGGATTTTGCATTATTCAAAAGCATATTTTGTTACAATTTATTTTTTTCCTGAATGACATGTAATTTGCTTAAGAATAGTTTTAGAGAGATGTTTTAAACATGTTGAACATTATACAGGTTATGGAAAGCCCTCTTCCACCCCCCATGACACTTCGGAACCTTTAAATGCAACATAATTTAATATCATGTGTTTAGGGGATTATTTGTTTCCAATTCTGCTTTTAGATGAATGGCTACACTGAGTTATAAGAGTCAAAATTCTTCTAGATGTATATTGGCTTCAAAGATTACTTCTAACATACTTCATAAAGAACAAGAAACAGCAATACTATCCAGAGTTTGTTGCTTAAACATTCTCATGTATACATAATATTTTAATCTCTATTTACAGAGCATATGCTTCTAATACTAGATCTGCTGTGTAGTTTGCAAATGCAAGCAGCTACATGTAAAACTAAAAGTGTAGCCATCTTACAGTAAGCGAAGTTCCCAAACGCAGAGAATTAGTCTGAATTGAGCTTTACTGACAAAAAAAAGAGATTGTCTTGTGGAACGTTTAGGCATGTGGTAAGACAATCCAAGCTGATTCTTGGCAAGGTAGCATACAATTAAGAATAGTTAATATTATAGTTAAAACGGTACTTCAAAAGAGCTAAGTGTTAGCTGCAGTCTGATCAAACCCTGGGGCAAAATACTTATATTTTATTTTTGCAAATGGACTGTGTGAAGAAAATAGTCTAGTTCTCCAGCTTCAAAAAATTAAAAAGTTAGTGGCTAGGATCCAGCTCAGAGAGAGCATTAGCAAAAGGCACTTCCATTTCTGAATCTCTCATTTCATCAATTGCCTCATGATCTGCAGGAGCAGTTTTTCAGGGTATGGAGCAAGGAAGCCTCTTAATGAAGCAGCTGCAATGGGTAGCTGCCACATGCTCACTATTAAGGATTTGGAAGACCACATAAACCTGTGGCTCATGCCATTTGTCACTTAGCTTCTTCAGTCTGAAAGCCTGGCAGAAGTATATTTCCTTATAAAAACATGAAATTGGTGCCTGCAGATCATATAGGATTCTGAAGACTGGGAAAGACAGATAGGAATTTTTGCATATAAAGACAGAAGCGATCCTAAAGGTCATGATATTTGTCTATGTAAATGTGCTGTCTTTCTCTTCACTTTTAAAGCGGGATTAAAGTTTGAATGACTTTATACATCGCTACTAGCTACGTGTGGGCTTCTTTAATTTGTATAATAATGAAATAATCGTTCAATTTCTTGATATGCATGAAGGTATATTACATAAAATGAAAACATGTAAGATGATAATACTGATTTATTTTGTATTTTTATCATTACTTAGGACACCTGTACAGTTGTATCACATTTTACTTTTCAAGTTTGCTTGACAGGGTCAGTGCTGCTTGCCCATATAATAAAGCCGGACAGCATCCTTGTCAGCATCTCATTGGTCTTCGGAAAGCAGTTTATCGGTCAGTACGAGCCAACTTCAGAGCGTCAAGGCTTGCTACCTTGTATATGCTGAAACAATATCCTTTTTTTGAAATAGGACATAGTGGAAAGGGCTAAATAGATGTAATGCAGAATTAATGATTGCTAGACCTCTTTTTATGTTTATGTTCATTTTGTCTCAAGAACTTAACACAACTTTGTGTTTCTTGTCCATGGCCTTAATATCCTCCATATTCACTAACTCCATTGTTTGGTTTTCTTCATAACAATTTTTTCAACCTACCATGCAGCACACACATCACTTTATGCTTGCAAGAACCCTGGCTAAGTTAAGGACTGACCCACTTCATGGCTGAGTGGAGATTTGAATCTGGTTTCCTTGGTGTCAGTCCAGCACTCTAACCCTAGGATGGGGACCCTCAGGCCCAGCAGCCAAAGGCAATCTTCCAGGACTCTCTGCCTGGCTTTCATGACTTTCACCAGGCCACATTCCTCACTTGTGCTACTTTGCACTCTCCTTGAATATTTTTGCCTGGCTTGAACATTCTGATAATGCTTCTTCCTTTCCTGGATAAAGAATAGAGAGGAGTGTGTGTGTGTGTGTGTGTGTGTGTGTCAACTAGCCTACTGTACAGAGATAAAATTGTATGTACATGGCTCAACTGCAATTCCTCCTCCTGTCTTTGGAGTAGAGGTCATAGAATTGCAGCGTTGGAAGGGACCACAAGGATAATCTAGTCCAGCCCCCGTAATGCAGGAATCTTTTGCCCAACATGGCGTGCAAACCCACAGCCCTGGGATTAAGAGTCTCATGCTCCACCGACTGCACTGTTTAGCCATATGTTGAAGTGTGGGGCAATGGATTGCCCCTCTTTGAATATTGTATGTGGTATTGATTAGTGTTCTTTTTAATGTAGATAAATTTTGGCATTCAATAAAGATGGATTAACACTTGAGATGAATCCTGTCAGTTTCAATTTTGTTAACAGTTTTTTGTTCATGATTTGTTGCTAAATAGGAAAAAAACCCCAATCAAATCACTTGTGGTTTTTTTGTGAACGAACATGTCTTTCTTCTGAAGCCTGTTAGAACTGGAGAAATAGCTGTTTCTTATTTATACATAAGAGCACTTTATAGAATCTTTAACTTGTTTGAAAAGCTTGTGGTCTCTTTTTTACCTGATGTTTGCCCAAGTTGCATGTCATACAAAAGCTTCTTTAACTGCCTTAACACTAACTAAACTTACCCATTGAATTCTGAGAGCGACAATGTGACAAACTACATCTGTGTGGTGCCTTTCAAAGAACTGGGCCTTGGACTCAGTGAAGAGCAGGTGTCTGAGGAAGAAGCACATAATCTCACAGATGGCTTCAGCCTGCCAGCACTAAAGGTAATCCAGCCTTCAGGTTTAACATTGGCCTATTTTGTAACTACTTTCCACTTGTAGCAATTAAGCAAGAAAACCTGACTGAGCCTGTTAACTAACTTTAAAAAACCCACCCAGGCCAAGGCTCAAGTCAGCTGCCTGGAATATATTAAGTTAACTTACATCTTTGGGCTGGACTCGTTTGTTACCTTTCGTAAGCTTTAGTTGTGGACTCTTGAAAGGATATTTAATTATCAGAATAAATTGCTATAGCATAGAAAATTGGGAAATTTACATATTTTTTATACTTTTTAATATAATTGTTTAAAAAGAGGGCACTGGATGAGTTCCAGCAGTTATAGGCCATTGAGGTGGATCAAAAGAGTCAGACAACCCATCTCTCTCTGTCTCTGTCTCTCTGTTAGAGGTTTTAATAGAAATACAGTAGTTTTTTGGAAGTCAAACGGAATCCGTTCCGGAACGTTCGAAACCCAAATTGCAGCTTTTGATTGGCTGTAGGAAGCTTCTACAGCCAATCAGAAGCCGCAGAAACACATTGGATGTTTGAGTTCCAAAGAACACTTCCGGGTTTGCTGTGTTCGGAAGCCAAAACATCCAAGTTCCAGGGTGTTCGGGATCCAAGGTACGACTGTAGCTCTTACATAACTGAATAAGTCATTCATTTAAAACATTTCTGCTCTGCCTGACTACACCCCAAGGTGGTCTCTGTGGCAGCACTCGCTTTGTGCAGTGTCCTCCCCTTACAGGTGCCAACTTGGTCTTTTAGCAAATTAGTTAAAGCCTACTTGTTGGCTAAAGGTTTTAAGTGACTTATTGTGTGTCCTATCCAGTTGATTTTAGCTACCTTAAATTCTATTTGTAGTCTTTTTTATATTGTTTTAGTTTTGTTGTTGTTGTTTATCTGCAAAGTATATTTTCTTGTACCCTGCCCCGATATTAATATTCATGTATGGTGCATTGTAAATCTTAAAAAAAAAGTTTTAGTGGTTTGGTAATCATATTATTGTTGAATTGCTTAAAATGTATGAAAAAGCAGGAAAAACAAAATGTTATTGTTTTCTGTAACAATTTGGGTTATAGTAACTTTTCTGTATTTGTAGGTTTTATTTCAACTTTGGGTTGGACAAAGTTCTGAATTCTTCAGGCGGCTAATTCTTCTGCTGTCCCCCTCCAATGCATCTATCAAGACTCTGATCAGGCCAGAACATTTGCCACTTTCGACCTTTACTGATGTGACTCAGGGTCTTCATCATGCACATGCTGCCTGTTTAGAAGAGCTTAAACGGAGCTATGAATTTTATCGGTACTTTGAAACACACCATCAATCTGGTTTGGAACGTTCAGTCAAAAACGAACAAAAGTCAAGAGAACTAAATCGTCTCCACACAGCAGTACGCAGCCTACAACTCCATCTGAAGGCCTTGCTTAATGAGTAAGCTGTTCTCTGGGAGTGATTTGTCACTACACACAGGTCCGCTGTCAGAATGCTTATTATCTGAAATCTCAGTTCTCTGAACACAAAGAAGTACAGTGGTACCTCGGGTTACATACGCTTCAGGTTACATACGCTTCGGGTTATAGACTTCGCTAACCCAGAAATAGTACCTCGGGTTAACAACTTTGCTTCAGGATGAGAACAGAAATTGTGCTTTGGCGGCGTGGCAGCAGCGGGAGGCCCCATTAGCTAAAGTGATGCTTCAGGTTAAGAACAGTTTCAGGTTAAGAACAGACCTCCGGAACAAATTAAGTACTTAACCCGAGGTACCACTGTATACCCAAACGTTGCTACACAAACGGCTGATTTAGATAGCGGAACAGCCAGAGTTTGCCCACTTCCTTACTTCTTTCTGTTTTGCTGATTAGCTGCAGCCATTTGGGGCAGAAACCATTGAGGGAGACAGATCAGGGAACAGAAGAGATCAGGCAAATCAGTTTTTCCTTTGTTTGACTTTTGCTGATCGGCCGCAGCAGTTTTGGGCAGAAAGCATGGAGGGAGAACCCATGGATTAGAAATGTTCCCATAGAAAATAATGGAAATCATCAGCTTGTTATGCAGCTGCTCTCTAATGAACGATTGCCTGGGAATGCATTGTGTTCCGATACCAGTACCTGTAGTTTAATTCCAGTTGTAGTTCAAGTTTTTTTAGAAAAGAAAGTAATATGTAATGTTGCAATCGGAAACTACTGATAAGATTTATTGAGGCAGATATTGCTGTAACTTCTTTGCCTTGTTATTCTAGCTCTTATTTAATCAAACAATCTAATTTACGTTCAGTAAAGAGGTGTGTTGTACTAGCTGTACACAACTACATGTGTAATTATATACAATACTATTAAAACAACATTGAGTGTTTATTAAAAGGGCTGATATTTGGAACTGGCTATATGAGAACTGCAGATTGTTGAATAATACATACAAAAAGCAAGAGACCACAACCTAACAGAGTTTTATGTTTGCTGAAGCCCATCTATTTTAATATGTTTTCATGAAAATCAGTGGGCTTAACTGTGAGCAAGTGTGCATTAATGACTTATTTGTTTTACTGAGATTACCACTAAAGGAAATGATTGTACTGTACTGATAATTTTTTAATGAGAGGGAACAGAAAACTGATTCCATTTTGGTACTATGTCTACTTGTTATTTAGGCTAGGGTTAAACTAAAAAAGAAAACATGGATGTGTGTTCTTAAACAATACCACCTTTGCTGATATGTGTCCGTCTATTCATATTAATCCTTCAGATGTGCTGTTTGAAGCAGAAACGTTTACTAGTTCCCTAATAATCTCTTCATTCACTTGCCAAAGGTTTACAATGTAAACTTATGCATAGGTAAAGGTAAAGGGACCCTGACCATTAGGTCCAGTCGTGGCCGACTCTGGGGTTGCGGCGTTCATCTCGTTTTATTGGCCGAGGGAACCGGCGTACAGCTTCCGGGTCATGTGGCCAGCATGACTAAGCCGCTTCTGGCAAACCAGAGCAGTGCACGGAAACGCCGTTTACTTCCCGCTGGAGCGGTACCTATTTATCTACTTGCACTTTGACGTGCTTTCAAACTGGTAGGTTGGCAGGAGCAGGGACCGAGCAACGGGAGCTCACCCCGTCGGATTCGAACCGCCGACCTTCTGATCGACAAGTCCTAGGCTCTGTGGTTTAACCCACAGCGCCACCTACGTCCCTATGCATGTCTACATAGAACTAATTCTCACTGAGTTTAGTGGCACTTACTCCAGGATTCAGGATCCAGGATCTTTCTGAATGTCTTTTTAGATGGAGATGCAGGGAATTGAACGCAGGACCTTCTACATGAAAAGTGTATGTTTTATAACATCTCTCCACAAGTGAAGTTGTTCTTATGAATTTATGGATTTCTCTCTAGCCTTCATTAGAACATAGCTGCTAGACACTGTGCAATGGTTGTGGTCTTTTACTGCTGTTTCAAAGGCTTGGATTACTTGTCTAAAACTAAGTTCACCCTTTAAGCCCTGACCAGTTGCTTCTGGCACCTTGATATCATACATATGGGCTCTGCCTACATAGGTAGAACTGATAGACTGTAAGAATAAAAAAGGAGCATATAAAATCTGGAGACTTATAACTGCAGTCACATCAACTCACTGCCCACAGCAGGTCCATAAAATATTTGATTTGTGTACTAATTAAATGGTTTGTTGTTGTTTTTTGTCCAGAGTAATAATTCTTGAGGATGAACTTGAGAAGTTTATTAGTTCCAAGGAAAGCCAAGAACTAACTCTGGAGGCCTACCAAGTTGTAGAAACAAAACTAAAACTTGTTCAACCTCACATGCAAGCAAGCAACAGCTGCTGGGAAGAGGCCATTTCTCAGGTGGAAAAAATGGTTCGAAGAAATCCAGAGAAAAAAGGTAAATTGTATTCGCAAAAGCATTGAGAAATTCCAGTCACAGTAAAATATAATCTTCAGTAGGCAGGCAGTCATATATGCGGTTAAATAGTAATTCCAGTATTGCAATAGCAAAATACCTGGGTTTGTAAGTAGGTTTTTAAAATGCATCAAAAAGGTAATATGGATTGCACATCCCTTTCTGATTTACATAGGCGAAGGGCTACATGAACTCAGACTTTGGGCGTAAATCTGAAAGGAGATACTATCTTGATTGTTCATAGCAGTAGATCTGAGCTTGCCATAAATTCATGGGATCCACTGTGTACTTTCAGCTGTGATTCATGACTCCTAAAAATATCAACTGATGTCCTTAAGTTGTTGTTTATTTTTAAAATAAAAAGTAATTAAAACTTAGGACAGTGTCTACCTGCTAATGGATTCTTCTAGCCCTTTGGGGCAGATTTAGGTAGGGAAGGGGAAATTGGCTGACAAGAGTCCAATGGGTTGACATTCAAAAAAACAAAAACCCAATTCTGCTGACTCCTTTCTCTGCTGCTTCTCTACTAACTCCAGGCAATCCTGAACCATCATGTGAGAACAAACATTGCACCATGGTACCTTTGCTGCAACCATCTGTGCATATAGAGGATAAAGACCCAATCCCTGAAGAACAGGTACAAATATTATAGTCTGAAAAATTCACAAAATGTGTCAATATGTGTATGTTTATTTGATGATTGAGGGAAGTATAATAGTGTTCTGCAGTTGTATCAGCATACTTTATTCAACAGATAAAGTCCTCTGCTTATGTATTTACTTATTCTGGAAAAACCTAATAAAAATATACATTTAAAATGTACCAAAAATTCGCTTCTCATAGAGTGGAAGCTTGAACATGATGAAAATGGTTGTCAGTTGCATCTTGTCACTTGCTATCTTTATTTGCTGCAATATTTGTGTTGGCAAAGAAAATTTCTGCTGCTGTTATATAGGGTAAGAGTCTAGTGTTAGGTATATAGCAGGAATGAAAAACCTATAGCTTCGCATCAACCTGTATCAGCATGACCAGTGAACAGGAATGATGGGAGCTGTAGTCCAATAATTAATGGCAGGCCACTGATGTCTCCATCCTTGGCATTTTCTTAACATGTGACACTTGGATGTAAGGCTATGATACTAGTGGTGAAGCATCGTTTTAAATATACAAAGTGTTTAAGAAAGTGGGTTACTATTGTCAACTAAACATTTCAGCCACCCTAGAGAATCTGTTGACAGCCTTTGTGTGTCTGAACTATATAAACCTGAAATACCATAACTGACCTTAATTAACATTCTTTTAAATATTGGTAGAGTTATTTCAGAATTCCCTTTGGTCTATAAACCATACTTGGGATCCAAATCTTGTAGTTTAAATAAATGGTTAGGAACCATCACTGTCTTGCAGTATTTGAGTAATTTTTAGATGCAACAAGATGTTTGTTAACTTTTTCCTCAGGAACTTGAAGCATATGTTGATGATGCAGATATAGACAGCGAGTATAAAAGAGATGACTTTTATTACTTTTCCCTGGAAGACAGAGAGAGGCAAAAACGTGAAAGAGAGGAATCCAAGAGAGTGCTGCAGGAATTAAAATCTGTGCTGGGATTTAAAGCTTCAGAGGCAGAAAGACAAAAGTGGAAGCAACTCCTGTTTAGTGATCATGGTAAGTGTTACTTTTGTCGTTAATTTAAGGAAATCTGTATGCAACTCTCTTTTCTGAATTGGTTTAGCTTTTGATGATCAGGAGTACAGTGGACGCTCGGGTTGCAAACGTGATCCGTACAGGATGCATGTTCGCAACCTGCGTCTGCGCACGCGCGGGTTGCGATTTGGCGCTTCTGTGCATGCGCGACTGCCGAAACCCGGAAGTAACCCATTCCGGTACTTCCGGGTTTTGGCAGTCTGCAGCCCAAAAAAACACAACCTGAAGCGGCTGTAACCCGAGGTATGACTATAATACCTAACAGCTCCCAAGGTCCTAAAGTACTATACATTACAATCACAACTTATACATATTTAACTTGAGCTATTTCAACCTTGTGCAGTTGAAGGCTGCTCACTGAAATTGTACAAATGCAAGGCCCATTCAGTGTGTGGGCTCTGGGATGCTGTTTCTCAAGATCTTGTGGGGCCATCCAAGGATAGGCTTGATGCATTAGGTGAGAGTTTCTCTAGACTCACAGAATTGTCAAGAGTTGTCATAATTGGTTCTCTTGAAGGATCCTTACAGATCTTCCTTCTAGATCAGAGGTGGGGAATTTATCAGTGTGAGGGCCACATTCCCTTCTGAAGGCATCCAGAAGCAAACACAGGCAGAGCATGTTTTGCATTTATTCAGTAGCAACCAGTGGGAATTTTCCATTTTGTTTTATAGTTATTCTATCCCTCTTAATGTTTGAGAGGGCATATATACCTGTTACCTTATGTGTTCAGCATCCTCTGTAGTAAATGAAATTCATATTTTTTCACTGAGAGCAGTACATCCTTTAAAACTTACAGTGAAGTTATTTTGAATACTCATTCCATATTTCCCCCTCTTTCAAGCTGCGATGAAACCCTTGCCTGGTACAGAGCAAGAGGAACCCATTAATGTTTTGGGATTGCCGAACAATTCAGAATCAGGCAAGCAGGTGTGCAGCAGAGATGACAGCTTGGAAGAAGCAGTCTCTGACTTCAAAACACAAGCTACTGATGGTGAGAAAGATAGGATGGAGTACCTCTCTGATGAATCTGGTAAGAACAAAAACGACATTGCTGCAAATGGTGACTCACCAGAAGTTGAAAAAAGAACATGTTACCAATGCAATGGAGAAGGTGAAGAATCTGAGTCAGCTGGTGTGGACAGAGTTGATGTGTCGCAGCCACCTGAGAGAGATGTGTTGCAGTCCTCCATCAAACAAAGACTGGCTGAGCTTCATATATCAGCAGATTTGAATTTCACATCAGGACTCGCAGCACAGGTTGCTGCCAGATCACTGACATTTACAACCATGCAAGAGCAAACATTTGGCGATGAGGAGGAGGAGGAGGAGGAGGAGGAGAAGGAGGAGGAGGAGATACATGAAAAGGAAGACTTTTTTGAAAAACACAAAGGTGAAGTAAATGACTGCAAAAATGAAGAATCATAGAGCCCACATAAAATTTGCCTTGCCTATTTGGAGACAATGGAAGGCTAGTGGGATTAACAGCAGCAGCACATGCAAAGATTCAGCATTGATAATATTGGATGTTGAAGAGAAGATAACCATTAAAAATCATGACTTCAATTGGACTTTACTAGTCTTTTGAAATATATCCATGTGCAAATATCAACTAGACTCCAAGTGTATAGTATGGTTCTTACAGGTACCACAAATGACTGGCATTTCTTTTAATATTTTATCTTTATTTATTTATATTATTAGGCTTTTTTTCCAAAAATGAAAAAGCAAATGGTCTAATTGTCATTTCCTTATTGCTTATTATAATGTTGACATTAATTATGCAACTACTTGAAATGGTTCTTTAACAAGAACCTAACACCATGTGGGTTTTTCTGCCCACTTTGCGTCCTCTCCTTTCTGCATTAGATCACTTAATGACCTGCATATTTGTTGAGCTGTTGGTTCATCAGGGCCACAGCCTAAGATGTGGACTGTTTTGTTTAATGAAAGCCATAGCTTGTGTATCCTGGGATGCTAACCTAAAATAATAATAAGTTATTAGCAAAGGGTTACAAAGCAAAACAAAAACCCAGCACAATCTTCTGTATTTTAACTTCTGGACTATGGAGAATAATTTGACTGATTCTTGTTTTTGCAGTGATTTTTCCGTATTGCAAACACTCCCAAGTTGTCACATGTGACACACACACCCTTTTGCAGATAAGGGAAATTAAACAGATTCTGATCAGGTCTTCTCCCCTGTTTCTTTCCATCTGTTACCTTGTGTAGATAAAAACAACTTTACTTCTGCAGCAGAGACTGAGACTTGGTGTCCTTTGATTTTAGTTTCTACTTTGTTTTCCATTGGGTTATATTCTCTGAAAATGCTCCATCCAAAGGTAACTCAAATTCTTGTTCTATTGGTTTCATGTTCAGTCTGATCTACAAGTGTTTTCATGTATTTCACTTCAGCACTTCCACCACCATTAGAGTAACTGCTTCAGCTGATTTTCCCTACTGTGGAAGGTGGTGGCGGAAGTTGTTGACTTCCACACAAGGAATAAAGCCGCAATAACTGTATTATTATTATTTATTGAATTTATATAGTGCCCTATACCCTGGAGGTCTCGGGTCGGTTCACAGAACAATGTGAAATGATGGAGGGTATGCATTGCTATTATGTTGTAGCAGCAATATGGTTGGCAGATTCCCAGATTGGATCAAAACCCTAAGAATGCTCTATGTTCTGCAAGTTTTACAAGTATGTTTGCAACATCAAATATAAAGCAAGGAATTCAACATCACGGTATTACGGTCACTTTGTTAGCACAAGGAGTTCTGCTTGCCTCATGGAACAATCTACCCTCTCCTCCCCCTAATGCGCTGTTCCAGAGGGAGGCTCCTGATAGCCCAGAACTATTGGGGGACACAGGATGAGAGTGGAGGAAGCCGTATTGTGCTAGCGTGACTTCTGCTGGCTTCCACCAGCGCAACGCTTTAGTGGAATCCGGGCCAAAGTGCATTGCTTTGTTCAGTAGTGGAGTCAAATAAATGTAACAATTCTGTTATCACCAATATGATTTCTTTTTAGTCTGGGGACTAGAAAAGTTACAGCAGCCTGAATTTACTATTAACATTTTAATGTAATTATTTTTTAAAAAAAATATTTCACTCATCACCCCAAAAGACAGGAATATATTCAGTTTCCTCCCAAAAGTCCCATTTTTCATTTCAGACTTTTAGAAAAAAGCAAAAAACAACATCCGTCTCACATATCTTTTTCCAAGGTTCTTCTTCTCCTACTTCATGTCCATACTTGGGCTTTTTCTTCTTCTCCTGTACAATGATCCTCTGCAGCTCATGGTGAGTTTGCAGGGGAAAATAATAATTTGAGTTTGGATCTGGCTTCATTTGTTGAGTTGTTCCTGAGTGCTGGTGGCTCCTTTGTATAAGCTGAATAGCACAAAATCATGTATACTTGCTCTCCTGGAATATTTCAAAATAAAGTACCAAGCAACATGTGTAAATACTCAACAACAATCTATTTAAGAGTTCAAACACTGTCTGTGACCCAGATGGGCATGTGTATGCACACTGGAATTAAAGAAATGGCCCTGAAGGCCCCAAATGCTATGAACTCTATCCTTGGCTTAAGATTTTCTTTCTAGTGGGGGCAAAGCAACAGCCTTAAAAAAAGATATTGGCCATTATTTAAGATTCTCATGTAAGACATTCCTTTGCAAATCATTAGCTTGAACTCTTCCATAATTCCTGTGATTTGTGTTACCTCAAAAAGACAAAACATCCAAACCCCAAGGTACTCATGGTGGACATGAACTGAAACCGATAATTTTCTGATCAGAGCATGTGAGGTTTAAGACAAAATAATTATTTTTCCATACCTGTCAGTGGCATAGCAAATACAACTAGAAATATTGTGTGAACTCCTTGCTTGAGTATGTTCAGGGTAACTCTGCAGGCTGTTTTCAAGAGAACTGGAATACAAAAAGCAAATTAAAGTACTGCAGTTATAAGAGAAATCAGGTACACATCAGTATACTTTGATTACTATGTATTTTATAATTTTAGGTTATCAGAACACAGTGGACTTTACTTTTTCCCCCTAGACTTAATCACAAGCTTAGTCCAAAGTTTCCATTGCTTACTCATTTTTCACTTAAAACCTAGTCATATAATAAAAAAACCTAGTTGTATAAGTTAAACCCATAGGTGAGTACATCAGATCACCTATTTTTTAATTTGGATTCCTAACAGGTAACATGTCTCCCTCTCTATTCTCATTAAGGACTCTCACAATTCTTTCAAGGTTTTTTAAGCATACATTTTAGATCCTTCACACTGAAATCTTACACGCTCTTACCTAGGTGTCACCCCCAGAGTGTAGGACTTATTTCTGAGTTAACAGTGCAATCCCGTATGTGCATGTTGCTCAGTTCACTAAGGTCTTCCTAGTACTTTCTGGTTTCCCTTTTAACAGCAGTCCTGAATTCGATGACTGTGTGTGTGTGTGTGTGTGTGTGTGTGTAGGTTTGCTTTTGGGCCCTGGGCATTAATTTATTTTGCTGACCATTTTAGCTTCTCTCATATTTTAGTCTTGTCTGCCGACAGACATACTTTGAATTAATGGAAATAAAAAAGGTGTTCGAAATACTTAATGTAAGTGAAGTGCTCTGAGCACTTAGTTATTTCAGAAATCTTTACAACAGCACTGAAGAGAAGGCTTGTGTGATGTCACGGTCTGGCTGGATGCAGAGGAGTGGTGGGAGGTACCAGCTAGGTAATTCCCAAGGGAACCCCCAGGGGAAGAAGTATCAGAGCCAGGGGACTGGTGGTGGGATGACAAGGAGTGGTAAGAGGGAGAAGAGGGAGCAGACTGGGAGGAGGAGGTGTCAGAAGCAGAAGAGGTAACAACAGGGTGAGCAGGAAGAGGCTTTGGCAGAGAACAGTTCAGACTCTGAGGCTGGAGAGGAGGTTGGCCAAGAGGCAGAGTTGAGACAGGCTGCTGAAGAACCTAGGGGGTCTCCCCATCCTGCTGTGACCAGCTCCTCCCCCCTCCCCCTGGAAAACTCAGAGAAATGAAAAGAGCAGAGCAGAGATTGGTTGTATGCAGACGCAGTTTGTAACTGTTTGGGAAAGATCCTGGAGAGGAGGAGCTTTAGAGAGCGGTGGGAAGGCAGGGACCTTCAGTCCTTGCAGCTGCCTCAATGGGGGCAAGACCTACTGGGAAGAGGTGCTGTTTTGGTTTCTTTGAATAAAGAGTTAACTTCACTAACATTGTTGTTTTTATTGCCTGGCTCTGGCTCCTGACATGTGATTATACTTGAATTATAGATTGGGGCTGGGATGGGGGGCTAAGCACATGTGGAGCTGACATTTTGTTTTACTTTTAAACTAGTGCAAACCACTTTATAAGTGCTTACATTTTGCTTTAAAGTTTATTATAACCAAAATAAGTATTAGAACATTGAGTGAAATTAAGCATCCTATTACAAATATTCCATCTGTGCAAGCGCTGCAGTTTTCCAGATGGAACAATAGCTCCTCCCCTCCCCATGTGCTATTTTGAGGGTACTCCCACCTCACCACAGAGCCAGTTATGGGGGGGGTGCAGGGGGAGAGGATGTAGTAGGTGAATCTCGCCCTTTGTTTCTGATACCAAATTAGTTGAATTATATTCACACTTTCACTGAATCATTTGCAATATTCAGTGTGGCTGTGAAGCCCAGAAAGGGTATTTTAAGATAAGCAGTCCAAAGGCTTTCACTTTCTCTTGAATGTTGTTCCGTATCTTTGGTGTCTTTTACTCCTCTTAAACAACCATTACTTGACATATCATGGTTCATACTTAGATTTGTTCCTTCTCTAGAATTCAAAACTCATTGTGTTTTAAAAAAACCCTACTCTTCATCGTGCAAATACATAGTTCTTCCGTTTGCAGTAAAATAGAAGGTGAGAGGGGCAAATATCTGCTTCATCAGCACTGCAGTTTTTGTCTATTTATATAAATGGTTGTTTATAACTTGACTTTCTACTGAAGATGAATTTCTTGCTAAATGATATTGGCAACAGCTAGTTATGCAATGCACAGTGCTGGCTCACTGTTCAGGCACTTCACTAATGAATGTGGGTCGGTCCTGTCTTTATACCTGCTGACTGAAGTAAGGCACACTATGTATTATTTTTCCTCATGCAGTAGCTCTGTGGGAAACTCTTAATGATTCAGATAAGATCTTAATGACTCTGCAGCAGTCCAACACAACCTCTGCAGAGAGAGCTTCTTGTCACACCAAATGAAAAAGTTGCTAGCCAGAGACCATATGAGATTAATCAGTAGAGGGAAGCAGGAAGCACTTGAGGAGGCTGAAAGAGAATACTGGACACAAAAAGGCCTATAAAGGAAGGCTTCATTCTGGATAAATCCCAGTCACCCTTTGCATGCCTTTAAAACAGGGATAGTTGAAGTGTGGCCCCAGATATTGCTGACCACTGGCGATAATGGGAGTTGTAGTCCAACAACATTTGGAGGGCCACAGGTTAGTGTGGCGGAGAGGCCAAGTTGGTAGCTTTTCTCCTAAGCTCTGTATTGCAGGCTATGTACACTTCTGCAGATTAATGGCGGCTTTAAAATGCCATCAAGTTTCTGAAAAGTTGTCTGTACATAGTCTCAGACTCTGTTCTTGCCACTGTGGCAGCCTGTGATCACAATGGGAAAGTCAATTCCCTCTGCGACTTTACCTTAAGGTTAAGCCTGTACATTCAGCTGAGAGATTTCTCATCAATATATGAGATGTCCCATCTCTACCTCACTGCTGCTGCTGCTGCTTTGGAATGGAATTCATTTATACAGAGAGGGAACTTGGTTTTTCAGCCAGAAAGCAGAAAAGAGATGCTGCAACTGAGGCGAACTGTTTTCAGGAAGTGAATTTATATTGTGCTGAGATTGACAGGTGCTTAATTATGTGATGTAAGTTTCCTAGAACTAAAGGTCTGTTTTTTCAAGTTCTAATCATTTATATTAGCTTAATTTGATGCTGATAAGCTTGTTTGCTAAAGAAGCCCTTTCCAGATTTCTGCTGCCTTTGTTTTGAATATTTGTTTGATACTCTATCAAAGTGTATACAGACAAATGCAAGTATTTCATGAGAAAGAGCAACACTACCAGCTGGATTGTCATTCTTTCCTGTGTAAGGAATCGTACCTGTTTCCTAAACTAACAAGAATGTACATAGGAGATTGTAACTTTTGAATAAGTACTTTATGTAATAAAACATTATTTCCTGTTTCTGAACTTCTCTATTAATTCTTCTGATGCTTGACTTATATAAACTGTACTTTTATATAACTTTCTGAATTTCTCCTTTCTCTCATTAAAAGCTATACTGCCCTCCTCATCCACTCTCTCTGCTGTGTTGCTTTGTCACAACAATTCTTCAAATAATTTGCTGGTTTAGCCCCACAGACAAGGTTAGATGGGAACATGGATGGAGCTGAGCTTCGGGCAATGGCCATCCACACCGTGTAAGCAGGGTGCAAGGTCGTTTAAGAAAAAGTTGAATCAATACAGGGCTAAGATGCAGGGCTAAGTTTTACCCATTTGTTTGGCAATGATTTTGGGGGTTAGCTTGCCTGACTAGGAGCATCTCACCTGACAGCACATGGAAGATCTCAAGAATATTACATAGCACATTAAAACTAAAGTAGCCTTTAAAACCTTGTGCCCTTTTAAAATTTAATTGGTGTGCTGTATTTTAGCTCCACACACACACACCAATTAAACAACTACTGTGGATTTTTAACCTATTAATTAAAACTTTGAATCCTAACATCAGAAAGAAACCGAAACAACTTCAAACTTCCACCACTCTGTGAAAGTGTCATAATATGATCTACCAAATTATCTATTATGATGGGATACAACAAACCACATTTAAAGCTATGTATCACAGGTATGTCTACACAGAATAAAATACCTCAGTCTATAATCAGGGGGTAAGTAGTAGCCCCTGTTGTAATTGTTCCTTGTCAGGGCAATCTGCTTTTGAAGATCTTTCACTGATTTGCTGTATCCATTGAAAATGTAGTTGGCAAAGAGCAGCTTTCCTCGAATGTACATCTGTCAAAAATACATAAAACATCAGCCTGTGAGTAGAATGCAAAAGCTGCCTTTGAGGAGACATACAGGAGAATGGGACGCGGTTTTGTCTGGAGCCACATTACCAATTTTAAATTCATTAGCAGGCCATATCACACCATCATGAGTCATCCTGTTCACCTGCTGAACTGACTGCCCAGAACTAAGTACAATATCACAGCTTTCCCCAGCACTGGAGAGACCCAGCACCTTCTAAACCTTGGCTAGGGTGCCTCCACCACTGGCATTCTTCTGTATTGTAGTATGAACTAATGTTTAGTTTGTCACCAGCAAGACATCGTTAACCTTTTTAGATCAACTGTTTTCAGCTAGGCGTTTGCCATCTTGCTCCTGGGGTAGTTCATTTTGTTTAGTGGCAGGCCAGTAATCCAGCTCATTAAGATTTGCTGTTTTTAGCCAATTGTATGTTTCATGCTCCAGGCTAGGCAGGTTTCTCAGCCAGCTTGCAGAAAGAGACACCACCTGCTTCAGGTTTGTAACCCATTTGTCTGAGTACAGGTGCTGGGGCTTGCTTCTGAGTAGATATGCACAGGATTGTCAGTTGTGGGGCAGCCTGGGCAGATTCAGGTCTGCATTTATGGAAACCCTCTCAAACAAAGGAGTCCTGAAAACTTTTGATGTTGCCCTCTAGAGAGTGTTTTAATCGAAATGTAAAAGTTGAGGAAACTGAAACAGGTACCTTGAATAATGTTTGGGTTGATCACTTCTATGGGATAGTTTCAAGGATTTCTTTTATCCTAATGTAGCACAGTTTGGGGAGAATGTTTCCTTACCTGCATAAAAAGAGGCAGCCAAGCATTCTAGAAGAAGGGTCATAGCTCAATGGGCAGAGTGCATATTTTGCAGGCAAAAAGCCCAAGGGCCAGTCCCTGGTATCTTCAGTTCGGTTGGGACAGACCCCTGTCTGGAAGCCTGGAGAGCTCCTGGCAGAATACTGAGCCTGGTGCATCAGTGGTCTGACTCTGTAAAAGGCAGCTTCCTATATTCTCAACTAACACCAAGGGAAACAATTGGCCTACTTTGACAGTTGGTTGGGAAAAAGCAATCAAGTGCAAAAGGTCATTCTTACAGGCCTTTCGTCAGTTAAGGTAATTGATTCAGGTAAGCCAAACTTGAAGAGACTGTGCACAAACCAGAAGACGGATAACACTATATATCTGCTCTTTCATGACACAATTTATTCACAACCATCAAAGATTATTATAAAATATAACACTTGCTAACCTTGGTATTTGTAAAGACTAAGCTATATTCATTATACACAATTATCTGCATGCTTACTTGGGAACAAGCTTCAGCAGATAGGCTAGGATTCTATAAATTTAGCTTCGGCTCTGCAGCTTGTGACAATTGTTTTCACGTAATTTTTCTTTTTTTTAACTCGTGCTCCCCCGTTTGCACAAACATTCATGATAACCCAGGGAAACCATATATTTTATGAGACCTTCCTCCTCACTGGGTTGAAACTGAGGAGGAGTCAACTGTAGTGGTTCAGAAACTGAAGTAATTCGCAAATAGGAAGTAGCTGCAACAGAGTAAAATGGAAGGGAAATCTCATTTTATAGATTAATAAATCTAGATGTAGGTGGACAGGGGCCCTCTGCTGGACAAACTTAGAAGTTACAGTTGCTTAGAGGTGACTACAGAGAGAGATTTTGCTTGCTTTCTTCTTGGACAGGAATCCAAGATGCTAGCATGTAAAAATACCCTTCAGGTGAGTCCAATGCACTCATTTATTTATTTATTTGCTTCTGGAAGAGCAGGTTTACACTACTTACTGGATACAGGCATACAATGCCCAATGGAATAAGTGCTCATTAGTAACCAGGGAGAGTCATGGAGAAGAGGTCCAGTTGCCCCAGTAAGAATAAACATTACTCTCAGTCCTGGGAAGTATTTGTCCTGCATTCATTGTAACAGACTATTTCAAACATCCCCCTTGCATTGGGAAGGGATCATGCCAGCCATTTCGTTCTTGCTTCTGTTAGGCTCCACATTCAGAAAATAAGGTGGAGGAGTCACCTTTCTAGAGTTCATATCATTTGCTGAGAACAAATTATAGGCCGATTCACTATTGTGCTTCCATCTCTCCCCCTTTACACATCTATCTAAAACAGTGAGAGAATAGAGATATTTTCCTTAGTTCTCAGATCAGAAACTTGAGCAGTTGTTCTTACTAGACCCCTTTGTGGGAGAAACTGGAATTTTATGTCTTTTTCCAGTCAGTGCCATATCTTTCACTATTCTGTAGAACGAAACCAATCATCCTTATGTTCCAATTATTGTGATGGCACTGATTCCAATGGACAAGAGGAAGATGTCAGCATCGCCATTTGCTATGAAATGGGGAATGGGCTGTCTTGAACGAAGAACACAAGAAGTAGACTCCAGCCATAGGATCTGGAAGCCATTTGCTTGGTATGAGTTGAAATGACCTGGATGTGTGACAGGAAGGTTATAACCTACCAAAAACATGCCAGGAGCAATATTATGCCTTTTCACCAGTAGTGATCCACAGTGGCCTGTAAACTCATCTGCAGACCCAATATCGTATTTGAGCAGGCGAAAAGAGTCCAGACGACCCTACAAAAACAAAGACAGCATCATTATAAGACTAGGTCAACAATAGCAATAATAAATCTTATTCTACCAGATGTCAGAGCACAATGTTCCCATTGAACAAGTCAGCATTAAAGGAACTGAATTATTCAGCTATTTACTGCTCACAGTGGCAAGTGGCCCAAGTACATTTAACTTAGTGATGGACATGCCTAATTGTCAGAATGTCCCTCTGATGTACTCCCACCTTACCAAAAAAAGGGGGGCACTACTGTTAATTTAGATCTAGTGTGTATAGGGAAACAGCAACAGCATTCATGCTCAGAAAAAGCTCACCCATCTTAGGGCTGTCATATTTTGAAGAGCAAAAAAAGAGGACACATTTGCCAACTTCTACTTTTAACTATGGATCGCTATAACGACTCATTTCACATACCCATGAAAAAGAGGACGTGTTCTGGAAAAGAGGTCATATGACAACCCTAGACTTATACCCCAATCCACAAATGATATAAAAGGATGTTTTGTGGCATTAATCTCCTATGTCAACAACCCAATTTCTCTGTACTTGTAAGAAGTCAAAAATATAAAATGAAGCAATTTTTTCACACCAAGATGTTATTCAAAATCTTCTTGCTTTTACATCAGTCATCAGCCCATTTCAAATGCAACACTAAGTTATACCATGGCTAAGTGTGAACAAGCAAGCATGTGGGTACTCACAGGAAAATATCCCTCCCCATTTCCTGCTAATGCCATGCTACCGGGATCTAAACCATGGTTTCACTTAGCTTTACATCCAAACTTGGGCTCATGGTTTGTCTGGGGAACAAACCAAGAACAAACGTTGGTTACAGCTCATGGTTTGTTTGGAGCAAGACAAACCATAAACCTAGGTTTGGACGTAACACTAAGCCACCCACGGTTTAGCTCTGGCTAGCATGCCAGCAGGACAATGAGGCACCTGCAATTTTTGTGTGTTCATGCTTAGCCATAGCTTGGCTGAGTGTTAACAGGTGAACCAGGTCACTGATGTGATTGAGACAACACCCGAGAGCCCTACCTGTGTACATGGCATACTCCTGTTCTTGTTCTTTCTCTCATAGAGCTGTTCTAGGTGCTTATCTGTTCTGGGGTCGTAATCTGCCGCTCTCAATGAAGTTGTCACACAGATCACAGTGATCTGCTCTGAGGAAGACATCTGGTTGTTAATAATGTGATCATATTCCAGGTCTGTAACATATGGAATCTGATGGTTGCTGCATCTGCATATCCTCACTTCATCTCCCAGCATCGTTCTTCGAAGGACTACAGGGCAGGCACTGTGTGATGCAGTGCATGCCTTTTCACTGTCATGAGAAAGCAGTGGTAAAAGGAGCATAAGTTGGAGTGTGAATGAACTGAAGTAACAAAACTTTAACCAGCTTACACTTACTTGATCTACCTAACAAAGTCTCTCTGTTTCCCAGGTAATTCAAAAGGCTGCTGCAAAATCATACCTCTGTCTGAAATTGTTTTTATCATCATGATGCTGTTTCTCTACAACTTCTTAATGTGCCTTTTGGGATCAGCTATTTCCTTGAGGGCTATCCAACATTTTGTCACGAACTGTAGCTCCTCTGTTTAGTTATTCATTTAATTAACACTGCAAAGGGGCTTACAATATTTTGCTCTAGATCCCTATAATTTTCAGGGGTCCCTGAAAATACTGAATGACTCTGAAGCCAACTTAAGTATGTGGTCTGTATATACATTCTCTCTGTCTCCTTCTCATCCTCACATCTTTGAACACACATACCAATAAACAAATTTATTGGTAAATTGCCTTTTTAGTATTTTTGCTTTGTAATGATGTCTATTACTATTTTTTTAATCCTTTAACCTTAACCTCTTTGCTAGTTATTTAAAAAACAAATCCTACCATCTCCACTTATTTTAATACCACTTGGCACATTAATGTCCCTAAATACATGCTACACAATGATAAATGAGAGCAATGATAAAAAAGAATAAATTTTGAAATTTAATTCTTATTATTGAGATCTGACATCAGATGTTCTATTGAATAATAGAATGTGCAAATTAGAATTAGAATAATCTAAGTCAGAGATAAATAATTTTGTCGTAACAACTGAGTGTCTAATAGCATATTTTTATTGACCCACATAGTGCATAAAAGATAATACCCTAATTAAAATGATGGTTTCAATCTGGTTCTGGTTTGAGTCAACTGATGTTGCAGTGAATGGGATACAAATATTTCATGGGGAAATCGGACATCAGCTACATGTTTTTGAGTTTCTGGCCATGGGACTGGAATAATAGGATGGAGAGGCAGCTTTCGGCTGCCAAATTAAAGAAAGCCTGTTCTTGTGGGGTTTTTGTTTTGTTTTTCACAGAACAATGCAGCTATAGTTGTACCTTTGATCCCAAACGCCTTGCGAGTCTAACATTTTGGCTCTCAAACACCGCAAACCCGAAAGTGAGTGTTCTGGTTTGCAAACGTTCTTTGGAACCCAAATGTCTGATGCGACTTCCACGGCTTTTGGTTGGCTGCAGGAGCTTCCTGCAGCCAATGGGAAGCCGTGCCTTGGTTTCCGAACATCTTGGAAGTTGAATGGCCTTCCGGAATGGATTCCATTCGACTTCTGAGGTACCACTGTACTCAAAAGGGAGACTCCCAAAATTACTCCCAGGCTGCGCACCTGGTCCTTCATTCAGGACCAGGGATGTCATGATCAATGGCATCAAAGGCCACTGAGAAATCCAGCAGAACTAGGAAACAGCTCTCACCTCAGTCCCTTGCCCACTGGAGATCATTGACCAGTGAGACCAAGGCAGTTTCAGTCCCATGATGAGGCCTAAATCCCAACTAGAAGGGACCTAAATGGTCCGCATCCTTCAGGTATGCCTGGAGTTGTTCAGCGACCACCTGCTCAATCACCTTGCCCACACTTCTTTTCTCCTTGCATTGTTGTACAAATAAACCCGGAGTCCTGACTTTAGCTGAAATCCATGGTTTTCTAAAGGTATAACTGTGTCCACAGCACTTTGATGCTCTTTCTGATCCTCCAGAGCAGAAGAACTAGCCAAACTAGTATAAAGAAAACTCTAGCAGATGCTCTTTGTGTGGATAAACTGGCTGAACAAGTTCTGAAGACAGCTTCAAACAAAATTCGGGCAAGACATTGAATAAATAGTGGTAAGGTCCTGAAGTGTGTAAGACACAAATGCTTATTTCTGTGGAAAAACAAGAACAACTTGCTTCCAAGGCTACCAGAACTGAACCTAGCATTGTTACAGTGATAAAATTACAAATGTAAGGAAATGTTGGTTGCTTGCTGCAGCGGAAAAAGACTGCTTTCTTCACATTCCTAGTTGCAGATTGCAACTTCAGAAATCCAATCCAAGTAAACGTAGTAAAATTAAGGCCACTGGATTGCAAGCAGCTCAATTCTAGTCTAGTGAATTATTGTTGGAGGGTACAGAACCATGTATGCTCCCCTGAACTCCTTCGAGGAAAAGTGGAAGATATAAACATAATAAATAGAATAATAAATATATCATATACATAATGCAAAGCTATTCTAAATTGATCTGTCATATTTTCCTTACTTCTCCAAAGTAAAAATACTGTAAAATCACCTGAATATGTATTTGTTTCATTCTTAAAACATATGCTCTAAATAATATAAATGGCATTTAAAGAATCTTAGTAAGTCTTCAAAGAACATAGTAAATGGTATTTAGTTTTACTTACTTTGCTTTATGAGAGGTTTGGAGTGTGTCATTGTTTACATTAAGGTGAGTCATGGGTGGTTTATTTGTTCTGAAAATGCTGCTCAATAAATGAGGGTCTCTGCAAGAGAAAATAAACACACTTAAGAGTTTTCCTGCATTTCCAAGGTACCTATGCTGATATTTACACTGATATGCAATGCAGACCCATTTCTAATGGCTGTTTCATACAATGCAGCATATGTGGGGAACCTCTGGCCCTCCAGAAGTTGTTGGATTCCAAGTCCCATCATCACCAGCCAACATGGTCAATATTCAAAGATGATGGAAGCTGAAATTCAGCGTACAGGGTGCAACCGATTCTGCATATCTGCAGTATCGTTTTAGTAGGTACATGCTGCATATTCAGCACGTTAGAATTCCTAAAGCACTTAATCAGAGCAGTATAAGATCCCAGTATAAAGGAAGCTGTTCCCACTCCTCTCTGGTGATTTATCAGTTGAGCTTATGTGTGCTGTGGTTGATTCATGACCCAATATTTAGCTTGCACCTATCTTAATTAAGAGGATTTGGAAACCAAACTCATTGCTTCAAAAAAGAATTAATACAGTATTGTAACATTTTACATCTGTCTCTTTGGAATATTTTCTCAATTTATTTTCATTTACCCAGCACAAAGTTTAAAAATTAACTTTAATAAAAAGAAAGTTAATATTCTGAGCAAATTGGGAAATTTATCCACAATGAGGCTGTTCCTTGGTCCCTGCATGCACCCCGCCAAATTGGCTTGGGGTGTGTGTGTCAGGAGAACTCCCAGAACAGCTTGCAGACAGAGGAGAGGGGGGAATTGTTCCATCTGGCAAACTGAAATGCTTGCACTGAAGGAAGGGTCCTCATAGTGCTACATCAAATTCCTCCATATATTCACAGAATGGTGTATTTACTCCCCATTGCAAAGGGAGTTGGTAGGCATTTGACTTCTTGTGCTTTTACCTGTAAAAACCAGGTGACACACCTTGAGGGGGGCCGCAAGATAGAACAGACTGGAAAGGAGGATGGTTGCCTGGTGTAAGGGTCTCTGTCTCCCTGTCATTCTCTTTTCCCTGTGCTGTATGAAAGCCAAGGAAAGCATCCCCATGTTGTGTTTTGCACCGTCTGCCAGCAATCCGAGGGAAGGCTGAGGTTCTGCGTGTGTGTGGTGAGCTGATTTCTGAAATGCAACAATACACCACCAAGGCAACAAACTTTAAAAAGGCCTTAAGCTCACATATAAGACAGCTGACTTAGATGCATGTGGAATTCAGTTAACTGTGTGAGCACAACTGCACATCACAAGAACTGAAAGTGCAAAGCAAAATGTCCCCTTCAAGTGGAGTCCTTCCCATTCAATACAACTTCCAGGAAATACTATTTTAAGAAGTTAAGAGTATAAAATACCTTTTTATACACTTAAGAAAGAATTGCAACCAAATGTTAATTTATATTATTTATAACGCTAAGTATTTCTGTACTGCGAAGAGGAAGCACTTTAAAAATAGCTAGGAAAATTAACACCACATTTTCATCAAGCAAGACGTCTGCTTCCAATAAAACGTTGGCCAAAGGGAAGACAATGTTCATAGACCACATTGCACTCTGCTTCTCTGCTTCCCCTAGGCTCAAGCTTCCACCAACGCTTCACCTTTTTGCTCTGGTGTAGAGAAATTGTACCAGTTCTTATCTTCTGGCCTAATGATGGTGAACCTTTCGCCTTCCAGGTGTTGTTTGATCCAATTCCCATTAGTCCTAGGCAGCATGACCAACGATCAGCATAAACCCAAGCTAAGAACACAAAGTATCCTTCTGCTATATATGGTGAGTGCCCTGGAGATGTAGGATCAGGAAATATTCCTGTTTCTCCTGTCATACAATAGGCTCTGGAACTAAGGGAAATGAAATCACACACAGAATACTGGCTTCGTTCACACATGTATACATATATCATGTGGGTTTTTTTATCAATCACATATGACTTTATGTGATGTATTTTCATGTATACATAAATGAAAATAATTAGTACCAAAAGTCCGATCTCAAAGCATACCCTGCAAAGAAACTAATGAAATGTGGAATCAATGGTTATAGGCAAGTGTACCTTTCAAATAAAAAATGTAAAACAAGATAAAGCAATATATAATTTCATTAAGTGATTTCATACTCCCTTTTTGCAAAGCAGATGCAGCTGTTAGGTTAATATCACATGAACAGATACAAATGCAGATGAACTGTAATGTTTAGTCTATACATACTGATTATAATTTTAAAATATATTTAAATACCTGACACCAAAAATATAAACCGTGTCATTACTTATTTCATTCCTCTGAATTTAGAAGTATTAGCATCCTCCTCCAATACTTAGGCTACTAAATTAAAGACTGACCTAAGGCTATCCGGTAATATTCCATCCAGTCTTCTAGGATATTCTTGATCTTACATCTCAGCACTTTTAATTCTCTGGTAGGGTTGTAGTCTTTGACATGGCTTAGATCCTCTTCTGGAATTCTAGGTATTCTCTCCTGTGGTAATTTTTTTTAATCAGAAATCAGATCAAATTATGAGCAGCACAACAAAGAAAAAGCAGTAAAAGTAATAAGGGACCAGATAAAAATAGAATGGCTGGTACAAACATTCCCAGAAGATAAAACTAAATAAAGGTTCCAGCAAAGCAGTCTGAACCTGGCACCTCAAACTGAACAGTGTGCCACAGTGGTTAGAGTGTCAGACCTGGGAGACCAGAGTTTCAATCTCTACTTAGCCATGAAGCTTGCTGTGAGTCACTGTCTCTCATCCTAACCTACCTTACAGAGGTGTTGCAAGGATAATATGGTGAGGGGCAGAATTATGTACACCGCCTTTATCTCCATGGAGGAAAGGCAGGGTATAAATATGATGTCACATAAATAATACATAATGAAAAGGCAACATGTGATCCTTTCTGTGGCAGGTATTCTCTTCCTTATTCTCAGCTGCCTTGTTCCACTTCTCTTGGCCTATATTTTTGTTCTATTCTATTGCCTCCACTTGATCCCACCTCAGCTTCTGCTTTTCCCACACGTTATCTCCTAATCTGCCTGCTTCATCCTTCCCTTTGTCCCTTCACCACAAACCCCTGCCTCCTTCCCTTCTCCTTTCACTTCATCAAAGTACAACCCATCAAATGGGAGGAATATGTACAAAGCCATAGACATGACCGGTAGACCAGTAGGCAACAATGTTGGCCAGCTTCAACTCTTATTTCCTTTGCCTTGGCCCCTGCTTCTTCTGTCTTGTCTGTCTTTTCCCCTTCGGTTATCTCCCCGCCCTCTTATTTATATTTATTCAGTCTTCCTTTCTGCGTTTGCAGATATGTGGAATCTTTTTGTGGCACCCAAGCTTCCAGTAAACAGCTGCAAATATTGTACATCTGCCTTTCATTTCTATTGGGTTTGTCAAGACATGTTCCTACGTTATTGTGAAATAAGGAATCAAAGTTGCATTAGCTGAAGGGGCGTTTTGCACACAAGTTTTATGGTGTTAAATCAGCATAACGAAAATAAATTGTAGCAAAATATGCTGGTGTTAAATCAGCATAACGAAAATAAATTGTAGCAAAATACGCTGCTGTTACAGTATCCTAGTGATGGGCAAAGGCAGAGGAAATGTTAGAAAAAAGCTATAACAGTGTGAAAATAAAATTACATTTACTTATTTTAATATTGAGTTTCTGACAGCTGCTTACTTCCTTTTTAAGAGATTTTTTTGCGTCTTCTGTTTTGCCATGTGTTTTAGAAAATCCTTTTACTGATGTAGGTGGTAGATTAACTTTGGTGAATATCTTGCTCTAGAAAACCAAGAGAGAACAAACAACAGAATTTGCTTTAATCATGTGCAATCCATTGAGTTTCTACCCATTTTTCTTGCAGGAGTCTTATAATTTCCCATAGCTACAGGACAAGTAGCGAAACAGGCGAACCTTTTGTTGGCAACTGCATCTGCTGTTGAATTGCTACCAGCCATGAAGCACATAACCCCATCAGAAAATAGCAGAAGCTAAATTCTGTGTGACTGGTATGAGATTACCTGTAACCAAACAGCAATATTTCTGTTTGGCTCCTGGCTGTGATGCGGTAGCTGCTTAAAATACTGCTATGTGCACCCCAATCTCTGAGCAGAGAGAGATTTCAGGGGTGCTGTCAGCACATAACTCATGGTTGGTTTCCTTAAACTGTAGGTCACTGGAGACTGTGGTGTCTTTGTTATATTATGGGATGGTGGGAATTGGGAGTCCCCATCCCTGATGTAGGAGGAAATAATGTAGTGTCTTATCTATATTCATTTGTCTCACTATTGCACTTGCCTGGATACACGCAATCCACTATGACTCTAACATTTGTGTAGGGCTTCCAATAGTATTCCCATGAATTTAAATGTCAAGCTGATCCTGATTTTGAACTGAATGGAAAAGCCCTTTTGCAGGGAAACAGTATGTATGTGCAAGAGCTGGAAACGGCCCTCTTCTATCTGTTATTCCTTTTGAAACTACTGTGCAACAAATATTTTACTTCTTGCAAATCCTCTCGCAACCAAATTCTCCCACAACCCACCACAGAGGTCTATTATCTCCCTGCAACCTCCCTGCAGGCTCCAGCCTGATTGACATGTTGTGTGGTTTTTTTGCATCATGAGCTATTGCACCATACCAGGTTTTCTAACTGTGGACCAGCCACACCTCGTACCGGTGACAAAGACAAACGCACGCTTTCATGTCGCCACTTGTAAAGCAATCCAACAGCAAAGCGTCCTGCAACCTTCACTGTGATGCACTTGTTAACCTAGGGTAAGACATAAGAGATGTGTACTTCACAGTATTGTTTGGCTAGGAAATTTGCCAAAATGAAGATAGGAAGCCACAAGGGAAATCTGTCACTAACCAGAGAGCTCTTGTTTATGGTGTTCCAGTGTGCTGTGCCCCTCTCCAGGATACTCCATCCCACCTCCCTTCCCACCTGATGTTCCATTCCTCCCGCAAAGCAGTTTGGTCCATTTAGCTCAGAATTGTCTATTCTGCTTTGACTGGCTTTGGGGTTTCAGACAGGAGAATTCCCAGGCATACCTGAAGGTGCCAGGGATTGAAGCTAGGGCCTTCTGCATGCAAAGCAGGTGTGCTACAAATGAGCTATGGCGCTTTCCCAGAAATGCTGTTGTGGGAATATGGGAATCTGTCAACTACAGCATCATCAAAACCATCGGTCCATCTACTTCATTACTGTCAACACTGATTGGCAATGGCTCTCTAGGAGTTCAGACAAGGTTCTCACCCAAGTCTACTTGGGACCTTTCACATGCAGAGCATGTTCTCTACCACACCCCCTTTAAAAAAACTAGTGTCTGCAAGATATAATTGGGCACATATAATTGCAAGATATAATTAGGCTTCTGTACCTCTTGCCAGATGTAGGTTGCCGGGGTGGTTGTGGAAAGTACAGAGCATAGCTAGTTGCCAGGATTGGATAGGGTTGGGTTGCCAGATAAAGGGGTGAAATTTAATCTCTACTTCAAATTTTACATCATAGTAAGGAAAGGTTGAGTGCAAACATGACTTTTCTACTCTTGACAGTTTAAGAAGTGCTAGGTTAAGCATGTGGCCTTAGGGGGAAAGGAAGGGACAGGAGCAAAGCAGTTCAGTTTTAAAGTAATGCAGTTTCCCACTTCTCTTCTGCTTATTTATTATTATTATAATTATTAGGCTTCTTAAGTCACTTGTTACACAGATGTCTCCAGGCAACTTACAACACACTTAAAAACATAAATATATTATAATAACTCATTCATACAAAAGCACATGTAATTTATAAAAATATGGATTTGATATATGAATATGATCCTATTTTGTACCATGATGGCTCAATCTTCATCATAGTGTTTGTGCTGCTTCATCTTGGGAAGAAGAAAATTAATTCAAAGTATCATTTTCTTCATTAAACTTTGTTCATTAATTTTACTGTGAGCAAGCTTAGGTAGTTAGCTACTTCTGTTAGCTGAAGAATTTACAACACTGTAAATAACAGCATCCCCCAGAAGGAAAGCTGTATTAGAAAAAAATAAATAAAAAAGAATAAATATTACCTGCATAATAACTGGGTCATCAAGCTTCCCTTCTCCAGGCCATTTCCACTGGCGTAGTATTTCTCCATCTTTATTAGTCACCATGCCTCCTTCCTGATTAAATATCATTGCTATGCTGCTGCTGCAGAAACCAAAAGCCAGTTTTTCACGGTGCCATTTAGTAAAACATAATGAGTAACTCAAGCTGTCTACTTTGATCTTGGTGCTTTTAATTAACATAGTAATTAGCATGTTTATCGCTTCATCTATATATTCATATAGCATTCAACACAGGTGTGCACAGTGGCTGTGAATGAACAAGCCAGCCTTAAGAAAGTCACAAAATTATTTCGTAACGTAGCCCTTACTTTTTAACTGCAAAACATGAAGGTGCCTGGATAACCCCATGTTAACACTGGTTCTTATTCTAGGCATACTTTACAAGAATCAATGACATATCATATATGTGGTTTTATCCCACTGTGATTTTATCCAAGGCAAAAACCCCACACTTTCATCTGCTAAGGCTATGATCCACAAATCAGCAAAGGCATGCCGCACAGTCTAGGCTGATAGTGTTAAACTAGGTGTGAAAGACTTTGCTCTCCCTTCCCATTCTATTTGATATAAAAAATTTGTGTGTATGGAATGCTTGTAACTCACCATAAGTTGAGAGAAGGATACCTGAACTCTACAAGGCTCTGATTCCACACAGCAAGTTGGTACATGGCTTACCTTGAGCTCTAAACTACCATGTAAATTAAACAAGATTCTTAAGAAAGGATATAAGAAGTGCTGCACCAGAACAGCACCTTCACTTGTTGTGTCAAGTGTTTTGAGCTAACCCATGCAGGTCATCAGGCCCAACTTGATGGATCAGTGGCTGTCACTGCACCATATACGATACAGCAGCGCCGGCTGCTACCTTAAGATGTCTGTGCTGTTCTGGGTGGGGTGAATGGAAGCTTTTGAAGCACACTTTTAGTTTGTGAGGGGGTGAGTCATGCATGAAACAATGTGGGAGCCTTTTAATTATGTCCTACATCCAGTATAGCAGGTACCGCCAAAGGACTGCCTGCTGCAGTTAACATTTGATGTTAGTTAGGAAGCCCTCTGGAACGTCTCTTCTTACCTGTTAGAGAAGCAAATGCTGCCATGTCCAGAAGGAGTAAATGTTCCAACTAACGCACGATCAGGACAATCATTAAATATGTTGGTGTACAAGCCACCACAAGGAAGATCAGAGTAACTCTGACAGACTGCAACATGTCCAGAGGGGTAGGTAAATAAAGAGTCAAGGAGTTTGTCTGAGATGGATATGGCATTTCCAGGTGTCTAATTATAATGCACTATTATTATTATTATTATTATTATTAATACCCTGCCCATCTGGCTGGCTTCCAATATATATAAAAACATAATAAAACACTACACATTAAAAAGCTTCCCTATACAGGCTGCTTTCAGATGTCTTCTAAAAGTTGTATAGTTATTTATCTTTTTGACATCTGATGGGAGAAGGCCCTCTACTGGGTTCCCTGTAGCTTCACTTTTCACAGTGAAAGAACCGTCAGAAGATGCTCAGAGCTAGATCTCAGTGTCCAGCTGAACATGGAGGGAGGAGATGCTCCTTCAGGTAAACAGGGATGAGGCTGTTTAGGGCTCTAATGGTCAGCACCAACACTTTGAATTGTGCTCAGAAATGTACCGGGTGCCATCTTAGCACTAACTATTGCTGGTAAGGTGGAGAAATCTAGCTGTGCAGCAGATCATCAAACTGCCCAGAGAGAGAGATTGAATTGGGCTCGGTGACCAACAACAATGCCAATACAGATCTCTGAGGACCAATGAAAAAGGTCCCAAGCTGAAAGCACCATCTAAACTCTGGCTGCTGCATTTCCCACCAATTGCAATCTCCGAGGCATCTTCAAGGACAGCCTTGTGTAGTGCAAATTACAATAGTACAAACATGAGATTACAAGAATACTGTATGGATAATCATGGCCATGCTAGCCATGTCCAGGAAAGCTAAACCAAGCATGCTTGGAAAAAGATACTCCATGGAAGTGAATTATAGGCATACTTCCCCCACCTTCCACCAAGGCAATGGACCTGATCTTTTAGGGAAGTCCAACCACAGTCAGAACAGACCATCTTTCTGTTTCCCAGATCTGGAAGCTACCAAACCACAAGCACCTCCCCCTTGCCAGGACTCAGCTTCAGTTTAGTGTCCTCATTCAAGCCATTACTATTTATGGTATAATGAAGAACCTTTAAAATACTATAAAAGTAACTTTAAAATAAAGATTGCCAAACAGCTATGGGGAGATGGGTATGTATGACGCATAACACCAGATACATCCAGTGAACTGCTAAAAAGGTGCCTGCAATAACGACATGCAGCCATGACTGAAACAACTCTAATATTAGTGCCTGCTTTCTCTCACTCATAATACATGTTGAACTGAACTAAAAATTGCACCGAGGAGTCAGTATTGGGATGTACAAGCATGAATGGCTTGTGTGATGCAACTGTAAATTACTCATTCTATTTCTTGTCTACTGTACATTTGACTGCAGCTCAAACTTGCTCGGTGCTTATTCAGAGGATTTACCAAGTATCCATCTCAAAACTTCGAAACTATAAGCAGCCACTGTGGTACGTAGCAGTGACCTATCTGTGCTAAAGTGGATGCTATCATGAATGACTTTCCACATCACCACTGTTGGCAGGTGTTTGTCCGCTCAGATAGATGTATGGATAGCTAGCTAGATAGATATAGACATGCAAAGACCTATTTCTATATAAAATTTTAGACAGTTTGAGGTTTAGTAAGTTCAAGTGCTAAGGGGTCCTTTCTGAGTTTTCTCAAATCAGCAGCAGGTAATAATCTAAAAATTTGACATTCAAGTGTGTAGGAACAAAAATGCTTGGGTCATGACTCACGACTTTCCTTCTTTTCAGTTTGGATAAAAGGTTCTAAAGCAAGTCCCTCCCCCTCAAAAACACGTTTTTGATTCCAGACTGAACCTGCATAAAATCGCACACCATTATTTGGAAACAGGTTTTTCCAAACGTCTTGCTCCTGTAAAGTGATCTAGAACCTTTTACAGTTCAATCCTTAAAGACGTTTACTCAGAAATCCTAAAGAAATTTGCTTCCTACCTGCCAAGTGAATTAAGTAATTTTAAATCCATGCTTTTTCTTTGTTGTAGGAATGCTTCCTCCCATTCCTGCTAGATGGAATTCTCTTTCATGTTACACTTTCAAAGGATATTAAATGAAGGATGATCCATCAACCAATCCATAGTGCAGTTTTTTTGAGGCTGGCTCAGCTTGTTTGATCACTGGCAACTGTGGTTTTTCATACAGGCTCTCAGAAGAGACTTTCTTACTGGGCCGCCCTTTGATGTTTTGGGGAAAGGTTTCCTTCTTGATATCACCATAATGACGAAGAATAATAGGCTTGTCAAATCCTGATTCTTTCAGCTTAGACAGCTGTTCAGTTCTGTTTGGAAGATTTTTTTTCTAATCAATTATTTACTAAGAAATTCTCTTAAATAATGTCTTCAACATAGCTAACATTTAGGCTGAAAAAATTCAGCTTTCTATATGATCTGAATAAGCAATGTAGTATAGCATATTCCAGGCACCAGTCTTCTATTCATCTGAGTAAAAAGCAGTTCAATTCAATCCAAACCCTGTAAGAGCTTTGAAAATACATTTTATATTTAGAAAGAAAAACAGTTTAGAATGTAAGTTGCAAGTCTAAACTCACTTGCCTTCTGCTCAGGCAACTTGGTAGAGTCCTAATACAGATTCCGAACACAGACATCCTAATCTATACTACGTTTGAACCCCATTTTACATTTTTGGTTTTATTTTCAAAAGATCTTCACCAATTAAAGGTAAAGGTACCCCTGCCCGTGCGGGCCAGTCGTGTCCGACTCTAGGGTTGTGTGCTCATCTCGCTTAAGAGGCCGGGAGCCGGCGCCATCCGAAGACACTTCTGGGTCACGTGGCCAGTGTGACGAAGCTGCAGCTGGCGAGCCAGCACCAGCGCAGCACACGGAAACACCGTTTACCTTCCCGCTATAAAGCGGTACCTATTTATCTACTTGCACTTAGGGGTGCTTTCGAACTGCTAGATGGGCAGGAGCTGGGACCGAACGACGGGAGCTCACCCCGTCGCGGGGATTCGAACCGCCGACCTTACGATCAGCAAGTTCTAGGCACTGAGGTTTTACCCACAGCGCCACCCGCGTCCCACCTTCACCAATTATTTGCCTGTTATTCTGAATAAGCACATTAATAAAGCTACACCAACCAGTGCGAAGGCTCAACCCCAGTCCAGATTTAGTGGTAAGTACTTCTGAGTCAATAGTTGTCCCATGTCCCCTTTACACAGAAACTTGCACGTCACCTGCAGCTCTTAAGTATCCTAGCAGATACTGAGCTACAGTACCAGCAAAACAGGGAAAATGCAAAAGAGCAGCTAGCTTTCTTCACTGTAGGTGCTGAAGGAGAGTGAGGGTTATATTGTTTTGGCTTGCACTTGCATAAGCTACTATGTGTACTTCATTCAAAGAAGAGCTACTGGACTGGACTGTCCTTTCCATTGGTAGGCAACATATTTACACTACGAGCCTTCAACAGCTTTATTTCAATGTCACTATGAATTTTCTCATGGTCTATATATTACACATTGCTGACTTTGAGAGTCAGATATCCAAACCTTTAACTGAAGGCGGGAATTAAGCAGGAAAGCATTCCAGAAGCTTGTAATTCTAAATATTAATTAGAGGAAATCTAAGGAGAACCCTTGACTGGAAGCCAACATTCCTTACACCTTAAACTCTGCAACAAGATAGCACTCAGGACACCTTTTTGCTGACCAGGCTAGGAATAAGCATTCAATAACACTAAGTCAAGTGCAATAGCATTGGCACAGAAACCTGGCAGCAGTCAGCGCTGTACCTTCCAAAATGAGGATCAGGATTTCAGCGCCAGGTCTATGTGCCAATAGGGGTGATAAACACTGAAAAAGAAAACATACTCTCCTCCTCTGGGATGGATTGGTTTGCAGAGATTTTGTCTATATAATTATATCTCAGATGAAAATAAATCTTCCAATAATAATATAAAACATACAAGTGTAAAAACAGTTATAGCTAACAGAAGATAGTCATTTGATCTCGGTTCATCAAGATTAATCGAGTTATTCACTTAGAACTGTACAGGGAAACACAGGGCACAAGAAAGTAAAAGACTTCTGAAAATGATATAGTTATTGTTTTTCAAAAATACTTGATAGGATTAATTAAGTCCGCACTACATTGGGGACGTTTTTAAAAATTACCAGACATCATGATTCTGAGGTTGTTATCCCTAAGAAAAAAGTATCTTCATTTCCCATTCCTGTCAAATACCAAATATTCAATGTTCAATTATTTAATTTCCCCCCCAGAGGAAATGAGTTTCTGTAATGTGGTTTTGCAACATGGTTTTATGTTCCACATCAAGGCTAGCCCAAGACATTTTACTTTCTGACGGAAAAGACCAGAGGATGCTGCCCCCCTAGTCTATATCCAAAACCTGCCTGGACTGGCAGTGGATTCTTATGTCAAAACTTTGCTGCGCCTGAGGAAAGCAGGAAACATAGGGAAGACCACTTGGCACACAAATTCCCAGCACCACTTGCCTGAGGCGAAAGCCCTACTCTGCCTAATGGTATGGTCAGCCCTGCTCCACAGGGTCATACAGGATTGCTCTTGGGCCCAATAGTGATTGCATGAGGGCACCAACTGCATGAAGCAACACTTTCACATGAGGACTTTTCACACTGTGTGATTTGTGCAGTCACAGTGGCTAAAAAAGCCGATGCTTTGATTATGAAAAACTGCAACGGCTGTCATATATGGGTCCCAATTGGAAGCACCAATTCAGGCCATTGGTTCATACAGCCAGTGCCTCCATGCTACCCCTTTCCAGTTAGAAAACGCCAGAGGCCCTGCATACTCTCCCATGGACCTCTCTGAGCATCTGTGTTAGCAATTTAACACATCTTAAACTATCTCTGGTTATTTTAGCCTGTAATAAAATGGAAAATTTTCAGTTTAACAAGAATAGATTTTAAAAGCCATAATACAAAATCCCATTTTAATATTACATTTCGATCTTCGCCATTCGTAATCTTTCCACTGCCCAGACATACGGTGCTTTCCATTCTAGGTCTTTAGAGTCACAGTCAGAATGTTGCAAAACCCAACCTTTATGAAGAAATGAAAAAACTCAATTAGTTAACTGAAATGCTGCAAATAAATAAATAAATTTTAAGTGCCTGTCAAATTCCAAGACATCAGGACATTTTTTGATTAATAAAAAAAATACATTTAAAAGTTAAGAAAGCCGGTTTGTTAACACAAACACAAGTATTAGTTATTGTTAGAAGTAAAGGCCATCTTTAATATTTTCTTTTTCATTCCCTATTATAGTCATCAACCAGAACCAATTAACCTAAAAATAAAATAAAAATAGTTTTCTCAAGTATTATCTTTTGGTAGTCCTATAGAAGAAAGGGGAATGGCAGCCTAGAAGAGGGTGAGGGCATCTAGCATAATCTTTGTCGTACACTAAAGATGGACCTCTTTCCCCTCCCCTTTGACAGTTAAGATATTTTGTGTTGTGAGACCCACCTCTTTTGTTTAATCTATATTGTTTCCCCTCTTTTTAAAGCTTTTTTACTTTTGTCATCCCCATCCCACCCTCATAACTGTATCATTATAATGTTGTAACCCACCCTGAGGCCCTATGGTGAAGGGCAGGTAAGATATCTTATACAGTAAATGAATAAGCTAGCTCCCCTCCAACTGTAGCTCATTAATCTAAACATTAACCTGAATGAAGAAAGAGAGAGTGCACACATAATACCTCTTTCCTTGCATAGTTTTGATGACAGTGAGAAACTGATTGCAAAAGGTGAATCACTGCTATATTGCTGAGGGACTGCAGCTAAATAGGAGAGAAAAGAAATGTATTGATCATGAGTCCTCAGCAGCATAAGCACACATAATCACATTTCTTTATTAAGAACTGTTTGCTGTTTTATAATTACAAACTTGCAAAGAGCTAGGTAATGGCCAGAGTAAGTGCTTATGTGCTGTTAACTTTTTTTCATTATTGAATGAAGTGCTCTGGGTACAGATTGCCTCTCCTGGCTGAATACTATGATTACTTTTTCACTCACCTTGAAATGGGAAAGAGAAGCTTCTGTAATAAATGGTTTGAAAAACTGCCTAGTTTATTTTCAGTTCCACCCCCCCCCAAGTGCTTGTACCTCTCTAACTTCAGCTGCAAAGGCCATTTGCTGGTATTCTTCAGCAACTTTCCTCAATTAATCACAAGAGATCTCTCACTTCCACTTGTGATTGTGGCCTGGGATGAAGATAGAAATTTCAGAGCTGGCATTTTCTCTCTAGCCTAGATGTGTCAAGAATAAATATTCTAAATGAGTGATGGACAACTGGTTTTGTGTGTGGTCATATTTACTGGTGTAGAGTACCATTCTTTTTGCTGCCCACAATACTTTTATTTATGTGCACCAGCACCTAATTTTTAACCCCGCAAAAAGCACTGTATAGAAACATGTATTAAAACAAAACTATATCTTGGAATTTAATATTCTCCATGTTGCCTATTCATGCTATTAGGTTAGAGACTTGCAGCCTGAAGGTTTACTTTGAAATTAGTCCCACTGAGAGCTACTCCTGTTTATGCTAATCAGGGACCTTTATCTACTGGGTGCTAAAGTAGTCATAGTAAACCCTGAGTTTTGGTATTAGCATAAAAACCAATCAGTTTGCTCCTATTCTTATATGTAAAAGTTTCCACAAGCCATCCCACATGTTGGTGGAGTGCATGTAAGCCCTCCCCCCCTCCTTCCAGGGCTGAAAACGCATGTCGCCAGTTGCGCACCAAACAAAGACTTGCAATATTGTCGCCCCCTGTAGTATAATGGCCAAGCTGAACTGCCCTCTGCTATATGATACTGGAATATTAAGTATTAAGAGAAAACCAGTAAAATTCCTTACTCTTGCTTCCATTGAGTCTGTTTGACAGAGCTCCAGGATTGTCCATTCCTTTTGTCGCACCCATGGGAAAATCAACACTTTTCCTGCTTTTCCTTTTTACATTTTTAGCCGTCTCATAGTCAGTATATTCACATGTAGGTGGCAATCTGTTGGACTCCTGCGATGCTTGCCTTCTCCTTGATTTCAAGTTTTTGTATGCTAACTCTTGCAAATATTTTTTATTTTGCCAGACACCTTCAATGAGATCTTTCCAACTGGAGCTCAATATATTTAAAACCCCTTGTGGTAAAATAAACTTAAACTTGGTAAAACGCTTCAACATTTCTTCCAGCTCACATAATATGGTAGCAGCCATGCATTTATGTTCTTCCAGTGAAGTTGACCGTAGGTCTTCTTCTGCAGGTGGAAATGAAGGTATTTGGGAGAGGCGAGCCAGAGGATTCTCACTAATGTTTATGGATATAGAAGGACCATCTGTTTTAGTAGAAACTGGTTCTTTCTTTGCTATACTGTCTTTCACAAAAGAATAATTTCTTTCCCTGTGTTCATCCATGCATCCAGAGTTCCTGCATGTGGACAGTAAATGTATATTATGCCTTTAATTCCAGAATTCAGACTTTTCATACCAAGCAGGACTCAAAAATGTAGGTCTGCCACTGGGCTTGGGGAGGGGTGTCAAATGTTGCATGGTGGACTACCCTGATATAGACCAAATACTATGGATGTGAAGAAGACATAAGCATGTACAGAAATCTTCAGACACACCTATATATATTTCAGCCTTAAATTCTTATGAGAACAGCAGGACTTAGGTAAGTAGGAAGTACAGAAGACATACAGCTTCCTGCTGGAACAGTGCCCTTTTACATCCTAATCATCCTTTAAAAAAATAAAATCAGAACAATTTTCAAGTTGCAATATGCCCTTAACAGTTTTCACATTTGAACTTTCCAACCAACAAAAACGGGCGAAAGACTACATTTTAATACAATATATCAATTCATTAATGCATTCAATCAGTTATTGCAACTTAAGTACCGTATGTCACCACTATTACCTGTGAATTTCATGAGGATCTGGATCTGTGCTGATTAAGTTTATATCAACAAAGTGTTCTCCTGGTTCTATTTTCATATTTCGCTTTTGTTTACCGGTAGTTTTGAGCTAAAATAAAATACAGGATTTTATTAAGCCCTTAATAGATTTGGAGAGAGCAATAATAACATATCAAATATGAGATGGAAAGTACCTGGTCAAAGAAATATATGGGTTCTTGTTCCAGGGTTTCAGCCATTTCTCTCAGTAGGATTTTGTGCCTACAGAGATAAAATATGAATATACCAAGAAAAATGGGACACAAGAATACAAATGGTTGCATTTTTTAATGAAATATAACCAAGACAAAAAAATTTAAAAATCGTCTAGTAGCATCTTAGAGACCAACTAAGTTTGTTCTGGGTATAAAAACACGAAAGCTTATACCCAGAACAAATTTAGTTGGTCTCTAAGGTGCTACTGGACAATTTTTTAATTTTTTTATTTATTTTGACTGCGTCAGACCAACATGGCTACCTACCTGAATCTATAACCAAGACAGATTTTATGTTCCTAAAGTAGTATCTAAAAGAAACTGAAAATGCAGCAAGCCTTCTCAAGTGTACAACTGTGCACATAGAGTTCTCATGGGAGAAGTATTTTGCATTCTGCATTCTTATCAGTGGAGTGAGACTTGTAGCTAATGAATGACACCTGTAGCCATTTAATTGGTGTAATATGGTATAGTGTGTTTGTGTGTGTATACACACACATACAGACAGTTTGGAAATAGTTAGACTTCTTTGCAATGGGGTACTAATTTTATGCAACTCCTTTCAGAAGTGAGATCTAAAACATATTTGAACCAGGTGAAGAAAGGAACAGTTGTGGTAGAACAAGTAGCTTTCAAATATGGACATTAAGACAAAACTAATATTGCAAATCTATTTCTTTAAATGAAATATAATTTGATCCGAGGATACAATTGACAAAACTGCCATTTCTAGTGTTATGCCAAGGACTGCCTGCATTTGAAACCAAAATAAACATTAAATTGTTTCCTAACTTCTGTGAATAAAATTTGTTTATGTATCCAGTGCATTTATTTGTAGCTTGACTAGTTAATACATATTTTCACATTAATTAATTTTGGCTTTGATTCTATAACATCAAAATAATATTAAGGGCATATTATCATACAGACTGATATAAACTTATAAAACAAACACTTCTGAATTAAGGCTGACAAGCCATCTGTCTCATAGTAGGTCAGGAATATATGTTCACCTTTTACAGCTGTATCATTGCTTTAAAGCCATAATCTTTATTATACCTAATACTGAACAGATCATTTGCTTTAAATGTGACTGTTCTGGAGACAAGCCAATGGTTTTAAGAATGAGACTAAAATTACTGTATATTGCCATTTCAATAAAGTTGAAATAATTTTTCGACTTTAAATAATTAGCCAATCATTTAGCAATGCAAATGGAATGCAATGGTTGCAAACTCAACTCCTTTCATTGACAAACACGTCTTCAAAAATAAAACAAAAAAGTATACAAAGATATTTTGATGCATTTAATGTAATCTCCATAGTTATGCAACTCCTTTGTGACATTTTGTAGTAGTGAACATGCTGGATATTACATTATTGAATTTTCCAGGGTGGATATTAAGTTAAAGGTGGGGGGCAGGGAGAGAAAGGTGGCTTGATGCTGAAGCCACAAAGTCTGCGTTTAGTCAGTCTTTAAGTTGGGGTGTAAGAGAATACTGCAGATGGCAGGTCCACACCATACATTTAAAGCACATCCAAGGCACATATAAAGCACATGACTTCCCCTGAAGAATCCTGGGAACTTCAGTTTGTTAAAGATGTTGTCCATGAGCAGGACCGTACTTAGGATGAGGCCCTAAGCTACTGAAGGTAATGGGGCTGAAATATACTCAGAGTCGCAAAGTGATTTCATGCTCTTTATTCAGCTCATAGTGGTGAGGAGGAATGAATGAAAGTCCCCTCACAGTATCTGCTTTATATACATTATTTACACAATGGACTGCACATGATTGGCTAATTCCAGAATTCTACTGTAAGCCAATCAGGTTGTGGATTCACTTCTATCTGGAGCACGATTGGGTGGTTCCTGCCAACCAATCATACTGCTGCATTGTTCTAGGACCAATCAGACTGCTGCATTTTGGATCCTATTGTGCTAGGACCAATCAGACTGCTGCAGTTTGGATCCTATTCAACTCAGTACATAACAGGGGCCCTTTATATGTTCAACTGTCCTTTCTTAACAACAAAGTGTAGCTGTTTTTTGTGTTGAATATATGCTATATGGTAATTTATGGACCTAATAGATATCTAAAGCCATTTGCACATACCAAAATATGTATTTTATCAAAGTAATTGTTGAACTTATATTTTGGAAATGTACATACAGGTTTTTTTCCCCTTTAAATTTTTTTGGGGGCCCCAAAAGAGTGGGGCCCTAAGCTATAGTTTGTTTAGCTTATACGTCAATCCAGCACTGTCCATGAGTGAATGCAGCCCATAGGCTGAAAAAAGCTTCTCCATTCCTGATGTATAAGATTGCAGCCTTAACTGAACTAAGCCATACTATGTGCTATGCAGGTTTCAGGTTGCACCTAGGGCTTTGCACCTTGGGACAAGGAAGCAAATGTATTTCATGACATTTTGGCTGATGCAATTGGAGGTACTGCCCTTCTGAAGATTTTGGATTTTTAAAATAAAAGTAACATTTTATATGTTTTAATGCTTTTAGATGTTTTTGAATGTTTTTTTTTTAACTGCATTGTTTTACCACTTTGGTGTTTGCTGCTCTGGGCTCTTTTGGAAGAAAATGTTGGGATCAAATTTTAATAAATAATAATATCAGCAATAATTTATTGATTGCTCTAGTTTACAAAAGCTAGCAATAAAGCCAGACTTAAACTTTCATCTTCAGACACAATGTAAAAAGAGTTTCATTAAAGTAAAAAAATACCTTTACAGGACATTTTATGCGATAATGTTGGTTATATTTATCAAATGTGGTTAATACGGCTTACTCCCTTTTTTCAGATCTCCAGCAGTCTTCCACCAGTATTTAGAAGGTTATCATTAATGCCATAGATTTACAGGTATTTATGGACTGTTCTGATAAACTGAACAAACAAAATAATTCCCTGTTAAAACTCTTCCTTAATACAGATATAGATAATACCTTGCTATCTGTCTCTGTTGTACTCTCTCTTTTCAAACCTCCATTGTATGATTCTGTTTGTATATAGCCAATAAATCTTATAACGTACCTTAGAAGTCTTCCCACAGAGAGCAAATCTTGCTTGTCAGTAATGTAAAATGTAACAGTTAAAAGCTGTCTCTTTCAAAGTGAACAGAATAAAAGTTGCCTCTCTGTGGTCGCAGTCAGTCAACACACTGTTGAAAAGCCCTGTTGCTTAGTTACCACATGGTGTGGATTATACCGAACCATACTTCCTTTCTGCAGCCACTTCTAAGCTTTAAGCAGCAAGCTAGCCACTATTAAAGGTACTCATATGCGCACCAGCATAAGTAAATGGTTATTAGGATGCTTAACTGGATGGAACCATGGAAGCTCAAGTTTGTTAACAGTGCTGGGAAACATAACTCTGTGAGGGTAAGCTAACATTCCCAGGATTCCTTGGGGCTGCTTTAAATGTCCCACTTTTAACAAGCTATAGAGTAAGAACTTATTAAGATCCCTGCTGCATCAGGCCAAAGGCTCATCTAGTCCAGCATCCTGTTCCCTCCATGACCAACCAGATGCCTATGAGAAGTCCGCAAGCAGGACTGGATTGCAACTTGTGATTCCCAGCAACTGGTTGCTGGCATCCATCTGTCTCGGGAGACAAAGGAGGAGTGCGCCTTTGAGGGTATTCAAAGGAATACTGCCACTAACAGTGGAGAGAGAATAGAGCCATCATATGGATATTAATAGTGTTAACCTCCATAAATTTGTCTAATAATCTTTTAAAGTCAACCAAGTTTATTAAGTAATCTTAATAAAATGGAAACACTGGGAAACCTTCCATCTCAAATTAAGTGAATGTATTAAGGGCTGAAGTGGCAGTCAGCTCTAGAACAGACTAGTACCCTGTTCAATTCAATTGTTCAGTATTGCTTTTTAAAGAAAAACACATTGCCCCAAAACTGCAATATTCAATTGAAACTCTGAATCAAGGCAATTAAGTGGGGTAAGGGGGATGCAGCACTTCCATATAGTACCATACAGGGACGGGCTTTTTATTCTGCCCCCTCAGTAATAAACATAAGCTGCTAGAACTGTCCTTAGTAAATTCTCTTTTCCTGTCTTCCAGTTTTGGGGCCAATACATTTAAATTAACTGAGAAGATTTACAATAAAGGAAAGCCCTGCTTACTTTCCCTGCATTGTTATATACAGTATTGATCAATGAAAGAGGCCAGATCTGTCTCTCCTTCATCAACCACAGAAGTTGTTTTGCTCCAGTTGGCCATGGATGCGTTCTGCACCTCCACCTCCCACAATTATTTTTCTGGCTGATAACTATGGGCATTAATTTTTTTCTGGCATGAAAACACATTGTTTGGCTTGAGAACAGCTTGATAGGCATTTGGCTGCGATGTTTTAATTTTATTAAAATTAAGTTATTTCATAACTTAAGTAGCTCCCCTGATCCAGCTGTAATAGCACACACATCCCCATTCACATCCAACAGATGTTAGTTATCATTCATTAAATGACAATACTCTCAGAATGAGCACTGACGGGTGCAGATGTGCATCTGTGGGTATCCCTTGCTGAATGAGGTAATTACAATTAAAAACAATAGAGAATTGACAACATACTAAAATGAAAAACAAAAACAATGTGTGGTGAACATCTTGTCAGGTAGGTATGCTCCTAGTCTATTTAGCTGGGTGTAGTTTATAGTACTTTTCAGTGTTATTTTTCAGGCCTATGTTGGGCCTATGATACATCCTATATCGAAATAGAACAGGAGTTAAGTCTCTGAAGCAACTTTTTTCAAAATCAGCATTTTAGATTAGTGATAGAAGCAGACAAATCCAGTCTTGTCGAATTTACGGTGCCTTGTACACATCTGATGAAATGGGCTCTGGTCCAGGGACAATTTATGCCAGAATAAAATGTGTTGGGTTGCAATCCCGCCACAGTTTTTAGATAAAAGACTCACTCGCTGAACTCAACGGGGCTTCCTTTTGAACGGACAGACAAGCAGCCATAGGTTTGCGCGGTTAGTCTTTTAAGGTGCCATGAAGCTCTCTACGTTAAGTTTTGCTGCAACCTACTCAGGGAAATTGGTTGCGAGGAGGGCGGGGGGTGGGGGTGGAAAACCCAACAACCACGTGGTGTGAAGAGAGGAGGCCCAGGCGACGGCATGAGCTATGAGCCCGGCCCTAAACTGCACCCTCCCCACGGCCAGCCTCACAGACAACAACTCTCTCCCTCTTCCACAGCGCACGTGCTCACGGCTCGTCCTCCCCCCCCCACCGGGATTCTTAGCCCTCCATCTTTCCCGACGTGCCCCAGGGCTGAGCCATAGAGTAGCTGGGGCTGGAGCGGCCTCCCCTTCACCCTCGGTCTCTGGCTCTCGCTCGCTGGCGGCGGCTAGTCGTGGGAGAGGAGGCGGCGGCGGCGGCGGCGGCGGCGCTGCAACATGGCGGCCGTGGAGGAAAGGGGCAGCCCCGAGGAGGAGAAGCACCTGAACGGGGAGGTGCTCTTGGATCCCGAGGAGAGAGAAGGCGCGGCGGGGCCTGGCGCTGAAGAAGGAGCGAAGAAGAAGCGCAAGAAGAAGAAGAAGAGCAAAGGAGCCGCCGCGGGTAGGAGCTGGGCCGGGCAAGGCGATGGCGGGGCGGGGGAGGCCGCGTCAGGGTTGAGCCATGGGGACAACTTCGTCGGAGGAGGAGCGGGAGCGAAGCCTCCTTGCCCCCTGAGACGTCCGGGGTTGAAGGGAGAGGGGTGGGTCGGTGGGAGGACGAGCCCCTTTTGAGGGGAAAGAAAGCCGCCGTTCCGTGGCGCCGCTGTGGGGAAATGTTCCCAGAGTCGGAGGGGTTTAGGGGAAGCGATGGGGAGGGTCTGGGTGTTAGGCCGTCAAGCTCATGTTAAGCCTTTTATCATCATCATCTATATATATATATATATGATATATATATATGATATATGAGACTGGAAATCGTTAAACTAGGGCGTGGGTCGTGTATGGCAAGGCGACCTCGCGTCTGAGATCTTCTGTGTCGGGGTGGTGACACGCTGCCGGGGTTTTCTTGGGAAGCAAGAGAGTGTTGGTATGCAGCTGTCAGGGTGCCTGGGGAAGAGGAGGGGGGGAGTTAATCAACACTGCAGTCGGAAGATAACTTTTATGGTGGGAGCATGCACGAAATTCACATGTAATGGGAGAGAGGGTCTTCGGAATGATGCATTTGCCGTCGGACACTCACTCGTATGGTATAGGAGGAGGACGATTGTAACTGCATGGTTTCCTTACAGGACTGAGGGTGTGTTTTAATTCTTAGAGACTGTTGCAGTTGCGTAAGGCGGGGGTGGATGGATTTACATGCTTTCATTAGTACATGGTACCTGTCCTAAGGTCTAGGGAGAGAGATTTCAATTTATGGAATTGCTTGGAAGAAATTTATTATTTACCTTCAGTGATAATATAGGAACAGTCTTGTATAATTTAGAAAGTAGAGACACACAATTTTGAAAGTATATTGTCTTTGTTTAGCTGGGTTTTGCGTTATTGTTTAAACTACCTGCTTATTTGCAAACAGGACAAGAAACCGAGAGAGAATCTGAGTCAACACTTGATGAGGTGACAAAACAATTGGATAAACAAACACTGGAGGAAAAGGAGAAAGAAGATGATGATGAAGGCAAGTATAATTTACCCTGTCCATGATATGTAAAATATTAATGTAAAAATATTTGGAGTTTGCTTTAGTTAAGGGATTACTGGAGTTGGGAAAGATATTTCATGCTGAAGCAGTTTTATGTAGGTTGTTGAAAGCGCTGCTGTATAAAAAGGCTATTATCAAATGTTTTGTTCATTGATTTTAAAAAGAGATCATATTATACTAAGTAATTATAACCTTGGAAAGAGCAACTCTTATCAGGGTAATTCAAGATGAGAGATAGGATCTATCCCAAGGGATGGCTGAGCACTGACTTTAACCTAGATCTCCTTTGTTCAGGTACAATAGGCTATCCACTGCAACACAGTGACTGTGTTATATATTGAAATTCCTGTTTGGGAATGGTAATAGAGAATATTGATAGATCTTTGGCCAATTTTATTGGTACATACATACATGCTTGAAAGTCATAGATATTGAATTCAATTTATGAAGCCATTTCTGATGAGCTTTTGTTCTAAACAAAATGCCAGTCTTTCTGTTCATTAAAAGAAAGGAAATAAAATTCAGTTTAATTCTTAAAGTGTCAATTTTACCTAGATTATTCTATAAATTATGAGTCATTTAAACTACAGAAAACAGGCTTTATTACTGTTGTCCTTGTATTATATCTACATTTCGAAAAGCCATATGATGGAGAAGATAGGAATGAAATATGAATGACAGCCAGAAGCCCCATTTTACATGCAAAGGGCTTTTTCTGGACCAAGAATAGGGGGTTGTATATAAGACATGGTGGTTAAGCTAACAAGGAGATGATTTTCTCCTAGAGACTTTGCTGTGAGTTTATTTATCTAAAAATAGACAAAACATTTCAGTTCAAGTTCTTTTGCAACACAATACCTGTCCACATTAATTGGTTTTGAACAAGAACAACCATTAATGTGTTATTTCTGTTGGGTGTTGGAATAGATGTCTGGGGCTCCCCACACCCACCCATTTAATAGCTTAAGTTCTAATTAACTGGATTGCTAGTGACCAGAGCTTCATATAATTCAGAAGAGATCCTAAATGTTAAGAGACTGTTACATGATGGTGCTTAACTCTAGGCTTCAAATGCCCATTCATCCATAAGACTCACTGGGTGACCTTGGTCAGCTACACTCCCCTAGTCTAATCTACCTCACATGGTTTTTGTGATGGTAAAATGGAGGGTGGGGACCATGTATGGCACCTTGATTGTCCTGTGGGGAAAGGTGTATTAACAATCTAGTAATATAAATAAATAGGCAAAGCTTTTTTAAACCTAATAGCAAAAATATGTCTTGACCAAATCAAGAACCTTTCAGACAGAATCTTCATTGCTGTCTGGTGTTTTGCATTAGGAATCAATCGTTCATGGTGGAAGCTAAACATGTTACTTGGAATTAAGTTTTCATTCAACTCCTAGGATTATAGCCTTGATTAGAGACAGTGGTTGTGACTCTGACAAAAGGATGGAAATATTGCAGCAGTCTTCAAGGACATGGCAGTCTAAACAGTTTGGCTTGCTGATTGGCAAATCTACCAGCAGTACTGCAGAAGAAGCCTGTAATAAGTGAACAGCAGCCACTGTAGGACTGAATATTGCCAGAATCTGCAGTGGTTAGCATAGGGAACTGGAAAGTATTCCAAATTGGTAGATGAATGAACTGCATGCCAGAACTTTTTTTCTGATGTAGTGTAAATGGATTAAGCATAGATCAAGGGCAAGAGGAATCTGATGCAGTTTTCATTAAAACGAGTAGCAGTGTTAAAGAGCATTGACTATTTAAAGAATGACTGTGTCTTTGTTTCAGAATGTGCTGTGACAGACTGAAGTTATGCTTTAAAATGGGTTCTAGGTTTTTTATATATTAAAAAAGTGTTTACAGTCTTTAATGCCCTAACTATATCTTTTTAGTAAAATAAAATTATTGTAAAACTTAAATAATGTTTGTCAGCCAGATCACTATCAAAGTGATAGTTTCTTATTTTAAAACTTAAGTTGTTCTAAAATTCAAAATTTTAAATGAAGAAGTGTGTATAGGTCAGTTACTGGAAACTAGTGGCTACCTGGCAAACTCTGGCTGCCTGATCTCTTTATGCTGCCTCTTACCTTTCCTCTCCATAGAACTACAGAAACAAAGGGTTCTTTCCAGGCAGTGGTCCTATCTTTTCATGCACTTTATCTCTCTCCTTTTTTGTTGCCAGAAATGTACCTGCCAGCCAGAGGCCTTAGACTTCTCTGGTGGTAGCTACTGTAAACTGAAGGGTGGTGGAAGTGTGTGGCTAGAAGGAATAATCATTGACAGTGCTGAACAGCATATGATTTGCCCTTGTGAAGCCATGATTTTTATTGATTTCTCATGTGGCATTAATTAGTTCACTTTGAAGGTGGTTTTGTTATGAATGTTGTACCCAACTGTATGTGTGAAGCACTTACACAATATGCTTGAACTATTAATGCTGCTTAGCATCAGTGGGGGTTTTTTATTTAAAAATATGGTTTTGCTTTTATCTAATGTTGCCCTCTTATTCTTGCATTATTAGCAAATATTAATTACTTTTCAACAACCAGGAATTCCACTCAGGGAAGTGCATGGAATTCTCTCCGGAGAACAAATGGACTGGCAGAGGAGGGACAAATCACTTTACCCATCTTTCACCAACTAGCTTGGCCTCAGTATACGTCATGGAGACAGCGAAGCTCCTTGCTTCTTAGCCAGCACAGAAAGACAGTAAACTAAACTGAAAGTGTGGAGGAGGGGGATCCCAAAACAGCCCACTGAGAATTAAGCATGTTTCGTGGGCATGGAATCCTGATTTATTTTTGTGGGGTAATGAAGTAACAGAGGAAATGAAATGGAGGGCATGACTGGTTGAAACACTGACCAGGAGCATGCCCCATTGCAGTATCTTGCTACAGATTCCACCTGTGCATACTAATTGCTATAATGTGCCTTGGTATGCTTCCAAAATTAAGCATACAACATGTAGTGACTAGTGTACATTTTAAACTCCAGATTTCTGGTGTCATAACGGGCATGTTGAAAGCTGCTGATGCCTTATTGAAATAGGAAAGACATCACAGTGAAGATGCTTGTGGTTACAGCCATGATTAAACTTTGTGTCTCAATCTGCACTTAAGGGTCTGGCAGTGTTCTATTATTATTATTATTATTATTATTATTATTACTAATGATATTTATTACACAAAGAAATAAATTTATTGGGGTGTACTCAGGTCATCACCACTCATTTCACTGAATGATGTTAGCTATGGTTGTGTGTGCGTGTATGTTTGCATAAGGGATAGCTGCTGAGAAACCTTCATTGGTTACCAATTTCCTGCTGTTTCAATGTTCTTGTGCTCACAAAGCCATTTGGGCCTGAAGTACCACCTGATTCTTTATGCTCCACTTTGATCACTGAAGTCTTGTGATGAGGCACTTGGTGGTCTCATATCCCCCTGAGGTTCAGCTGGTCTTTACCAGGTGCTGAGCATTTAGTGTAGCAAGCCCTGCTCTGTGGAACTCTTGCCAATAGAGGTTCAGCAGGAGTGATCCCTGCTTGTTCTTAGAAATCTTCACGTCCTGTGCAGGTGTGAAGTTGCATGCAGTTTGGGTGAGTCTAATCAGGCTGCTCTAATATGTAGCTTTGCTCTAGCTCTTTAGCCAAGCCTCTTAACTGAATTTTTTCCCTCTCACAACTATAGAATAATAATCTTAGGTAGTAGTGCTATTATCTGTAGTTATTGTTTATAAATTTGTAAATGTTTGTCTTCTGTAGATGGTGAAGGTGAAGGTGATGGTGCAGCAGGGAAGAAAAAGAAGAAGAAGAAAAAGAAGAAAGGACGTAGGTGTTTGTTACTATGGTTGTATCGTGCAAACTTTGTTTCTGCTTATGTCATGTTTATGGAGCTTACACATAACACTACCTTATACATAGCAAGAACATTTAGCTGTCTTGCTCAGTATCGTCTACTGCAGGGGTAGGTAACCTTTGTCCTGCAGTCAGCACCCAGCTTGGCAAGTTGTAGCAAGTGAGCCTCCACGGTTTTATCTCCCAGTTGCAAAGCTGTGATGTTCAGTGCTGTGAAGGGAAGATAAGGCTCTTTGCCTGCTCTTTATAGGCCAAGTGGGAAATGTGTTATCCCACCCCAGTGCTGGGGGAAGATTACTTTGTAAGACCCTTCATTTTAGCAGGTACTTGGGGGAGGGAAGTGGTGTTGGTATACAGCTATAAGGTATAGTTGAAAAGAAAATTAAATCTCAGAACAACAACCATCCTCGTGTATATATTTTATAGAGACCTGGGAGAGGAACTGACACCTGAAACACTTTAGTACATATGTGCCCACTTTTACAGTCTTACATTTTTAATCACTGTAAGTGATTTCAGTGATTCACCAAGGACAGGTATGAGAATATAGATGCTGTCTTGGTAAACAGTGGTGTTTGAAGTGTATGCAGATATTTGAATTCTTAAAGAAATTGATTGCTATGCACAACCCAGGTTGGTTTGTTTGTGTGTTTTTTGCTAAAAGTGACTCAGTGCTGCAACTGTAAAAGGCACTCAGAACTGGCAAGGTTATTTAAGGGTATCTTGGCATGTTTTCAGTTTTAGATATGAGCCCAAGTAAGGCAATGTAAAAAAAATTTTTTTAATGCTTTTGTATTGAAAATGATAAAACTATGCAGTGCATCGTAAGAGATTCAACTTCTGCATTTCACCCAACAGCTAAAGTCCAGACAGATCCTCCGTCTATTCCAATATGTGATTTGTTTACCACTGGAATATTTCCAAAAGGTGAAGAGTGTGAGTATCCACCAACACAAGATGGGTATGTATCTTGTTTTAAAAATTTAACATGCACAGCATGGTACATTGACAAATTATTTTGTAGGCTTACCTAATTGCCTGTTGTTCATAAGTCTCTGCCCCAAGAGCTGGGTTATTATATTCGCTTTACTGTTATCCGTTATGTTGGAGGTGCTAATTGGAAGTAAGTGAATTTTAGAGCATTCCTGTCTGTATATCTCTGTATATGTTTGTAACTGCATACTGTATTTTGTTGGCATTGATCTTGGGATGATGTAGATATGCTTAATGAGTTGGGATTACTTTTATGTATGAATAGTAAATGTATGAAGCAGTGACTTTGCCAGCAAACTATATAGTACTTGAACATAGGCCTAATCAACAAGGCCTGTGCTTGTTTATATACTATTAAATGTATATAGTTTTAATTCTCTTGTTTTTTAATTATTATTTTTCTATGTTTTTATTAATTCCCTTTTAAAAATATGTAAGTTGCCTTGAGTCCTATTAGGGGAAAAGGGGAGGTATTAATAATTGTAATAACTATGATAATAATGCTTGTCATTCAAAAGTGACAATGTACCTCTGTATTTTATACTTCAAAACCATGTTCTGTTTAATTCTGTAGAGAACTACACTGCAGTCCTTAAAGCCTGCAGTAGGTTAATACTGTGATGGAAAAGCTGGGTTCATTTATTCATGTTTGGTGGGAATACCGCCATGTTAAAAACTTTTGGAATGGAGTATTCTCTATTATATCCACAATTACAGGCCAACCCCTTTCTTCAAATCCTGCCTTAGCCCTACTATCTTTGGACATAGGCTTAGGCTCCACCCTGCACTTCAGAGAACTTGTAGGCTTCTTACTGACTGCAGCATGATTAGCGTTTGAGCGTTTCACTAGACACAAGAGGGCAATTAAAAGCATAACAAATAGAGATACCTTCCAAGAAATGTGGACCCCTTTATGTTAATGACCAAAATCAAGACCTTGTTATATCAACCACTCAATATTCTCAGTGGAGAGGTTTCGTTAAGTAATATGTTTGAATGTTGAATGTGTAAGTGTTTGTCTAGAGACAATGGATAAATCAAGCACCATTAGATGTGCTGCTGGATAAGTGCTTAGTGGTAATTGTATTAGTGTTTGTTTAAAAAACAGTAATTTAAAAAAAACAAAACCTGTAATGGAAAGGGGAAGGTTAGGAGAGCCTGCCTACACTCTGCACAGCTGCCTTGCAAAGTAGACCAGCACTGTCCTCTAAACTATCCAGTAACTGCTGCCACCATCACTGAGTTTTTGCAGTTCTACAGTTGGATGCCAGCCCCCAGTGGGAGGGAATTCTGTGGTGTTCCGGGAAATAATAAAAATCTAGAATTCTGAGTCAATGCTACCTCTGCCTTTCAGTCACATCATTCTGTTTACTCAGGACAATGGGGCTGGCATCTAACTGTCTCTTCCACCATGGAATTCAGCACATTCCCTATGAAATCCACACTTTTGCCCTAGTGGCATATATACGCTCAGTGGTTAAGCTTGTAGGAGATTACCCAAATCCTAAAGTTTGGCATAAACACCCTTCAGATCCCAGCAGTCAAATAATATGAAGCTTTATTAAGAATGGAAGAGGAAAAGGCAAATGGACAAATACTGAAAATAAAAGCTCTGTAGATGAAATCTACCTGTGCTGACCTAGTTATTTACAGACTGACTGCTTGGTCTACTTGTGAGTAGCATGGCTTTAGGTGGTCAGTTGCATGGAGGGTAGGTGGTGATTGAATGGAGGAAACAAAGCACTGCATACCCAAGCCCATTTTAAGGACTCTCTTCTGCTCATTGGGTTGAGTAGCACCTGGTTCTTTCTTGCTAGTTAGAGCACATGTCACGTTTTGGCAGGTAACTGGTATGGCACCTGGCCAGGAATTGGGGAGACAATGGCCACTCACAAAGGCAGGCATGGATGGTTATCACTGGTGTAAATCCCCACTGGAATTGCTCAGTCTTCCTGCCACAGAACCTTTCCCTTGGTTTGTGGATTCAGGACTAGACTGCATACCCGTCTGCTTTGCTCAGACTTAATGGCGGGCAAGTGAGCAAGATCCTTCTCCACAAATATCCTCCAGTCTTTCATTTGGCAAACTCGCATATCTTAAGTCATGCAGTTGACAGGCTTCGCACCTTTCAAAAAAATATGTGATGGCACATGAAGGAATATGCTTTGTTAGTTTATCCAGGTGCTTTTCTACCCACAGGCCAACTCAGGCAGGTGAGCTGGACCACTGTTACATGATGTCAGGTGCAGGGCAGGGTGTGGCTTGGCCAAAACGGTCTGGTGGGTCAGAGGTTCTCCATCCCTGAGATAAGACATAAGACCTGGTCTACACATGCAACAATGACATGGTAGAACAGTGAAGTGGTAGAGTGGCTTGTATAATTTTGGACAGTAAGTGGGGTTGTACCACTTTTGAATGTCCCCATGTAGTTTTATTTATTTATTTATTTTATTTCAGCAATTTGTATATTGCTTAATCACCATCATCTCTAAGTGGTGTAAACAAATCTGAGCAAGTAAAACGGCAAAACAAGGGAAGAAGTTATAGTCCAATTTGCTCTCTACTGGGCTAGTGTTCTGCATAGCCAAGAGCTTTTCATATGGAGGAACGCGGGTGGCTCTGTGGTCTAAACCACTGAGCCTCTTGGGCTTGCTGATCATAAGGTCAGCATTTTGAATCTGCACAACAGGGTGAGCTCCCATTCCTTTGTCCCAGCTCCTGCCAACCTAGCTGTTTGAAAGCATACCACTGCGAGTAGGTAAATAGGTACTGCTGTGGCGGAAAGGTCAATGGCATTTCTGTGCGCTCTAACATTCATCACAGTGTTCCGTGCACCAGAAGTGGTTTAGTCATGCTGGCCACATGACCTGGAAAAGCTGTTTGCAGACAAATGCAGGCGGCGCTCATAACTGTTGAGGAATCCTTTACCTTTACTTTTACCTATATGAAGCATTGTTTAAAAACATGATCCTTTCCACCTGCAGTCTAAAGTGGTACAGTCCACTATACCAGCTATTGCATGTGTGCAGGCCACATCTAGAATTCAAAGAACATGTGTAGAGGAGCTTTGGACACCTGCAGTTTTCCTTATCAGCAGGTCACTTGGCTGAACTCCTAAACCTGTTCCTTACATTCTCCCAAGTTGGAGTCAGGCTAGGTACCCAAGGTTTTTCGTGGTAGAAATGGTGCAATAATGATATTTCTCCTTCAATGAATATTTTTTTCTTTTACCAAAATCTTCACCTACCAGTTTCTGAAATCAGTGAGGTGTTTCATGATGGCAGTAGAATTGGAAACAAACATTGATTTTGAACTACTCTGGGACTTGGTCAGAGTGGGCTAACTAGAGTTTAATAACTTGAGTGATTGTATATGTAATTTGAAGTTTACCTCTGTTAATCTAAAATATGTATATTAAAGTAGTAGTCCTGTTGAGTATACCTGTGTCATCTAGTTTGGATTACAAGCTAAAATGGCCAGTCTGACAATCCTTGTATCCCAATATTAAAGGCGAACTGCTGCTTGGAGAACAACAAGTGATGAAAAGAAAGCACTAGATCAAGCAAGTGAAGAGATCTGGAATGATTTCAGAGAGGCTGCTGAAGCACACAGACAAGTGAGAAAATACGTTATGAGCTGGATCAAACCTGGAATGACAATGATAGAAATCTGGTGAGAATAAAAGATCATAGGATCAAGGGAGGACTATACAAGGGTTCATCTCCATAAGTTTAATTGAATGTGCTGGACATAGAGATTAGGTGTGGGGCTTCCATATATCAGCCTAGTTCTCCATCAGTTCTGGTGACTGTTGGTGATGATTGTATATTTTTGTTTTTGTTTTTTCACAACTGCTTCTATGGACTATGAGGCTGGGGGACAAGCAGCTAACAGAATGTTGCTGCAAAGTTGTTCAACGAGTATGATACAGCTGGAGACATGGCACTTCCTCAGTTCTTATATTCTTGGGGCAGCAAATATCTCATATTCTAAGAACATTCCCAGTAATATGCATAGCAAAGGGAAGGAGGGGAATCGTTTGAATTTTTTTTTAATGTAGCAACTAAATAAAGCTGCTGGAAAACAAATCCGTTCATGTAATAAAGACCTTTGCTTCCCTAGCGAAAAACTAGAAGACTGTTCACGGAAGTTGATAAAAGAGAATGGGTTAAATGCTGGGCTTGCATTTCCCACGGGATGTTCTCTGAATAACTGTGCAGCCCACTATACCCCTAACGCTGGAGATCCAACTGTATTGCAGTACGATGATATCTGCAAGATAGATTTTGGAACACATGTTAGTGGTGAGTTTTCTCTTGCTTACTCTGCAGTTAGATCATTTAGTTGAGTTCAGATTCTTTCATCTAATTTGTATCTAATTTCAGGTCGTATCATTGACTGTGCTTTTACTGTCACATTCAATCGAAAATATGACAGGCTGTTACAAGCTGTAAAAGATGCAACTAATACTGGAATAAAGGTATACTCGCAAGGGGAAGTGTAACTTTATCTCTTACCTACATACTTTGTGAGAGGGAATTTTTATCTTCAATTTCAACCTGTCTTATGTGTGTGTATAGTGCGCTGGAATAGACGTTCGCCTTTGTGATGTTGGTGAAGCTATTCAAGAAGTTATGGAATCTTACGAAGTTGAAATTGATGGCAAAACATATCAAGGTAAATTTCCCCTATCTAGTACATGTGATAGTTTTGATTCAGCGCTAAGGGAGAAAGCATGTGTGCATATGAAACCGACAGAGGCATTGCATTTGTAAGACTTGATTACTGTTGTTGCTCACAAGTAAAACATTTTGAGATCCATTAAACTTCTCAAAGGGTTTTGATTTTTGCATTTAATTGTGTTTTTGGGAATTTCATGTTGTCTTTTGGATTGCAAAAATTGAGAATAGCTTTTTTTAAAAATGAAATTGCTTATTCTAGAAAAGTTAACTGTACAATTACTACGTGCATTGATTTTATAGTGTTTCGTATTTTATGTTACAGTGAAACCAATTCGCAATCTGAATGGACACTCTATTGGACCCTATAGGATACATGCAGGCAAAACTGTTCCCATTGTGAAAGGAGGAGAAGCAACAAGAATGGAAGTAAGCAAATAACTCTTACACTCTTACCCTCTGAACACAGAAGTATAGAGCTCAATGGGCCTTTACTCCCACTGAAGAATATGCACCGTATTAGGCTGTTAATATTTGCAGTTTCACCTGGCCCTTGTTTGAAATTCTGTTTCCATTCCCGTCCCCCTCAACTCAGTTTTTAGTTTGTAGTACTAAATTACTTGAAACCCAGGAAGCATGTGGCTACTGCTCACAACAGAATGTTGTAAATATGTGTGTAATACTTAACAGTTGGCATTAGTTTTATTAAAATGAAAAATGAATGGTATGCCTAACAATCATTTTGTTCTTGCGAGTAATTCAAAATGTCCTATCCCCACAATTAAAATTTGTATTTAGAAGCCAATGAAGGTGTCATTAAAAAATAAAACATGGGGAGGTGAACTACCTGATTGGGAAAAGTGGAAAATCTGGCTGTTTAGTTAAGATGACAAAGGGCAGCAGGATTCATGCACTATCTGATAGTTATCACAACTGATCACAAGATCTTGCAAACTTCTTTCTTATTCTAATACATGCCACTCCAGAAATAGTTCAGAAGTCTTAAAATTTTATTCTGAAAATGCCCCACTTTTCCTATTCTTACCCACCAGGAGTAAGCTAACTGGAATACCATTGTCCCACTTGTTGGTGGCATTCTAAGTACTCTACTCTAGCTCCCAGGCATAACCTATTGCCCCAGAGAATGATTTGAAGGTATATGACTAATTTCTGTTGCTGAAGTGAAGAGGGTTTAACATTGTAAGCTGCCTGTATGGGTGGCCACCTTTGAACCAGGCTGAGTCTATAAATGAAATATAACACCCGAACAGCTATTCCTAGTACATGGGATTAAGCTATTCATTAAACCTGATTGGGCAGTGTCTAAGTAAGGAAGTATCACCCTGACAGTATTTGAAAATCTTTGATTTACAGGAAGTGAATAGATTGATTGTATTTCATGGGCATGCTGCCCGTACACCTGCTCTGTGGGGTATTATGTGTTGTCCTACATTTATAGTTCTGAGAAATTCCAGAGTTAGTCTCCTGTAGCAAAATAATACTGTGCCAGAACCCATGTTTTCAAATGCAAAGAAATAGTTCTTTGATTATTTCTCAGCATGGACTCCAGTATGCTTATCTAGTATATGCGTCTCTTTAATTTTAGGAGGGAGAAGTATATGCTATAGAAACCTTTGGCAGCACAGGAAAAGGTGTTGTTCATGATGATATGGAATGTTCTCATTATATGAAGAACTTTGATGTTGGACATGTGCCAATAAGGTTAGTCCTGCTTTTATTACAGTGGGTAAATGCCCCTTTGTCTGTACTATTGAAAGAAATATTGTTGCTAATTCACAACTTGAAAAGAATGGTAAGTAGACTGCTTATATACTATGGGTGCACAAATGAGACAAAAACCAACAATTTTTAGAGCTACTTGTCCTTAAAGTTACTTGATTTACTCGTGTGTGAGTGGAGAGTAATTTACCACTGCTGAAACTCTTCCAGATGTTTTTGAACTAACAACTCCTATCAGCCTTAGCCAGCATGGCCAGTAGTCAGGGATAATCAGAGTTTAAGAACAGCTGGGGAACACCTGATTTGGGAAGAATGATTTAGCATGACATCCAAATACAGCCAATATTAGCAGCAGCTTTACATTACTGTGGTTTAATCATAGTGATTTCAAAAAACGCCTAGCATCTTAAATACTTTGAATCATGTTCTTTGAATCAGCAGTGGTAAATTAAGTGGCCCATGGGCTAGATCCAGCCCATCGTGGTGTTTGACGTAGCCTATCAGCCTCCTGACTAAAATTACCTGCAGTGACAGGAATAACAACACTCATAACAACAAGGCAGCTTTCAGTCTTCTTGACTGTGTCTGAAGAAGTGTGCATGTACACGAAAGCTTATACCAAGAACAAACTTAGTGGGTCTCTGATGCCACTGGACAATTTTTTTATATATTCTTGAATACCGTCATTAATAGCAGGCTGGATCACTCCAGAAACAGGAGTGTTCTGATCTGTTCCAATGGAAGGGCAGCACTAGGCTGGTAGGAGCAAGGGAGTTATTTTCCTTCCCATAGCAGTGCTGGACTTAGTGGAGAGGCTTTTTCCAGTGCTGCAATTGAAAGAAAAATCCCTTCTGTTCTTCTTAGCAAACAATAAATGCAACCCTCAGGCCCCACCACAGCTTTGTGCGTTCATTGTTACATGAAAGCAAAGACCACTCTCTCTGGAATGGTCTCCTCACCAGAAACAAGGTATGCAGCAGCAATGATGCGATTCTGGTGCATGCTGAACACTTTTTTTTGTTTACCGTGTCTTGTTGGCTACTAGTGCTATGCATTATGGAATTTTAAAGTATATTTTTACTGCTTCTTTACTGAACACAGCATGACTTACTCATGAGTAAACATGCATGGGATTGCACAGTATCTGCCTGATCAGCATTTCCTCCTGCTCATTCAGTGCACTCTTTCTTCTAGGCTTCCAAGAGCAAAACACTTGCTGAATGTTATCAACGAAAACTTTGGCACTCTTGCCTTCTGCCGCAGATGGCTAGATCGTCTGGGAGAAAGTAAATATCTAATGGCTCTGAAGAACCTGTGTGACTTGGGTATAGTGGATCCATACCCTCCCCTATGTGATATTAAAGGCTCATATACAGCACAGTTTGAGCATACCATATTATTGCGTCCAACATGCAAAGAAGTTGTCAGTAGAGGAGATGACTATTAAAACTTCAAGGCCATTACCTCACCTATGTACTCTGTTGGAACACATTATGCCAGAATAAATTTGCAGTCTGTTTTAACAGTGGACCCCATGTGATAACTTTCCATGTTCGGAAAGAGGAATTTAATCAAAGGCAAGTTCTCTCATGTATCTAACAAAAGGAAAAACAGCTTTTGAGGCCTCTAGAGTATTTCAGGTTACTTCTTAGTTTGGAATGAGTTATACATATTGTTTTAATATTTCTGAGAGAAGGCTTTTGAATATTTATATTACCATATTCCCTACTTGAATGCTTTGAATGACTACACCTGATTTCTGCGCCTAAGTCGTCTCTGGTATTGCCTTTTAACTTCCTGGAATCCATTTTGTAAAAAATAAAGACAGATTTATGGATCTAATACCAAATATGGTTTTTGAAAGTGTTAAAAGTGCTAGGCAGCAGTGCTCTGGGGGAAAAACCTGCCTTATTAAATGCTGTAGATGTATTCTTTCTCTGCTTACACCGGATAACAACACAAGGCATGGTCTACTTTTCTGAAGTTTTGTCTTATATAGCATGAGTCTTGCCTTGCTTTAAGTCATGAAGTTACGAACTTTCGGAAATGTTATCTGCCCTCAGCTATGGTACACTGACCTATAGTGCATAGCTTGATAGGTTCTTTCTATGAATGGGGAATTGAAATTGGTCTTATTCTGCTCATTTTTTCCCATTCATTTATGATAAATCCACTAGCCAGCTTAAACATTACTTGATACTTCAGTTATGACACTTATTTAAATGACAATGCAAATATTCCATTTATCAGAACTCTGGATATTCTTCATTATGTTCAGAAACTGGATTATATTATTTTCCCATTACACTTGTTAAAACTAGTTTTATTTGAAATCTCTGCTAATAAAAGTTTGATACATTAGATGCTATTCTTCTGTACCCATGTAAGTGGCAGTAGGGTTGAGGCTAATCAAAGTATAACAGGACTCCCACATATTTTCTACAGAATTGTTTGACATTCTAGTTTTAGCCTAGAAAAGGTTTTAGCAGGCTGCATATTTCTTCTGTACAAAGCAGCAGAAAAAGTCCAACTACTAAGTGGTGCTAATCCGTATGCTTCGTTGACCATTCATGCAGTAGGTTTTTGCAGACTGTTAGGATGTGCTTTGGAATTAAGGTATAGAAAACACAGTTCACGCTCAATAAGGTACTATCTGTATAAACAGTTGTTAGATTGACTCTGGGATTTGTCCTGTTTGCAATGCTGTTTATTTTATGACCTAGCATTGCTCAAATGCAATTGAGTTGGACCCCTCTGCCACCAAGTACTATTCACCTTGTCCGTGAGATTCCTTAGTTTTTATTAAATTATTGCATAAACGAAAGGTGGTTTTAGAAAATCATTTATTTTATCCAGAAAGCTACCTAAGGGTTTTCATTTTATTTTTAGGTAGCCTCTATGCAATAGTAGCTAGATGAGTATAAAGGAACATTTAATGGATTGGGCTTTATGTTGGGAAAAGCTAATGTACATTGAGGTAGAATAGAAGGGCAAATGTAAGGCTAAAATCATATATTAGATCCAGCCCATCAAGGTGTTTGACATAGCCCACCACCCCCCTATAGGCAGCAAGCTTCTTGAAGAAAACTAGCAGCAAAGCAGCTTGTAGGAAAAACAAAAAGCCAAAAGGGAAGAAAACCATCTAGTTGTCAGTAACGAGAATACAGTTCTGAACGATGCTACTGTTGTAGCAGTCAAAGGAGCTGAGCAGAAAATTGGTGCCCATGCTCATTGAAAGATGTGTCCTGAGCATCTGGACTGACAACATGTTTCATTGTCTGTCTGAAAGGCTTCAGATTCTGTGTTGCATAGGCACAGACCATGAAGACCTATGTATAATTATGAACAGGCCAACTCCTTATCAATACTTTTAAAATGCCTTTTGAGAAGCAGAGAGGTCCCTGCATTGCAGAATCAATTATACTACAGAAGTATAAATATTTAGTATGTATAATTTTTGGCATGGAGTTACTTGAGTGCTTTGGTTGTTCTATAAAGAATGGTGTTTTGCTTAGGTATCGACTGGAAGTTTAAATAAAAAACCAATAGCTACTTTTCTGATGGGCTGTTTTAAAATCATACATTTTCAAAACTGAATAGGGTAAGGAAGTCCTTCCCCCCCCCCCCAGGCCACTTGCAAAGAAGGAAATGCTTCACTTGCTGGATTTCTGTTTATGTAGCTCTTAAAGGCACTGAAACTGCAGCCACAACATTAAAACCCTCTTAACTGAACTACTATCTCTCAGGGTACAGGCCAAGATAGAGTTAGATCAGTCTTGCCACAGTAGGCCATTGAAAATGTAACTGATTCTTATTAAATCTGAAATAGCTTAGAATTGCCATTTTTTCTTGCTCATCTTTAACCCTTTTCCTCTGTTTTTGGTGGAACATTGCCTGTTTTTCCCTTTAGTTTTGTTCTTGGTCTCCGCTTTTCTTTCTCTACAGATGTTCTCTTGTCCTATTTCTCTTTGGCCCTCCTGCTTCCTTTGCACAAACATGTTTCATTTACAGATGGGTCTTGTCCTAAAACTGGGGTGGGTAACCTTTGTTGGGGTCCAACTCCCATCAACCCCAGCCAGCATGCCCAATAATCAGGGTTCAGACACCTGCACCCACAATGACACAATAGGCACCTGACGTGCTCAGAGGATGACTCTTCACAAATTGGTTCAAGCTCTTAGATCTTAACTAGTTGCTATGCTTAATTCTCTTTCATGGTGTTTTTTTTAAGTTGGGACATTGGCTTCTTTTAATGATGGTAGGGGTTTTTTTGTAGCAGGCAGGTTAACTGTTCGCTGTACTGGCCAACAAAGGAAAGAAAATGTAGTACCCTTCTAGCTGAGCAGTAGAAAACAGGCTGCAAATGAAGACATTTTGCTACCTAACATCAAATATTCATAGGCAATGAGTTTTGTTTAATAAAATACGTAGTCTTTATCTAGGTATCTCACTTATGTTGGGTGGCTATCAGTTCAAGGACTCGTAAGATTACAGTAATTAAGACAAATGTCTATGCTCAAGTTTCTGCCTTGTGTGCAAATAATCAGGGGACCTGCTGTGTTAAGAGGTCCTGAAAAAAGGGCTCTAACCATTATTCTGTGGGTTCTTCATGCAGAGAAAGTGCCTATTAAACTAGAGTATACAAAAGTCTTTTTCCTATCACCCCAGATAACTTTGAGAAGAAAGTGAATTAGGGACTTAATGCTTATTTTTATGTGAGCGTGAGACATGCATTTTTCTATGGCATTTGAGAACCTCTGCACAGACAGCTTCGCAGTATTCAGTTCTCCCCTCCAGCCCTTTCTCTTGGGGTGGTGGAGTGCTTGCATTCCCTCTCTACGCGGAAACTTTATACAGTTCTCTGTGTCCTTCAGAGTTGGAAGGATAGAAGACGAGAGAGGTTTGTGTATAAGCAATAACTTCCCTCCATAATTCACACTAGGGCAATTCACCCCAAACTCCAAAATCCTATTTCCAGAGGGCAGGAGAGCAAGGGTTTGTGTCTCTTGCTCAAAAATACCACTCAGCTATCTCTGCATTAAAAAAAAATATTGTAGGAGCTTCACACTAACCAGTTCACTTTCTCAGCCCTTTTTTTGTTGGAGTCAGATGTCCTCCAACAGACATCACAATGTAAGGCTGTCCCTCATGCTGGTTAGGAAGTGCTGAAGAATTCAGGAGGATTTTTCCCCCCAAGCAGAGCAGCAGGCAGTTAAAAAAATTAAGCTCTTACCAATAAAAAAACCTTTTGCTTTGCTTATACAAAACAAATCACAGCCCACAGTACTCCTAAGCTTCACTTACACAGCTTCACTTCTTACACAGCCTATGGTCCTAAAGAAACAGATAAAAGACAAATAGAGCAACACAAGATTTTGTGAGGGCACTATCAGATTTGGGGTGTTTTATTGATACAGTTGAGAGGAGTAATAATTTGCTAGTTATTCTTCCCCTAGCACTGAGCAGTTGCACACACCGAATAAATATCTTGTTGCTTCTCCCCAGGACCTAGTGACTGAGTAGATAATATGGTTTACCAAATGGAGGTAGGAAGCAGAGTTGTATTTTGCTCTCTGCAGGACTTTTCAGTTCAGAGTGGAAAGCAAAGTTCTACATTTTATACCATCTTTTTTAAAAAAATTCTGTGGAAGCAAGACATATGCCTGCAATGACTGGTACTTCAGGAAACATGGTATAAAATGCACATTTTTTATAAAAAAAAATCCAAAATTACACAAGTTGCTCACCAAAATTCCTTATCTATTTTTCTACACCAAAATATCAAAATATAAAAATGCTGAGAAACAGCTTGAGGTAAGATTTAACAATTCAAATGGCAAATTTCTTTTAAAAAAATAGCTATACAGATATCCTAATAATTTTGGAAGTTAACTACCATCAATAAAAAGTATTTATACTAAAAAAAAATTCCCCAAAACAAGTTTTCAGCTAGTACAAAAGGGTATGAAGATACATTGTACAATACTGCACTTACTCATCTCAACACATGTACAAGTGACAACTCTCAGACTTGTACTGTACATATTAAATTGGCTTTGGATTAGCTGTTACTATCTGCACTGGAACAATTAACCTCAGTATTTGGCTGTTTTCCAGATGGTGAGTCAAGAGCTGAAACTTTACAGTGTCCATTTGCCTGAGTAATTCGTTGAGTATAAAACAAGATGTAGGCCTGGGCCTTGCATACTTCTTCCATAGTGCACATGTTGAGCTTGGAATCATTGCAATGAACCCAGAATCCTAGAAGACAAGAGCAATAAAAGTATTGCAGCACTGGTTCTTGTAACAGATCAAAGGATTTTATGTATTGCAATATAAGAATACTACATTTTACACAGAAATAGCTGTACTCCCCCAACCAAAAGGATATATGCAGAAATGTCCAAATGACAGGATGGCCTCTTTGTGCAGCATTCATTACAATTTTATAAGATTCCCCTGCTTAAATGTATTGAGTTTAGGGAATGAAATATTCAATGAAATATTCATGCTGGCAAAATGATTAGCACTAGCACAATGGGACTCCCTGCCCCATGCACCACCCAAAAAACTACTTTATGGGATTGGGAGAAACCCCAGAAAAGATTTAAAGGGAATACGGTGGGGTGGGGGCATTACAGTTGCACAAAGAAATCCTTGCCCTGATGGAACCTTCTCTTTAACAATATGTCGAATATAACCCTTCTGTTGTGGCAGTGCAAGCCACTGTATCTAAAAGGCAAGCTTAAATTGGATTTCAAATTCAAATTTGTTTGTACCTCCTTCTGAGTTATAGCAATAGGCAGTGTAGTGTCCTGAGCCAAAACCTTTCCCATGATGCATCACAACAGCAGACAGGTCATAGGTAAAGCAATCTGGAACAAGGGACTTGAGAGATTCTCTGCAGCAATAGGGCTCCATGTTGAGCGTCTGATCAAAGCTGACGTGCACACCAATCTTCTCACGATGATTACGTCCTGACCATCTTGGGTGATGAAAAGTATAAAAAGGTTATTTTCTATTTCTTGTTCTGTAGGGTACCTTCAACATAACTGGAAGTTTAAAAATCTCTATTTGTGGGCTAAAGCCTGTGAGTTTGTGTATCTCTTACAGTGTGGAAGCAGTTACAGAATCATAATTCTAGGGCACCTTGTAGGCTAAGTCCTGCCGTCTGCAAAGTGCAGGAAATTCACAGTTAGGAGAATCCACAATAATAGTCTTTCCGGTCGCTACTTGAGAACCGCAAGTGAGAGAGAGTCCAACACTCTTACAGATTATTAGTTTCATTGTAGAACACTTTCTGTTGGAGGTTTCTTTTAATCCTGTAACTTATTCCCACTAGATCAAGTCCTCATTTGCAAGACACTCCTTTGTATCTGAAAAATTGCTTTCTTAATGTCCAGTGCAGCAGTTGGTTCCCTCACAACCACAACCACTCCCTGTGACAAATGTGACTGGTTTGTTCAAACCCAATTGATAAATACAGTCATACCTCGGGTTAAATATGCTTCAGGTTGAGCGTTTTCAGGTTATGCTGCACGGCGACCCAGAAGTAACGGAATGCATTACTTCTGGGTTTCACCACTCACGCATGCGCAGACGCTCAAAATGATGTCATGCACGGAAGCGGCGAATCACGACACGCACAGGCGGCAGACACGGGTTGCGTTCACTTCAGGATGCGAACGGGGCTCCGGAACAGATCCTGTTCGCATCCAGAGGTACCACTGTAAAATATTTTTCTCTAATGCCACTGGTTCCTTAGGGATTTCCAGTCACAGACTATGAGAGGGCCATTTAAAAGTTTCATAGAAGGGAGAATTTCTCCAGCTGTGCCTTCCCCAATCATTCCCTAGAAGTAACAAGAAAATCTGAGGGAATTATTCCCTGCTTTGTAATTTACAAAGCATCTGTCTTTCCTATAGACTCTATGCTTCCTAGGGTCTCTTCCCACTTAAAATTTGCTTCACAGTGGTGTTTCTTGTCCCTGAGGCATATACAAGGTCTTAATTTAAGTCAAACAACTTTGCCTCACAGAAGACAGGCTGCTAACATTTGGATACTGACAACTTCATTCCTTGAGCACCTGAAATGTTCAGGAACACCTCAATATTCACACCAGTTCAAATCATTGTCAGAAGCGTCATCAAATTCCTTTAATGCAAACCAGTATCGATAACAGGCATAATATCCCTTGGGTTCTGGGTGGAGCGCACATTTTTATTGTAATCTCAAGAAGCATTCTTTATAATCTGACTAAATATACAGATCTATTTTTTTAAAAAAAAAACATTGAGAGAAGGTTGCCAGCCCATTTTCCTTAATATGATAGCAAAGGTAGTTCACTACAGTACCTGAACCGCTTAAGGTGTAACCGCAGAACTTGAGGTAGTCGGCATACCATAAGTTGCTTCTGTGCTTCTGTGAGTATAATGGGCTTAGAAGAAAACTTCCTTCGTTTTGCTATGACAAGAAAAAGAAAATCCTCCACTCATATTCACAATAGATGCAAGTTGTAGAAAAAATAAATCAATGCACTTTGGATAATACATGCCAAACATAGGTTGCCTCAGTCTAGACTAGAGCTTCTCAACTAAGCATTGGTTTAGAAGAATTTCTGTGTGTACAGTCAGCTTAGCAGGAATCCATTTTGGAGATATATTGTGGAAACATTACTTGAACTTAAAGAACATTCAATATACAACTTTATATCAGTTATGTGGGGGTTGAAGATTTTCTGCAGAAAAAAACTTAAGTTTGTGAATTGATTGATACCAATTGCAAATAATTAGGAAAGCATGGCATTTTCAGAATTTCTAGACTTGTTTACTATAAGCAAATAAAATAAACCAAATTAGGGCATCAGAAAATTTTATGAAATGAAAATTTTCTAAATAATACATTTCAATGCAATTTAGTTCAAAAAATTCCAGAAAACCCTTATTACAGGTGTATATGTTGGTGTAAAACGCGATGAGCTCCAGTGAAGTATGGATAATGTACTGATGCAATCCTGAGATGAGCAGATGATATAAATACTAAAAAAAAAGGTACAAATGTAGATTGATAGTTTTGTTCCTTGAGATTACCTTTATATATCATATGACCTTATACTGTGAGCTCAAGGGACTGTTCACACCTTGTTTTGCACATTTAACAGATGCACAAATAAGAGGTAATTTTTCTGATTGTGGTGGTTAAAAATGTACTGGCAGTATCTATGCTCTTAACCAAAGCTAGGCCACATGTTACATGAAAGTCAGGTGCCCAAGTACATGCTGCCTTTACTCACTGTTGCACTGATCACAGGCATATATCTTTCCTTCCAATGCTTCAGTTTCTGTAAACTTGGCCAACATTTCCGTCAACAAGCATGGATGCTGACAGGTTGTCTCCTTTCCATTGCAGTGGTATCGTTCAGGAAATTCCAGTGACAGATCCCAGAAGGGTTCTATAGTATTAGACTTATTATCACACGCAAGACACGTTACCTGTCAAGACAAAAAACCCCACTTAATTTGACTCTCTAGCCCTCCCTTCTTTTGCAAGTGAATGTGCATACATATTGCAGATGTGAAGAGGAGGGGTGGAGCAATCCAAAACCCCAATCCTTCACACTGGAGGGGGTCTGGACAGAGTGGGAGGGGTCCCCCTGCCCAGCTCTGGTTAGTTCGACTGATGAAGAAGGGCATTTTGGGGATGGACTGGACCAACATGAGATCTGCTGCAGTCAAGCAACGGCAACGGGCCCAATCCATGGTGGGAACTGTCGCAACGAAGTGGCATTGGCCAGCGCAAACACTGAGACTATGGATGCAGTGCTGCCTGCATGAAGCCCTGTTGCTGGGGTTCAGGGGATTAGGACTGTGGCCTTAGCTGCTTTGTTGCTCTTGAAAGCCTCATCATCATCTTTAAATTGATTACATTTTTTAAAAAAATGTAAAATTACAGCTCAGTGACAGTTGATGTCCTTCCATTTGACCCTTCATTTCAGTTTACATGACCCATCCTGAGAGCTGTTCATAGTGATTTTTCTTTCTCCATAGTTAATTGAAAAATGCTTTTCAACTAGGGCCCCAATTCTGAAAAGCACTGTAAAAAAGCCAGATATGTGATGCTCTTTGTTATTTTCCACTGTAATTAATGCTGTTATTATTCTATCAATAAATATTTTATATATTACCAGTTTAATGTGTTTCATTAGTAGAGAGTCTTAATATTTATATTGTAGTCATTTTAGTATTTCCAGTGGGGGGGCAAAAGATACAATTTTTTATATACAGGTAATGAAACAATGTATCTTGAAAGGGAAAATTAAGTGGGCATTCATGGGTATGGTGCAAAGGTTTCTAGGAAACAAGTCTAAAGTAGCTGAAAACTAGCAAATGCAAGGTAAAGCAAATGAGAGGAGCGGAACAAGAAGTAAAATACCCCTCAATGATTAATCAAACTGCTGAAATCTAGGGATAGAACAATAGTGCAATTGCATTATTATGCTGACTGTGAAACTGTGGGCCCAGGTGAAGTTTCCAAACCCAAGCAGTTCAACTCCATAGGGCAGGCATCCCCAAACTCAGCCCTCCAGATCCCTAGCTAACAGGACCAGTGGTCAGGGATGATGGGAATGTTAGTGACTCAAGCAAGGTTCTCCTGTGTACAGGCTTCTGTACATGAATTACCACAAAATACAGTAAGTACTTACAAGCTCCCGGTAGTATTTTTAATACCATTTAGGAATCCGCACATCAAAATTACAGAGGGCATTCTGATAAGTTATTATAGTTGCAATTAACAGACCAGAGCAGTCCCAGTAAAATCAGTGGTGATGCTCTGAGATCAGTGAATTGTGCAGAAAATTGCTTGAAATGCTATTACTCTCACTTCCTTAAAGATAAAAATCAAGCTGACAGAAGGCTGATTAGATTAACTCTTCTAGATGAGTACATTTTCATATACAGCAAAGTATCAAATACATGTGAATTTAAATCATTAGATTTTTACTGCGTATGAAGTAGAAAAGTTATAACAGCTGCAGACACTTATTCTACTGGCATGCATTATACAAACATCCCAATTCAGTGATGGAAATTTAAGTCAGCTTTGACCGGAAAGCCCCATGTTCCAGATCTCAATTATCTTAGTATGGGTCTCAAATCACAACAACCTGCAGCAAGTTGCATGTTTTTACTACACATAAAAAGTGTCTGATTTATAAGAGGCTAATAATTACTCTATTTTTTTCTCCTGGAGTAGTAGATTATGCTGTTTAATTTTATCAGTGCTTAAAGAAAATAATTAAAATACTGTAGAAAGGAAAGCTGGTTTAGATGTTGGTTTAGTAGCACTCTGATATGGTCATGCCATGAATGATCAGTATGCTCTCCGGAAGAGTAATGGAGATACTCCCTTCCAACAGCCATACCTTTAGCCTCCAACTTAATGTCTTCTTGCAAGCTTGAAATAAATGAATAGCTGTAACTACCGACAATCAGTACCTTTCTGTATCTGACAGTATTCTATATTGTGCGTTCTTTAAAAAGTTATTTTCTGACACTTAATTTACATAATTCATGAAGGCAATATATTTATTTAAAATATTTATTAAAAGTGACTACACCCCCCTCCAGTGATAACAGTAAAACGAGTCTTCATTTTGACCCATTAATTTACATTAATATTTTAAATCACTGCAGAGCTTTGTGAATGCAACACAACATACCTGGCTTAAGAGCTGTCCATGAAAAATTGTATTGACCACATTCAAAACCTGTTTAATGAGTTTCCTTTGAGAAGTGGGGATGAGGGCTGGGCATTTTGTACGAGCTGTCTCCAATTCTTGCTGTACTTTATCCAAAAGTTCACAGAGAAATTCCTGAGCATCTTGCTGGGCATAACCACGAAAAGCTGGGATTAGTCTCCACACAGAATGGAGCATGGCAAATGGAGATACCAAAGCCCACTTGCCAGACCACATGACTTGAAACAATGTATGCAGCTCATGACAAAGAGAAATGTACTTTGAGCTTGGCTCCTTAGGCTGAATAAGTTCCATATTTCTGCTATTTGACGCTCCACCACTTAAGCCTGATGAAACACTAGATCGTCTTGCAGAAGACTCCTTGTCCTTAAATTGACTTTTGTTCACATGAAATATAGAGCCGGCAGATGGAGAATGCTTAGAAGATGATCTTGTTTTGCCATTGGCTGCAGCTGCTAACAACTCTTGAGTTTGGTTCAAATCAAGCTTTAAAAAACATTCCCGAAATATGAGCAAATGACTCAATACCTGGAGAACAGAGTTCATATAACATGTATTTCCCAAGTTGCGTAATCCTGTTACACCAGGAGTCACAGTAGGCCTTCGTTTAACTGGAGAGTCATTAATTTTTTTTAATTTTACATCATCTGAGGTAGCTGTTACTTTCAGTTCTACAGCAGAGTCCAAATTCTGTGACATTTTTAGTGCATAGAGTGATATTTTTGAGGATTCCTTATTTTGATTTTGCAAGCGAAAGCTCTTTCTTGGAGGCATTTTTTCCATTTCTTCTTTCAACTGGCGCTTTCTCTCTTCTCTTTTCTTCTTAGCATTGATCCTTCTTTCTTCTGCTTCTTCCCTTAGCTTCTCTTCTTCTAAAACCCTTTTCCCACTTGGTGTCAGTTCAAACCAAGATCTAAAAACTTTGCCCATTAATGCATGCCTCCTGTGCCATAGAGCTGTGAACATACGGTCTTGATTACGAAGCAAGGCTTGAGCACTATTATGGGAAAGGTAATCACTTGTGCCCATCGATCGCAAAATCCTGCCACTGCGAGTAGTACAGTCATAATTCTGACTCTTGATTGCATTTAATGTACTTCGCAACAGCTTTAAATCACCAGTTGCATTATCATTAAGAACATAGTCATCACAAAGGTAGCAGAAAACATACAGCTCATTCACTTCTAATGCCACTGGATGACTGCTTTCCTGAAAGTGCTTTAGTGCATGTTCTTCAATGTATCTTCCACAAGCAACATGTGAGCAGCTGAGGCAGGCCCATACAGATTCTGTAGTATTGCATACCATGCAATGCCACTTGTGAGGATTTACAATGGAATGGTCTTGGGCAAGCCGAAGTCTTCCTACATGTTTACACTTATCCATTCTCAATACTATAATGTTAATGAAATGCTACAGAAATTCATCTTCCAAAGGGTTTCTCAGTCTTTGCATTTTGACCTGCAAGCAGAAACAAAAGTTAGCTTCAGCTTTTTTTAGGACGTAAGAAGAATCTGCTGAATCAGATCAAAGACCCACCTAGTCTAGCGCCCTGTTCTCAGAGTGCCCAGCCAAATGCCCCCAGCAAACCTGAAAGCAGGACATGAACTTAGCAGCACTCTCCTCACTCATCCTCTACAACAACTGGCCTCAGAGGCATACCAGCTTAGATACAGAAGCAATCATTCCTTGTAACCATTGATGGCAGTTTTCCTCCATTCCATAGCATGATGTTGGACTAGATGACCCTTGGGGTCCCTCTCCCAACTCTATGATTCTATGAATTTGTCTAACCCCAATTTAATGCTGTCCAAGTTGGCAGCCTACAATCCATCTTATGATAGTGAATTCTATGTCTTAACTATGGACTGTGTGAAATACTTCCTTTTTTTGTCCTGTAACTTCCAACACTCAGCTTCACTACATGATCCTGGGTTCTAATACTATGAAAGGAAGAGGGGGGGGGACTTATTTCTATCCACCTGCTTCACTTAATGCATAACTGTACACACCTTTATCATGTTCCTCCTTACGCCAAATGTCAAAATTGTTCCCCATAGGAATAAATTATTCAGTATGGCAGAACCTTTTCCGTCTATCTGAAAATTTGCCCTAATCAGCATGAAGCATCAGTTTAAGACACATCTATTTAATAAATCACGGCTCAAGGTGGTCCACTGACAAATATTAGGATGGGGCACAGCACTTACACTTGTCACTACATCTGTATACCATGACAAACAAGCCCCATGTGCCCTTGTAAAGGAAGATTATGAAACTTTAGCCTGACAAGGAGTCAAACTTTACTGGATACTCCCATTGTTTCATTAGCACATATCATTCTGTTCAGCGTTGCACCTATTCCTATCTACTGAATTACAACTTCATAAACATAGCATTTTAAAAACTCAGTTTAGAAACACTTTTTTTAATTAGCTAAGCAGTGTACATTAATTAGTATAAAATATTTATAATTAAATACTGATAATAATAATAATAATCAGGCTTTAAAATGCTGATAAAAATCAACAGAATCTTAAGAACAATAAACATAATTAAATTACATGTCTGGGTAGGCTTCCTTAAACAAGGAGGTTTTTAGCAGGCATAAAAACCCCCACAAAAAACAGTGCAATGAAGACACCTGCCTGATATTGATAGGCACAGAGTTCCAGAGCATAGATGCTGACACATACTAAAATATTTTCCTCCCAAGTGCAGAATGGATATTATATGGCACTTGTAAAACTGCCAGTACCACAGCTTGAAGAGGTCAAGTAGGCACATATGGAGTGGCAATACTTCAAGTAAAAGAGTTGACGGTTTTATATACTAATTGAAACAAGCCAGAAGCCAGGAGAGTTCTGTGAGCAGAAGTATTATATGTTGACAGGATCTTACTCCTGTCAGCAATTGTGCTGCAGCATGCTGTACTAACTGTAGTTTCCAGATCAAGCACAAGGAAAGCCTCACATAGAGCACACTGTAATAATTCAACCATGACTTTACCAATGCTTGGCCTACTGTGCTCAAACTATTCTGGTCCAGGGACAACAGCAGCTCCTGTCAACAGTCGGAGTTGATAAAATTATTATTATTTATTCAATATCTATACCGCCCTACACCCGAGGATCATAGGGAGGTTTACAATATAAAAACACAAATATGTATAACATAGTAACAAACAAAAACAACACAGCCGGTTTAAAGGGCCATTGATAAAAGGCACCCCTGGTCACCCTTAGATTTTGCACCACAGACAATTTGCTGAATTTTCCCTCATGGGGTCCAACTTACAAACAGTTGGGACTCAAGCTCAGCTTACTTTTTCTCATTCAGCCACCAGGCATAATTGAACATAGTTTAATAAGATGTGCATTATGCCATTTTATGTGTAAATCACCCTGATAATTATTAGATTCTTTCTTTCCCTTCTACCTTTAGCCATTTTTTGTTAACTAAAAAGTCCAAAATTCTTAAGTCTTTTCATTGTAGATTCTAATGCAAGAGTAAAAAAATGAATATAAAAATGCAACAAAAATGCTTTCCTACAGTTAAATAAACAGAATACCTGTACATCAAGGTTTTCTGGCTCATGTCTTAAATACAATTTTGAAATAACTGAGCAAATAGCCTCAATATATATCATTTCACTTTAAATACAGTCCTTCTACCTGCTGTCCTACCTCACTGACAAAATGCAAAAGTAAAAAGTAATCATTCCTTCTTTGGCCTCTACACATCATTAAATAATCACAGAACAGGAATTTTTAATATGAAGTAGAAAGTTAAATACAAATGCAGTAGCTTAACTTAGGCACTCAGTGCTAGATGCAAGTCAAAAAATATGAACTCCTACTATCATAAATCAGTATTTACACACAGGACTCAAATTATTTTCATCACTAAGCATCACATTGTTTAAAGGAACAATTCCCAAACTGGTGCAGTGCAGATGTCAAGCACAGAAAGTAAGTTACAAATGTTAAGAGCTGTGTAGTAGAAATTAAATGGTGAATGTTAGCATGTATAACCAATACATGATAAATCTTGTCTAGTACTTTAAAATTGCATCTTAGCAGTCCAGTTCTATACATTAGGAGTAAGCCCCAGTGAATTCAATGAACTTACTCCCAGTTAAGTTTGTATAGGATTACAGCCTAACAGCACAATCCTAACTATGTCTAGTCAGAAGTAAGTTGTATTGAATTCAATGGGGCTTACTCTCAGATAGGCTGGGAAAGGTGGGGGTATAGGGGGGAATTAACATCTTACTACAATCATTTACTTCTTACAATGAAAAGTGTTTCTTTGGCTGCAATCCTAACTATGTCTACTCAGAACTAAATTCAAAGTGGCTTACACCCAGGTATGTGAAGTTAAGACTGCACCCTGAAACCTAGATCTTCATGACCTTTCCATGTAATAAAGTTCATGCACTACCAAAGTAATTTAAGTACATAAAAACTTAACAAATCTCAACCTTTTAGCATTATAATCACTTGCCATCATTAAAGTCACAAACTTTTGTGTAAAATATACTACATGCAGTACTCCTTTCTACATAATCACTGTTAACCCAAAATTCTGTAAATAATAGGCTGGCTTTTTTGCATACAGTTTTGTTTCACTCCAATTTACATTTAACTGCAGCTCCATGCTGACCTATTAGGAAATCTACTAGTTCACATTGTTTCATAGATTTCCCCCTCCCATTATCTTCTGATACTTTTTCAATGAGTTTTATGCACACAAACCCTAAGTAACAAAGATTCAAAAGGTATGCCTTATTGTCAGTTACTCAACACAACAGAAGAGTTCAAGTGTGGGGCCAAGTGTGGATGCTTATTCTAAGAATGATATTATAAATCATATAAGATTTATTAAGAAAATGTTTCCTCTACTGATTCTGGTCACTAGCTTTTTTTTTAAACACATTCATTTGTGATACTCCTATCAGTGGATGTTCTTTAAGAAATTGTGTTTGCAGACACAGCCTTCAGGTGCATAATCAAGATCACTTAAGATATATTTAGTAGCCCTTTGTATTCTCAATCAGGATAGTTAAGGGACAGTAAATAGTCAAGTTTCTCCTATTTATCTTTCTTCTAATCTGTTCACCTAATCTATGCCAGCTATTACCAACAGGAAGTATTCCAGATCAATGAGGTTGCAGGTGCCAACTTCCAAAATACAAGAAATATGTAAGGAAGGATGGATGTAAGTAAGATGAGACTTATTAATTCAGAGGAAGTGACAACATACTGAGTGTATTAACCTCGACTTTCAAAAGCCACTACAAACCTATTCCAGGTGCAACAAGTGCTTCCTTTGAAAGATAAGAGTCACATCTCTGAAAGTAAACATCTCAACAGGTCCGCAGAAATCTGTTCCCTTTAAAATAAATAAATAAATCAAGGCAGAAGTAAAAGCTAGACACCCATTTCCACAGCATAAAAAGTTTTTAACACACTTCTTTCCTATCCCACCATCTCAAAACGAAAACGTCTAGTCATCCAGAACCGGCTTTAACCTATGGAGGCCGATAATATGGGGACCGTCTCCACACGAGCAAGTTACCTATAAAACATTTGTGCGCGCGTGAATCAAGATGCACATCGGGGAACCAGTCCACTCGCAATTATTTAAAAGGATGCAGCTAATCCAGCGCCCCCGACCAGCGCCCCCGGGACTCCCAGCACTCCGAGGGGCGCCTCCGAGCCCCCTCTTTCTCGTCCCAGGTTAAGGGAAGGAGCCTCTCGACGGGATGGCGAAGAAGCCGAGGGAGAGAAGTTTCTCCTTCCCGGCTCCTTCGAAGAGGCGCCAAAACCCCAGCTCGGGAGCGGGGGCTTCCCGGGTGACGGGAAGAGCAGCGGAGGACACTACTTGGAAGAAGTAACGGGCTGCTGCCTCGCTCTCGGAGCGCCTGGCATCCCCCGGCTGCCCCCGACCGGACCCCCCACGCCCCGCCACCCGCCCCGCCTCCCGGAGCGCCTGGGTGCGCCAGAGCCCGCCAACTCTCACCGGACCGGCTCGAGCCATGTCCCTCTGCTTGCGGCGCGCTCCCGCTCAGCCGCTCAGCCCCTCGCGCAGCCCTCGTCCCCGGCGCCAGCGCCCGCCAGCAGCAGCCGCCGCCATCTTGTGCTCCCCGCGCCTCCAGCTTTTCAGTGTCACAAGCAACCGCCCCCTCGGCCGCGTCAGCGCCGCGCCTCCCTCGAGCGGCTCTCTCGCTCGCACACGCAGCGGGGATCCCGCGGGCGGCGCTTGCCTCGTGGTCCTCGGTGGAGTCCCGCTCGAGCGTCTCTCTCTCTCGACCTGCCAGAATAAGAGCCCTTCGCCATGTGCTGCCTCCGCCTCCCCTCTTTGGGGGTTACTATTGAGCCAAGGTGGGACATGGGAAGCTGCCTGACACCGAGTTCAGACCCTTGGCCCATTCAAGCTCAGCATTGTGGTCACTGACTGGCAGCGGCTCTTCGGAGTTTGGGACCAGGGTCTTTAACCAGGGAGCCCTGCCAGGCGGTGCCTCAGATGCGTCTGCTGCACCGCGGCCCTTCCTGAAGGTGAAGTCTGGCGGCCTGGCTGCCGCCCGCCCCAATGCATAAGGTGGCCTTGGCCGCCTGTCTTGGATTGGGTCCCTGCTCCTCTTCTTCTCAGCGTACAAAGAGCACAGGAGCGACTGAACGCTGTTAGGGCACCACACAGAGAAGGTGGAGTGTGTGGAGGCTCCCGCAACCGAGCAGCCTCCTCTTTGGGCGCTACAGCAGGAGTGGAAGCTGATCTTGCTCTTCATTTGCTTATGTGCTTTTTCCGGACATCCATTCTTCCCCGTCAAGCTGCCCAAAGAGAAGAGCGAGCGAGCAGAGGCGCCAATTGCCTCTGTAATAATGGTCAGCCCTCCTCCTCTGCTGTTCCTGGGCAGCCCCACTTGGCCTAACTAACTTTGCAGAGGGAGAGTATTTACATTTCTTGTTTTGAAACTGAGTGCCATCGAATATATGAAATAAAATAAGAATTTTACCTACAATTAGAAATCAATATGAATCTTTGATGCAGATGCACTGTGAGCCACCTGAATGGAAATTTGTGGGCATGCCTCAGTTTGGGAACCCCTGCTGTAAAACATATGTGGAAGAAAGAACCACTTATGCAGCAGTTTAGATCCACTCCCTGCCCCCTGTTAAGGTGTGAGGAAGCATGTCTTTAAAAACACTGCACCTCCTGCCATGCAGGAAGACAGGGTCATTGTCTTGTTTCAGATGCCTCTTTCACGGCCAGAGAACAAAGCTCTCCATTAGCAACATGACAGAGCTTATGCACATGGATGTAGTGGGAAGAATTCTTCCTTTAACAGACATAGCTGTATTCTGAACAGTAAGCTGTAGGAGTTGAGTCAGCTTGGGCTGGAGAGCACAGCCCTATAACATTGCAGATATTTTGAAGACAAAACAGGCTGCGAACAAAGCCAGAGTTAGGCTGTGAGTCTGGAGTGTGCAGGAGTACTAGCAGATGAAAGAATCACTGGTAAAAGGTATGTGGTTCAAAACACTATTCCTTTAGGTTTTAGGTTGCATTATCATCTGTATTATTGGTCGATATGACAACCTTGTGAGGTTCCTCCGGCCTCATGAGGAGCCTCTTCAGTAGGGTTGGTGAGTGTGCCCCCCCCAGGCCAGGTGAAAGGGCCTTGCAGGAAGCGGCCTCACAGCTGGCCTATGTTCCTCCGGCCTCATGCAGCTACCTCTGCTACAAGTAGAGGCTACCACAATGTCCACCCCTTACTTTAGGGAAAGGCCCTATAAGGTGGTTTACAATAAAAATGTCAAAAACAAATTTAAAAGAATAGACTTTGAAATTATTCTGGGATAGTTCTAATAAATGTGCTAGAGTGTTCCATTGGAGTAAACATGTTTTATGTTTTAAGCAGAAAACAAATACAAAAATCTGAAATACAGATTATTACCAAATCTGCAATCCTATACAGACCATCTTTGCTGTGAGCCATCGATTTTTAGAGTTGGAAGGTATCCTAATAATAATAATAATAATAATAATTTATTATTTATACCCCTGGCTGGGTTTCCCTAGGGTCATCTAATCCAATCCCCTGCAATGCAGGAGTTTTGAGGAAAGCATCCATGCTAGATGACCTGCTCCCTGCCTTGCAGGCCTTTTTCCGCCTGGGCTGGGAGGGCAGGGCCCTGACTGACTCCCTCCAGCTAGAACAGACCCAAGTCATCAAGCTTGAGCTTCCACAGCCACTGCCCGCCATGAACCACCATTGGCAGGATTAACAGCAACAGCAGCAGGTATGGTCTGAGCTTATGATAATATTTTGTTGTTTAGTCGTTTAGTTGTGTCCGACTCTTCGTGACCCCATGGACCAGAGCACGCCAGGCACTTCTGTCCTCCACTGCCTCCCTCAGTTTGGCCAAACTCATGCTGGTAGCTTCAAGAACACCATCCAACCATCTCATTCTCTGTCGTCCCCTTCTCCTTGTGCCCTCCATCTTTCCCAACATCAGGGTCTTCTCCAGGGAGTCTTCTCTTCTCATGAGGTGGCCAAAGTATTGGAGCCTCAGCTTCACGATCTGTCCTTCCAGTGAGCACTCAGGGCTGATTTCCTTAAGAATGGAGAGGTTTGATCTTCTTGCAGTCCATGGGACTCTCAAGAGTCTCCTCCAGCACCATAATTCAAAAGCATCAATTCTTCGGCGATCAGCCTTCTTTATGGTCCAGCTCTCACTTCCATACATCACTACTGGGAAAACCATGGCTTTTACTATACGGACCTTTGTTGGCAAGGTGATGTCTCTGCTTTTTAAATGATAATAAAATGATAATAATGCCTGGACAAAGACAGGCATATGATAATATTTTAGTCCTGTTAATTAAGTTGTTTTGAATGTATACTTTATACTTGACTTTCTTCAGTAATGTTTTATTCTGGATTGTTTTATTTTATGTTTTAATGTGCTGTAAACCACTCCGATAGTATTTTTTAAAATAAATACCGGTAAATAAAATGGTATAGAAATGAAATTAATAATAATCATAGGAACTTGGGAGTAAGCCCCACTGAACATCATAGTAAGAGTGCAGTTTTCCTATTTAATTCATTATAAATAAATAAATAAATAAATAAATGCTTCAAGCTAGTATCTCAGCAGCATAACCCTAACAGTGCTATGGAGAAATAAGTTTAAGTGATTTCAGTGGGATTTACTTCCTGGTAAATAGGTAGTCTATAATTGCTTTGCACTTACCTGGGAGTAGATCCCATTTAATTCATTGAGGCTTACTTCTAAGTAGACATGGATAGCTTACACTGTCTGAGTATTCTACAAATTTTATAACATTATTGAAGTGCTTCAGATTGCTTACTGAAGTCCCACTAAGCACTGTAATTGAATTGCTGCCCTATTTTTCAGAGATCTTCCTGCCTCTTCTATCTGAGAATAAAAGAAAATGTTACAGCCCATTCTTATGCTGATTTGGATGGAGCTGCCCCTCCTCACTCAGCTTCTTAGTTCTTTTACTACTTCTCTTTTACTTGGGATTTTCTTTGCCAACAACCCCTTTGAGAATTTACTTTTATCTTTTCTTTTAATACTTATTTTTAGCAGAAAAAGCAGATTAACAAGATTTTGCCTTGACACTTTAGGAAAGAGGTTTTACTTCTCAAGAAATCTCATCCAGAGATTTTATGCATTTAAAGCACTATTTACTTAAACTTGAATATATTCCTGTTTCTTCTGTGAGTTCATGATTATGCTATTTTATTGTATTCGAGTTGTAGTCTGTCATATAAATTAAATTAATTATAACCCTGGGGAGTAGGCCAGAGACAGATTCTAATGCAATAGGAATGCATCCATCGGATTTTTCCATTGTTCTTTGGATATGTATAATGTGATTTGAGGGCTTATTTAAAAACAAAGGAATTACCTTATTGCAATTTAATGTCAAACATACAAACTGAACCTGGTGTGGTAATTGTTGCTCCAGCAAAGTCATTGAAGTTTACAAAGTCATTACAGATGGCCAAAGAGATAAGACCAATGAAATGCTGTGATCAACTTCTTAGTTTCTTCAAGAGTTATGCCTGCAGCAGTAGTACATCCTATCTCACTTCCCACAAATACTCACTTCTTGAATAAATTGATGGAGAAAGTAGTGAAGCTGTTGCAGGTGTTCCTGAAGAATACAGATTATGGAGAGTTGGGCAGAAGGAAGGCAACTTTGTTTCTGCTTCCCAGTCTCTCAGCAGCTTTCGATACCAATAATCATAGTATCCTCCTAGACCTGCTCTGTCTGAATTGATATTGGGGACACATTCTGTGGCTACTACCTATAGGTGAATAGTGTTGGGAAATGTTCCTTGCACTATGCTGTGCTGCCATGAGCGATCTTGTCTTCAATGATGTTCTACTTCTATATGAAGCCAACAGGAGTGGTCATTAGTAATTTGGGCAAAATGTCAGTAGTATTCTGTTCTGTTTCTCCATAACATCTGAGTCAGAAACAACTGTGTATGATCTAGTGTTTCCCAATTCGTGGTCTGTGGACCCCAGGGGGTCCATGGCACCATTCATGTAACAAAAACTACTATATATCAACTTTTCAAAAGTAGGGGGATCCATGGCTTGGCTTTTGAAAAACAGGGGATCTGCAGTACTTACCTAACTGGAAACCACTGATCTAGACCATTGTCTTGGTTTCATAATGGACTTGGATGAGCGAATCTAAACTAAATTTGAATCCTGGGGAAAAAGAGACACTGTAGGTAGCTTTACTGGGTCTTAGAGATTGGTCAGTTGCCTGTTCTGGATGGGGTTGGACTCCATCTGAAAGAACAGGGTCATAGTGCTCCTGAGTCCATCATGGTTGCTGAAGCTTCAGGTAGCCTCAGTGGTTAGAAGTTCCTTTTATCAGCTATAGCTATTACACCAAATATGGACATTCTTGGACAAGGATAGCCTGGCCACAGTGATTAATGCATTGGTAACTTCAATACTCCAATTACTGCAATTTACTGTGGAGCTACCCTGGGGTCCCTTCTGAAAGCTCCAACTGGTGCAAAATGCTGTTGCTGGACTTTTTTGAGGATATACTACTGCCAGGATATAACTCCAGTGCTTAAAAGCTTGCACTGGCTGACTATATGCTACTGGGCCAGATTCAGAGTTCTTGCATTAATTTACAAGGACACCTTAAGGACCACCTGATTCCTTATATCCCTGCCCCATTACAGGGGAGTCTTTGTTAGTAGTACCCCATTCAACTCCCACCCGGAAACCAATGTCCCCACTGTGGAATGATGTGTGGATCCAGAATTGGCCTCCATGGTCACTTACGGACTCATTGTTAAAACCATGTTTATGGAAGACAATCTTACTTGGCTATGAGTGATCGCCAAAGAAGAAGAAGAAAGATTGCTTGGACCCAACTCTATGGAAATCCTTCCTGGCAGAAAGCATACAGGCCTCCTTCCTGTTGAACTTCAGTGCCTGGTCAGCTCCCCCCGCCCCCTTTCAGCAGGCACTTTAAATAAAGTTTTCTGATTTTGTAGATAATTTGACGGCTTTTATCTTTAGTGTATCTTTTGTAAACGTATTGTATTGTATACACCTTCTAGACAACAGTGCTAAGCAGAATATACAGTAAATAGTTGAAGTAAATATTTGTTTATTTTATTGTTATTTATTTACGTTATTGCTTTAGCTATTTTTACTTTTTATTTGTTCATTTTCAGAAGGACTCTAAGGAGTCCAACCCCCACCCCCCAGCTCCTAAGGGAAAAAATGATACTGGTGGCCCTGGGGGATTCCACATACATCTGAGTAGATTGTGGAATTGTGCTTTTGCTTAAATCAGCTGAATTTGTTAAATGCTAGCCACCCACCTCAGTGATTCTATTCTGACCTCACAGAAATATAGCAGCCTATAGATCCATAAAGGTCGAGTGTGTCTACAGCAGAGATTAATCACATTATGAACTTCTTCCCAGAATATCAGTCAGTAATTGAGCTAGTAGTTTGGCTGCAGTTGGTAGTGACAGCTGGGAATCCTGGTACTTTTCTCTAAGGGTGAGCAGCTATCCATCATAATCTTGGCAACATAGACAAAGCTTAAATGGCTGTGCCTTGAGGGACTCTGAACAAAATATTTGAGAGATTTCAAACAGAAGCCTGAGAAGAAGAAAAACATTGAGGATTGATTGAAGATGAAACAAAAACATTGTGCCACCACTTTGTCACCTCCAACCTAGGGAATTGTGGTTGTCTTATTAGCCAGATCTTGCATCTGTGGTTGCTGCTGTTGAATACCATGGCGATTCTCAATAAAACCTCCCTCATCAATGATATGATTGTGGATGAGGAGGTCAATCTGGTATGTATCACTGAGACCTTGGTGGGAGAGCAAAGCAGAGTTGGTCTCACCCAGCTATGCCTGCCAAGGTACTCAGGGCAGCATCAGGGCAGACTTGAGGGTCAGGAAAGGGAGTTGCTTTGGTCTTATAGAAATGCCACCTCTCTCTCTCGGCTCTGTGTCCAGTTAAATGGGGATCTAGAGTGTTTGTTCCTGGTGTTGGATTAGGAATTTTTCTGGTTTACCATCCACTTCACTGCCCATCAGTTTTCCAGCCTGAGCTGACAGAGCTGGTCTCTGAGGTGGGATTCAGGACTCCTAGACTGCTTGTTTGGGGGGATTTCAACATCCATGCTGAATACAGTTCAGAAACTTCAATGAGTTCAGAATTCAGCAGCCAGATTGCTCACTGGGGCAAGACAGTTTGAGCATATTGCACCAATCCTGGCACAAGTGCACTGACTGCCAATCAGTCTCCAGGCCCAATTCAAAGTGCTGGTTTTGACCAAAAAAGTCTGAAACAACTCAGGACCACAATACCTCAAGGACCATCTCTTCCCACATGAACCAACCCAGACCCTGAGATCATAATCTGAGGCCCTTTTTCATGTGCCCCCTCCATGAGGGTTTAGAGGGTGGCAACACAAGAACAGGCCTTTTCTGTGGGGGCCCCCCATTTGTGGAATGCTCTCCCCAGGGAGGCTCGCCTGGCACTTTTGTTAAATATCTTCTCACAAATCTTTGGTTAATTACCAACCTTTGAGCTTTGAAACGTGTGTGTGTGTGTTGTTTTGTTCTGTTTTGTTACTGTGCAAACCACAAAATGCACTCTCCCTGACATGCAACGTTATTAGGACATTTTCCACATTTGTACAGCACCAAGCACTCACCAGCAATGAGGATGATGATGATGATGATGATGATGATGATTTTAATTTCTACAGCACTGAGTACTTGGTAGCAATTATAATCAACATTTCCATGTATAGCACCAAGCACTCACCAGCCCTCAGCCGGAATCGCCTACGATCAGAGATGCCGTGACACTCAAAAGCCAGTGTGGTGTAGTGGTTATGAGTGGCAGACTAGGGCCTGGGAGACCAGAGTTCAAACCCCCACTCAGCCATGGAGTTCATTGGGTGGCCTTGGGCCATTTTCTCTCTGTCTCTCTCTGCCTAAAGCTAGCTCACAAGATTGTTGGGATTAAATGATGAGGGGGAGCACCCATGTACCCCACATTGAGCTCCTGGTATAATAAGGTGCAGTATATAATAATAAATGCAGTATATAAATTGTTGTCCAGCAACATTTGAAATATGAAGTCAAAGTGGAGAAGGTGACCAAGGCAAAAAATCAAGGAACAGGTGGGTGGGGGGCAGAGGGAATGGGTGGGCAAGAGAAGTAGGAGGAGGTGTCAAAGCAGAAGAGGAAGCAGCTGCTCTACTGCTGCTTTACAAGGTAGGGTCCTTGTAGTTGCTGTGTAAAGCAAGGGCAGCCCCAGGGCAGTAGCTTGCTTCTCCTATAGGCCTGCTGCTCTTTGGACACTGAGTGAATAGGCTTGCTGCTGTCATACATAGGCTATGAAAGCAGCAAGCCTATTCACCCGGGCCAACCGCCCAGAGAGGGGCAGCACCTTAATGAAGAGGAAGAGAAGCCACTGCCCCACTGCCACTACCACTTTGCCCAGTGGCTATGGCTGCCCCACTGTGTAAAGGAGCAGCAGGGAAGCAACTTCCTCTTCCTCCCCAGTGCCACTTCTCTTAGGGCATCGGCCTCATCCTGTGTCATTGGTGGGCTGGCTCTGCATAGAGGACACAATGAAGCCAATGGCATCCCAACACAATGTAATTCTCTTCCCCAATCCCATTGAAGTACCCTACTGAAATGACCCAAACCACCTTGGAGTCAGAGGCAGTATGTTTCATTGAGAGTCCATTTTATGAAGTCTCCATTGTGTCATGAGTTAGGTGATGTCCTTATAATTTCTAATTCTAGTGTACTAATAGTTTAAGATAAAAGACCTCAGGATAGACTTAAGTTTAATAAACTGAATCTCTTTTTTTCTGCATCTATGTAAGATAGCACTATTAATTATTATTATTTTACCACCAACAGTAAATTTCTCTAACAAATATTGCTATTGTTTTAATGCACCCTCAGGAATCATAACTGGGAGGTGTTGAAATAGGAAGGTGAATTTAGGTTTCCCCCAGCCGTGAAAGATTATTTTTCTTCTACTGCGCAAGTTATTACTTTACATTTCTTGAAAGGGGAACAAGATTTCACCTTCATAACCTCTTTAGATGTACTACACTCAGGTGTAGTGTTAGGCTTGAGAGCTGTTGCAATCACCTTTGTTCTGTTACCAGGGATGTTAATAGATAGGAGGATGAGCACATATGGTAATTTATCTCATGCCCTATGGAAGTCGCTGAGCTGTTTCTGTAAGCACTGGAATGACAAGCAACATATTAGTTAACATCAGTAAAATGTCATTAGTAAATGTATTACATGCTGCCTCCTATTAATTGTAATTCTCTGCTCAGATCTTGTTTGCTAGCCCTTCAGTAGTTCCTGTAAAAGGAACTAAGGAGCAGGGGAAGCCTGCTTGGTGCACTAGGATAATTTTATCAAGTGTGAGTAGTACACATTGACTCTAGCCATAGCTTCTGAAGATGAATAGAATTGTTGGATTGCATTCAAAAAATTTGATCTAACATTTAATTTATGTAGGAGTGTCATTAAAATTGGCCATTCTAAGTGATACAAAACGTGAAGAGCATAAAGCGATAATAAAGCTGAGGGAATTGATTTTGTTATAAAGAATAGTATTTCCTCACAGAATTTGACAATTGACATCTTGGCATAAAGCCAGTCTGGTCTATTCCAGTATATTCTGTAAAGTAAAGTAAAGTAAAGTAAGGAAAGGAAAGGAAATATTAAGCTGGGCTGCTAGGTTGGAAGTGAGGAATTTAGCATATTAAGAGATCAATATGGTGGTACTACCCTTGAGAGAAGGGATCATTACCTGGTTTTAATATGGCTATGAGGTTCAATCAGCACCACATTTCTGGAATCACACTCCATTCTAAGATTTCATTAGGTTGCTTTAAAAAAAGCAGACTCAAACCCCACTAAAAGACTTGTAAAATGCCCCTCCAAGCCCATTAATGCCTAGGATCTTGCAATTCTTTAACTTTTCAATAGCTGCACAGGGGATATAGGCTAAATTAAATGGTTATTCTGTTCCTGGCTGAAGGACTTGATTTTGATCCTTTTAAAAAATGACTTATGCTACCAGAGCCTGGTATATCAGACAGGGCCGGCTGTTTCATGGGGCAGAGTGAGACAGCTGCTTCACAAGGCAAATTGTAAGGGGAAGAAAGTGGCTAGAAATGTGTGCTACATGGGCTGCCCTGCAGCCTCTATGCTAGCTTGCTGCCCGAGTGTGCGGTGGAGGACTCTGTTCCATCACCAATGCTGAAGTAATATTCAGCTATCAGTCTACTTACATTTTTTGGTACAGAATGGGGAATATACCATATTGTCATTCACCTCAGGCAACAAAAAGGCTTGGGCCACTCCTGATGTCAGAAGTAACCCATCCAGGGGGTCCCTGGCACCATTCACATAACAAAAACTACCATTGATATATTATTATTATTTATTATTATTTAAAAAAAGGGGGGTCCATGGCATGGCTTTTGAAAAACAGTACTAAATGGGGACCACTGGTCTAGGCAATAGTCTTGATATATCTGTTTCTATATTGATACAAGAACCTTGAACCTGTCCCAGTAGCATTGAGACAGCGAGTGCAGATGATTTATCAGAGGTGTCACTTTAGCTTTCTGGTTTGTGTTTGACAAATATTTATCACTGTACTTATGACTTGTCAGGGTTTCCAAGAAGTATCAGGGTACAGTTGGACATTTATTGCCATGCACTGCAGATACGCATCTCAGGTCACAATGATCATACTGTCAGTGCTGCAGCTTGTGAGGAAAGCTATGGAAGGCATTTAATGTAATGAGATGACATATTTGGGTGTCTCCATACCACAGGGTCCAGATTACTTACTTACTTATTGCATTTATATTCCTCCAAGGAGCTCAAGGCGGCATGCATAGTTCTCCCTCACAATAACCCTGTGAGGTGGATTAGTGAGTGACTGGCTTAAGTGAGCTTTATAGTTGAGTAGGGATATAAACCTTGGTCTCTCAGGTCTGACACTCTTAACTGCTACACCACAGTGGCTATAATCTACATTATATCTATATCTATTCTATATCTATATCTATATCTATATCTATATCTATATCTATATCTATATCTATATCTATATCTATATCTATCATTCCCATGAACCACTAAATTATTTTAAATTTACAAAGAAAAAGTGTATGTATTCTCAGATATGCTTGGCAGTACAGTCATAACTAATAATTTATTCAGTGATTTGGATATGAGCATTTGCTTAAGAACATCCAAAGTGCATTGCTGGATCAGGCCAAGGTTTACCTAGTCCAGATTTTTTTGTAGGAATCGCAGCAAACAGGAGGCACTACTAGGAAGTTCACCACTAAATGCAGAATACTTCCTCACCTTGCCATAAAATATGCAGTTTACATTAAACATTTCCACAATAAGATTTTACTTACTTTGATTTGGCCACAAGATGGCACTCCAAGACAACAGCTCCCATGTTTCTCTGCCTGCAGATGGATCAAGTTGATTAATATTTGCAGACAGTTCTTGAATATGAAATATTAATTATATTGAAGATATTTCTTATTTTAATATATTGGGACCTTGGTATAAAATAATTAAATAGGTCTTGCATTCTCACAAAATAAATAAAAACATTTATTTATTTATTTAAAATAAATAAATATTCATTCAACAAGAAGGCCTCCATGGAGGTCAAAGCCATTAAGAAATCAACATACAATAAAATCACAATAAAAAAATACAATTAGTCACATGTTAATACATTAGTAAAATAGGCTGCAGTTCAAAAGCAATGCATATGCTCTGATTTACATGCAATACTTATTCATATTGTTTTAGTACTAGTGATTTTCTGAAAATATTGTAATTTGCATTATTCCATTATTTAGCTATTGTTCAAAAAATACTTTTCACATTTTTATTCCAGTCTCATACAAGTGGTGACCATTTTGTGTGTGTTCAATTGACACACAACTACCGATGTGTGGGTTGTTTTGGACCCAGAAGAGAGCAGAACAGGGGCGGAAAAGGGTAGGCTTATGCGTGCTCCGCCAACCTGCTGGCGGGGAGGGGGGCAGGAATGCAAACCTCCCCCCCAATTGGAGGTTGCCTGTATAGGATAACCTCTTTAGAGCAACTTTGTGAGGTAGGTTAGATTTAGGGGTAATCATTTGCCCCAGCAAAGAGCTTCATGGCTGGGTGGAAATTTGAACTCTGGTCTTCCCAGTTCCATCCTAACACTCAGGATTTTCTGAGGGAAGCCATGGCAGATGAAGTGAAATGAAGCCAGCATATGCTTGCAGTGTAATAGGGCCTTATTCTTTCTTGCAGGAGTTGAAGTAAATTGTTATACAGTGGTACCTCGGGTTAAGTACTTAATTCGTTCCGGAGGTCCGTTCTTAACCTGAAACTGTTCTTAACCTGAAGCACCACTTTAGCTAATGGGGCCTCCTGCTGCCGCTGCACCGCCGGAGCCCAATTTCTGTTCTCATCCTGAAGCAAAGTTCTTAACCTGAAGCACTATTTCTGGGTTAGCGGAGTCTGTAACCTGAAGCGTATGTAACCTGAGGCATATGTAACCCGAGGTACCACTGTATTGGCATATAGCAAGTCCCATTCACAAACACCCTCAGCAATACGAAAGTCATCTCTCTGTGATATGTGAATGGAACTTAAGGCTCTTCACTTTCAGTTTCCTGAAGTGAACAGCGGCAAAATGAGACAATTTTCATACACTGCTGAGTACAGTACTTAGAATTAGAGTTGACTCCAGAGCGAGAAGGTGAGGTGTGCCCTGTTCTCAGGATATGAGTCACTCCATCTAGAGGCAGCTGTTGTTAGTGAGAGATCCTTTCTTCTGTACTGAAAAAAAATAGTGTTGTGTCTTTGCTTAACAATGCTGCCATTGTTACCAAAGCCTGATGTAGAATAAGCACCATTTGTTTTAAGCTCAGTGTGCTTTTGGGGTATGGAGTTTAGGGATTGGCTTAAGCAGCTGGGTCTGGCACAGAATATCATCAAACGTCTATAGGAAGTTTGGGTTTGGGCCCAGCTCTGAATCCTGTATTTCAGGTGTCTTATCCTTTGGAATTACTTAGCGATGGAACTGTGGTGATTTTGTAATTTAAAAGTCTAAGACATAAACAGTTTTGATTTTGTTCTCACATGTAGACAGAATTGCTTAAGTCAAAGCATAATTGACCCTTTCCAACTTTAGTAGTATTTTTCAACAATATTTGTATGTGATTATTTGTGTCAGAAGGTAGACAGGTTGTTTGGCATCCGTCTGTCTCAGGAGACAATGGAAGTGTCTGGCTTCAGGGGTGAAGGCAAACTGTTGTAGAGTTAGAGTGCCTGCTGTGGTTGTAGAGACCAATATGGGGAATGATCACACATGTTTTGTTGCAGCTGGGGCAGATGAAGTCTGTTTGTGCTGATGTAGGTTTACCATGGCATTTACAGGGTGAGCTCCTGTTTCTCAGTCCCTGCTCCTGCCAACCTACCAGTTCGAAAGCACGTCAAAGTACAAGTACAGTGGTACCTCGGGTTACATACGCTTCAGGTTACATATGCTTCATGTTATCAGAAAAGTTGGTGCTTTGCTGTTACTTGTTGTGGGGGTATTTGCCCATGTTTCTGCTTATCTCATTATATGTTACAGTGCTTGCTGTATGAGCTGTCATTTACTGGGGTTTATGAAATAGAGAATGGGCCTCCCACTCATGGAATTGCTATAAATTTGTTACCATGTTTAAAATAAGTTATCCTTTGGAAGAGCATGAAAAATAAAATGATAATCCATTTCCTTAAAAGCGCCCTTTCTTAACTGAATGTATTAGCATAGGTAATTCCAGTGAGAGCTTTCAGATAATTTTCTTTTAATTTTTCATGAAATTACTTTTGAGCTTATTTACTACGGTGCAGCTACAAATAACTTCATTAAATAGATGTTCTGCCACTAAAGCAAGCTGTTACTTGCAATTGTATGTGAAATGTAAATAACCTTAAGGCATCATACTTGAAGGAGAAATTCCAGTCACTTAGCATACATAGTATATTAACATTGCTAACATACAATGAAAATATTTGATGCACTATGTACAAGATGCTTGCCCATCTGGGTTCATCGAGGATCAGGGCGAAAGAAGAATTCAACAATTGCATTGGATAAGTATATATATTTATAAAATCCTGTAAGAATTACGTGGACTTATTTTAATGAAAATAAGTATATTGATTTGACACTTAAAGATTCTGTAAAGACGCAATCAATATTTTCTGATATTATAGCATTTCTAAGTTTCGTTTTGAGGGCTGAGCTGGGCAACAATGATTTGTGCACAGATCTCATATCTCTGAGTAATAACAGCAGTGAAGCGAGCAGAACAGAACTGGAGCCCTGGGGGAGAGAAGGATCAATTCAACTCACATCATTCCCCCAATGAGAATCACCCCCCTGAAGCTGCTGCTTGCTTCCTTTGTGGAAAACTTGTGTTTACAAAGCCTATACCTATAATTTTTCTCTAATACAGGGTTTCCCAAACTTGGATCTGTTTTTGGACTATGACTCCCATCATCCCTAACTAGCAGGACCAGTGGTCAAGGATGATGGGAATTGTAGTCCAAAAACAGCTGGAGACCCACATTTGGGAAACCAAATAGAAGCATTGGTAAAGGAGTAGGGTGGGGGTCACAGGCAAAAAAAAAAAAAGGCATAGAGGAAAGGAAACACACACACACACACACACACACACCCTGATAAATGTCAGTTCTCCTCCAGCTGCCATTTCCCCAAATTTAAAGACATGGAGATCTGATCAGCAGAATGAACAGAGAGGCGCCTAGGATGCAGCTTGGCCAACTTTTTGGAATCACTGAAGTAATTCACTTCAGTGAATTCCTCTCCACGCAAGGCAATTTGAAGAAAGCGAAGTAATGCACCTTACCTTAAAAGGAGTGCCGCTTCCGGAAGACCATTTGATGAAGTCATACCATTTAAAGGAGGGGCATAAAACTACTAAGTTAACTCCAAGTTTAATATTGTCCCAGTACACTTCCATGGTAAGTCCTGTTTCTTGGCTGTACGGCTTTAGTCTTCAGGTAGGGGTTGATAGGACTGGAATGCTACCTCATGAAAAAAGCTTCCCATGTTTAGACAGTGCACACTAAACCTGTAAAGCTCATTCTTTCCATTAAATAATTATGGGCACCTTAGTTTGCTAAGAGTTGCTGAGAATTGTAACTGTGAGAGGTTAACTACAGCACCCATGACTGTTTGAGAGAAATAATGTGTGTTAACTGTGCTTTAAGCCATGCTTCTCTCTGATATGATTGTTTTCTCAGCTAGAACTTTCCCCCCTGATACCTAATTTTCAATTTTAAGGGTTTGGGAGCCAGGTTAAGGGAGCCAGATGAAGACGCTGCTGATCATTTCAGCCCCAAGTGAAATCTAAAGCAGTCTAGACGCAGGTTTATCACCTTAGGGAGAACTAGGTCAAATAGTTTCCCCCCGCAAAGTGATATAATTGCATCACATACTGCATCACTAAGTCATCTGTATCAATCTGCCAAATGGTAAGCAGGATTTCCAAAGCATCAGATGCAAATGTTTGGTAAAATAATTGTATAGATTCAGGTATGAGGAGTTTTCTTCTAATTTTGAATTTCTATGTAGTATTTGAGGTAGTTGAACTAAAAAAAACCTCAACCATTGACTTCACCCAGCAGATAAATTATATTCAGTTAAAATAACAATGCACTGAAAAAGAAAAAGATTCCACTAAGTGATAGTAATGATGATTCAGCTTACTATTTGCATTTTGAAAAAAGCCATTTAACACTTCTACCTGACCAAATAAGTGAACACTAAGATCAGTTTCCTTTTTAAAATTTATTTTCTGTATAGATAGAGATGCTTAATTTGCATGCATTTTACTCCGTGAATGTTGTGTTAATGTGAATGAAATACATTTACAATGTGTAAATAGTTGACTCAAAGCACCAGTTCAGTTCGCATGAATAGGCCTTTTAAGCTTCTTTGCCCTTTCTGCCCTGTGGTTGAATAGATAAATAAAGAAAAGGCGCCCTTATTATTTTTTGCGGAGTCTTAATTTAAAGATCTCTGCTAAATCAACTAAACTCAGCCTTCACATTTTTACCCTATCACTTACTGCTGCTTAAGTTGCTTGGCACAAATTCTATAAATAACTTGCTGAAAGAGCTCTATTTTCAGGGTGTGTTAAAACTAGACTCTCTGTTATGTCCCAACAACAGCAGGGTCTTTCCCAGACATACAACATGAAGTCTTGAAGCTGATGTGATAAAGCTTCCTGATTGGTATAATTAGATGGATGGAGCTTTTATCCTTTGACTTTTTTCCCTTCAGTAGCGTAAATCCCAGAGAATGGGAGGATAATCTGTGAAGAATTCCCACAGGAGTAAAAAGAATTTTCAGAACCTACCATTTTAATATTCTATCTAGATAAACTGGACTAATTATTTAGAACCAGCTCATTTGCTGTAAGGTGGAATCCGCTGACAAAAGCTTCTGTTTCGTGAAAGGCAAAAATGCTCTTGTCATAAAAAATAAAACTATATCCTTAGCAAACAACCACATACCTTATATAGCAAAGCATATATAGTTATTTTCATGTAGAGAGTTAGGCCAATTTTTCAGGTTGTATTTTGTAGCATATCTTATTATCATGGACAAAATATACAAATATTAAAATGATTGACACTGAATTGGCAGGATGGGATGAAATTACTTTAGTGTTCATATTGGGCTTCCACAATGGCTTCCACAATCCAGGAAGCTGAAGATATCTTATTTAACAGCACAATTCTACACTTGTTTACTCAGAAGTTTGGCTTGACATGATATGTGAACCATCCCACTGAGTTTGGTGGGGCTAGCTTCCAGGTACTGTAGATGCTTACAAAATCCACATTTTCTCTAATTGCTTTGTCCCCTAGCAGTCCATACTCAAGCGGCTTGCTTTCGGGCATGTTTTCAAACCCAGAGTTTCTATGTCCATACCTGGTGGGTGTCTCCTTTTTTCACGCATCACTGTTTCCTGCTATGCCTGTCTCTAAGTCTACCTCTTTACAAACCACTCATTCCACAACCAACTGAGCAATGCCAGCAACTAGGAACAAAGGGAGGCTTGGGAGGGAGTGAATTTGAACCATCCACACTGGAAGAGCTGGGGCAAGGAGCCCGCAAATTGTTGAGTAATAGTTTACTCTCCTATACTGTTGCTCTTCTATATGTACTGCTATTCAAAATTTAGGGAATCTCCAGATCTGGGGAAGAGAAAGTGTGGGACAGTGTTGGTTGGAAGATAACACCCCATGGATAAAGATGAAGTAAAAGAAGCACGAGGGGTTCACAATCTATATTAAGCTGATGTATGACTTAGGTTCATGGTTTTAATAGTTATAATAGTTCATTTTGGACACCTGCTTTGTTTAATTTGTCAGGGAGAGTCTCAGAATTTTAAACTGTTGCTTTTGACATTCTAACCTAGGGGATTTCAATCAGTGTTGAAATCTGAGACAGTTACTCTTTCAGCTTCTGTTATATTGGCGTAGATGAGGTCTGCTTAGCGCTATCATCTTATAGGAAGTTTCCGTACAGCATATAGACTGCTGACAATGAGCTGCTATTTATTGTGAAGGGCATTTTAAATTACATTGCTCTCTCTTCTAATTTGCACAAAATATTACAACCTCAAACCAGGTTGAGAATTCTGGATTTGGAAAAGGTATGAGGAGCATGATGTGCAATACAAGAACACAACTGAGGAAACAGGGATCAACCTTCTAATGTATTTATAGTTCATGGATGAACAACT